AAACATTATCAAGATCTTGGACTGGTAGATTCAGTTTGAAGTGGCTATTTTCCAATCTCGTTATTAGTGCTTGGAGGTCTACTGTTTTATCTGGGTCCAATTTAGCTTTTGCTTTACCATCCATCTTGCTGCGATGGCGTGACAACATATTATAGAAGAATAGTGAGCAATGCAAAATGAATGCTATAGCCAAGCATATCATGGCTCTCTGGCCAGCTGACCAGTGAGCTACTAATAAAGAAGCTTTAACAGTTTCAATACCTTCTTTAGCGAATCCCTGTGTTCTAAAGGTATCTTTTGCCATGTTTGCTATGTGTAAGTGTAGGTGTAAGTTTAGGTGTAATAATGATGGGAACAAGAGTGTTGCAAAAATTACAAATTTTAAGAAAACTTGATCTCAAGTAAAATTTACTAATTGTTACACGTAATTTCCTTTGCAAAACCCACCTTTTAGTGCATTTCCAAAACTTCAATACTATGTGTTTTATTTTCTCAGTTTTATACAAAAGAAATCCCACATTACCAAATCATAAGCTGTATAAACTTTCACCCTACGTAGCATCATGCTTTCTCTTATGCCTGTTGCAAAAGATTTAGTTTAATTATCTTGTTTAGATGAAAACAAACTTGGGCATCAAAAAACCTTTTCTTTTCTGACAGAGGTCTTTTGATTACTCTATATTGGCTTAATTGCACAATTTTATGTATGTAGGTCGTTGCCCATAATAGATGATATTATTATGTGCACACAGGAAACTTTGTTTTCTGTTGCTGCTTTAGTCGAAAGTAAGTCTTGCCCTTTTTGTTTTGCTGTTTTGGTGATAGGTTGACATAATGTACCGTGAGAGTAGACCTATTTCTGATACGATTCTAATTTCATGTTGCCTCTGAATGGGGCGAAATGGAAGGAGGTAAATTCGCACATGTCGTATAGTAAGGTTATTCACGCTAAATGTGGCGGGTTTGGCTTTACTAACGACATCGCCACAGAACTGTGACACGCGAAGTTAACCGCTGATGACTTGTGTCTATATAGACCTGTATTGCCGATGACCTGGAACGTCTCAGGAAATGCCGTTCTGTTTGTCATGTGATCAAAAACACAATACTCACCGAAAGTACTGTCGTAGCACTTGCTATTTTGTCCATGAACTCTGATCTTGTTTACAATAGAATATTTGATTGTTTTGAAATGGTTGGTAGTTCTGTCAAACAATTCAACAGTCTCAATAAATATTAGAAAGTAGCTTATGGCTTCATTTGCATCCAATTGCTCCAAATACTTTCCAAGCGTGTCCAAGTAACACCTAGAGGACCAAGTTTATAGAAAAGGTATTTATCATCTTGTATGTCGTAAACATAAATATAATAGTATAGCCTCTGTTTTGCAGTGAGGTATAGGTATAGCTTGGAGTGCAAAGGTGCACGTGCGATGGTCTCGTATTGGTTGATTTTGGCTGCGAAAAACAGGAAGACAAATTGAAAAACAATGACACGTAATCATATCAACCTATTTGGGGGAAAGAGAAACCAGGAGTTAGCTGAAATAGAATGGCTATTTTCACATGTTGCTTGGGTGATGCACACTTTCTGCGGTGACTTTGATTTGATTTGTGCGCGGCTCTCATTCCGCTTCTAGGATGATTATACCAGTTGATTTCTCTACACACTTGAAAATTGATGATTATGAAATAGTGAACATTAGTTTTAGTTGACGGAAGCGACACCCACTGCTATATGCAATTGGATTGTACGTATACTAAACTGATCCTAGTCGCTGTCGCCTCTACTTCCACCTCCATCTCCACTTCCGCCCACTCTATACATCAACACGAACCAGATAAAATCTCTTGACTATTTATAGTAAGAAAATCAGGACTCTTTGTCCATTGTGAAACTCATCAGGAAAGACCAGTCACACAGTCACGCTTGTTCAACTAATAGCTAGGCCTTAGGCCTTATTCTATATATTTATTCCCTAAACAGGAAAATACACGTGCGGCTTATATTCTGAGTATACGATCAAAAAGAAAGTCAATTATGTCGCACTAGTTTGAAAATTAGAAGTCGTTTCGGTATGAATCAAAAATAAAAACACTGTATACGACGAATCACTCGGTAGCTTATTATTGGAAATCCTCTTTGTATATATACCACACTCTCTATACAAAACTATACAACTAACTCGAGATCTAATCTAGAATAAGTTTATTTATAGCCTTTAAAACACAAACACCTGATCTCCCAATTTGGATACTGGCTTTGGCTTTTCGTATCCTAATGAGACAGCAGCCTTTCTCATAGCACTAATCATCGGTGGAGGTCCACACAACAACAAGGTCGTTTCATCAGAAGCCTTTGGCAAGTGTTTGTCAATCAACTCTGGGGTAACAAAACCAGTAGAGTGATCCCAATCAGCTGGGGCTTCGTTCAAAACGTAGTGAATCTTTAATCTATCTGGGTGTTTAGCAGCATACTCTTCCAATTCTTTTCTCAACAAAATATCATTTTCAGTGACATTGGCGTAGATTAAGGAAATCTTGATGTTGTCTTCAGGGTTATTCAAAATGGCAGTAATGATTTGGTACATTGGTGCAATACCAGTACCACCAGCAATCATACCAAATGACTTTTTCATATTTGGAGTATGGGTAAAGAACCCCTTTGGTCCTCTGATTTCAACATAATCACCAACCTTCTTTGATGCAACGTGTTTGGAAATATTACCATTCTCGTATGTCTTAATCAACAAATCGAAATGACCCTTTTGGTCACTAGTGGAAATTGGAGTGTACGATCTAACAATTTCTTTCCCATCAATAATAGCACCAATGGAAATGTGTTGTCCAATTGGCAAATTCAACGTATCAGTAGGTCTTGGTAATCCAAATCTATAAATGGCTGAGTTGTGTGAAACCTTTTTGATGTCAATCAAGGGGAATTTCTGGAATTGGTCAGGAATCAATGCTGGTTTATTCTTTCTCGATAATTGAAGGAAATAATACCCAACAAATGAGACAATGATTGTGGCAACAGTGGCGAATATAAGGAAAGGATTTGGTTCTGATGATTCTGCCATGGTTTTAGTTAGATCTATATGTCTGTACTAGTGTGGTGGTGGGGGGCTGTAACCTGTGAAAGGAAAAGTGTCTGGGAATATGAGAAGATATCACAATTTATAGAAAAGAAAAAAAAACAACACGTTATGGAAATTCTGTTGGCGAGTTTTTCTTTTTCTCTCTAAACAAGCATATGAATTTTTTATATGTATATATATGGAGCACCTCCTGTTAATAACAAATATAATAACTAATCGAGCAATATGAGTGGGAAAAATGATTAGACTTATTCTTGATTAGCAGAGTAAATGGCGGGTTTCAACCAATCTTATATACTAGATCTTGAGATCTTTGAAACATTTTCTTTTGTTAGAGGGTCTTTTGACCAAATTTAGTAATCATATGCATAAGCGTGAAGGGAAAGACTACGAAAACAATAGAGTTTAAATTAAAAACGCTCCTTCCCCACTTAGTGAACCATACTAGCAATGTGTCTTTCTGTATTTCTGTTATAAACGCTACATATTTTTACTATCTGGGGGAGGGAAGTTGGTTCTAGAATATTCTGATTTCCATTATCGGCTCAGATATTATCATTCCTGTTAGCGGCAAAAAATTGTTTTGGTCACACTCGGAATCAACAATTCAGCCAGGTCAATTGGGTTTACCTTTCTAAATTGATATTATTTCCAAACTTACCATACAAATGCTTCTTTAACTCGCCCAACTGCTCATCAAAACTTTCAATCAATTCTTCAACATGCTCAATTTTCTCCGATAATACCTTATCATCAGCTTCAATCCTAGTCAATGCTTTATTAGTCTTCATAAACACAAACGCATCACCGATTTTATATTGTATTGGCTCGTCTTCGTCTAGTAACTCCAATTCGGTTGATAAATCATCGAGATACTCTTTTTCAACCTTCAACATGTCTAATATCGCCTGTTGTTGATCCTTTTTAGATATTATGGTGGAGAATTTATTGATCTTTTGTTGATCTTCCCAGCTAACTTCCGTAGCCGTGTTTCTTTGTCCTTCAGGTAGTAATTCCATTGTTGAGGTGTGAAAGCAAGCCGATATGTGTGATGGCTTTCTGACTGATTTTTCGACTAACTTTCTCAATGTCGCTAAAAGAAGGTAGCGCACAATGTACTAAACTTAGCAGTTACGACTATACGTTAACGAGATTCAAGATGCCTTACAATCACTTGTTTGTTCCGAAAGCGAATATTAATATTTATACAAACCTATGTAAACCTCACCCTAAAAAGAACAAAAGAAAAGAAAAAGAAGAAAAGTGTAGACTGTCAGAATAAAATTCCAATCAAATTTATTCTTCATCTTCTTCCTCATCATCTTCAGCAACAGAGTAGAATTGCAATCTGTATTGGTTTTGTTTAACAGCAACAAATCTGATCCAGTCTCTAATTTGGTTCTTCTTCAAGTATCTCTTGGTCAAGTACTTCAAGTACTTACCCGAGAACTTGGTGTTTGAAACAACAACAACCTTGGTTCCTTCTGAAGTGACGGAGATTTCATCACCCAAGTTTCCAACAATGTTGTCAACTTTGATGTGTTCAACCAAGTACTTGACGTAACCTTCTTGGTCGAAAACACCGTTTTCAACTGGAGCTGAAGTGTCAACGACGAATTTCTTAGCAGCCTTGGATTTCTTAGTGGTCTAGAAAAAAGTTAGAAAGGTTAGCCTACCGCACGATATAAGTTTTAGAATGAAGTATGCGTTGCAAAACAAGCATGAACAATCATTTCAAACAAAAAAACTTGACAGCAAAGCTTCCCTCCCACAAAACGGGTGGAGGTCATAATTTCAAAGAAAGCAAAAAGAAAACACGATAAAGGCATCGAAATGTAATCTTTACACTAACAAGTAATAGGTTTGATATTAATATTCGTTGTGCCATTTCGAAAAAAAAATCTTCTTCCTATTTTCCTTTTTGGTAAGAATTTCTCAAAGCATTTACGCTCCAAATGGTAGATATGCCCGGTTTTAGTATGGGAGTTCAACTTTGAACTGATCTCATTTAGAATGAATTAAATTGAATGCATTGCATTGTATTGAATTGTTATAAATGCGCACACTGGAGTTAGTGTGAATGTATACATACAATTGGAGCCATTTTTTATATTAGTTGGTGATGGATGGGGAAGAACAAGAAAGGAGGTTTTCTGTTTTTGAAAAATTATCTCTCTTCTTTCAAAGGCATTTTGGGGTTTCGTGCGAAGAGAGAAAAAAAGTTTTGATAAAAAGTTAAAATGTACGAGGTTTATAGCCCTAATAAAATATCGGTAGTGCATATACTATATGAACCAAACCATCTTGTTGTCTTTCCTTGACCAGTTGAAGTTGGTACTTTTTTGCTTATACGCCTTTACTTTCTTAAGGGGTATGCTCTCCACTGAGCTGCTTCATCTTAATATTTTCTTTTTATGTTGTTTTAAATCAAGGTAGAACTTTTGATAAATTTGGTTGCAAAATAATGTAAATGATTGCCCTACATCCACTCTTGCAGCTTCAATTATAGTAGTCTACATCTATTACATTTCTATTGTCTATTAGTATAAAATAAACACGTATATAGATAAAGGTATCAAGCTCATACAATATGCATATAGCATTGTGCGTGTGCTATTTATACTTGCTTCTGACCTGCTAGAAAACCTGCTTCCATCAGCAGTACTTGATGAACTTGCAGTTGTACTTGATTTGGAAACTGGCGCTATGGACAATTCATTTTCGTCCAAGTTAAATACAACATAGAAATGTTTCAAAATATCGGAACCAAATATTGTACCTCCAATTAGTGATTCATCCATAACACCAAGATAGCAATTACCCTTGGTTCTTTCGTTGTTGATGATCAAGTCCGATACTGAAACGCTCAAGTTCGTGTTGTCGATTTTAAAATTGAACTCCACTTTATTGTCCAATTGGCATGGCACTTGATAGGCCATTTCATCTTCGTCATACGTCCCATTTATCGATTCGCCAATTTCTTTTATCCAGTCCAGCGGTAATGTGGAAAATGTCGATCCCGTATCAAAAATTACATATTCTTTACCTGATTGAATATATTTCTGATTCTTGTTTTGACTAAGTGATACATCTTTAATGTGTATTCCACTATTTTGCATCAGCGTACTTGTCAAATCGCCATCATATTTGGCACTATCCACCCCTCCAAACAATATATTACCTTTTTCATCATTTAAATAAATTGAATATTGGGCTGTGTCGATATACCCTTGTTTCTTTAACAACGAAATGAAATTGTCATACTCGTTATTGTGCTTTATTCCCAAAATTCCTACATCGATACTAGAAGCATTAGCCACACCTAGCTTCAACCCTTCAATAGTTACATTTCCGACTTGAACATCATCACTACCGTATTCACCAATAGCTGCTGACCCGTCAGCAAATGCAATAGTGAACTCGTCATTTATAAATTCGTATGTTGTTGATTTCTCGTTATTGAAAGTTCCATTGGCTTTGCATGAGTACTCTTCATTCAAGTCGTTGAAAATATCTGGTATATCAGGGGCATTTTCTGCATGTAATTGCTCGACAGTTTGGCAGTTGACATTGTTGGACATTACCCATAACTCAGAAGATCCGGTATCTATCGACACAACAACATCGTCCTTGAGTGAACCTATGGCCAAATTCGTCAAGTAAACATTTCTTTGTAAAGTTATAGCTGTATTCACTGCATCTCGTTTGCTATGTCTGGTTTCAACACGTTGTGGTGATATATCAAAGTCTAGACTTATTGCCGACTCCACTATATTCGGTAGTAGTAGTAGTAGTAGTAGTAACGCTAGTAGGAGCGGCACGCTTGTTATAGACATGGTCACTGGTCTTTTCGGTAAAGGAATGGATTCGTCGATGGTGGTGATTTCTTTTCTCCTTTCTTTTTTGGTCTTCTTTCTTTTTGTCATTACATTTCCCAATTCGTCGATATTATCGGAACAATGTATATCGCAGGGGGAGGCACATGCATTAAAACCTTTGTGTAATTATTGAAAACTGCAACACAATAGCGAGTCTAGAATTGCCCAGGCTGTGCGTATGATGAGAGACCGCGTTGTTGCAAATCACAAAACTATTACTACAAATCAACAAACTATTTTGAAATTGTAAAGAAACCTGATGCGTTGTCGGTAATGGCTGTTGTATTCCCTTACGGGTGGGATATACTTTTCAACCGTAAGCTTGTTATTTGTAGCTCATCATGTTTGGGAAGCTGTTGCCACGTGTTTCTTTGGTAATTCTAGCCCCAGCATAAGTTAATACCCCTATTTCTATCCAATCTTGTATTATAAGTGCATGGCTTATTGATGGATTTCTATTGTTGAATTTGACAAAGGAAGTGTAAACAATTCGTTTCTGTGACCAAATTTGGGTAGTGTACTTTGTATCTAGCCGACATGTGGGCCGTGTCGAACTTCGAGGGAGAGAACAGCTACGGGGCACCAGTAGATCCATGACCGTTGACCAAATTTTTCGATTGGTTTAAAGGTGAATCTGAACATAAGACTTGGGTGATTGATTGCTGATTAGAGTGAGTAGTACCAAATATATACTAATATGTTACTTGAGTGAATGGGGAGATTATCTCAAAGAAAAGCTCTGGAATAGCTTACATTTCAGACATTAATTGTGCTGTGAGCTGTGAACCGTTCTGAGACTCGAAGAGGTCATGAGCAAGGAGGGTGCCACATGTTATTTCTAATTTTGCATCATCTCCACGCGAGATGCAGGTGACGAGAAGTTGTGTAATTTGTGCGTTGTGATCTTTGCCTTCTACATAGAACATTGTTGTTTCAAATAAGTTGTCAATGTGAAGGTTAAAGTGCCGTGAATGAAGGTCCCTTTTATAGAGACTTGAATCCTTTCAGAACAGTAACACTCTGCTTTGGAACTCATAAGCTGTTGACTAGAGGTTGTCAACCTACGCGGACCACGACCGATGAGTTGATCATCACTTATTAGGGGCCACGTGACTTCAAACCATTCGTAAAGGGTGGAGGATGTAGTAAATACTCTAGTGTTCATGAAAGTACAAATGTGTGAGAGCTATAGAAAGCGTTTCTTTAAGCAAAATGGACTGGTAAACATTTCTGCAAGTAGTACTTTCATGGAAAGTTATATTATCTCTTCAAAATGGAACAGAAGTATAGTGCATTATAGTATGGTAACACGATACACCAGTTGCCCTTACACTTGCCACTTTAATAATTCTACACTAATTGGCGTGTAAAGAATTTTGGCTGCATATCAAATAATTAACAAATTTATAGACACATGCTTGCACTTCTTCCTCATTATCATCATTGCACAGGCACTGTTTCATTCTTCAATAATAATGTACTGGACTCTTCTACTCGCAGTAACTGGCGTCGCAGCAGCCGCTCACATAATTCAACCCCACTCCGAAAAATTTCTTCTTGCTGCTTACGATGAAGATTACGGCTACAACTTACACCATGAGACTCAATACCTCAATGCACCAATCCAAAGGATCGACCATCATTTGACCAAACTCTTCATTCCACAATGTTTTGACAACAACAGCTCATCCACTTCAATTTCGTCCAAGTACATTGAAGGCAGGATTTTGATCAATGGTAGTTATAAAGTCGAGAACTTGGAAAGTGAAGGATTACAATTTATTCGAGTTGACAAGAGAACAAATAGGTTGAAAGCTTGTCCCAAAGGTGATTTATCTACGGGGTTCAGTTTATTTAGAGATGAATTGTTGTATAATAAAGTTGGAAAGTGGTCATTGTGTTTTGATGATGAATGTAATTGTTCGTATATTTATCATGGATCAATTAAAGATAATGTCAAGTATTGCGATACCAATGATCAGGAAATCACAGTGAAGGCTCTTGGAAAATACGATGCTTCTGGTGCCATACCGGATTATCCATTTAGTTTGATCGAAGACTGATGGGGGAAGCAGTTTTCCTTTTATTATTTTATATTCTTTTGGGTTTGCAATTTTTTCTTTAGCGGTAAAGTAGTTCCCCTTTTTATAGTTTATTATCTTATTCACTCCACGTCTTTATGCATCATCACGTAAGCTATCAGAAGTGTTGCAAAACGTCGCTCTAAAATTAGGTAGCGCGCCATTTAAGGGGAAAGAGAAACTACGCTTTCGCCATTGATACAAGACCATCGATTAAAAAAAAGGACCTAAAATAAACAAAACCAAAATACCTGAAACGGGGTAACTTCACCCCATACCTCTCTTTCCACCACCCCTTGTCCTCCCTTCAATTACCATAGTAATAATTTCTCACCTGTTCCAACCGCATAGAATTCAACAATTCATCATTACTATAATTATTCTTTGACTGTTCCATCAATTCAAACTTACGCCAAAACTCATCAAACTGAACCAGATCTTGTTTGATTGATTCTATTGACTCTTGATTATAGTTTTGATTCACTTTACATTTCAAAATCAGTTTTGGAGGGTCAAGAAATTGACAACAACTAGGCTTGCCATTGGTGGTTGTTGAGGGAGTGTAATAGTTCAGTTTAAAATCAAATATGTTAAATGGTAATGATGCTGAACGTAAATGCAAAAAAGATTTCTTCCGTTTAGGCAGTGAGGATGAGGATGTTGGTTTGCCTCTATTACATTTATGATGATGACGGTGGTGGTAGTGGTAGTGTTGTGTTGAATTTGAAGCGGGATGATAATTATTTGGCGTTATTGGCGTTGGAGTTGAAGTTAATGTTGATGGAATAGTCAGAAAATGACCATCACCAGTCTCATTGGCATCTGCATCTGCTTGTTTGTGAAATTTGATCTTGCTTGGCAATGGCAAATTTGATAATGACGAAGTCGATCCAATACGGGTAGATAATTCATCATCATCCATCATACCAAGCTCTCCATTCTTGAATAAAAGTAAATCAAAACTTGAACCATTCAACCGCTTAAGCATATTGGTTGAATTTCTCTTAAACATACCCTTAAACTTGTCCAACAACGTCAACTCATTCATACTCTCAATAATAGAATTCAACTCCAAGCTTTGACCCATAATGTCGTTTTCGTCATCGTCCCCGGTAGTGGATTGCCCACTTAGTTGAATATCACCTTGCAGTGGCAACAGCAGCAAATCTTGCGATTTAAAATTACCAGAAGCTTCAGCTTCAAGTCGCACTCTTTCACCAAATTTGCCATCGTCCATAGGTGGCAAGTCATCCAAGCTCCAATTATTATCAAATTCAAAGTTGAAATTAATCATTGATAAGGGAGGCGACAAGGACTCGCGTGGAGAATTATATAGCTTCCTCTTCTGCTCATACACTTCCAAGACGACTTTCCCATTAGCATGGGAATTTTCACGCATAGCTGCCCAATCACCACGAGTATCATTTGCCACTGCTAATCCATGATCTAATTTCTTTGTCCCCTTGTAATGGTGGTGGCTTTGGCTGAGGTGGCTATTATCAGAAGTAGATATAGAACTAGTATTGCTTCGATTAAACGGTGTTGATGTTGAATGCAATGAGTGACCAGAGTGCAACAGTGATGAAGCTGAAGCTGAAGTCGAAGCTGATGCTGATGGCGATTCTGACTGTATATCAAATAAATTCTTGATAGTTAAAATGGGCAGATGTTTGGGTTGTTTTTGGTACCCACGTGATCCTGGTGGATGATGATGTTGCTGTTGCTGTGATGGTGATGGTGTTTGTTGTTGTTGTTGTTGTTGCATATCTTGCATGGCTATTGGGTCTTGTAAGCTCCAAAATTTATGAACTGGTGGAATTTAATACTAATGTAAACGAATAAAGGACATGTAAAGTGTATGTATAAAAATTGTTGCGAAAAAAATAAAATCAAGGCAAAAAGGTAAAAAAAACATGGAGAATTTATATTGGTATGCTGAGCCATAATGGGTTCAAGGGAAAAAAAGAGAAAAACGATTCTAGATCAAATAAAGTCATTGTGCTTCTAAAGTCTTTTGTTTATTATTCCCTATTCTATTCAACTTCTATCTTGTCCAACTTTTCAAATGCTAATTGGTTGTATTTTTCTCTATGTCCATTAACTTTTTCATACTCAAATAATGACTCTCTAACCGGTGGCTTCAACTGAACACCTTGCTCAATTAAATTTATATACTCTTGGTCTTCATGAGCACGTGGATTATCCAAAATTTTGCCCTGAGGCAAGTCATTGACATTCCTGTGCATGGTACTATCGACTTTGAATAGGTGGCGAATTTCTCGTTGATGGTATTGAGCCAATGATTGAGATTGGAAATAGTCGATTAAAACTTGATGATTATCGGTCAAGATTTGATAAACTTCTTCATCGGATAAGTTTTGGATTAATCTCTTTAATTTCAGCTTGTTTATACGGCCATTGGACTTCATGTAATCATTGGGGTCAAATGCTTTGATTAGCGATGGTTCATGAATCCAACTCTGTAGCTTGTTAACAAAATACCAATCTTTAAATTCCACCCTAGTTAAGGAACGATCAGGATACTCAAATTTCAATCGTTGGATTATTGAGTTGGGAATGTAGCAAGGAACACCATTCAACATGGTCAATTTCAATGGTGAAAGGTGGCGTAGATTGTAGAAATGAACGCGTCGGTCATTAAACACAGAAAGATCCTTTTCCAAAACTGGGCCCTCATCCATATCGTCATTGACATTTTGATAGTAGTTTGAAGATGGGGTAGCTCCACTTGTACTCAACCCAGTGATGTCAATGTAAATACCAGTATCAATGTCAATAAACCTTGCATCTATGTGGTTACCACGCTTTGAAATGTGTCTATTGTGAACAAATGTCCCAACTTCGATTAAAAATTTACCTGTACCTTCGTGCAAATCCTCAACCACCAACGTTTGATTGTAAAGTTCACCCAACTTGAGCAAATGTTCAATTGGCATTTGGATATCCAAGTCATTATCAAAGGGGAAAGTACCTCCGTTCCAATACCAGCTTAGTAAGGGCCCATGAGCAATCCAACTAACAATGCCGTGTTTTTCACTAAATTTGAACCAGTTGCGCAGTAATCGTTCCATAATGATTGAAGTCCGATCAACGTTATCTCCTAGTTTCCCATTGAAAAATCTCCAATCATAATGCCAACCAGAGTCTGAATTGGCAAAGTTCATGTGCAAAGTGGCTTCTTTAAAATACCTCGTTTCTGGATTCTTTGATGGGTTTGATTTGACTGTAGCTACCATTGAGTTAAAATATGATTGCTGCAATGTATCAAGCGGTTTTTGAGCTGAGTTGAGTTGCTTTAATTTTTCAGCAAGAATTTGGCGATTGTAAGTAAAGTGCTTTTCTTCTAGTTCAATAATTGGTTGTGGGCTGTACTCGTATGTTTTATTTGGAGCAACTTGTTCAAATAGTTCGACAATATTGAATTTGGTTCTAGATGTACTAGGACGACCCTTATAGACATCAAACACTAGGTCCTCACCATAGTCATTTAAAAAGATGACTTTGTAAGGTAGTGGCTGATAAGTCAATATGTATGTCTTGCCTTGCAAATTTCTCACATACTCGGTAGTAGACACCGGTGTATGGCGAAACTGTACGAACCCGGGCAATTCCGATCGATCTTGAAATCCCAACACCTTTACTTCGTCATCAGTGAGGGTCTCAGTGTCTATGCAACCAATGTTTTTTGTGTCTGCTTTGGCTCTTGATCTTCCTCCTGAAGGGACAAAGTTCATTTCATGGATCAAACTACGACACTTGAGCCTTTGTTCGACTGGTTTATTTAATTGATGATTTAAGTATGACAAGTCTACCCAATCTGACCACTGAAATGGAATGGCTTTAGGCATTGTATCTTGGGCAATAATGTGGTCCAATAGAGAGCCAAAAGTGAGTATGTCATCTTGATAAAGCAAGTTTGAGTCGCGAATGGTACTCAATTCTTGGGTCGTCTTTTCCAACGTGGTTGTGTGTTTTGGCGGCTCGATGTTGGTTAGTAGGTATTCCAACTTTTTAGCATAGTCTATATCAGTATTGGCTAGTTGCGGTAGCAGATCGGAGCCCTCTATAGATATATGTATTTGTTGAGTGTCAATGTTCTTGTTGGCTGATCGTGATAGCAAAAAGGTTAGTATATATACTAGATTAATGGCAAATATGAGAATGAGCGGCTTTCTAAACTTTCGTTTGTTTCGTAGCATCCTTTGTGTTGTAGAAGGGGACTTAATTTTGGAGGGGTTTGTCAAAAGGTGGATCGCGTTGTGTTAATGCTGAAGTGGAGACCTAATGTGCTTTTCTTCTAATGACAGTTTTGGATGTGATATCCTTCACACTATAAGATTCGCTCTCTCTTTTGTACTAGAAGGGGAAGAAACCAGCTAATGTGATAAGAAAAAGATTTGTATAACCAGTTTGCTTTAAATTGTTGATGTTTTAAAGATCTTGTGTGTCCAAGAAAAAAATAAAAAAATAAAAAAATAAAAAATAGAAAAATAAAAATATAAAAAAATAAAAATTTTATTGTCTTGTGACAGCAGACAAAGGGGTTCTTTAGTTTTTAGTTCTTTTTATCTGAATTACACACAGGGTTATTAATTAGTTCCACAGTAAACAGCTATGACATGACCAAACAAAAGTAACACCATATCATAAAAACATGTAACTGCAATAACTAATCTGTCTTTTCTTTTCCTTCCAGTACGATAATCTCTCTATCCAATAAAACTTTTTGTTTGCTGCGCCATGAAATGAAATTAGGGATTGTATATAATAATAATGTATGTATCAATACTTAGGTACACAATGTCACAAAACAAACAAACAAACAAACAAACAAGGGAGAGAAAATATTTATTGACACTGGTATTTACATTGACATTGGTTAATTTTTGACATCACACGACAGAATCAATATACATTGTGCTGCTACACATACTGTATATCAGTAAATGTAAGGCAGGGTACTCTCTCATGAGTATCTATGGCCTAAATTTTGAACAAAAATTGATGGAATATCGTCTCATTTCAACAAAGCCCCGTTTAGCATGAGAAAAAGCCCACCATTGAATTCCATCGAATCGAAAATTAGTAGGCATTCTATACTTGGTGAGCATGGCAAGGCTTAAAGAGTAGTGATGAGAAGAAGTTACGGAGTTTGGTTCATGTGTTATACATTGAAAAGAGCACACTTTGTTTCCCCTGCCATGGCTTACAATTGCAATATTCTCTCATAAACAACTTTTGCATAATGGGAAGACATATAAACACTACACGAGCTTCTCCTTATACCAGTTTCTTCTTATTCTTCATGTAACCATCTTCAATCAACACAGATGAGCTGAGGGTGTTAACAATCGCAAAACTAGTCAATTCCATCTTAGTCTCATGGGACGAAGTCTGAAAGATAGATGACAGTTATGGATGATTAGAAGTAATCAGTTCCATATCCATATACAGAGGTATCAAAAGTGGGAGGCTTTATCTTATCTGAAAGGCACCATAAATTGAATATTTCACCATGTTTTACCTCTGCGCAGACCTATTGGACAAATAAGAATTGGTAAAGAATTAAGAGAATAGACATAAAATTATTGTTTCTGAAGTAGTGGTTTAAACATAGAGATACGTGGTTGGCCTTTAGAAACAGTACCAGAAACTAAGTCATTATACTAGTGTCTGTGTGCTGGTTAAAGTGGCGGTTGCAAAATATCCAAAAATATTTTCCAGAGTGGGGCGGATAAAGACGGAAAATGTCGGCCAATCGACACTTCTGGATGAATGGCGGATAAAGTGCGCCTAAAAAGAAAATAGTACGAAACTGTTGCAAAAAAGAAGAACCATTAGAAAAGGTTGTTGTAAGCAAGCCTTGCAACAAAGTATGCCCGTTATCTACAAGTAATGTATCCCTTGCTACTTTGCTACTTTTTTCTGCGTGTTGATGGCATATTTAGTGCCTTGATGTTGTTAGCGGAATTGATCTGGCGCGTTCAATTCACAGTGTACATCGACACAAAAATATGAAAATAAATTATATTTATCCGTACCGCGGCAGAGAGCCGAAGTACGTGTAAGGTTCTCCATCCTGCCTAATGGCAGGACACTCGAGGAAAGCTTATCATGGCTATTCCCAGTAAGATGTTGAAATGACAGCAGTATGAGATGTTTTATCGAGTACCTACTCCAAGCACATTACATAGGTTCAGGATTTACTCCATTTTCGATTGAGTTTCTGCACTTCCATTGGTCCTGAGATGGTGTTGATCTATTACGTCAAACGAAATTTTTATTATCCAAGAGTATTCTCACGCTCTCGTTACAACATACAATTAACTAAACTGGTAGTCACTGTATTAGAGTTTTCTTATTTACACCAATCATGAGCTGATCTTTGATATTATTTTACTTCTGTCAATGTAACGACACATCTACTCGAATGGCTCTCGTATCCCCGCAAAAAATTGTCCTTTCTCTTTTTCTTTGTCTTTCTTTTTATTTTCTTTTTTTTTTTTTTTTTAATTTTTCAGTTGTTACATGCAGGAGTAACCACTAACGGCGGATATCGATATCCTAAATGTAATATAACAATATAAAAAGTATATAAAACCAATTTATAAAACTCATTTTTCCAATCAAATCGAAAAGTTTCAAAACATATTTCATTCACTGAATCTTTCTTCTCTTTTTTTATTGGTGAACTATTCATAATATCTATTCCATCAACAATGTTGTCCAGAGTGTTAAGAACCAGAGGTTCACTTCAAGTGGCCAAAAAATCATTAAACTTACAAATGATTAGATCTAAATCGGTCATTCCTTTATCATCAACCGTTTCATCGTACCCAACTGATCACACCGAAAAGGGGGCTGAACCATACTTGACACCTAGTTTCCTCAACAATGAATTTATCAAGTCTGAATCTACTGAATGGTTTGATATTCATGATCCAGCCACCAACAATGTTGTTTCTAGAGTGCCACAATCTACTGAAAGTGAATTGGATGAAGCTATTGCTGCTGCACATGCTGCTTTCCCTGGATGGAGAGATACCAGTATTATCAAGAGACAAGGTATCGCTTTTAAATTTGCTGCTTTGTTGAGAGAAAATATGGATCGTTTGGCAGGTATGATTGTTTTGGAACAAGGTAAGACTTTTGGTGATGCTCAAGGTGATGTGCTTAGAGGTTTGCAAGTTGCTGAACAAGCTTGTAATATCACCAATGACTTGAAGGGTGAGACTTTGGAAGTTAGTACTGATATGGAGACCAAGATGATTAGAGAGCCATTGGGTGTTATTGGTTCAATTTGTCCATTTAACTTCCCTGCCATGGTTCCATTGTGGTCATTGCCATTGGTTTTGGTTACTGGTAACACTGCTGTTATCAAGCCATCAGAAAGAGTTCCTGGTGCCGCCATGGTTATTTGTGAATTGGCCGCTAAAGCTGGTGTTCCTCCAGGAGTCATCAACATTGTTCATGGTAAACACGCCACTGTTAACAAGTTGATTGAAGATCCAAGAATCAAGGCATTGACATTTGTTGGTGGTGACAAGGCTGGTAAATACATTTACGAAAAGGGTTCAGCTTTGGGTAAGAGAGTTCAAGCCAACTTGGGTGCCAAGAACCATTTGGTTGTTTTACCAGATGCTCCAAAACAACAATTTATCAATGCATTGAACGGTGCTGCTTTTGGTGCCGCTGGACAAAGATGTATGGCTATTAGTGTATTGGTTACTGTTGGAAAGACGAAAGAATGGATTCAAGATATTGTCAAGGATGCTAGCAAGTTGGTTACTGGTTCTGGTTTTGATCAATCATCCGATTTGGGTCCATTGGTTAACCCAGAATCTTTAAAGAGAGCAGAAGAAATTATCGAAGATTCGATTGCCAATGGTGCTAAATTGGAGTTGGATGGTAGAGGATACAGACCAAAGGATGCTAAATTTGCCAATGGTAATTTCTTGGCTCCAACTATTTTGACCAATACCAAGCCAGGTATCAGAGCTTATGATGAAGAGATTTTTGCCCCAGTTCTTTCCGTTGTCAATGTTGACACTATTGATGAAGCTATCGAATTGATTAACGCCAACAAGTATGGTAATGGTGTTTCCATTTTCACTTCAAATGGTGGATCAGCCCAATACTTCACCAAGAGAATCGATGTGGGACAAGTCGGTGTCAATATCCCAATTCCAGTACCTTTGCCAATGTTTTCATTTACTGGTTCAAGAGGTTCGTTCTTGGGTGACTTGAACTTTTACGGTAAGGCTGGTGTTACATTCTTGACCAAACCAAAGACCATCACTGCTGCTTGGAAGGTTAACACTATCGATGAGGAGATTTTGAAACCATCCACTTCTATGCCTGTTCAACAATAAGTGAGCTAAGTAGGAGTAATTGAGATGTGTGTATAGGTTATAAGAAGAAAAATATAAAGTCACAATTATAGAGAAAGTTTGATAAAGATGTAGGGAGCACATAAAGGCGAGGATAAGGCTCAGTGAACCATAATGGATTCCAGGTCATTGCAAATTGAATCAGATGGTGGAATTCTTCCTATTGTTGAACAAAGATGGATTATTTTCAAATTTTTTTGTCCTGATTAGGCAAATCGTCAACGTCTGTTATTTCCCGGGGTAATAATAATAAAACTAATACTTACACAAATTGTCGCGCAAGTAACAAAAAATGAAAAATACCGCTACAACGGAAGAAGCAGAAGAAGAAGAAGGTGACTTAAGGGGTGTAAATGTGCAATGGTTATGCTTTGCTTTGCATATATGGTTTACTTCCACAAGGAATAAAAGATTCGTAGAACCGCTTTTTTGTAATTGTCCTGTTTTAGATGTGAAGCAGGAGAGGGACGGCACAGCAAACTAACAGCCTGCTACTAAAGCAATGGCAACAGTGATAGAACAACAAAGAAGAAGAGGCCGTTTTATTTCTTCTGCTTGCTTTTCAGTGTAGCGGGAAAATATAAAGAATAATAGAATGGTTCTTATTTTTATTTTTACGTCTGATTCCAGCAGTGTCTTTTTCTGTGCTCTTTTTTTATTTTCAGACACAGAATGAATCATCCGACAGTAATATGAGTTTAGTACCGAGGAACTAAGAACCGATCCGCTGAATTTTTTACTTCTTAAACAAACGCATTTACCGCTAGAAGAATTGAATGAAACAGAAGGACGGTATCAATTCAAATTTTTTGCTATAATATACATATCCCTCGCTTGCTAAATTTTACCAATAAATAGGCTGTATTGTAATGGATGCTCACTACTAGTACGGTTGATACGAAATCGTGCATGTGTTTTTTAATTCTGGAATTCCGTAGACTGGCTTAGTCTTTTGTTTATTTACTTAATGAAGTCCCCTTTTTTTTTCTGTCTTTCTATTTGATTTTGTCTAAAAGCCATAGGGAGGTTCATTTGTCAAGTCTTATTGTCTTTTGCTTAGATAGAGATTATTTTGGCGCCAAATAATAGTCTATTATTTAGTATTGTTATTATTTTCTATTCTTTCGGAATAGAATTTCGGTTATTGAGAAGTCACAAAGCCATTACACAAAATTCAAAACTAAATAGTAGAAATGATTCTTTTTTCTCACCCGAAATTTTCCTTGTCAGGTAGTACGCGCAAAAAACAATAGGAATAGAACCAGCAGATAAAAGCATGTACAAATATGCAACAGTAGCAGCAGAGGAAAGGGGGCATAGGATAGACTAGTTGAAAATGACTGCATATTCTCAATTGTAAAAACTCCCCTATCTTAGTTGATCTAAACCAATCTGCATGAACTGCAGACCTTTACTGCATCAAGTTCGTTTTTTTCGCTTGCTTTGACGAAACAAAACAAACTGTAAAAACAAGGTTCAGGTCTAAACCGACTAATACGAAGGAGAAAACATACGAGGTTTCCTCTTTTGGTTGAATTTTAGTAATGTGGGGAGAGAGGGGGTCCAATTTTCAACACGCTTGTTTGATTCATCGTATGTTGAGTATTGTTTGTTAAGGTACAAGGTTGTAATTTTGTGTGTTTGATGGGATTTTGTTGGCTTCATCTGGAGTATTGCCTTTGTTTTTTTTCTCAGTGTTTTTGTTCCTTATCCCTGGATGCTTAATCTTGATGGATATATCGGAAAGAAAACTAACCCCAATGCCAGAATCTGAGATTAGCTAGAGACGCACAAAAGGTTGGACTTTTGTTGATGCGTTGATGAGTTGTTGTGGGTGGGAGTGCTTTTCTCTTTATTGTTCTATTTTGGCGGTTTTGTGATTTCCTAAGTTCCAGCGTTATGTGGCCTCTTATTGTGTTTCTAGATTCATTTCCTTATGATTGCTCAAGTTTCAAATTGCTAAGTTCATCGACATCGGTGTGGTTATACACTAACTCTGCTACTTTGCACTTTGTAAAACTAATAGTGAACAGCAAGCAGACCTCTCTTGGGGGTCTACATAACCTCCTTACTATCAATATAAGCAGAGAAGGATGTGGTAATCCGCTCCCCTAAGTTTAGCTTTATTCTACGGAGTTTTTTAGTCTCATGCAGAATGGGTTGTTTTGCTCTCAATTCTACTTTTAGTTTATGCATAATGTACTAATAGCGTCAGTCTTTATTGTTTTTTACATTTGGACAATTTTTCATTTGCTCAAATTAAATCGTATAGTAATGTATGGATGCATGGATGCAAATAATCGCAAAAAGCCGGAACTGATTCATTTAGGAACACAATTTTTGATGCCACAAACAAAAGTTCCTTAGAACGGGAACATCATCGAAAAAGATTTTGGTGGGTAGTCATGATTAGAAAAGGAAACCAGACACAGAAGGGCCGACATTATATGGAGAAAGCAGCAGACACGATAACGGTTGAAAGGCTTTATTGAAGAACTTTTGCTTGATGGAAGCAAAGGGATGAGGTGTAGAAAATAAAAGGGGGCACTTAATTTTACAAACTGCTGTGGGTTATGCATACTGTCCAGTATACGATAACCAGGGCCATTAAACGCACGAAAGAGAGTGACAGAGTGTATGGATCTTCGGAGGTTTATACCCGTGAGATCATCCCCCAACATTTTTTTGTGTTACTGAGGAAAGGAACTGTAAAACCGTTTTTCTTTTCATTTTTTTCTTACTTCCTAACAGAGTTGTACCACGGAGGAGCTATTTCATCGTAAGTTCCTCTGATAACGATGATCGTGTTCGTATGTGGTACATGTGCCCTCTTGTAATCATTTGTTAGCGTGGGTAAAGGTTTAATAGTTTGTGTATTGGATGTATGTGTCTAATCGCCATCAGACAGACATAAACAATAAATAATAAACAATAAACAACAGAAATAGAAATAAAAATAAAAATAAAAATTAAATTAATTAATTAATTAATTAAACTAAGAATAAATAAATAAATTAAAATAGACAGACAATTTTTTTTTTCTTCTCTGTCGTCCTCACTCACTCTGTTGTTATAAAACAGTTGAAATATCTCATCATCATATCATTACAACAACAACCACCAAAAACGAGCAGTAACTATTCCAACCCTTTATTAACTATTCATTTCACACTACACACACTCCATCCCACACCCTTACTTATTCTACCACTCAATTCTTTCTCATTCAAAAAGTCAAGAGATCAATAACAAATACAGATTTTATTCTGTTTTTTTTTTTCTTTTTTACCATAGCAGCAATAAACATACATATTCACTACACCTTATAAAAGTACAAGTTCCCCAAGTTATGTCACTGTAACTTTGTCCCTTTCCTTACCACTATTTAAATACGCAGCTTTGAAAGTATGTGTTTCTTTTGTGAATGTCGACGGGAGTCTGTTCCATTGAGGTTGCATCAATTGCTCAGGTGTCGCATTTAGGCGCCATTTGAAGCTACTATTTTTTTTTCTCGCCGTATTCAGCCGGCCAAAACATGAAAGCAATGTGACAAAGACCTTTGATCCAAGCAGAAGTAACCAAGTCTATATCTCATCAACATGCTAATGGCTGCAAGAGGCGACGATGGATCATTGCACTCCTATCTCCGCAATTGAGCAACAGATTCCCCAGCCCTTAGTGTTGGCACCAAATTTACTAACATTTATCTTTTTATAGCTATTACATCATGACAATTACAATGACAGCTTCACCAGCTCCAATACTAAAAGCACAACCACAAACTGAGGAAATATATTCACAATCCAAGCCAAGTTCAGATGCACAACCTCGACAACATCAAGATTCAGAGGAAAAAGAATTACCTATAGAAGCCCCACGCCCACCACCACCTGTAACAGTTAAAACCTCCAAGGAATGGGTACTACCACCTAGACCAAAGCCAGGCAGAAAATTGAAGGATACAAAGGAGAGCAAAATGAAGAAAAAGTGCAACAAAAAATCAACAGTCGCAACGTCTACATCAGCCCCAACTGCAACCACCACCACCAGAAAGGCGTCAACAACTTCACATTCATCTAATTCCAGGGCCAGCAAGAAAAATGACTGTTGCAGCAACGAGTTGAACCCTGATTTATCTTCCGTCTCATCATTACTACAGAATATCTCCATAATTGACTCAGAAAACTCTTATCTCAAGTCGAACTTGTTGTGTTTGATTCATGAGTATAAGCATTTAAAAGACATGGTTTTAAATACACCCTTGGCGTCATCAGAATCATTGGAACGACAAACTTCCAACTCGACGTCGCCTGTCACAACCACGGCTGCGATTGGCACTACTACAACAGCATTTGAACTGGCTGCAGAATCCTCCCCAGAGGCATTGGCCGACATGGTTGATTCAATTACGCACAGTGTGCGTGCAGTTCACAAACGTTCTTTTGTTGAGTTGTGTGAGGATGAAGAGGATTTGCTATTGGAAGTGGAACGCATTGGCGAAGAAGGTGAGCCTTTGAGACGTATGTCCACACCAGCTCCAAGAAGTTCCGCTGTGTCATCGGGTACAACTACTACTGCTACCGCTACCACTAGTTCTACTTCAGCATCTTCGCCAATTGCCACTGCGATGGGATACAACTCATCCACTATTGACACTGTAGCGTCCACACCTTTACCTGCTTCACTCGAATTTGAACAATTTATCAATATTGACGAACTGGAAGATACTAATGCCAAGGAAGTCAATATTAATGAAGCATCCGCATCCAGTGTATCACCAACTTACAAGAGCAAGAAATTTGCTCATTATAAAGATTTCCATAAGTTGGACACCGAAGAAGATTCCGATGGCGATATCAATTTTGAGGAAGATGATTTAATCAATGTCGAGGCAGGAGAAGAAGAAGATGCATTTCTTCTTGGCGAATTGTGCACACCATCGTCAACTTCATCAACTGATTTATCACGCACAACTTCACCATATTCTGACTATGAAACAAATTCACTAATGAGCACATTGACGAGAACGACAACTGGATCTTCAATCAATACCGTTATCCATGAAAAGCCAAATTTCGCCAGTGTCAATGTTAGTGAAAAACTGGGTAACAATAATTTCGGTTATACTTCAATTCATCCACCGCCTTTGACATTGAAAAAGATGGGCAATTTCTTTGATTTACCCAAGTATCAAGAAAATGACAAATTGTACAGTTTTAAATTCGATACGGCTGAATATCAAGCTAAGCGAATTGATGATGAGTATAATTTGGTGACGGATTTACTAGAGGAGAAGTTGATGAGTAATGAAATCAACTATTACCTGCAACAGCAGCAACAACAAATGGGATTGGGTCATGTACAAGGACAAATGGGGCTAGGACATGACGATGATCACGATGATGATGTTAATGACAGAGGACTGTTTATGAATTTTTATTGAGCTTTTTTTTTTTTTGTTTATTTATTTTATTTATTTTTTGTATACTTTTTTGATGAGGAAAAATGAAAGGATTTTGTTTGGGGTTTTTGAGAGCTAGCTTTAAATGCAAAAACTGTAGAGAGCATGTGATTACATAGATTTACTGAAGAGTTCATTTGCAACCTGCTATTGTGTGCAATTTGAATTTACTGGAGAGAATATACGAATTGCAATTACAAAGTTTCACATCTGCCGCCTCGTACTTATAACAGCATCTATTCAAGCTACTACTTAATGGGTTGGGGGTATAAATCACATTCCTTCTTCAATCGAGGCCAACAATTTCACCTGTAACGCCCCAATATTCTCAACATAGTTCAAAACGACATCCTTCATCTTAAGTCTTGCTGATGTATCCCAATTCTCATCTTCAACAAAGCAATCACTATACGCTTTGAATAGTTTTTTGGTTGTTGCAATTTCAGACTCATCTACAATAATTCCATTTTCAACAGCCTTATCAAACAAGAGGAAGGCAAACTCACGATCATTGTTCATAAGGAATCCTAGTATTGCCGATTGTGTAAGCAACCCCTTTTGAGACGAGCCATCTTTGACTACCCCAGACACTCCATTCACGTAATCATTATACAAAGTTAATCCATCATTGGGATTAAAGTATGATTTGAGGATAATGAGGACTTGCAAAAGTTGGATTGTCAAGTCAGGTGGAATCATTGTTTCTGCCATTGTTTTGAATATCTCCTTGTCTTGTTTAATCGCTTGGTAAGAGATGGCCTTGACCATAGCCACTTGTACGTTAGAAATTCCATACTTGCAGTACGACTCATACTTTTGAAACTGCTTTAATGCTTCACCAAGATTGTTTTGAGCAATGCCGAGCACTTCGATTAACTCTTTTCTTAACACTAAGTTTTCCGCCTTCACGTCAATCTTTGACTCAATGATGTACTTTATAACCTTGTCATTCAACTCATCAATGTTCAACTTGCAACCAGCTTTGTCATATATGACAAGGAATTGTTGCGACCGGAAGTTTAAAATATCAAGAATGACTGCATATATCCAAGGTTTGATCGACTCGGGTTCTTTGAACCAACATTGAAAGCTTCTCATCAAAGCAAATTTGGCCAATGGATCATCAAAATTTTCAAACAATTCCTTCAATAAAAGGTTCGTATCAACGCCAACATTGGAAATGAATGAATCCATCTGAGTCACATCCCGACGTTGAAGTAAAGTAGCAAACAACTCTTGGAAATGCAACTCCTCTATAGAATCAAAATGCTGGTTTAAATAACCAATTACTCGATCTATTGTTAGCTCCTCATTTTTATTGTACTCCAGTACTAGTTTCTTTAAAACATCTCTCTTGAATTCGTCACTCGTATTGGGAATTTGATGTTTGTCAAGAAGATCAAATGTGTCGAGCACTCTCCCAGGATTGATTTTGATAAAATGCCGCAAAAGATTTTCATCAGCTATGCCACTTTTAGCTAGTTGAAAATATGGACCAAACGTGGGTATCAAGAGAGTATACAATTCCGACTTGTCTGGGTTTGTAGAATTTGCAATGGCACTGACTAGTTTGGTTCTTCCATCTTCATCATCACGGTTGATTGATGGATGAGTGACATCTGGTGGAGTTATCCGGTTCGGATCTTTCGTTAATAGCGTCGATAGCTGTCTATGGAAGCAACTACGTGCTCGACTAACCCCTGTTCTCAACATAAAGTCAATTGGCCCTGGATTTTTACCTCATCTGGATCCCAGAGACAAAAAAAAATAAATATTGGGTGTGTTTACGTTCTCTCTGCCACTGATAACCAGGAGGCATGCTTTATGAGATCCTCACCCTAGCAATTGCTTCGTCATATGTGTTTGCAATCTACTTTCAACAACCAGTGTACTTACAAGACAGAAACCGCAATGATCCCAAGGTAATTAGATATAGATTGCAACGAGTTACTACACTCTGTGTTGTGCTCGTTATAATTATTCCATCGTTGGTGCCTGGAAGGTTCAGTGATAATTTACTTCAGATTGGATTAGTACCAGGATTTACCAATAGTGAAAGAGTATCAACTGATTTAGATAATATTTGGTATTCATTAAAGTTTATCAATATCTTATTTGCGTCATCGATATTTCAAATATTTATTGAAGATTATCATTCAATTTTGCATGATCTTTCAACGACACCAATCATATATCATTTCAGAGACTATTTATTTGCACCAGTCACCGAAGAATTAATCTACCGTGGATTTGTCCTACTAGTTGTTACAAAAACATGCCCTAGTTTTATCAAATATACTCCCTTTTTATTTGGTATTGCTCATTTCCATCATGCGTTACATTTATATCACAAACAATCACAGAAATTGTTACGAATTGTTATATCAACATTGTTTCAATTCGCGTACACTTCACTATTTGGTTATTTGGCCAATTGGATATATTTTAAAACCGATTTCAACTTGTGGTGTCCTATTGTGATACATCTGTTTTGCAACTTTTATGGATTTCCTACATTGGCAATAGATTCAAGAAACTTTGTGATACGTATAATCTACTACGTGTCGATAATAGGAGGTCTTTATTATGCATATGCCGAAATCTTTATCTAACTCAAGGGGGTGGTTCGTTTTACCAACAGAGAAGCGAAGTCACTGTACGACGGGCTAAAAAGTTCCTCTCCACAATTGAAGCATTTCCTTTGGGCTTTTGAGTACAATGGTTCTTTTTAATTGAGGGCGCTAGACGTATATGGAATGACTATGGCTCGTTGTTACTACATACACTCTGTTTGTAAAGAGGCGTATATTCACTTGACACTAAAGACCCTTGTTGTTGTTACCATAACATTAGACGAGATCAAAAGGTACAAAAACAAAAGAACAAAGTGTGGTTATTAAGAGATAAAGTATACTAACCAATGCTGTATATCTTTCTTTCCAAAAGTGTGCATTGAAATAGCCAACATGATATATCTTACTATATACAAATTGTATCCTTTGATAATAGTAGTAGTAGTTTATAGTAATGCCAGTGGTTGTTTAGGTATGTATTATTATTATGGCATGTATATGCCCTGTCTAATTTGGATTGATCACAGACACGTCCAACACAATTTTAAATTTTTTTTTCTTTTCTTTCTTCTCACTTTCCTTCAACAAAAACAACAAATCATTTGTAAAAAAAACCATTCAAAATCATACACTAAAACTTTGTCAAAAATTATATTCTTATACACCACACAGTTCTTGTATTAAAAGAACATATAGATTCGGTTAAAGAGATACCTATAAACACACCCTATTCATTCATTTTCATATCTAACACTTCCTGACTACGCTAAACGACACCATACCACCCCACTTGTACATATATTATTCAGATCACCCAGACATACAGACACACAGACACACACGCACACATCCTTTACACATGTTTAATTGAGAATGTATCTGCCCAACTCATCGTTCCAGAATGATCCAAACTATGAATCAGCAGTGCAGGATATTGAACAGGAGAAGAAGATGGTGGCTGCTTTGAAACGATTATCCATTGGGAATCTAATGCAGTATGATCCAGATCTTCCTCCAGGTTCAATGGATGACGTTGATCCATTTGCTACATCTACTTATTTACAAGCAGGAGGTGGCGAATTTTACGATGAAGATCTAATACCTCAGCAATCTCGACACGTTCACCCTTCATCAGCATCAACATCAGCCACGGCATCAAAATCACCTTCGAAATCACCATCTTCATCCACATCACCACAGAGACAAGAGAATTTGAAAGAAATGTCACCAGTAAAAAGTAATACGTCAAGTCCCATTCGTTCACCACCATCCCATTTGCATGCACCTCCCCTTTCAAAAAGTAAGTCACCTAGTCCTACTAAACGACACAGCTTGGCAATGGATAATGACAGTATATTAACAACTGATGATGAGTTTTTTGATGCCGCTGAGGACCAAGTCTATGACGCATCAAATACGATTTGGGTACCAGCTGAAATGCATCCACAAGTCAACCCTGATTCTTTTAAGACATTGATTAAACATCAAGTGGAAGAGATCATAGATCGTAATATCAAGAGAAGATCAACCATATCAAGGAGATCAACGCTATCTCGTCAATCATCCATCACAGAGCGTGAAGAAGAGCCATCAACGGTAATCAGGGTTCCAAAATCAGTACAACAAGAACCATCACAATCTGACCAGGATCAACAACAACAACAACAACAACAACAAATTTCCGGAACACCTTCTTTAAAATCATCTAAATCTTCATCACCACCTAAGGATACCCCCAAGGATACGCCAAAGAGAGAATCTTGGTACATCAAACAAAAGAGGTTTTCAAACCCGTCATTGAGGGAATTGACAACTGAGTTGCAACAATTATCTAAAATGGCAGGAATGGATAAAAGTGATGCAGTAACAATTGCCAGAACCTTATCCTCAAACTCGTTAGGTTATACAGATGTTGAAAAATTGGCATTTGACGAATTGAACCACTCCCCACCCCATGGAGACACAAATGGGACCTCTTCAAGTACATTACATTTACAACAACGGTTACAACAACAGTTTAATCAATCCTGGGATGAGGATGAACCTGTTGAAGACGAGGACGAGCTGGAGGAGATATATTCAAATACTTTACCAGTGCAAGGTGTACCTCATGATTTTGCATTGAGGCGAAGTAGACGAACTGATTATAGGAAAAAGGATTTCGAACATTCAAGTTTACCTGATATCCTGCCGTTGAGTGGGAAGCATGCCAACCAACACAATAGTCAATTTCAACAAAGAGGTTATAAAACGAGAGATTCTCAACTATTGTTTAGCTATAAAAAGTTAAATGATGAATCTCAACAGCAACAATCACAACCCATCAGACATGCATCGAAATCACCATCTCCACACGATTCAATCTTGGGAAACTCGTTCTCCACCTCAAGCGCTCCAGGTAGTCCATATGTGACAACACCTCAAATCCTGAACCTTGAAAATAGACCGGCTCACAAATCCAAAGAGCTTCCAAAGTCACCCCGGTCAGACCCTTACTTAAGCAATAGGTATGGACCAGGAGGGTCGAATCAAAAGCATCAAGCTTCACATAAACAAAAACAAACCATTCATCAATCGGATATTCCCTTAGGTGGTCAGTATCAATACCGTCTGCGTCAACAATACCCACAACAGCATCAAAATCGTAACGAAAAAGTCTTGCCAGGTTTACCACAGCAATATAGGCAACAATATGTGTCGAGTTCTCAGGGAAATCATCGCAACCAGTCCCCATTCCAACAGGACAACTTACGTACAGAACAATTACAGGGGTATGAATCTCGTTCATTACAGAGAAATGAAAATCACCATTTGCCTAGTCAATCACGCACTAAACCTAATGGTTCTCATCACCATGCAAGGCCAGAGAAGAAACTCGTGTCTGCGTCGAATACCAATATTAACGATTTCATGATTGATACACCCACCAAACAGTCAAGGAATCATCATAGGAGTTACAAAAGGGCTGAATCACCTCGTCATAGCTCACAAAGGCCTCAGCCAGATGTGCCCATGTTGTTCCCCAGTTCTAAAGACCGAAAAAGTATTCGAGTACAGCAGCAGCAGCAGCAGCAGCAATTGCCACAACAGCAACAACATAGACTCCGTCAAAATTCGCGTCCTGATGCTACCGTACCGGCAAGATCCAAACAATTGCATCAGAATTTGGATTTATTAAGGTCGGAAATTAATGAATTCAAGGAGAGTTTGAACAAGAGTCATGATAGTGATAAGAAGTTGTCGGTGTGTGAAGCAGACACTAGCCGAATGCAACAACAATACCCACAGCAGTGTTCAAGCCAACTGAAGGAGTATCAGCAATATCAGCATAATGCACATAAGCTAGTTCCTCATCAGAAGCAACCACAGCAAAAGCAAAGACTGCAACTACCAAAGAATATGCCTGACTCCGATATTAGTTTTGATTATAGCCTCCAAGACTTATCTACTGATGATCCCTTGGGTATTGAACAAGATGCTTTGCGTGAATTGGGAAGAAAGAAAGAGGGTAATCATGGCGAAGGTGATAATTTTGAGACAAACGTGGTTGGTGAAGAACAATTGTCATCGAGTGGCCAAAAAACCCCCAGTGATGAAGAATCACTTAAGCTATCAACGCCTGAACGTGAGTTACCACTTGAGCAATCGACACCAGAACAAGAATTGCCTCTTAAACAATCTACACCTGAAAATGATATTGTCAATGTGAATGCAAATGACGACTTGTTTGCCAATATACCTGATGTTGAAGTTGATGATTTCTCCGATTTAGAAGACGAGCCAATTTTTGACACACCAGAAACAATTGAAAAGACAGGGAACTTTATCGATGGACAGCCACCATTGAATAAATTTCAGTTGTCATCTGATCAGTCCCTGAGTGCTAATGATTACAGTGAAGGAGGAGATGCAGAACCAGTAGCAAAACTAAATGAACCATTTTTGAAAAATTATCATCAAAGTGATATGGAGTCATCATCGCGAGTTAAGACTAGTTCCAAACCAACAAAAGTCAATACCAAACTATTCAATAAATCTAATATCCAAATTATCGATTCGGATAACTATGAAGAAAAGATGGGATTTAAAAAGAAGAGTGGATCAGATGATGGCCAGGGTGGTGGTAAAACTTTGAGAGTCAAAAAGAGTTTTGGTAGTATTTTGTCAGGAGGCGGCAATTTGGCTCCACCCAATTCGAATGAACATGACTTCGATGATGATAAGAAATTGAAAAAGAAAAAGAGTTGGAATTGGTTGAGGGAGAGATCATCTAGTTTATCATCAGTTGAGTCTAGTCAACACCAGTCAGCATCATCGATTTCTGCTGCAAATGGTAAAACTCCTAACCAAGGGAGATCATTTTCCAACCCCGAGCCAAGAGCAACAATTGGCAATAAGGGCTCAAGCAGTAATAGTACAGCAAGAAAGTCATCACTTGAACATGAAGATGTGGGTTCCGTTCAATCGGATAAGGAGAATGTATTGTCGAAATTGTTCAAGAAGAAATCCAAGGCAAATTTGTCAAGTAGTAGCGTTAGTTCATTACATTCAGAGGATAGTAAGAATTCTGGAGTTACTGTCAATTATCATGATAATGAGCAGAAAAACGTAAAGAAGAAAACCAGTGGATTATTCAAGAAACGATCAAAGGCGAAATTGGTCGACCATAATAGGGAGAGATCGCCGTCGTTATCAAAACAGGATCATTTGGTTGGTTCTTTTTTGAGCAAGAAAAGTATTGAAATAGTACTGCCCCAATCAAGCAAACATGAAGAGGTTGGCGATGGTGATGATGATGAAATGGAGAGACAAGTGAAGCTTTTGCATGAATTAAATCCTCAACAGTTGCAAATGGTCAGAGGCGAAGATGAAAAAGGATTTGGCAACAGTGATGACAATGAGGGTGACCATGATGATGATGCGTTTGCTTCATTTAACGACACTGTGGCTGTATCAACAACAGGCGAGGAAGAGCACGACATAAACGATAAGGCCAAGTTGACATCTATTGATATAAATAATCTTGATTCTAATGATAATGCAGCTAAATCGGGATTAAAGAGTAAGAAACTGACGGTTAAGAAGCATAAGCGGTACCGTCATAGAAAGAAGGAAAAGGAGAATAATGAGGTAGAAGGTATCAAATCAAGAGATGATGCTACAACCACTGCACGTCAAAATGAGTCGGCTGTAGTTGAAGTTACTGCAATAAAAGATGAGACTCAACAACAAGCGCCAGAGGAAGAGCCTCAACCATCAATTACAATTGATCAAGACACCAATGATGACTCCGCTGCTGCTGCTACTGCTACCGATGGCGAAGAAGATAATACAACCAAAGAACAAGTACAGCAATTGCAAAAGATTGACATTCAAGAAAAATTGAAAAAATCAATCAAACGTACATCAAAAGCTAACCAACCAATTGAATTCACTGATTCAGCATTTGGGTTCCCCTTACCACCACCTTCACAATCAACTATAGTTATGCTTGATTACCGGTTCCCCGTACATGTTGAACGAGCAATTTATCGATTATCGCATTTGAAATTGGCCAATCCTAAACGGTCATTACGGGAACAAGTGTTGTTGTCGAATTTTATGTATGCTTATTTGAATTTGGTTGATCATACTTTACATATGGAGCAACAAATGGGAGGTGGCACTGGTGAAGAAGAAGAGGAAGAGGAGGAGGGCGAAGAACAAGAAGATGGAGGTGGAAGTGGAGAAGAAGAAAGGGTTCGTGGTGATGATGAAGATGAATCGATGGTTGATCGAGAGCAACAAGGGAAAGCACAAGAGGAGAACGAAGAGGAAGAGGAGACTGCACTTGATCATTTTGGTACTGATGGTGGAGTAGATGTTGACTTTGGAGACGATGTAGTTATCGATGATTACGATGTTGGATTTTCGAGCCAGTCTCACTACAACCATAGTGGGCATGATGATGATGATGATGACATGGAAGAAGAATTGTTGCATAATGAAGAAACGATTCGGATTACTGCATAATGATACAGGATGGATAATTTTAACATTGAAAATGATTTAGAGTTAGACTGTTTACTTTTTTAAGCTTGACAATTTATGATATTATTTAGGAATTGGTTTAAGCCTTTCTTTGATAAACTCTCGTCCATTAACAAAGTGCAAGTGCATAAGAGATTGCGTAAGGAAAGTATGTATGTAACGCAGATTGGGAAAGGTAGAGCGAAATCGTTGTCATGACTTCTAATCTTAATAATAGGTCTGTTATTTTGTTTGGTACGATTCCTTTTGGCTTAGGTGCCAACTGATGGTTTGCTCTTTCTTTACCCCTATTATAAGTGTCGTAAATCACGATATTCTGACAGACACGGAGTTTAACAATGTCATTAAAATTTCTTTTTTCTTTTCGTTTTTGTTTGTTTGTTTGTTCTTGTGTTGGTGTTAATTCCGCTGAGTAATATTTCGGATCAATTCCATACTTACTCCCTTTTCTACAGTTTTGATATTACTCTCTCTATTCACACTGCCATCCATTCTAATAGTCGCTCATTTGCTCAAGAGCTAATGCAGTTGTATGAATCACAGACCTCTGTTGTGTAGTGATTTGGGTTCAATAGTTTTGGTTACAAAGTACACGACTGTCGTTTACGTGACTTTTCTGCAGTACACGCAACAACAACAACAATAACAATAACAAAAGAGTCTAGACAGATGCATTAAGAAAAAAAAAATCACCTTACTCTGAAAGATCATTTATACATCCACAAACCCACAACTATATATATATATATATCACCACTACTACTTCTTCTTCTTCTACTACTGCTTTACTTATTTTCACTAAACTCATTACATCAAAGCAAACTTATTTTCAACTTTAGTCACTCACTTGACAAACACTGCCCCATTACATACAAACACACATACAGCACCCACTTTCTAATACTTTTACCATGAGCAGGAGTTTACCATTGATTGCTTCATCAGAAGTATCCAAGCACAACACTGAATCAGATTGTTGGGTCACTTTATACCAACGTAAAATATACAATGTCACCTCATTTCTTGATCAACATCCAGCTGGTGGTGATATCATCTTGCCTTATGCTGGTAAGGATGTTACCGAGATCATGGCTGATATAACTAGTCATACCCACTCTGAATCAGCTTATGAAATGTTAGATGATGATATGTTGGTTGGTTACATGGCTACTGAAATTGAAGAACGTGAATTGATCAACAATAGAAACAACACTCCTGTCGAAATGAAGTTGGTTGGTTCAAATGAGTATTCCCAAGGTACTGCCGGTGGTGAAGAAGAGTTCGATACCTATGTCTTCCATGACCACTTGCCAGCCGTGGAGAAATTATCTATTCAAACTGATTTCGCTGAAGATGCTAAGAAACACAAATTCTTGGATTTGAACAAACCTTTATTGATGCAATTGTTACGCAGTAATTACACCAAGGACTTCTATCTTGATCAAGTGCATAGACCCAGACACTATGGTAAAGGATCAGCTCCTTTATTTGGTAACTTTTTGGAACCGATTTCATTAACTCCCTGGTGGGTAGTTCCATTGGTTTGGTTACCACCAAATATGTACATCTTTTACGTTGGATTTGTTAACCAGAGTCCCATTGTTGCTTTAAGTCTTTGGGCTATGGGATTATTTGTTTGGACATTGGTCGAATACTGTTTGCATAGGTTCATATTCCATGTTGACTATTTATTACCTGATCATCCATATTTCTTAACTTTGCATTTCCTTTTGCATGGTGTTCATCATTATTTACCTATGGATGGGTACAGATTAGTCTTACCGCCAACCTTATTTATTGTTTTGGCTTATCCTTTCTATAGAATCGTGTTTGGCCTTTTACCATTTTATATGGCTTGTTCAGGATTTGCTGGTGGTACTTTGGGTTATATCATGTATGATGTTACTCATTACGTCTTGCATCATACAAAATTACCCAAATTTTTCCAAGAGTTGAAAACGTATCATTTGGAACATCATTATAAGAATTATGAAATGGGATTTGGTGTCACTAGTAGGTTTTGGGATGTTATTTTCGAAACTGAAATCCATGATACTTTTGAAAAGAGAGCATAAGTGGCGAAGAGAGAGGGTGCTGCTTTTCAGAAATATCTTTAATGCCTTGCTTTGATACGTGCATGTGGAAGAAGACATGATTATGATTTTACGTTTGGTGTTGGTTTTTTTTTATACTATGATTTTTGTTTTATCATTTTGTACCTGGTTATTTGTTTTAATTTTTGGAATTAAAAAAAAAACTTGGAAAAATCTGTTTCTATTTTAATCTTTACTTGTGTTTGGCTATACAGAGGAAATAACTATTATTAATCTTAATTTAATTTAATTTACTTTATTGTGAAAATTTTTGTTCTTTCTATTCAGGGTTTGATTATATATGATTTTTGGAACTCGAGTTGTTGTTCTAGTAATCGTCGATGTTTAGATTTCAAATTAGATTCATGTAAACTGGTTATTTCCTCCAGTTGAACCGTTGATGGGGTATCTTGCATCTCTTCAGATTCGTCACTGGCTCCATCCTCGTTGCTCCGTCTTCGTCTCTTCATATATATTCTCACTTCTTCATCATCTTCTTCGTTCTCATTAATCATATTAATCAAATTTTGTTTCAATCTTGCCTCAAAATTGACCTGTTCATTAAACCCACGTAAATACTCCTTGGCTAAAAGCGAATAATCCTTTTGTCCTGGACCAGGAGATTCATCGCTTAATGATTGTAAATATTTCCCGACATTAAACCCACCGCCAGCAGTGAAAACCTCCAGATTGTCTTCCTCCTCCTCATCTTCAAATTCATAAACATTATGCAAATTATCAAACAAATCTTGACACTGTTGCAAAACTCCTTCATACAACTGTCGGTTGCATCTGTTCTGCATTCGATCATTAATCATACCAGCAATCAATACATGATGCCAGTTCAACGGATAATCTTTCAAATGGAAAGTATCAAACATGGTTTCCAACATTGTATTAAACCGATTGGCAATTTCACTTACAATGGGTAAATTTTTCGGAAATGAATCAGTGAAATGCAAACCTGAATCTATTTCATTGTCTTGTTTCATTTGGTTGATCTTGTTGTGTATTTTCGTTTCAAGAATTGAATTTATTGAGTTCATCAATGAGATCTTTGCCAGTGGTATTTTTTCGGTATAGCTTACTTCAATTATTTTATTCCTGTGATTGAGTAGTTTGTCTTCATCGTATTCGTTATTCTCGTCATCGTCGTCATTACCGTCATCAGAACCATGGTCGTCATCAGAATCATTGCTATGTTTACTATCAGAGTCACCATCATTTGAATCACTCTTGTGGCTCACTTCACCTCTGCTACTCGCATCCTCCTCATCTCTCACATCTCGCAACAGCCTCTTGGTCTTCCTCCTTTTCGTTGTAGCCGCATCCTCCAACTGCCATTCCTTATCCCTCTCAAATAAATCATGATCCTCATCGATATCTCTTTCATACTTTTCCTGATCTTCATCAATCAAGTCATCCTCATATTTGTGTTCTGGTATGGGGACTTTACTGAACTCTTTAGGCCAACTTGCCCATCGCGTTAATGGGAAATTTGGATTTACACGATGCAATAAAAATGTAGAGTATAGATGTAATGATAAGTCATTTATGAAGTCATGTTCTAGTGATTTTAAAATTCTATTTCGTTCTTGTTGAATGGACATTCTGAGATGTTATCTGTGTTGCAAATCATTTGATTGTATGGTTCTTATTTTGTTTTTTTTATTATTTTGCGTGCGAATGATTAATCTTCATTATTTACTCTTTGACAATTTGAAAATGCCAAAACTTCAACAAATTCTCAAATCGAAAGCCAAAATGGGGGATCTCAAACTCAAGCTACAACACTAAAATACATCATATACTCTCTATTTTGATCAAACAACTCTGTGCACATATGAAACCGGGTCCATTTATGCCAACAGATGAATGTCTCGAGAGTGAAAGGTGTATATAGTCTGAGACCTTAGTCTGGAAATATATTTTCTGGATGAGAACATGTCAAATTGAGAGATGTAATAAAAGTTCATTGCAACAAAATAAACCACGTACTTCTTCGTATATGTCTCACTACCTACATGAGTAACCTCCATCCACGTTCAAAGATGCACCAGTGATATAACTAGCTTCGTCACTCAACAAGAAACAGACAGCATTAGCTACTTCATCACTATCGCCAATTCGCTTCACGGGACACTGAGCAACAACCTGATCATACCCATATTGGCCCAGTTGCAAGAATGACTCCAAACTTTGTGTCTTGATAAGCCCAGGGCACACTTCATTAATTCTGATACCTAATGCACCATAGTCCTTCGCCATGGACCTTGTAAGTGTATGGATGCCACTTTTGCCACAACTTAAACCAAGCAGTCCTGGCTCAATGACTTTAGGCCCAGATATGGAGCCGATATTGACAATGCTTCCTCGGTAGTTGAATTCTTTCCAGTAATTAATACATAATTTGTTCAAAGCAAATATGCCACCAAGATTGACATTAATGACACGATTAAAGTCTTCAGTTGTCTCTTCAGCAGCCGTAGCAGTGAAACCTTTCATTATTGTTACCGCATTGGCCACGACGTAATCAATTGTCTTGTACTCATCAAGAGCAAAATCAACAAGATTAATATTATCTTGGTAAACCCCTATATTTGTGCGAAGAAATCGCAAATTATGATGCACATCACAATCAGGAGCCGATTTATTGATGGTGTTCAAAATGGAATCAATTTCTTGCTCATGAGCTAAATCGCCAATGATTACTTTAGCTCCCTGGCGTAATAGTTTGATTGTTGTGGATCGACCAATACCTGATAGTCCCCCTGTAACCACTGCTACTTTGTTTAGAAAGTTGTATGACATCTTGATGGTCACGATAAAGATCAATTGGTGATACTTTTGGTGAAATTCAATTTGCATTAAATATAATCTATCTTTCTATATATATATATATATATGCACGTTTATGTAGGGGGGGGGGGTTTATACTTTAGGGAAAGCGTACTCAGTATATTTCCAATCAGGAACTGCTACTAACCATCACATCCTCAGTCGATTCACCAACTTCGGATTCACCTCCATACTTATGCTCTACATCCTCCATCCTCATTCGTTTCCTCCTCTTTTTCTCGTCAGAAGCTACTGTGAAATTTTTCAAAATAAATTCATCAGCCACATCACCATCCAAACGATCTAATTCTTCTCTCGGAATAAATAAGGGCCATACCCATTTGGCACAAATTGCAAGGCCAAGCAAAACACCAGGGAACCCCACAGCTGCAATTGTCAAAGTAATGACAAACTCCCCCACACCGCCAATCACTTCCAATACTGTATAGACATAAAACCATTTCTTATTGGGCAATGCATGAATATCCTTCCATACTTGAGGACAAGTTGGATCGTCTTCAATATATTCTTTATCCAAAAAGATATATCGAATCCGATTAGTTACTATATTTCCATGCAATCCAGTCACTGCCATGATAAAGAATAACCCCGACAAGACAGCTTGAGGCACCAATCCTAACAATACAAGAAACGGTCGTGTCATCATTACAAACGTCATTGCTCCTTGTAGCGTATTTGTTAGCCGTTGCTCAACAACTGATAACTTCTTGCCGTATTTATCATAAACCACCAAAGAGTCAGTGTGAAGTGGGGCTTGTGGGATTAATCCATTGGGTGGTGGGATACCAATAAGTCCAGCAATACCAGTAGTTATCCCCAACAACAAGAAATCCCAATGGAAACCGGCTGGCTTAGTCAATGGATACTCTTTTGACTGGCACATTAACGAGCTAACATTATGATCAAAATAAAATAAAAAAGTCAACAAGATTGCAAATGGTATAGCAAGAAATACATCACCCACTTCAATATTTTCCCCTGGCCAAAAGTGAATAAACCACCCATGAGGCCTACGATCTCCCGATTCTGTAGGTTGAAATGATTTTGTCACTGGTAGTCTTGCAAAAGTTGTGTCATCCAATTTGCCACCAAAATGAATAAACCCCGTGAAAAAGATGACTGAGGCAACAACCCCATAATCAACAAACACTTTTCTAATCCACGGCTTAAAGTAATGTAGATAACTTCCCAATATTGCTGATCCAACGCCACATATCAACATACATAGCGCAACCATAATTGATGCGTACCCACTAGCCAAGTCCACGTCATTGAATTGATTAGACAAGATTTGTATCCCCTTTTGGATATAGACCATGTTGATGAAGAATCCGAAAATATCACACGAATATAAACTAATGATCCTCATAAATGAAATGTAATTACCAACAGCAATCAAAATATGGAAGACCATCGACCATAGGTATATCCAACACATGAATGGGAAATATGGTGTACCTCGAGGTGTCATTAATTCGTAAACCGTGTAACTAAATATAGATATGGGTCCCGTAACTCCAACAATACATAATGGTTGACCAGATAGTAGACCAAATACAACCCCTGCAATAGCACTAGACATTAATACTTCATTTACGCCATACGCATTTTCGGTCTTATCAAACATATCTTGAGCAAAAGCAATAGCCGGTAGCAAATTGGAAAAGAATATGGATAATGTCGATGGAATAACCCTATAGTTCCAAGCATCCTTGAAGTCGGACTTGTAATACGGTAGTCGTGTTTTGAGATCGTTGTAGATACCGTATCCAAAATAGTTGACATGTCTAAACGACAACGGCATGACTGAGGACAGGTGCGAGTGGGTGTGGGTATGGGTATACTTTATAGATACAAGTAGTATTCCTTCCTTTAGATTTGTTCTGGTATCTTATTTATAGCTAAAGAGGTTGATTCTTTCATTAGTTACTTACGCTTAAATGGCATCTTTCAAGTAAGAAGAAAACAGGAACAAAAGAAATAATATTTTTGATGTGTCGCGAATTCTTTTGTCGCAAGATATAAGAATGTGCAACAGTCAGCACTTTAAAAAGCCGCAACACATCAGCCATAAGGCAAATGTAAAATGTAAAATGTAATATGTAAAATGGAAATGGCAACGTGGGTCCAAAACAACAAAAGAAACAGAAATAAATAAATTAATTAAACTAATAACGTAAAACCCAATAGCCCATGTGGGTCGTCGATGAATCTAACTCTGTGTTTTCTGTTTTCCAGTTTTGTTAGACGCCGAATAAAATGTTTTAGAAGAAATGGGGGACTTAAATTGGTGAAATGCCGAGAAAAAAAATTTCAGCCAAAATGTTGTCTTTGTATCATTTTGACCCAATTTTGGGGCGAAAAGAATAGGGAAAATAGCAAAATCAACCCTATTCTTTATTTTCAGTGGTTATAGCAGCAGCTAGCATTGAATTATATGATCAGAGGCAGGATATGCAAGACACAAAGTTACACTAATCAGTCTGTTACTTTTCATGTTCCACACTGTCCACTCCAAAGCACTTGTGTATAAGCCAAATGATCAACTATTGACTAGGGAATAAGCGTTGTTCAGTTCGTTTCACACTATTCTGTTTATAGACCTTATCTTGCCGACCTGGTGGTCTTTAATCTCTGTGTTTACAGTGTGACTTAAAATCCAATTGGAAAAACCATGGCTCGCCTTTTTTTCTCTCGTTAGTCTCACCATTGTTAGCTCGTAGACGGCTTTAACTAAACAACGGATCTGGATATCCAATCTTTTTTCATTTTATCACCGTCATTGTGTTCCATCATTTATGAATGGTGTTGATATGCATCACATGACGTCAGTGTTTCTTCGCTGTTGGTAAAAACTGGAAAGTAACTGCGAGGGGATCTAGAGGATATCATAAAACGTGTAGTTCTCACACATAGGTGCTTACTCCACATTCTTCGAGAACAGTTAATATGACCTACTTTGTGCACAAAAGAACATGCAATATTAGATGGCAGAAAGAGATTGTCGATTCCGGGTTCAAAGGCATGACTCTAGATAAGGTAAAAATAGTGGTTGAACCACTATCCTCGGGATTACTTTTTCTTTCGTTTGTGATACGATCTGATAAGGTTATCTTTACTCAGACCAACTAAAATATAAATAGCACTGAGACATCCTTTGAATTTCATCTTTGTGCTTCAATTACATTCTCAACCGCTATCGAATACCGAATATACATTCCACCGAACACTTTTATTTTAAAAATGTCTCAATCAATAGATTCATTATCCTATGATCAGCTACCACCAGAATACACCCCCGATGACACTCCTCTCCTGGAACAGCCAACCTCCAATAGATCCCTGAAAAGCCATTCAAAACCCAAATTGGTTGGTCAGACTTACAGAGAAAGAACACCAGTATATGGCTACCTGTATGGACCTAGCCCTGCTTACACTGCTAGTATTTTGGTTGTCGGTGATACTGGTGTTGGAAAAGCTTCCTTGATGTGGTCCTACAAATATAGGAAGCCATCTACTTGCCGCAATTGTCCAGAATACAAAGAATTTTCCTTAGAAAGGAAGAGACCTGATGATGTGCCATTCCTTTTGAAAGTACTGCATGAAGGTGGAGATGTGGAAGATCTTGCTAAAAGAGATGTGGAAACCAAGCCATACGATATTGTCTTGCTCTGTTTTGCAATAGATAACGTTGAAAGTTTGCTCAATGTTCGAGATAAATGGTTTCCCCAGTTGAAACAACAGATGGGTTCAGAAGAGATACCCATTATATTAGTAGGCACGAAAGTCGATTTGGCGACTTCCATACCACTTCAATTCGTTGACGAAATTTGCGAACACATAGGAGCAATCGAGTATAAAGAGTGCTCAGCAAAAAACGACTATGATGTTCAATGTCTTTTCCATTTTACCATCCACCGGTTACATGATAGAAAATACATGGATATAACAAGCGGTACTTCTTTTGATGATAAATACCGGAAGGAAGAGGGGTCTCAGGACTGGAAAGCTGTGACCGATGAAAAATCAACACATAAGGCGGGACAAACTGATCAATCGACCAATAAAGAGAAGAAAAAGAAGAAGAAAAACAGTGATTGTGTTGTGATGTAAGTGGACTAAGCTAAAGTCTATAGTATGCAGCCTGCAGAGTAGATTATGTCTGTTTTGAGAATTTGAATATATGGTTATCTAGCAAGAGGAATTGTATCACGCCATATACTTATTCGAGTATAACCAATCTGTAACAGAAAAGCATGTGGGTTCTACTTCTCGTATAAAATTGCGAAGTTACAATGCCAAGACAAAATTAAGGCACAGATTAACAAAATGGTTTTGTACTACTTTTAACCATTTAGGGGAAAAGGTGACTACTTTCTTTAAATCCGAACATTTGGTGCGATATTGTAAGTTTTATGACGTAGGATGGTTTGTGGAGTTATTCAGGTTGGGGGAAAGTGTTTTCATTGGGTGTCATACCCTTTTCAAAGAAATCGTGTTTCACTAACTTTGTACACTAACAATGGCCCTCTGGTTTCAAGGGAATCATATCGGATATAAAACTATCAACATTGTCTCAGTTTTGTCACTTCAGCCCGTCTCTTGCCGATGAGTCTTGCCGAAAAGTCTTTCTTCCTTGTTATTCTTTTGTGTTTGTAGGAATGACTTGTTTGGTTCGTAAATCTGATCCTCGTAGACGGCTTTAGTCAACTATGAACCTGCATGCTCAACCAGTCTTTATCCCCGTCATTGTCTCTAGCTTTGGTGTCAATGGTGTCCTCACATAGCATACGACGTCAGTTGATTCCCTGGATATGACTAATTAGGCTTGCGTATACTTGGAAATCGGAAAGTCACCGGGAAAGAACGTAGTTTTGATGAGAAGTAGTGGATATTTCAAAGAGTCATACTTTTACCCTCTCAAACACGCATTATGCCGAATTGTTATCATTGGTTACTTTGTGCACATGATAAGATCCTCAAAGAGATAGCATTGGCTTCGGGATTGGAATTATCGTATCAAAAGTGATAACATCGGGGACAGCATTTGTTAACTGCAGATAGCTTACACAAAAGAGAGGTTTGAAATAAATACTGAGGTAACTTCTCCCAAGTTTACTAATTGACCATCTTTGCTTAATTTTTGCTAACCAAATATATTGAAAAGCACCAAAAGTCTGACAGAGCAGTTACTTTTTCAATGTCTTTTTCAGCCGATGCATTACACACTGATGAGCCGCCTCCAGTCTACAGCGCTTGTGACACAACTCAACTAGAACCACAAGAACAACAAAGCCACAAGGCATCCTCACAAACACAGTCCACGCCACAAATTATCACAAGCGAAGAGAAGGTGCTGCCGCATTATCATAAAGTAATAGATACAAGAAAGACAGCTTACACTGCTAGGATATTTATTGCTGGTGATGTTGGAACTGGAAAGGCATGTTTGATGTGGACTTATAAAAACGAGAAAATGACCCCACAACGTGAATGTCCACTTGAAGACAACTACTACATGAAGATGAAAGGACCTTTTAGTATGCCCTTTCTTTTAAAAATTCTGCATGCTAGTGTTAGGGGAGACGTGGAAGAACTTTGTCTGAGACAACTGCTTTCCATTTCCGAAGACATTGTCTTACTATGTTTTGCAATGGATAACGTTGAGAGCTTGTTAAGTATTAGAGATAAATGGTATGCCATGATGAAAAGGCTGGTTTATTCAAGGAAAGTCCCCATTATACTAGTAGGAACAAAAGGTGATTTAAAGAGTCACATGCTGCCAAATATTCCACAACAAATTGCCAGAGAGATTGGTGCAATTGCATACATTCAAAGTTCAACTAGGGACATCCTTAGTGTCCAGAATGTGTTCAATTTTGCCCTTCAGCATTTACATGAACAATGGAATAGTGGATTAAACAAAATCTACGAAAAAAGCCTTGAGCCAGAGTTATTCGAGGAGAGGGTTTTAAAGGAAGAGAATCTGAAAAGTAAGAGTACGAAATTACGTGGCATGCTTGCTGCAAACCCAAATCGGGTCCAGTTTGGTTTTCTGAAACTGAATGTCGTGGAAACGAAAGCAACGGTTGTAATTTCCAGTCAAAATAGTCTATTTTTAAATGAAAAAAGGAGCAAAAAGTAATGCTTCCAAAGGATGGAGAGTTTGTGTGAAACCTCTCTATACGTAGTTTTGATAGTAAGTTTTACTTAAAATATTATCGATATATTATCTAAAGAACGATCCTTGTGAGAACTTCATTCTAACCAACCTTAGGGCGATATAAAACCCTACTTCGATGAATAGGCTTCAGCTTCTTGCTTCCTCACTAGTATGCTCCTCGTTTAAACCATAAAATGCTTTCATTCCCCATGCCTGAAGCAGAAACTTGATTGGGGTACGCTTTTGTATAGGTGGTAAGAATCAATTGGAATTCATGCTCAATCAGGATAGAGATCTACCGTGCATTCTTGGTATATGGTATTGTATCTGAATCCATTAAAAAGAAGCATGCGTATATTAGGATTTTTGACGCCATACATTTTACGAAATTAAATTGAAATGCCGAGAAATTTTTAAAGAACTCCAGAGAATGACTCCAACTGCGGCTTTGTGAGTTCACCCTTTGGGTGGAGCAGTGTATATCCTCTAAATTTGAACAATCGGGCCGATTCTTTGAATTCCATGACGTTATGAGCAATATTATTCTTTGCTTCCCTGCTTGTTTCAATCAAGTCGGCCGTATGGATTTAATTTACACCCAGCTGCTATCGTGAACCCTAAACATTTGGTCATAAAGTCGAAATTGTATAGTACAAAGAGGTCCTCTTGATATTAACGAAGAAGCGTCGGAGATAGCACTATCTACATTGTCTCAAATTATTCCCTTTGTAAACCGTATCTTGCCGATTAGCCGTCCTTGATCTTTGCAATTGGAAAAACCATGACTCGTTTGTCGTTTTTTTTTTCTCAAAAATCTCAGCATTGTTAGTGCACGGCTTTAACTAAACAACGGATCTGGATATCCAATCTTTTTTCGTTTTATCACCGTCATTGTGTTCCATCATTTATGAATGGTGTTGATATGCATCACATGACGTCAGTGTTTCTTCGCTGTTGGTAAAAACTGGAAAGTAACTGCGAGGGCATCTAGAAGATATCATAAAACGTGTAGTTCTCACACATAGGTGCTTACTCCACACTCTTCGAGAACAGTTAACATGACCTACTTTGTGCACAAAAGAACATGCAATATTAGATGGCAGAAAGAGATTGTCGGTTCCGGTTCATTTTCATGACTTGACTTAGATGTACGTTGTATATGTTGTAATGTTGTTGGACACGTGTTTATCGTATCATATGTGATAACAAGGAGGGAAGTGTTAGGTAATTACATCTGGTATGGCTTCCACAAAAAACAGATTTGGTATAAATACTGCTATAAAATCCCTCAATTCGCTACGTAGCCATGGATGTCTAATTCCCATCAGACACGCTCAATGAAAATCATCAATTACGAGAGTACTTCCATCAACGCTATGTCTTCATCAACCCATGCATTACCTGGTTACGATCCTCCTCCACAATATACCGCTTATAATGTTAATCAACAACCACCACCACCACAACAACAACAACAACAACAACAACAACAACAACAACAACAACAACAACAACAACAACAACAACAACAACAACAACAACAACAACAACAACAACAACAACAACAACAACAACAACAAAACAAGCAAACCCAAAATGATTCACCACATTTAGAGTCGTCATTGAAAATCATCACTATCAAACAAAAAATATTGCCAACATACAACAAAGCAATAATGGACAAGAGGCCAGTTCCTTATTCTGCTAAGATATTTGTAGCTGGTGATCTTGGTGTTGGTAAATCAACTTTAATGTGGAATTACAAAACCGATGATAGAATGTTGACGTTTCATGATCACCTGCATTACAATTGGTACAGCATGAAAATGAAAGGGCCTTATAGTTTACCGTTCCTTTTAACCGTTCTGCATGCTAGTACTAAAGGAAACCCTAATCATCTATATGTGGGCTGTCCACTTTTCCTTGATGAAGACATCATCTTACTATGTTTTGCAATGGATAACATTTTAAGTTTGTTCAGTGTCAGGACCAAATGGTATCCAATCTTGAAAGAGCTGATGGGCTCAAAAAATATTCCTATAATTCTTGTGGGTACAAAAGGGGACTTGCCTTCCACTTTGCCCTTTGATCTTGTGACCCAAACTGCTAAAAATATTGGAGCAATTGCTTTTATTCAAACTTCATCATTGCAAATGCTTAATGTCAGTACTGTGTTTGATTATGCTATACACCATTTACATAAGGAATGGAAAACAGGATCAACTATAATTGATGACAAGAGTCTTCGCCCAAACTCCTTCGAGACTGGATTATCCAAAAAAGAAAAATTGCTGAATAATGAAGGACAATCGGCTGGATCACCTGTTGTTAACCAAGAATGGATCCAGTTTGATTCTCTGGACTTGAAGGTCGTGGATGCTGCAAAACCAAAGGTTGTAATTTCCAGTGAAATAAGTATATCCTCCAATCAAAAAATGAGCAGGAAGAAGAAAAAGAATACTTGCGTCATAGTATAGGCTGGATGAGGTATATTTGTTTATATAGTTAATATTTATAACAAAAAAATCAAGAAAAGAATTTAGGAAATTAAATCAATATCAGTTGACGTGAAAATACTTCTCGTATTTAGTGTGCCAAAATGGTTTACAAATATTTTTGCAATACTTTCTGGGTAAAAGTTTTGCAACCAACTTTGCACATGTAAATAGTGTATGACTTCGAGTCGTCTCTGAAGAGCTACCTACAACACTCTACAACTAAATCACCGAGTAAATGCTATATATATTCATTGAGTCGTAAATTATTCTTCTTTTTGGATTGCTAGCTAGATGTTATAGCTTCTTTCAAAGCTCTATCTAACAAATCCTTGGCTATTTGATTGGTCGGTTCGATAGCAAGAGCATTATGTAGGTTTTCAATTGCTTCTACAAACTCGCCTAGCTTCATATGAATAAGACCAATCGTGGAAGCAATATTGGCATCGTTACCATAAATTTCGTGAAATATAGATAGTGCCAGCAACAATTTTCCTTGCTTTCTTAATACATGACCTAAGTTGGTCATTATTGATACCCAGGTTTTTGAACTACGATTGGCAATTTTCAATGCTGCATTTAAATACGATTCAGCCGTGAGTAAGCTATTTTTGTGGAAATAAAGCACCCCCAATTCATTTAATGTTAGCTCACAATGTTGATTAAAATGGTAGGCATTTTTAAGATACTCTTCTGCGAGGTTCAAGTTGCCTAGTTTGACATTAGTGCTACCTAGAAATAACATCGGCAAATGGCTTCCGGGGAATAATCGCGCAGCATATGCATAGGCATTAATTGCCAGCTCGTGTTCTCCTTCTGCGGCAAACGTGTGAGCAAACCCAATCCAAGCTTGGCCAAAATTAGGGTTGAGGATAGTTGCTTTGCTGAAATATTTTCTAGCTTCACTGATTTTATTTATCGAGAGATAGTAGGTTCCAATGGCTAACCAAGTCATTGGGTTAGACGGATGAAACTCAGCTAGTTGATGGCTTTTGTAGAATAGCTTATTTCTGCCACCCAATTCATATAAGCAACTGAGGTAATTAGGTAATACATCAAAATTGTACTGGTCCTTCTCAAGTATCTTTTCACAAAGGTTCAAACATGCATCGAAACTACCTTGAACGTATAATTGATCGGCTTGACTCAACATTAAATCGCAATTATCATTCAAATCATACTCTTCTCTGAGTATATGTTCCGCTTCATTGAATTTGTCCTGATTCAAGTACTTGCTCAACTTGGTAGTGTAAAGTAGTCTTATTAAATCATCGTTACTGTCTACTTCCTGGTAATTCAATTCATTAGTGACAAACTCCCACTCCTCGTTTGGTGTCATGAGATTATTAGAAATTAATTCATCAAATGCCTCATAACATTTAACATCGACTCGCAATGCTTCCTTATAGCACTCCTTGGCTTTTTCAAAATTACTTTGTGCACTGTATATCAAACCACGCAAATAGCACATGGATGCTTCTAGCTTTACCCCTCCATCATCATTTTTCAATCGATCATCTTTGTCAAACGGATTTGTTTCTCCAATTACGTCTAATGCTTCATCCCACAAATCTAATTTTATCAAACTATACCCAGCCAAATATCGACAAATGATACTCTTGGCGAATTCTTCATTGCACAATACCAAGTCTTTACATCGTAGGTAGTTGCCCTGGTTAAAATACACCTGAGCTAGCCAAAATGCATCATTTGAATCATTGGTTATGTCCAATATCTTATCGCTGAGAAACTCTGCTGTTTTGTATTGATGCTGGGTGATTGCATCATGCCTCCAAAGACGCAATCTGTCAATCGGTGTTAACATATCGGTACCTCCAAATGAATCATCGCTTTTACTTTGCACGGTTAGATTATGCGATGATTTATCCAAATTGAAAAACAGTGATTTGTTGGACGAACTTGGTGACTCGAATAACTTTGGTTGTTTTGATGCTGGATTTGGTGGAGTTTTAAAGATCTCCTTTCTTCGATTTAGCATGGGTGAGATGTAGAGGGTGGAATTGTGTTGCTGAGGCGTCTTTTGATTCTGGCCCATTATTGTGTGCTGTTTCAGTAGTTAGGTGTTAATTAGGTGTTGGTGTTGTTGTTGTTGGGCCTCACGTCGCGTAAAATGTCAATTTTGTTGCAAAGTGAATCTCGGTCACTGGAAAGAGAAGAACAGAAAAAAAAAACCTAGACATAAATCATTCCTCATCTCAAAAGCTCATCACCACAGGATACCAAAAAGCCAAATTTGCCATGGTTAAAGTGCAATCAAAAGTTGAAGATCTGGGAAATACCCCTACAGATACTGAGATAAAGTCTGCTCTTAAAGGAAGCAACTCTACAATTAAAAGTTCCATTGCTACCTCCACTACCACCTCATCACGCATTCAATTTAGAATATTTGTAGGGTCCTATGAACACAATTTGCTATGCCTTTCGGTGATTCTAGATCCCTCCAACGTCAAAGAACCTGTATTTCAACCCATTTTCCACTTCCAGGCGCATGCATTGTCAATCAAGTCTATGGATCTTGCCAAGAGGTACTTGGTTACAGGTTCAAACGATGAGCATATTAGAATTTACGACTTGCAAAAGAGAAAGGAACTTGGAACGCTATTGAGCCACCAAGGGACAATTACTGCATTAAGCTTTTCAAAAGAAGCTACCGAAGTTTCAGAATCTGCATCTTCTGGAAGATGGCTTATATCCGGCTCAGAAGATGGGAAAATTATCATATGGAGAACTAAGGATTGGGAGATATTTGCAACATTGAAAGGCCACACAGACAAAATCAATGACTTGAGTATACACCCCAGTGGCCGTGTTGCTATTAGTGTATCTCAAGACAAGACAATAAGGTTATGGAATTTAATGACAGCCAAGAAGGCAGCCGTTTTGAAGATCAAAGGTAAGGATCATTTAGGGCAACTGGGGGAATTTGTCAAATGGAACCATGCCGGTGATTACTTTGTTGTAGGGTTGAACAATCAAATCCTCTTGTACAAGACTTCTACTGCAAAGATTGCCAAAAAGTTCAAGTTTAAAACAACGTTGATGTGTATTGATTTGTTGAAGGTTGATGGCAAGGAATGGTTGGTTATTGGTTTTGGAGACGGAAAAATTGGATTCTACGATTTTGAATCTTTGTTGGAGGATATAGGTGACGATGCTGAAGAGCATGAGAGGAAAGTATTGGATAACAAAGCCGAAGATATCGAGCCGGTATTTTCCCTCAGAGGTCATACCAACCGTATAAAAGGTGTCACTTTTATGCAAAATAAGGAGACTCAAAACATCCCGCTATTGATATCAGTCTCCTCGGATGGAAAAATCGTTGTTTGGAATTTAGAATTGAAGGACCAAGTGGCAGTTTACGATACAGGAGAGAGATTAAATTGTGTTGTTTGTGCACCTGAAAGTGTTGAAAAAGTAGACACAATGAAAAGAAGGTTTGCTTCGTTAGATGAAATGAAGGGAAAAGAAGAACTTGATGTCAGTGAATCAGAATATGAAACTGATGGCGAAGACGTCAAATCAATAATGCAAGGACCAAAGGGAACGAAAAAGAACAAAAACAAGAACAAGAACAAGAACAAAAACAAAAAAAGAAAAGTCAATGTTACTCTTGAGTAAGTATATAGGTCTATCTTAATTCTTTGGTAATCTGGCAACATTTTTATCAAACAATTGTTTAGCTCTAACCCATACCGGAGCGGTGTCCCTCTCAGGTAATTGTAACAAGCTTGGCATCAAATCCTTGGAAAAGAACTCTGAAGCCTCTCTGGGCAACAAACTTGGTAAATGGTCAATCGAACATACCGACAATTTAGGACCCTTTGTGGTTTTGACATCAACAGTTGGTTCGTTAAAAACAGTGGCAATTTCATAAACTGGAATTGGGTTATGTGGATTGGTGGTATCAGCACTAACATCAACAATAGTCGTCAATTTTCTATCATCAACATTCAAACTTTCATAGTTAATAAATGGTGGAATTGGTTGAGACAAGTAAATACAGTTGATGAAAATATTCGAATCAACAATTTCTTTAAATGGACCACCTTTGGCTGTTTCTTGCATATCCCACTTGGCGACATTTTCGTCTGGAATGCCAACTTTTTTGAAAAAATCAATGGCTCCCGACCCACATCTACCTAAAGAACCAATTACTAATGCAGTAGGATATTTACCGCCAGTTTTCTCCAAAGCCTTTTGTAACTCACCCTTGACATAACTTATCAAAGCCTCTTCATTGGGGTAAGGAGTTACTCCAGGCAAACTTTCATCATCACCATGAGTTTGCTTGAATGCCCAATCTAATACACCGATTGCAGCACCAGCAAAACCGGCATAAAATCCAAAAGCAGCAACACGTCTACCTTGATCATTTTCCAAAAACTCCAAGTCGTATAATGTTCCATTACCAGCAGGAAATCTTCCCAATACTGTTTCCCATCCAGCTTGATCTTTGTAACAATGCGCAAACTGAATATGTTCATGCACTAGTGGAAATGTCTCATTTTCAGGCAATTCTTTCAATCCAAAAATTAGACGATCTTTTGGAGCTTGTTTCCATGATCCCTCAGGGACAATCTCAGCACCAACTTCCTCATATTCTTTGATATCAAATGTTGATTGCGAGCTTTTTTCAACGTAGACTTTGAAACCAGCATCAAGCAATTGTTTGGTGGTGGAAGGAGTTAAAGCAGCTCTAGCTTCCAATGGCTTGGTCTCGGCTCTTAAGTGGAGAGTAACTGGTTGGGGACTCATTATAATATGTTTTATTTAATTTGCTAATAATAAAAGAAAGTAGTTGTAGGAATATATTTTTGTAAATTTTTCACTCTTTCTTTTTCCTGATATATTTTTATCAGTTTGGGGAAAAATGGTGTGAGTCAACGCGGCAAAATTTATCAAGAGTGGAAAAGAAGAAAAAAAAAATTAGTCACTTGACGGAAAAAAAGAGTTGGCGACACGACATCGATTTGCAACCAGTGACATTCCTATTCACACATATTATATGCTCTACGTGTTAAAAGATGCATTAGTATCTCACCTCAGTGTATATTCATCTTTAAAAAGTGAATTATCATACAGATGCCAACAGATGAGTCACTTTTTTAGCAAACGTGACCTTGAACGAGAATGCATCCTACAAATGCTCCAACAAAGAAACAACATATTTAATCGATATCTATTTTTTAACAAACTTCACCATTTTAAGATCCCAGCATGAGTCATAAGGCCTCTAATTGACTTTGCTAATTCCCAGTCCACCTTCCAATACATCATCTATATTTTCAAGAGCTTTAATAGCTGCATAATCAAAATTCTCCTGAGTGCTTGCTCCAATATGAGGGGTTAGAACCACATCTTCTCGGTTTATCAAGTCCTTGTTAATGGCCGGCTCATTTTCAAACACATCTAACCCAGCAAACAAGATTTTCCCCAGATTCAACCCTTGCAATAAGGCTTCTTGGTCGATCACTGTACCTCTTCCAATGTTGACAATTCTAAACGGTTTGGAAATCGATTTGATTACTTCTTCATTGATCAAATGATGGGTTTCTGGTGTGGCTGGGCATGCAATCACAATCAAATCAACCTCCCCATGCTTTGCAACATCGAGAATTGTCGATGCATATGTTGCTTCATAGCCCAATTTGTCTTCCTGTTCATTGCTCAACTTTGATCTTTTCACATACGTAATGTTCATTCCTAATTCGTGTAATTTTCTCCCTATCAATTGGCCAATTTGCCCAAATCCAACAATCACAACATTGTGTCCCCTGGGACTCAAATTTGGTCTTTTGTTGATCCTTTCACCAAAATCATAGCCCCTCTCATGGGATAAGTTTATTTTTCCGTCTTTTTGATTGAACTCCTCGTTGGCAAATTTATATCTAATGTCTATAGTGTCGGGGATTTTCAAGAGCTTTTGTCTCTCATACATGTGTAATTGTCTAAACCCAGTGATCGTAAAATAAACTACCAATTCAGACACCGGTTCAGCTGCTCCATCACTAGGAACATTCGTCATTGCAATATTTCTTTGTGCTAGCTCATGTGCATCTTGGTGATCATACCCGACTGAGCAAAAGGCCAAGACTTTCAAACTAGATGGTGCATATTCAATAACCGTCCTGAAGCCACCAATTGGAACAAACCCAAGCCAGGCTCCATAGATAGCGCTGATGTGGGAAAACTTTGTTTTTAAGTCTTCGACAAATTGCCCCCTCGTAGTCATTTTGTACTCGAGACATTCATACTTGGCCTGAAATCTTTTGAACTCTGGAAGTGAATGGTTCAAGTCACCAATGAAAAGAACTTGTTGCTTGGTCATGAGGGTGCAGTTTAGGGTCTGTCTCGGTGTAAATGTCTAGGGCCGGCTACTTTGTCGAATTTTGTTTTTCTTTCACTAGGGTAAACCCAATTCCGATAAATCGTGTTGAAAATTAAAATTATTTTTGTACCACAGTTATGCGGCTCGATCTCTGTCTTCCAAAAACACTGTCCTGTAGTGAAGCTAAACACTGGCTTGTAGTCATAGGTGAGCAGTGGTAAGTTTATCATTCAATCCCCAATAATACCATATCAAACACTCTAAGCTTTAAACTAACCTTAACCAACAGAGACGTGCCATTAGACTCAACTTCAGAGACACATACTTTGCGGGATACGGCTCGAAAAAAAAACATTACTCGTTTATAATTCCTCCGAATCAAACACCAATCCTCCGTTCACACCACCCTATTTGGTCTACCTACTACTATACCTACAGAGGATGGATAACTTACTTGCCGCCGTGGAGTTCCCTGTTTCAATCAACAACCAGCAAAAGGTGGAACAAATAATACACTATGCGTCCATAGCCAATGTAATTGTTTCACTTGCTATCGGTATTGCCACCAATTCATTGCGATACTTGTCTTACGCTTTTGGCATTCAGTTCATTGCATTGATTTTGATAGTCGCACCTAATTTCTGGTTCAATAGTGCTCCGCCAATTCAATGGTTGAATATCAAGTATTGAAACTTTGTTGGGCTTATATAAAATCGGTACAAAAAAATTTCTATTTAATCGGTGGGATATATAAATAGTTGCTATAGATTCTCAGAATACAACATCCCCAAAATTTATCGAAAAATTACCAATCACATTGTAGCAGGCTCTTTACCACAGACAATGACAGACTATTCAAAATCGGAACACTTATTTCTCGGGTTCGACTTATCCACCCAGCAACTAAAGATTATCATCACCAACGAGCATTTGGACCCATTGCAAACCTATAATGTCGAATTTGATTCGCAATTTAAAGACAAGTATGGTATTCATAAAGGGGTCATCACTGGAGACGAAGGTGAGATCGTCAGTCCAGTGGCAATGTGGTTGGATGCAATTGATTACCTTTTCACGCAAATGAAGAACGACGGATTTCCATTTGAGAAGGTTGCTGGTATCAGTGGTTCAGGTCAACAACACGGGTCGGTCTATTGGTCCCAAGAGGCCAACAATATATTGGAAAAATTGAATGCAGACTCGGATTTGAGCAGCCAACTTAAAGATGCCTTCTCATGGGAAATGTCACCCAACTGGCAGGATCACTCAACCATTCCCGAGGCCAAGGCATTTCATAATGCTGTGGGTAAAGAAAACTTGGCCAAGATTACTGGGTCAAGAGCTCATTTGAGATTCACTGGGTTGCAGATACGTAAGTTTATCACTAGATCTCACGGTGAGGAGTATAAATCCACATCAAGGATCTCGTTGGTGAGCTCTTTTGTCACGAGCATTTTGTTGGGACATATTACTGAATTAGAGCAAAGTGATGCTTGTGGAATGAATGTTTACGATATCAACAAGGCCGATTACAGCGATGAATTGCTTGCTGTGGCTGCCGGTGTTCACACAAAAATTGACGGTGTAGCAAAGGATGATCCAAAATATAAGCAATCAATCGATAATTTGAAGGAGAAGTTAGGGCCAATTAAACCAATCACCTATGAAGCTTCCGGCTCTATTGCAAACTACTTTGTAAAGAGATACGGCTTTTCAAAAAATTGCAATATTTACTCATTCACAGGTGACAATTTGGCAACAATTTTGTCATTGCCTTTGCAACCAAACGATTGTTTGATTTCATTGGGAACTTCCACAACTGTTTTGTTGATTACTGAAAACTATCAACCATCGTCACAATACCATTTATTTAAGCATCCAACAATGCCAAAACATTACATGGGGATGATTTGCTATTCCAATGGAGCACTCGCTAGAGAAAAAGCCAGAGACGAAATTAACAAGAAACACCACGTTGAAGATCACAAATCTTGGGACAAGTTTGATGAAATTTTAGATGAAAGTACCGACTTTGATGGCAAATTAGGAATTTACTTTCCAATTGGTGAAATTGTACCACAAGCACCAGCACAAACAGTTCGAGCTGTATTGAATAAAAAATCAGATCAAGAGTACGAAGTAGTTGCTTGTGATTTAGGTAGCAACGGGTTTGACGTTGATGATGACGCATTGGCAATTGTTGAAAGTCAAACTTTGAGTTGCAGATTACGGGCTGGTCCTATGTTGAGTAAATCTGGCTACCGGGAAGATGATGCTAAGGGAAGGGGCAACTCAGATAAAGCCTCCAAAGCAAAAGAGTTGTACCAACAGGTGACTAAGAGGTTTGGAAAGTTGTATACCGATGGCAAAGAGCAAAATGTGGAAACATTAACCGCACGTCCAAATAAATGTTACTACGCAGGTGGTGCTTCAAACAACCTTAGTATCATTCATAAAATGGGACAAATATTTGGACCAACTAATGGTAACTACAAGGTGGAGATTCCCAATGCTTGTGCTTTAGGAGGTGCATACAAAGCTAGTTGGAGTTATGAGTGCGAACAAAAGAAGGAGTTTATCGGATACGACGAGTATATTAAAAAGTTGTTTGACACTGATACTGAGTTAGGTGGATTCAAGGTTGACGATAAGTGGTTGGAATATTTCGATGGAGTTGGAATGTTGGCAAAAATGGAGGAGAAGTTGTTGAAAATGGAATAATAGAGATAGTTATAGATACACGTTGTATAGAGTAGAAACAATATGCTTGCCTCGGGCAAGTTATTTGGTACTCACGGGACTGAAAATGAACTATAAAATTTGACAACTTCTCTCCCCTGTTCTAGGCAATTCCACACTGTAATTTCAGTATTCAATTTACAAATCTGTATCAGACTTTGATCAGACACTCATTGGAGCACAAAAGCACTTTTGAGATGATTACGATATTTGCCATGGCAGCCAAAGTGATGACGAATACAATCTTGAGTGTAAATGTACATGCAAGACAAAGTTGGGAGTGGCTTTTGGCTACCCATGTTCAAAGCAAAAATTCTGTCATTTTTTGAAACGAGGTTTCTTCGTGTGTTGTCATTAGATATATACTTCTAAAACTGGAATCGGAATTCCTTAGATTAGTCGAGTTGAGTCTATGTCTTGACGGTATTTTTCGCAAAATTTTACGAACTTTGTCCCATTCCAACGTACGACAGCTCTTGATTGCTACAAGCTACAACGCCATTGAAGTAGCCGGTATCTTTGGCCAACTTGTTCCTCACTTTCCCAATGCTAATATAAACTGGTAGTACCAGCAAATAAATCCACTGGGTCACGGTGGAGTATCACACACTGGTAGATTTGTATTAATTCCTACATTGTCCCCTGGGACTATCAGTTATCATTGGCCTGTGAAGCGGAGTTTACGTACCTTGGAAGAACTTAACAAAGTAATCAAAAAACTTGATTGGAACCGTAGAATCCCCATCTTTTTCCAAAAAGTGTATCTGCAAGCAGAACTCCCAATGATTAGTTACTTCGTTTGAAAAGTATCTCGCAATAAAATGCAGTGAGTTTTTGTGTCAAATCACGCAAACTTTACCCTTTGTTTTACGTCCCACTTAACTACTTTAACGTGAGACATTACTATGAAACCCAGTACATTCAAGAGTTGGTGATGAAGGATAAAGCTGTTTGTCCTTTTACTTATCCCGTTATGAATGCAGACTTCCCACGGTTAAAATTTCTCGAATTCCATATAAAAGGAAACGAATTTGATACACTTTTCAGCAACTTTTCACATCCCCAAGTGCATCTGTTAATCGTTACTTCAGATAAAGCCACGTTGAGTATTGCGAGAATCATTGGCAAGATTGGGTTCAGCTTTCCTAAAACAAGCATCAATTGAGGGAGGATGGGCTAACTCGCAGATGACCACATATTGTATCCATCACTCTTGGAGATGGACCAAATATACTTCAAAAATATGCCTTTGTAAATCCAACTATGCCCAGTTGGTCATGTTGGTTTTTATTGGTTTCCAATTCTGCGAAGGCTCAAAACCATTGCTGAAGAATTTAATCTTGAAATGGTTTCTTGTGATTCTTCAAAAGTGTCTCCTGTCATTTTCGAAAAGACCTTTTCGAATGTAGAGTTGATAACGTTGTCGTGGATAGAATACTTCGAATGATGTTACAATTTAAAAGGGGATCTTTACCTCTGTACTCTTGACATTTGATTCAATCAAATTTCTCAAACCAATTTTCTACTGGTAAATAGAAAATCATTCTCCTTGAATTAGCTTCAAGTTTCTCCATATACGTGATAAACAGAGTTTTGGCAGTCACAAACTAAGCCGCACTCTATGCGGTTCTACTTTTGTACCCAATAGATTTCTCCATATTGAACGATTACTAAAAACTAAGTGTGACTCATTCGCGGCTAATTTGAAAAGAAAAAAAAAAATATCTTTGATCCTGCATACTAACCCACATTCGATAAGAGAAAAAAAAGTACAGAGAGGGGGACCTTTATAACGGGAAAAAAATATTGCAGAACCAAAAATTTTTCACCTTAGAACAACATATAGCCCTTCTACATTTCATCCGTCATGAGGCTACAATTCCACCGTTTTATATCCTCATCAACCCCCTTACTCCGAGGAAATGGTCAGAATTTGACTGAAAAAATTGTTCAAAAATATGCCGTCAATTTACCACCTCAGAAACTAGTTCACACTGGTGATTATGTCACCATCAAACCAGCACATTGTATGTCGCATGATAATTCGTGGCCCGTAGCTACTAAATTCATGGGTTTAGGAGCGAAAAAGGTCAAAGATAACCGACAAATTGTTTGTACATTGGATCATGATGTTCAAAATAAGACGGAAAAGAATTTGACCAAGTATGCCAATATTGAACGGTTTGCCAAGGAGCAAGGGATTGATTTCTACCCTGCTGGAAGAGGTATTGGCCATCAGATCATGATTGAAGAAGGGTATGCATTTCCGTTGAATTTGACGGTTGCTTCCGACTCGCACAGTAATACGTATGGAGGTATTGGATCTTTGGGTACGCCCATTGTTCGTACTGATGCCGCTAGTATTTGGGCTACGGGTCAAACGTGGTGGCAAATCCCACCGGTGGCTAAAGTCGAGTTGAAGGGACAGTTGCAGAAGGGAGTCACTGGAAAAGATATAATTGTTGCATTGTGTGGTGTTTTCAATAACGATGAAGTATTGAATCATGCGATTGAATTTGTCGGCGATGGGGTAGAGAACTTGTCTATTGATTATCGTTTGACCATTGCCAATATGACTACTGAATGGGGGGCATTGAGTGGACTTTTCCCCATTGACGATAAATTGGTTGAGTTTTACGAAGGAAGATTGAGCAAACTAGGTGCAAATCATCCAAGAATTAACAAAGAAACTATTGAGAATTTGAAGCGTCACAGTTTGAAGAGTGATGATGATGCAAAGTATGCTAAACATTTGGTCATTGATTTGAATACGTTATCGCCATACGTGTCTGGGCCTAATTCGGTCAAGGTTTCTAATCCATTATCGAAATTATCTCAAGAAAACATCCCTATTAACAAAGCATATTTGGTATCATGTACCAATTCGCGATTGTCGGATATCCAAGCAGCTGCTGATGTCTTGAAGGGACATAAAGTGCACCCCGATGTTGAGTTTTACGTTGCTGCTGCATCCTCCTTGGTCCAAAAAGATGCAGAGGCAGCGGGTGCGTGGCAAACTATTATTGACGCAGGTGCTAAACCATTGCCAGCTGGGTGTGGTCCATGTATTGGATTAGGAACTGGGTTATTAAAGGAGGGTGAAGTTGGAATCAGTGCTACTAATCGTAATTTCAAAGGTAGAATGGGGTCTAAAGATGCATTGGCTTATTTGGCTTCACCAGAAGTTGTTGCTGCTTCAGCTGTATTGGGTAAAATTGGTGCTCCGGAGGAAATCAATGGTAAGTCAGTCAACCCATCACCAGAGATTGTTAAAAGTATCGATCTTCCAAAAAGCACATCAGGAGCAGATATTGCTGAAGAGCCATTTAGTGAACAAGACGACGAGGCTGCTGCTGCCGGTGGATCAGTGGAAGTCTTACCAGGATTCCCCAAGTCTATCCAAGGTGAACTTATATTATGTAATGCCGACAATATCAACACCGACGGAATCTACCCCGGTAAGTACACTTACCAAGACGATATCTCGCGTGAACAGATGGCTCAAGTATGCATGGAGAACTACGACCCTGATTTCAACACTAAGACCAAATCCGATGACATTATAATCAGTGGATACAACTTCGGTACCGGTTCGTCGCGTGAACAAGCTGCTACATGTATTTTGGCAAGAGGGATGAAGTTGGTTGTTGCTGGATCGTTTGGTAATATTTTCAGTCGAAATTCCATCAACAATGCATTGTTGACGTTGGAAATCCCCGATTTGATTGAAAAGTTGCGTGTCAAATATGCTGGCAACAGTGAGTTGACGATTCGTACTGGTTGGTTTTTGAAGTGGGATGTGACTAAGGCGTTGGTGACGGTGGCTGATTTGGAAGGAGAGGTGATTTTGCAACAGAAAGTGGGCGAATTGGGTACTAATTTACAGGACATTATTGTTAAAGGTGGATTGGAAGGCTGGGTTAAGTCGGAATTGCAAAAGGAGGGACAATTGTAGAGTCTGTTGTGGGAGAGAGAGAGACTTTATTACTTTAGAGAATAGAGGAAAGTTTTGCATACAATGTATAGTTTGTGTTAATCACTATTAATGTTATTTATTTTTAGACTATTGATTAGTGTAGAGGAGAAGAGGTAGCGGCTGTACGTAAGGATATTACTTAGTGGTTGGCAGAGTTGTCTACTCTGTTCTTTCTTTAATTGAGGACAAGAGTATTTTCGGGATTGTTAGCCCAAATAGAAAAGGGGGAGTCTCTCGGATGAGGCACTGCTGTCAAAGGTTTGTACTTTTTTCTTCGCACCGTAATATTGTATAGCGGTAGAAGACGAAAAAGATAGAGAGAATAAGACAATAAGCAGTTGAGGATGGTATACTCTATATGTATTACATAAGGGACTTTCTTCTACATTGTTCTCTTGCAACGGTTTTATCCTTCTATTCTTTTTTTTCGGTTTGTTGTGCCGTTTAAAACGTGGATATAAAAAATTTCATTATTTTGCGTCTATCTGTGTAATTGAATCTAGACTTTCTGAGGAGGAGGAGGGACAGGGGGGAGGGTAGCCTGCATACGAATGAATAAAGAATAAAACTAAATAAGTCAGACAACAATGAAATTAAAACAATTTTCCGTTTTCCTCCTTCCTTACTGTTTCTTTCTTTTCGGTCTCTTCCTTCCAGTTGATATACATTGAGGTAATAAAAATAAGGGAAAAAGGAAGTAGGGAAGTAAGGGAGGGGCTTGTTCGTTTAAGAAAAATTTAAAGTTTTCTCAAACGGTTTTTTTATTTGTCTTAAAACGGTTTTTAATTTCTTTTTTTATATTATTTTTTTCAGTGTCATAAAATTGATAGACATAGGGGTGAGGGAGACACATTGACCAAATATCCACTTATAATAAGACACTTATCCTTCTGTGAAGTGATTCTAATTTTCCTAATAGAAGAAGACAGCATCGTGTACTTTTGGCGTATAGGAGAGGAAATTTTGCCTTTGTCGTGTCCTCTTTTATTGTCCCAAATAGAATTTTTATTTTTATTTTTTATTTTTTGGACACTGCCCCACTACCCAAATGCTACCCACTGCCCCCTCCTTTCCTATTTAGGTTAAGTAACAATGGAACCATTGTTCTTCTTTTGGCAAGTCCGGTTTGGGATAAACGACAGCACTGGTAAAAAGTCTAACCGTTGCAATTTTTTCTTTTCATTTTCCTTAAAACAATGGAGGAATTAAGAAAAAAGGGATCGCCGTACAATAATATTGTAGCAAGTAGTTGAAAAGAGACTGATATAGAATGGAACCAACTGGACAACACTTGTTGCTTAGTTAGTTCGTGGGTGAAATGTGTGTAATGGGCTATGACCATGATAATGAAACAAATAAATGAATGAAGAAGAGAATTGGAATGTGTGGATAGAGTAAGTGTGTATGTATAGTATTAATTTAGATTAAGGATTTGCTATTGTATGCGAAGAAGAATAATAATTGGTATTGTATCAAAGTTGATAAAAGTTTTCCAAGGAGAAACGGTGGGTTTGAAGAATAATAATAAGTCTGATTACTATCGTCTAAATAAAGTGCTAATTTCAATTCCAGAATCGTTTTGTTCGCATATTCCAGGAGACTGGAACTAGTTTTCTTCCTTTCATCTATTACGTTGTGGCATTTGACGTCATTTTCTCTGTTGCTCCAACTGACCTAGCATAGCAAAGGAGTAAGTGAAGAATAGCAATAGAGAAAGCACAGTGTAAAGACGTTTCTTAATAAACAGAGATATTTTCGTCTATTCATTTATCCTATATAATTGCTATTATGAACACTTTTACACTCTTCTTTTTTAGCAAATTGACATATATCGGAGGAGGGGGAGTGTGTGAGGTTCTTCGTGTGTTTCTATTGCATTGGCATGTTTGTTAAGTACTTATGTATGTATTGTGGGATAAACCTGAAAGAGAGTATTGTGTAGTTTATTGTGATTGCTAAAAGTCTATTGCGAAATGTGTCACGTGCTCTGGTGTTTGTGCAATAATATTTTAAAAAGTGAATGTGACATTTTATATTTAGCTAAATGCCGTCTTTGTGTTATGTTACATATACATCCTGTATATAATTTATTTATTGAATTTTCCGTTACCTTTTGTGTCATTTGGAATTGCTGTTTTGTTTACTTGTTTCGTATGCAGGATAACCCACTTTTATTTTTAATATGTACACACATTTTACTATAAGTACCACAGAGTAATATAGTATGTAAACACTAGTGTAGTTTTGTATATATATATATCACCAAACATTCCCCCAACTGATCTATAAACACATTTCTAATATTCCCTTCCCTTAACCAAATCTATTTAATCAGTTACTTATTCCTTCTACTACTATTACTACTACACATCAATCAATCAATCATCAAATACCGCCACTACTATTACACTGCTACAACTTCAACAAAAACTACTTACATCAGAAAACACACATAAAACACAATGTCAATAATTAGTAATTACATAACACCAAATCAAAACACCAATCAATTGCCAACTACATCCACAACCACAGTCAAAGATGATTCCTTGGTTGAAGAAGCTTACAACATGTTAGATACACTACTATTTTACTTGATGAATCTTATGTTGTTTGCTTTGTTATTTACTGATTTAATTATGGATTTTGTTAATAATTGTATTTATGGGTATAACATCATTACTTGTTCTTTTAAACACAAGTTGTATAATAACATTAACTAACTATAATACACACAATACACACGAGTAATACACAGATAAATATACACATGTAGTACCTTCATAGTATTACTGACTTACTGACTTACTGACTTCCTTAGTATGCAGGTATATTGATCCTTTCTTCCTATTACTAGCCCTTCTTACTCTCCCTTTTGAAAGGACTTCACTTCTCAATCTAATCTAACTGTTTGGTATGCTGCTAAGTTTTGTTTTGCATAAATTAACAGTTCTCGGACTTCGATTTAAAAGAATGAAAAAAAAAAAAAAAAAAAAACATCTTCAATTTTAATGCGGAGAAATTTGATGAATGTTGCATTTGACACAAACAAAAACAAATAAACAAAACAACACAGACAACACAGACAAAACAGACAACAAGGACAAACTAAACACCAAATAAAGTAACTAATAAGAGAAGAGAAGAGAAATGATGTTGGCTTAGACCAAGTACTAAATTATACAAAGCTACGAATGACTATTATGCTACTACTGTCTTGGTACTTTACTATTGGAAGTAATACATAAATATATATACACCCCACACCTCATAACCACAGACTACACTAAACCAAACAACTACAAACTAAACTTATAACAAAGCAGTTGTTACATGTAACATCATCAATCATTTCATATACAATTATATATACATATACATACACGTATTCTTCTCTCTTTCTGTGTATATTCTTAAAGGTCATTTGAACTCCGCCTAAGTAATTACTAATGTCTGTTGATTGTTCTTTGGTTACACAAGCATAATAGTTATATACAGGACATCATTCATACCCCACAATTTTTTATATTTCATTTATTTCATCATCTCTTCTCTTATAACATTAACAGACTAACACTTTCTAATAAAGTTGTTTATTTCTTTAATTCCTAACCCCTCTTTTCTATACCCCACCATCCTCAACTACAAACCCTAACCATAATCGTAAACACTACTATTAAAACAGCAAATAGCAACAGTATTTGTATTTACAAAAGTATCAACTTACAAATAGTAAAGACAGAGCACATTTAGTTACCTTTTTTAGTATTAGCCCACGCTAAATCAAAACAAACAACGAAGCAGGAAGAAACGTTTTGTACAAATAATATTTTAGTCACTCATCATCATCTTCATCGGATTTGTACCCTGTGAGAAAGAGTCATACGCAATACATATTACTGGCTGCAGAACGAAGCACCGAATAGCAGGAAAAGTTAAGCTTTCAACTAATTCCCGAAAACAGTAAGCATGGAGACGACTTCTTAGATAAAAATATATTTTTGTAGACCCCTCCTTTTCTCTGTTCCTCTATACACGTATACTTTACCCCCAAACATAAGAAAGTAAACTAGCAGCTGGTCAGCTATTATTTCTTCCTACCTTTAAATGTCTAGTGACTCTTAGACTAAGTATACTAACCAAACAGCACTTACTAAATGATGTCATTCACCACTTGTTGAAATTGGTTAATGATGACACATTAACATCTCCACTTACACTTGAAATAGCAATATTCAAAGCAAAACCCACAAACACGCAGTACTTTTGTAACTGAGCAAATGTGGAGTTCCGTAACCGTTTCATCTTATTCCTTATTCTTTTGTTCCTGTTCCGGTATCGGTATCGGCTCTAAAATAGTCTTGCTGAAAAGCTGGCGCTTATAAACTACTTCGTTTGTGGTTTTGCGTTCATTGGGTTTTCTTGTTCTTTCTTTTGGAGTAAAAACGTTTGATACTAGAGCAACAATACAAATCCCAAACCCCATAGACTGGTGTGTTTTTGTTGTATTTTTTTTTCTCTTGCATACATTGTGAGAGGAGTGTTTTAACATCCTCTGCTTCTATGGAATAGCATATCTCTTACAATTGTTTATTGTTGTTGCAGTTGTATGTTGATTTTCTCTTCTCTTTTTGTCGCATTCTTGCAACCTTCTCATCCTGCAAATCTTGCCATCAAAAACATTGCCATCAATCAGTTGCATACATTTGCTTTGCGTATGGATATCCTTATCATAAGCTGCTGAAAACGAGCCAAAAAATTTGCAACAAGCATTGTTAATTTCATTGAACAGTTGACTTTAATGATGTAAGACGCTAGAAAGACATTGTAGGTAAACTCATTACCAAGCATATTTACAAGACGACCATGAGAGTTGAAGAGAATATTCGTACACAAGTACAATTACAATCTGCTGTTTCTTTAGTATGTGAAAGATTAGTTGAAATAGAAGAAGAAGGGTCGTTCTATGAAATTTATGTATCTTTTGCAACTAACTAGAAGATAGACCGCTAATATTTCGCAACAAAAGAGGTATTGAAGATTTTGCAGATTCTCTGTAGTATTCCAGATTTGTTGTTCTACCTCCCTTACCTCGTTCATGCATCTCTTCAAACTCGCCGATTTATTTTGGTTAGTTCTTAGCAATGTGTTTGAGTGAAGTTATGGAACATTTATATTGATATGGGCTCCTCTAGTTCTTAGTACGGCTCTTTGCCTCTCTTTCTCTCTCTCTCTCTCTCGCGCGCGCGCACGGTTATCAGATGTCTAATTCTTACCAAATTACATCAATACATTGCCCCCTCACCCCAATTAAACCCTTAATGCCTTATGAAAACGTTACTAACTCCCTACTGTGTTGCTTTTAGCGCATATTTCCATATTAGGCAAATGAGCCACAATAAACAAAAAGATAACAGCCACCGCGAATACTTAACGTTAGTGGAAATTTCATCAACAAAAAAAATTCAAATCTCTTCTTAATCCTCGCGATGGGTTGACGTTAGTGGATTCACAAAAAGGAGAAAGGGAAAAGGATGGATTGTGCCAGCACACCAACAATCAACAACAGAAAAAAAAAAACTGAATGAACGGCACTGGAAGGATGAAACGCCTCCGCACCACATTGTTGTTGTTGTTGTTGTGAAGTGAGAGAATCATCTATATAAGATAGATAAATCAGACTATTCAACCCACGTTGCTAGATATACAAACACGTGTTTCAACATCAAAGATGTCACCTACACTGATGCCAACCACTGATCAAGAATACAAATTGGTCCACTTGACCGACCCGCAAATTATTGATTTTACTAGATGGCAAAACAGTCTTGCTTGGAAAGGAGCTTTATCACAAAAGGATTACGTTTTGAGAGAATACGTCTTGAGCAAATCGAAAGTGGCATCTTCGGGAAATAACAAGTTGTATGTATTCATGTTACAGTCGACAGTTGATGATGAGCCACTTTGTTCAATTGAGATGCTCGTGCGTGATAGTTTAAAATTCGAATTTGACGATAAAGAGCGTCAACTGGTAAAGAAATCTGACATTTTGAGTGGATGCATTGGTGGTGTTTTCACATACCCCCAACACCGAGGTAAAGGGTACGCCCGAGTTATGGTTGATAAATTGGTAGAGTTGGCCAAGAGGGAGATTGTAGGCAGTGATGGTTTTACTTTTTTGTATTCGGAGATTGGCGAGTACTATGTCAAGAATGGATTCAAATCATTTCCCGTTGACTTGATCAATGTTTCATTGAAGGATAAAGAGGTGAATGAATTGCAGTCACCACCACAAGTCCACTACGAATTAATTGAATATCATCAGTTTCACGATTTAATGGATAAATATAGAGCCCATTTTGAAAATGAAATGATTGCCAAAGTCAAAAAGGACCACAAGACTCGTGTTGCTATCAAACCTACGTCGGATCCTATCGATTGGTTTCATTTGCGAGCCAAATTCATCACCTACAAGTTGTTTCACGAACATCAAGACGAACCTGTCATTGATTTCAATAAAGAGTATGAAACAATCAAGGATAGCTTGATCCACGAGCCGAAAATATTTGGATTGAAAATTACTCGTAATGAAGGAGGTGCCGAATCAAGTGGAACCCTGGTCATTGGGTTTATAATTTGGACAATAGACTGGTCGGAAACAGGAGACGAGACCCAAGCTACTATATTGAAAGCAGTGGCTTTTGACGGCCAAGACCAAACCGTGATTGATTTAATCAATTTAGCCATCCACCAACTCACACACCATCCAGTGCTTGATAAACCTACTGCCAATGTCAAGATTTGGGAATCGGAAATTAGTGAAGGTGTTAAGCAACAGCTTGTTGGGACGTGGCTGGCGGAAACTGGGGTTGACAATTCGTCACGGTCGGCAATTTTAATCAATAATCCTGCTGGAGAGGAGCAGTTGAGACAGGGAAATTTGATATGGGAAGAGAATACTAAATTACCGTGGTTTTAGAAGAGCCAACATGGCTAAGCACCTATATATATGATTTGTGTAGATTGTTGTTGTTCTATTCGCGTAAATGAATTTTTCTTTTTTTTTTTTTTTTTTTTAATTTTTTCATTTTTACCGCGATCAATTCAAATGAGAAACTAGAAGTTTCATCTCTATTCCGTCACTCAGTGAACATGTCAGATCATTCACAGCTAGATCTTGTTAGAATAGGGTACTATGATCCCTTTGGTGTATACCCTCATATACAAAAAGAGATTTCAAAACGACTACCGTTGTCAAATCTTCATATTCGACTCAAACCAAATCAATCGGTAAAGACTATTTCCAAACTAGACGTTGAGTTTGTTGAAGAGGTGCCCAAGAAAGGCGACTATGTAACTCACGATATCAAGACATATGTACGTCTTATATTTGTGCAAGTTGATAGTTTGGACAAGTACCGGGGCCAAGTACGGCCACTTGTAAGAGAATGGTTGAAAAACTTGGTATTAAAGACAAATTGTTCATGGATGATTGTGTTGCATGTTCCACTCGATGCCAAAGACCGACTGTCATCCATTATAAAGACGTCTTTTTTTGACAAGTTACAAAATGATTTCGGACCGGAGGGGAAGGAGTTAAAGACTATTTTACCCATGGGCGATACCATCAAAAATTTTGGCGATCGAGTATTCAAGTTGAAACAAGTTCCCGAGGAGGATATCTATGCAGCATTTATAACCCAGTTGAAAACTCTTCTTCTGAATTCGTTTGTTGATCGATATCATACATTCAATGACCTAATTCGGCAACGGAAACATGTTAGTATTGAGGAATTTGCTGCCAAGTTGGAATTGTACAATTTGTTAAAAGATATGAAGCTATTGCAAGATGCATTGAATGTTAATGAAGATTTGTCGGTTGATTTGGATAACCTCGTAGCGCATCATGGGGAACTTTTCAATCACGAGTTGCAATTGACTCAATCATTGACTGATTTCAATTTTGATGAATTTGTCAATGAAGAACAACTTAAACAACAATTGATCAATTTGGAACCGATAAATTTAATCCAGTTGAAGAGTTTGGTTTTCGTTAATGAATCATTCATTCTTCAGGAATTGGCGCGTACTGCAGTATCAAATTCGATTGCTTCAAAGCACATTTCGCGATTGTATCAACGTCTAATGTTGTTTCTTAATGATTCGCATTTCAATAATAATAATGAATTGGTTTACTTACTCATTGACTCGTTTTTGCAAATCCCCATTGTGCAACAATTGGTTGATCTGGTGCACGTGTCGGATGTTGATGATGGGAATGAGGTATCGTTGCTTGATATCTTGGAAATGCGGGCTGAATTGAAATTGTTCAAACGAACTGTGATTAGCAAGATTGCTAAGCAGAACCATATTGAGGTTGACGGACTACGTGGTGGTGGTGCTGTTGTCGGTGGCGATGCATTTGAAGAAATTGCACTAGATAACGAGCCTAGCGCTAGTCCAATAACCTTGCAAAACCCTGATTTGATTAAAATTGTTTCAGATAAGAATTCATACGTTGATTACTACTTCAACTTGACAGAAGATATAATTGGTGATTTTGTCAAATGCAATAGGGTCAAATCAATCGATATCCTTTCATTAGATTTAGCAATTCTTAACTATAACCAAGGCAATTACCAAGAATGCTTAGATACGTTGCAAAATTCCTATGATTACTTTATTATGAATAGTTGGAATTTTCTTGGAGGTATATTGCTTGAGATATATCTTGGTTGCGTTGAGAAATTGGGACATGATGGTGGTGATGGCGACCGCGATTTGGATGAACAGGAGGAAGTTTTGAAAACTTGCTTGAATTTGCTTTCTTGTTTGGTTAAAAGCACTGATTCGGTAGGCATCAATTCGTATAAATTGGTTCGTGATTCGAACCATGTGGCTAAAATCTTCACCAAAATTAATGAGAATAGCCATAATTTGACTAAACCGTTGGAATATCCTTTGCTCGATTTTTTCAAAGTTCAGGTGAAACCATATGTCAATCAAGATGATTCAACGACTGATGATGTTTACTATTTGGAAGTTGAAATTTTCAATTCATTTAATGTGCCAGTGAAATTTGCTTCCATTGAACTTATATTGATTGATGAAGAGAAGTCGCAGTTATCATTCCGAACTGATGATGTTGAATTGTTGGAATCGTCTGGTGGACAGACATTCAAACTTTATACTCGCGATATCAAGTTTGGGTTGTTCTCAAGTCATCGATTGGTTATTTTATTCAATGAAAAGCTTTCCTTTTGCCATAAGTACTGTCCCCTTAATGGTGGTGATGGTGGTGATGACATTGAGGTTGCCCCCGATACTTCAATTTTCAATGATACCGTTGTTGAAATTAAGAACTCACTAATCAAGCCAAACCCAACTTTGTCTACTGATATAGTAACATTTCAAAGTGTCAATAAATTCCAAGCCCAATTCTTTTCATCTCGAGTTATTGAATTGGGCACCACTGAAGTATCATTGGTTTTGACAAATGGATCAAATGATATATCCAATGTCCAAATACTCCTCAGTTCGAGTACGGAGGGTGTTAGGCTTTCGCAACCGGAAGTTACTATCGAATCACTCAAAGCCAGTGATGGACAAACCTTGCAAGTCCCTTACATCTGTTTTAATGATCAAAAATCGGTCAATATGAGGGCTCATATACGCTATTTCGCTGGTGTAACACAGTACAGTGCCCAAATCTCATACAATGTTGATACAAGATTGAGTATCTCCGTATCGGTGCAGGACGTTTTCAAAACCAATTTTTTTTATTCGAAATTTCAAGTGGGTACAGTTGATGCCCGATCGCCAATTCGATTAGTACTGAATAACTTGCAGAGTGACGATTATGAAGTAAATCTGCCTGGTAACCAGTTCCACCATTTAATTGCATTTGGCGAACAACCAATTTCGTTTTTTTACAAGATAAGTCCCAAGCAGGGACATTCAATAGATGAAGAAGATAAATTGGATTTATCGCTTCGTTATACTAATTTGCTGGATGAATGCGAACAACGATTGGATGCCATAGTTGCTACCGCTTTGAAGGAAGTTAAGTTGATAAAGTATTGGTATTTGATCAAAGAGACGATTTTGTCCAAGGTACAATTTGATTTGAACATGTATGGCGTAGAACAAGTGGTGAAGGTTGTAAACAATCAACAGATAAAAGCTTTGGCTGATCGAATTATTGGTCGATATATTGAACATAAGCACGATCAACTTGAATTGCACAAAATAATAGCCAATCTCAATAATGAAAATCATCTGACAGAGGAGCTTGAAAATGGGAACAAGATTCAACACCAATTGAAAATCAAAGTGGCAGTCCCATTACTAAAGTATTTGCATGTGGTTGAGTATGTATACGACCGCAAGACCCACACTGTTGGAGAACCAATACCAATCACACTTCATATTAGAACAGTAACCAACTGGTCTGATAATAGTAAGAAAGAGGTCTTGGCAGTATCGTCACCATCAAAATCGACTAATGATGGTGATGGTAGTGACGATACGAGTGGTGCCCATGATGGTGGTGAAATTTTCCAAGCCATGGTTCAACCTGATGATAATTGGGTAATTTCAGGATTCAAAAAACAAACATTTAGTTTGGGTTCCAGTTTTGAAACTCCATTGGTTCTAATTCCTTTACACGTGGGTAAATTGCCACTACCTAAAATCGTCATCAATTCAACTGAAGGAACGGGAACAACAACTACTGCGACAACAACAACAGCAGCCATGAATAATTCCGATATTGAGTTTGTTAATGGATCTGAAACGATAATGAGCGTTCCTGATGTCCGACATATCCAATTTTCATTCTAAATAGAGAGTGAAAGCGGAGCGACGTGTACAGTTAAGGGGAGATGATGGAAATAGCACAAATATGATTGTTTATATTGATGGTAGGCACGATAATGGGATTTATAGATGGCACGTGTGTAAAAAATACAACAAAAGAGTAAAAAGTGTGTCTGAGATTCGGTAAGTATTCGAAGTTCACACATATTAGGATTGGTTTCATTACTTTTTTATAGAGCATATAGATGTGACTTCTGTTGATTTAAACACACAGTCAAAAAGTCTAGTGCATGTAGATTCTCTAAGCCTTTTTTTAGTTGCAAAATAGCATGACTCTTTGGATATAATAGTTTTCTATTATTATTCTGTTACACAAAAAGTGTATACCGTCTTTTTATTTTTATTTTAGACTAGTGCGACATATTTATTCAAACCACAAAACTACCCAAAACAGTCACAGCATAATTATCATGATTGATGAGCCCGATGATGTTAAATTAAGGAGATAATCATGTGGAAATATGGTTCGTACTAAATAACCGCCTCAGCTCTAAACAATATTGTATATGGTGATTTGCATGTCTACAGAAGCCTCGATAACTTCGCGGGAGACGTTATTATACTGACGAACGATACCAAAACTGAAGGGAATTTCCAAAAGAATGCTCCAGGGTCGTCAAGTAGTTGGGATTACATTACATTACATTTATGGAACTTCCAATACAGTGGAATGCCGTAATTTCAAGAGAAAAGTGTTGGTTCATGATGCGAAGATGAGAAAGTGTGCAGAAAGACGCCCATTAGCAAACATTGAAGGAAGACTTCCCCCAGAAATGCATGGGGCAACGCAATCTATAATTAAGGTTCTTCAGTATTCATGAACTAGAGGGAATTATTGACAAAGTCATAGACCAGTTTTTGGCAATATGTTGGTTCGCACACAACAAAATAAAATTGTTAAATTCTATTTTAATATTTATCTATTTATATATAACAAGAAGAAAGAAAAGAAGATCAAAAAATTACTGTCAATCCTTTTACAAATTCATATCTCAACAACAACAACAACAACAACAACAAAAAAAAAAAACATACATCCACAACAACTCAATTAGTTTGTCTATTCGCAGAATATATACTTAAAGGTAGACAATGGTGGTAGATACGACATACTATGATATTCTCGGCGTTGAAGTAACAGCGTCAGAGCAAGAACTTAGAAAGGCATATAGAAAGCAAGCTATCAAACTTCACCCGGATAAGAATGGAAACGACCCAAAGGCAGCTGAAAAGTTTCAAGACTTGGGTGAGGCGTATGGAGTCTTGTCCAATGCCGATACAAGAAAGGTTTATGACGAATATGGTGTAGAAGGAATGAAGGAAAAGAATGTACAAGAACAAGACATTGATCCGAGTGAATTCTTTGAAGTTATATTTGGTGGGGTGGCATTCAGAGATTGGATTGGAAAATTGGGTATGTTTGATGATATTACTAGGTCTGCAGAAGTGTTGGACTTGGATGAGGACAATTCAAACCTGGAAGTCAGCTCATCAGGCACTGGAGATGAAAAGACGGATGGAACGGGAAGTCTAACTTCGGCCCCTGGAGCCGAAAAGACTGATGCATCTGGTAGTCCAATAACTTCTTCGGGTCCTGGCGCAGCTGCTTCTTCAACTCATAGTTCATTGCAATTGCACTCCCATCAAAATAGTGGTGACCTCTCGTCTGATGATTTAAAGAAAAAGAGAAAGCAGAAACTCACCAAGGAACAGAGAGAGGAGATTATGAGAATACAAGAGGAAGCCAGAGAGGCCAAACTAAAGAGAATTGCTGACTTGTCAGCCATCTTGAAAGAACGACTGGAAAGCTATAGAGCAGCCGCAACTAATCATGAAGGATTGGAACATTTTACCGAGAAGTTGAAAACTGAGCTTGACGATATGAAGATTGAAAGTTTTGGTATTCAATTACTACACTTGATTGGAAAAATTTACACCAATCAAGCAAATGCAACCCTCAAAGCCGCTAAAACGTTTGGTCTCACCAAAATTTACACTTCAATGAAGACTTCAACAGAGACCGTCAAGAATGGGTATGGTATTATAAAATCAGCATTAGACACTCAAGAGACAATGGAGAAAGTGATGAAGGAACAAGAGGCTTACCAATTGAAGCAAGAACAAGGATATACTCCAACACAAGAGGAGGCAGTACAACAAGCAGAAAGAGAGCGGTTTGTTACCGGAAAATTTCTCGCAACCGGTTGGTCATTGGTCAAATTCGAAGTTACTAACGTGCTAAATAAAGTCTGCCAAAATGTGTTACACGAGAAGGGTATTGGCAAGAAGGAGAAAGTTGCCCGTGCTAATGCATTGTTGTATATAGGAACACAGTTATTGAATGAGCAAAGATCGGCTGATGAGGATGAAGAAGCTAAGATTTTTGAAGAGATGATGGCTGATGCCAAGATGAAAAAGGCAAACAAGAAGAAGAAAGGTACCTTCTTTTAGAGTATAGATAGTAAGTATAGAAAAGGAAAAGAAAAAGAAAAAAAGCCATGTGTAAAGTGTACCTCTTGTACGATTCTATTCCTCTGCGTTCTGCTTAATAATCACTGGAATCAGTTGGAGTAGTGTGCGCAATTCAAAATTCGATTTTGCATTTTTTATTTTGTTTCGCATCAAAGAACCCGAAAAAAGAAAAAGAAACAAAATGAGCAAAGGGCAAAAAACCCAAGTCATACAAAAAGCGAACACCCACACATTTCATCTCTCTTTCTCATCTATCTTCAACTACAGACTACACCCTTACTACACTAATACTGCTTCACAAATGGTTGATTCGAAACAAGTCTTGAAGTTGTACAAACAACTTCTCAATAAAGCTTACAAATTTGACAATTACAATTTCCGCGAATATTCGAAAAGAAGAGTCCATGATGCATTTAAGGAACATAAATATTTAACTGATGAAGAACAGATAAACAAGTTTTACAATGCTGGTATTGATAATCTAGCGTTGTTGACGAGACAAACGACGATTTCGCAGTTGTATACTTTTGATAAGTTGGTTGTTGAGCCTTTGAAGAAGCATCATTGATGAAAGGTGTGTTTGAGCTTGTCATTACAGATCTTGTGTGTATATACAGTTAATAAGCATAGTTTCAATCGATGTTATTAAGCATCATCCATCATTTACGTAGTGTTGTCAGGCTCTAGTAATTCAAAAACTTTTTCTTTCTTATAATCTAACTAGATCCACTAACTACCAACTTTTGCAAATGGCTCATAAACACTTGCAAACTGACATCATCGGTCAAAACAATTGCACCACCAGCACCTCCCAAGCCCAGACCACCAATCATCTCATTGGTGTTGTAAGTAACACTAGGATTCAATTTTGAGTACAAGAATCTCGCTTGCGAGCCACCTTCTTCAGTATCGATAAATCTGGGCAATGGGTATCTATCAGCCAACAACTCAGCCGCTTCCTGTTTTGGCTCATCCAACAATTCTTTGAAATTGGCATACTCTTCTTGGTCTTGATAACCAGCTTTACGCCAAGCAGCAACAGTCTTACCGTGGAAAATTAAAATGTGGAAAAATGTATCCAACAACAAGATACGATCGTCTCTGATGGATACTGAATCTAATAGAACTGCTTCTGGTTCACCTTCCAATGTGAATGACGTCAATGTTGGTTGGATCATAATCAAGGAGTTGTTGGTATCTTCAGTCAACAAGACGTGTCTATAAAACACAGTTTCATCGGGCGAGTTATTAAACACCTGCAAGAATTGCGATCTTCGCAAATAGTAGATAAATTGCGGGTACAATTGAAACTGTTGTCCTAAACGGAAACTCTCCTCTTGATCTTTTCTGTAGTCGGCAAATTTTTGACATAAACGAATGAGCATACGATCGATCCATCTAAGAACATCAGCACCATCATCTTGTTCAGCTTTGAATAAAGTGACTCTCGCCATCAAAACGGCTGCTGCTTCTTGGTCAAATGAGTTGGTGAGTGTTTGCTCGTCACTCGTCAAGTAGTTTGATACGGTGGTTACTCTGGTTCTATAAGTACCACTGGCGTGTTGGTAGTGGGTAATAAATTGTACATAGCTCTGAGCTGTTGGTGGTAGTTGTTGTGTGTTTGCCACGTCAAAGAATACAGCATATGTGTGTCTTGGTGATGTAGCACAAAGGCGGTAGGTTGATGTTCCACCTAGACCCAATTCATTTTCAGAAACATTTGCTGACTTGACTCCCAAAGAGGAAGCATGGCCAATGAGACCGCTTACTTTCAATTCTTTTGAAGTTCTCACTTCAAAAGAGGCGTTGAATCCCATCAACAAATATCCATCCTCATCTTTGTTGAACAATCTTAAAAATGATCGTTTAAAGATGGACGTAGTAAATGCATCAGATAACAACAAGGTACCACCAGTGGTATTACACAAGTTCTTCATCTCCAACATACCGATTTGATCGTAACAACCAGCAAATATATCCACTGCGTGACTGTTTTTGACGGCCTTGGCAGCAATCGCATCATAAAACTTGACTGCCTTTTTAAAGTGTTTGGCATTGTCCTTATCGATATCAGAGTGTGATCTAATAGGTTCCTTCAATTGGTTTCCAACGATCATACCTGGGTTCAAAGTTCCCGGTCCAGCTGAAAACAACATAACCCTAGCTCCAAATCCAGGGAATGTTAATCCCAACAAGTTGACTGCGACATTCAATGCACTACCAGTACATCTCAAAGGTCTGGCACCGTTGGCAACTGCCCATGGATCCTTACCCAAATTTTCCAAAATTGTAGTCAATTGAAACTCAACATCCTCCAATGGCAAAAAGAATCGAGTCAATGAGTTTGCTAACGGTTGTTGTGGCTGCTGTTGTTGGTTCAACACTGGAGTCACTGGGTTGTTCAACATGTCACTAATTTGCTTATCAGTATATTCCTTGTCACCACGGAATATATAACTCTTGTTGATCTTTTCCGATCCCAAGTCGTGAACTTGGACCATGGTTCCATAAGTGATCAAACCGATTAATGCATTTGGTGGTAAATGATTGAACCCAACAATTATATTCTCAATCAATGATTGCAAGTTATCTTCATCTTGGCACAAATCAATAACATATGTGAAAATTGGTGGGTTTTGAACTGGTCTCGAGTTTATATACTCAACAGTAGAACTAGTGTTTTGCAATTCCAATGGCAAATTCTCTGGATTGATACCGTGGTAATGGGCAGGCAAAGGATTTCTACCTTGACACAAAGGACACCGCCAAAACCCATTAGGATCAACGGCACAATAGGGGTTCAATATCGATTTACATGTCTGGTTTGAACAGTAAATGGGATCATACGCAGCAATGGGCAAATCTTCACGTTGTTTCAATGGAGTGTAGAGCGCACCTGTGGGAACAACAATCTTGCCGGCTTCTACCTTGGTGGAGGGGAATGCATTCCAGGCAAACCTAACACCGTTGATATCTTCTGCTTCTTCAAAATCCATTTCCTTAGATGAGAGTAACCCGTGTGGTGAGGGAATTGAAAAATGGAGTGGTGTTGACGATTCGTCCTATTTGACAACTGTTTTTTTCTTTTTTCGTTTTTCTTTTTTTTTCGTTTCGTTGTCAATTTCGTCAAACTGATTTTGAATAAGTGACGTATTTAGTGACGTTTAATATGCGACACTTCAACTTAACCCATTCACCAATCTGATCATCTTTACTCAAAGAGCTTCCGTCTCAGGGGAGATCCAGTCTCTACATAATCATACTATAGTATCAAAAATTTCATACAAATACTATTCGGTAACTACATACATTATTATTACTCCTCCTTCTCTTGTTTTACTCTAATGATCCCCTCACTTTTTCTCTCTTCCTTTTCTTCATCTTCCTCTTCTTCCTCTTCCACTTCCTCATCATCATCTTCTTCTTCCTGCACTTGTCTTTCGATATGACCTCTTTCTTCCTCTTCATCTTCCTTCCCCACTTCAATATTGGATCTCTCAATGTCTCTGAGAAGTTTCTGGATATACCTTGAGGCTAGTTCCACGGTCGTTGCTTTCGATGGTATACTAACTTCATCATGATACAGCTGTGGTATCAATGCTGCTAAATCAGCTATTGCGGTATTCATTCTATTTCTTCTTCCTTGTTCGGCTAATTTATGCGACGCCTTTTTTGTAGCCAATTTCTCAGGCTTCTTTGTCAATCTTGGTGATGACGAGGCACTACTATCTCCAGATGAAGAGGAAATTGAGTTTGATGGCTTGCGTGAGATTGATTTACTCCTCTTTGGTTGTTTCTTTCCCTTGGGTTGATTTTGTTCCTTCTCAGCCAATTTACCCATTGTAAACCCCATCAAAGGTGGCTCGTTTATCTCTCTTGGTTTGCCACTGGGTGGCAACATCTCTGTGTCATTCGTCTCCGTCTTTACTTCCGCTACTGACGATTGAGGCAATTTCTCAAGTTGATCAGTATTTAATGGTGTAACCGATTTGGCCTTGACCGAGGGAGAATTATAGCTTTTATTGCTAGCAAGAAGGATTGGCGTACCATGGGGAGTTCTTCTCTTGTTTTGTTTATGGTCGTCTGACGTTGGAGCATAGACTGAACTTGACTTTCTTCTTTTATCCGATGCTTGTGCGTTCAATGCCGGTGATGTCAATGGCTCAAAATTTATATTTGCTGGTGGTTGCGGCTTGTGGTTAAATGAAGACCCATTAGCACCTTTATCCAATGGAGTGACAGCCGGACTCACTAAAGGAGTGAAGACGGCATCTGGTCGCACGTGTTGTGGTTGAGAAGATTGTTGGTCATTCTCTTCATGGTTTACTGTGTAAACTTTTCCTTGTGAGGTTTGTCTGTGATAAAAGTGTTGCTTGTTGTACAGTGTTTCGTTTTGGCCCGGTAGTATTGGCGATGAAAACTCATTATTTTTACGCAACTCTTCTTTCCTCATTGCATTTATGGCTAGCAAGCTAGGAGTTTGTTCCGTTGGAATATTAGGTGGAAATGCTGATGAGACATGTCCTGGCTCAGTATCAAAATTCAATTCTTCCGGGATCATAAAGTTTAAATTGTCAAGCCCAAATTCGAACTGTTGTTGCTGTTGTTGTTGTTGTTGCTGTTGCTGTTGTTGAGGGTGATGACTTGAACGTAAAACCGGCAATCCACCATTGGGCGTGGAAATATTCGACACAGTATTGTGGTGTCCCAATGGAGTGCCATTATGGTGAGAAAAAGAAGCTTCCAGAGCTTCTCGATTCACCTGATCGAGGTTCATCTCGGAGCCCAAAGGTTGGTGTGTTGCCACGGCATCCAAACGGAAACTACTGGAAGGACCACCTTGTCTGTGATTGTTTCCATCAAATTGGCGCTGTGATTGTTGTTGGTGGTCGTACATATTCTGCTCGAGTTCTTGCAAAAACATCTGCTCCGATTCAGTAAAATTGGACGGCGTCGCCGATTGTAAATTGAGCGGCGTGCCAATTTGATTATGTCCAGGAGTGTTTCTTTTCAAGCTGCCGGTTTCACCTGGGGTTGAATAGTTTGAGTTGTCATGATGGTGCGGCGTAGTATGATGCGACTGTATCGAGTTTGTTGTGGCATGGTCTAAGTCTAAATAATATGGCGATTTGCCAGGTGTATTTCCCAGCAACTGTCCATTCATCTGATTGTCTGATGTGTAGGTGTTATTCCAGGTCAGCGATTCCATTCGCGATACGAAGCTGAATTAATTATCCGAGGTTGACTGCAATTCAAATGGGAGTGGGAGGGGAAGGGTTCAATTACTTTGTATTGAAATGGAGTATTGCCAATGACTTTTCAATAGTAGTTCCTCTATATGTTAAACAGGTAATATTACTCTTTTACTATACCTTTAGCTGATTAATTGTAATAAATGTATGGTGAGAAAATTTTTGAATAAAATAAATGAGATTTTCGATCTTTTTCATACAAAAAGCGCAACAAAATTTGTATTTACAACTATGTGTGTTGTTGTTCTGTTGTTCTGTCTGTTGTTTTTATTATTTTTTAATTTTTAATTCTTTTTTGATTCTTTTTTTTAATTTTGACGTTTTGTGTGGTTTGATAAATCGTATCAACTAATCAACTATACGATACAATAAAGACAGCTGGGACTAGCGCTTACTACAAGCAATTAGAGATAGATAAATACAGCCTAGTAGAACCCGCTACTCCCAAATTGTCAACGTTTTATTGGTAAAAAAATATCTTTTTGAGGTCACATGAAGTTTATAATTTGTCCTCCAATGATCTTACACAAAATCGATAAAAATAGAAAACTGAGTCAAAGCAGAAAAAATTAAGGCACCCCACGTGCATATGTCACAAATATCAAAACTTAGACACTCTAATCGCGCGACACTCAATTATTGCACGACAATATAAAACCGAGACCAAAAGAGGGTTAGTAAACTGTGCTGACAGAGCCATTAACTAAGTCATCATAATTTTAGTTTCTCTGATTCACTGAAATCAACCGAATTCATGAATAGATTGTAGACTGTTACTTTACTATAATTTTGCCAAAGGTGATGAATTACACCTGCCAGTTTGAATAATGTCCAAGAGACTGTCTACATAGTTCACCACTTCTGGAGAAAAATGTCAAGTGGCAAAGGACTTAACAGCCTATACCCTATAAAATCTTTTAGAGACAGTGTAAGTTTTTGGCTAAGGCAGAAAGTTATCTATTTCAACAGCAAAATATTTCTGCACAAAATCAAACCAAATCACTTGTAAATTACTCTGATCCCTTGCAAGTCCCCGGGGATCTTCCAATTGATGAATACAATCGCTTCTGATTTTGCATTTAAAAATTACAAATTATAATTGAAGTGTCATTACATATATAATGCATCATGCATAAAATAATAATCTCTTTGCATCTTCTCAAGCAGTTTTGGTTGTGCTATAATTGTCAAATCTTTAAAAAATTTTGTTTCTAGAAAATAGACGATTTGCAAAATTTTATTTGACAATGATGAAAGGATCTTGAAAAAGGATAGGATTTGGTACTAGTAAGAATGGTAAAAAACCTATGGTAAGAGTCGATTTTAAAGTGGATTATGTTGTGAGGTCAGTTTGGACTGGTGATTGCAAACAATTATTCACTCAGTAACAATGCAAAATACTAGCTCCCAAATTAGGTACAAAGTTTTAGCTTAGGATCCATTATTTTATCCATGATCTCTACTTAACTCTATTCTGTGATTTCGACAACATGCAGCAGCTATGAAAAGAGCCAAAACAATAACAGAGTGATAATGGAAAAGACTTTTAGCGCTTACGACTCGAGAAATCACACAAAACCCAAAATACCAAACCCCCAAATCCCCATCCGGACAGAATTTGCTACAAAATAGTTCATCCCCATTTTGTAGTTGTGTTTGATTGAAAAAGCATCAATTAAATTCAGAATTTATGCTCGTCTAAACTTAGAAATTTTTCAGGGTGAGAAGACCATAGGATTAGGTCCCAATGCCAAGATACTCATTTTTTTAGTGACGGAAACTCATACCCAGCACCCTAAAAAATTAAGACTCCAACTTGAAGAGGAGACAACGTTGTCAAATTTCATCTAGATCAACCTGTGATGCTCAACAAGATGGCCAACTTTATGCCCACTCTTTGACTTATTACTAATGGTATTATATAACAGCAACAAAAATATGTTAACTCAATATGTGTTTCTGAACACTAAATAATAATTAATCGCGCTATATTGGTTCCCAAATTATTTACTCATGACTCCATTATTTTTAATGACAAATGGGTGGGTAGAATATGATATGTACAGTCTTTTTATTTTTACTTCATAATAGTGCGATATAATTGTTCATACCGAGGCGACAAAATTATTCGTACCAGCGCGCACACTTAACTTCATATAAAATCGCTGCAGCCAAATTGTGTCGCATTTGTACGAAAATTTTAGGGCGAATTGGTATGAACAATTATATCGCACTATTATGAAATAAAAATAAAAACACTATAATTCCCTCCCCCCTCACCAAAAAACAGACTCCACTTTCGTATGGTCTTCGTTGGGACTTCAGTGTGCTTCAAATTGCATTGAGTAATTAGGTATTTTCTTTTTATTTTGTTTTAAACTTTCCAGGCCACTGGAAAGTGCTTCATTCGGCATTTGCTTACTTGCAGTTACTTGCAAGTATTATGTTTGGAAGTTTATTTTTATCTTTAGCACCAAGAAAAGCTAGACACGAAACACTTTTTATTATTCAAGCGGGGATCAAAAGAAATACAATGGTTAAAACAGCTTTACCCCCCCCCCTCCCTTGCTTTCGAGATTCGCTACAATTGTAAAATCGCCTCAGTACAATGGGGTCGACGCTGCAACAAAGCAAATGCGTTGCCAAAATTTATGAGTTTGTGTAAGAATAATGAAACTTATTGTGTTTCATCCTCACTAAGCGAAAGAAAGAAATTGAAAAACGAAAAAGCTTAGCAAAGATCAGGTGATCAAAGAGGCGGCAACAGCAACAATTTTTGACGTTCTAGAAGATTTCTCGACAAATATAGTAGACTGATTTCAATCTATCTGCTTATGGCTACTTACAAGAACTGATTCAAGCGCGCTTCTTTTAAAGCATCAAGAATTAACCTTTAGAGTTTAAAGTATTAGAGAGAGCTCGTAAGCGACTAAAATGTACTTTAAGCCTCTTAAACAATATCTTTGAAAAGCATTCGTTTCCAATGTATGTCTCTTTTTCTCCCCCCTCTATTCGCAGGATAGTTTAGCCTAAATAGGTGCATAGGCCTTGTGCAAGGAGCATTTAAATGTAACACAAAATTGACAGTTCGTAAAAAGTGGTAAACACCTCGCTTGCATGACAAGACCATAAGACCTTTGTACGCAAGACCGCGTACAATTTTATTATTAATCAAGACCAAGTAATGGTTGAGAATAATCTACTTCCAAGACTTTTTCTTTTAAAAACAAGAAAGAAAATACATTTGGTCAGGATTATTATAATTGCACCATGTATTTAATTATTACAATTGCGACAGAAAGCAATGACATCATTGACCACTTGATATGGTCACTATTCACACAATTTTCAATAATAATTGGCTTTTTTTCTGGCATTGAAATAATAGTTAATATAAATAATAATTCATTTTTCCTGTTTTGAAAGTTTTTATTATCCAACTTCAAAATCTGTTTATATCAATTGAAGACTAAAGATTAATCAACCGTCATCACAGCCAAATTATCAACACTGGCCCAAAAAAGAAACAAAAAATTTCTTCAATCTTTTGGAAAGTCACCACTTTATGAAAACTTGAAAACTTTTCCCACGAATTTATATATCCTATTGTTTGACATCTTCAATTGCGTTTGGTGCATATTTGACAGCGGAAAGAAAGAGAAAAAAATAAACGATCTAAAAATCAAAAATAAAAACGTCTAAAAAAAAGAATTTTAAAAAAAAACAAATCAACAAAAAGTGGCTAGTGAAGAGCAAAACAAAGACACATAACCAAAAGCATTACATTTACATCCCCACACACACAAACATTAACACACTAACACACAAGAGATTGACATCTAAGCTTCAGCCTGTTGATATATAGAAGGCACCCTTAGTTTTGAAGATCTTCATCAAGAGGGAATTAAAAGTACGAGATTTGTTTTTATTTTTGCAATTTGTTGTTTATTTGTTTTCGTTTACACCTGGGTAATATAACCTAATAGAGATATATAATCAGGACTGGTTTTGAGTTACCAGCAGCCTAATTGAGAAGAATTCTTCAGCACAGTCTATTTTTCCCTTTTTCCCAATTTCATGTCATTCAGCAGCAACATGAATATCCCAAGTCACAACAAGAGTTACAATGGCAACATGTTCACCAATAACAGTTACCTCAACTCGTCAGCTATGAATTCAGGTGTCCCCATGCCTGGAAACTCGGCACATCCAGGATTGCAATATTTGCACGCGTTTCAGCAACCACAACAGCCAACGTCGCTACATCCACAACAAACAACCCAAGATTACTACACTGTGTCATCGACAAATAATACGCTTTCTTCTGGCTCGGCATCATCAACAGCACCAACATCTATCAACGACATGCCATTGTCTGTGCAGCAGCAGCTGCAGCAGCTGCAACAACAACAACAGCAGCTGGTGTCTAATCCTGGAGTAGTGAAGACAATCATGCCACAAATGATTTCCGGTACTGGTGCTTCATCAAACCCACCTATGCCACTCGATCCAGCAGTTACCACCAAATTTACCAACAACGATATACAAGTCCTACGTCAATTGCTCATAGCAGGTGAGAAATTTAAGTGGAAACAAATTACTAAAGAGATAAACACATCGACAAACCATACACAACACGTCATGGCGGCAATGAACAAGAATCTGCAACATTTGCTGCAACTACAACAAAATTCAATTGCATCTCACCACCTTCAACACCAGCATCAACAACTGTACCACCACCACCACCAACAACAACGACAACAACAACAACAACAACAAATGCATCAGCAGCAATTACTGTATGAATACCAACAGCAACAGCAACAACCACAACTTCAGAATAGCAACAGCATGCACAAGTCCAATTCGATGCATCTGCCTTACATGCCGAGCTCAGCACCCACCAATTCAATCCGACCCCATCAGACCCTAAATATGCCACCTAATCATGCAACACCAGCTTCAATATCGCCCCACTCAAATTCTCACTCACATACACACCTTCCACCGCCTCCTCCAAACCCAGTTCCTTTGAAAAATGTAAGTCCTACTTTTGTAATGAAACAGTACCAGCAATTACTTGGACTACCTAGTAATATGGTTTATTTTGGAACTTTGGGCTCTAGTTTGCCATATGTCATTGCTGCTAATGGATGGAGCGATATCGACCAAGAAGCTTATAATTATCCGTTTAACTTGGATGATGATGAGTAAGCAAAAAACATCTAGGTTTTGCTGCATGAATCAGGATGTAGACTGTTGCTGCCTTGCTTTTGCTTATCTTTCGGTTATACATATAGTTCTTTGATTTTATTATTGTTGTATTTCTCTTTTATCTGTTTTGTTTACTTATATAATGTATTATTTATTTATTTGAATCATTTATATGAGAATAGCTAGAGTGTTGGTATTTGGTAAATGTCACTTAAGTAACCATATTATTCATATAACCGTATAAATGTCAATTATAAGGCAATGTCAGGATGTGCTAGAAACGCTGGGATTGAGCACGATACCTGTGCTTTGATACTGTATCATGTCTATAAATCTTAACTTTATCTAGCGTTGGTTCCTAATGAAGTAACTCCAGCGACAGCTAACTAACGGCAATGATCTAAATCATACCAATTCGCTTGACAAAGTACTGGTTAAATTACGTCTCCCTTGTCTTATGGGGAATGAAACTGTGCAAAAGATATACCTTTTTGTCTGCTAACTTGGCCAAGATTTCCTTCGTTAATACTACTCCTGCCTCTTGCATTCAAGGCATTCTCTAGCTTCAGCTTCATCACCAACACCTCCATCGTTCAAAAGACTACCTTTACCAATCAAATGGTCACCAACTTTGGTGCCTATACCACCATTACCTCCTCCACTGAGTGTACTTTCAATCTCACTAATCTTATCCCTAACTAAATTTTTCAAAAACTTGGCATCAGGAAACCCTTCATATGAAACCTTGGCCAACTTGAGATCCAAATCATCGCCATCTTTTTTAAACTTGCGACGATAAATTAATTCTGTGACAGATCCCACTTGGATCAAAACTTGGAATGTGCCAGGAATTTCTACAATTGGCTGAAGGGAAATGTCGGCGATGGTGTTTGCATCAAATGTTTGGAAAAGCTCCTGGGCGTACCAGATCGCACGGTTTGTCCATTTACATTTGGTGCAAAATTGGATTATTATGCGGGGGTACTTGTTGATATGTAATTCATGGGGCAAGCTTGATGATGCAGTTAATGGATCGGACATTTTGGTGTTGGATCTTGCAAGATGTACTGTCGTTATGGATGTTACAACTGTGGTTGCCAATTTTCTTTTTGATTTTTTTTTTATTTGCGCTTACAAATGAAAGGGCTGTCAAAGGGTCAAGTACATACATAGAGCTCTACTAGGTGATATATTTAGATGCCTACATTTAAAACCATTGCATACAGAGAAAATTACGTGTCTACTAGTTTTAGTATACCAATCCATATATTACCCTTAATATCGTAACCAATCATAATCATTACTTATAGTGGAACCACCATCAACCGGTTCATTGAAAGACATCTTCTGCAGAGGAGCACTAGCAAACGCTGTACTTGGCACAGTCACAGGGCTGCTTGACAATGAATGAGTCAACTGTCTCGACAATAAACTCTCGGGAACTTTTGTGCTCGACTTACTTCGCTTAATACTTGGTCGACGTACCTTCTTTACACCTGATGCGTTGTTCAACTTTCGATCCTCTTTCTTCAATGATGTTGGGTTTAAATCATCGCCGTCATTATCGTCCTTTTTGTTGTTTGGATTTGTAGGGCCACGTTGACGCTTTTTGATTATATCTGTTTTGAGGCTAAGTGGACGTGTGACACCATGCAATTTTAAGAAGAGACCGCATGCATTACATAATGGTTGTCCTTCTGGGTTACGTCTCCAAAGCGGGGTCGTCTTTGTGTGACAGTTTGTACATGATGGACCACTTTCATTCGTACTGGAAGTACCATTTGTAGCATTTCGTCCACCATCACTGTCGCCGGCTCTTGCATCTACTTGATTCTTGCTCCTGTTTCCTTGTTTAGCCTGTTTTGGTTTTCTGGGTTTCTTGCCAGGCGATGGTTCATTTACATCATCAAAATAGCTATGTCCGCTTTGGCTCGGTAAAGTGACTTTAATATCAGTATGGTTTAAAGACTGATTTAGAAACGATTCGTTTTGATTGAGACTACGCGAGAATTGCTGGGTGGGTGTTACCATTGCTGATTTATTAGTGAATGTGTCATTGTGGTGTAAATTACCATGGAAGCTGTTTTGGATGTTGGCAAACTCGGGTAACGATACAAGTGATTCCTGACGTAGTAAGTTTGATGGAGTGGCAGTGATGGATCTTCTTGGATTTACTGCCGTTGGTTGATGACTTATTGAAGAAAACTGCGTACTCGATGGTATTATCGTTGAAAGTGATGAAGATAAAGATTCGGCACCACTGTTGGTGGCAGGTGAAGATACCAAGTCATCAAATAAAGGCTTTTCATATGAAGATGCAAAACTATCGGGTATTGAGTGCATGTTGACATCACGGAAATTATCATTTGGGCCCTCAAATGCCAATGGATCTAATGAGAATTCAAATGAAGATGATGCCTGTGGATACTGTAAGATATTATGATCGTGTCGCGGACTATTCTGACCTTCTTGTGGATGATTACCCAAAAATTCTAGACCAAACTTGTCATAGTCATGCAATTGCTGCGACAAGTTGGAAACTGGCCTCCCAGTTTGTGAAGAAGGGCCGATGCCGGAAACCAGAGGTGAGAATTGCGTCAGACGCTTTCTTGGAATATTACTGATTGAAGTCATTCCCCCCATTGGTTGGGGGGATGCATAATCATTTGGATTTATGTCAGCCCCTCTGTTTCTATCTGGTGAATCAAAATTTGAGGCTCCCAACTTTTTGATATGAGCAACGTAGTCGAAATCATCATCAGCCATCGTATTACCCGACTTGTTATTGGATTGTGCATTGGCAGGTGAGAACGAGTTTGTGGATGTTTGAGAAGGTTCTTCATGAGGCTGGTGTTGCCTCCGGTAATATGACTGACGATGGTCGTTATCTTGTGCTGGTGAATACAGCTGCTGGATATTCCTTCCGTGCGGGCTCAATTTGTCTGATATTGTATCGCTGTCACCAATGATGTTGAATAGCTCTGTGTCACTTGCCCACCCATTATCACTGTTCGTTTTTTCGGCTCTTGCAGCTTCATTTTCATGCCCGATAGAGTCAAATCTTTTGTAGTTATAGCTCGAACTACTAGTGAGATGCATCATTCTCCATGTTAAATTTTCCATCCTGGAGTTGTAAGGTAATGAGTCCCTTGCTTTATTGTACATTTTCCATAGGCTTTCCACATGATCGTATTCATTAGTTAGAAGTTGAGATAAATTGATGTCACTGTTGTTGTTGCCTCCATGCGTCTCCTTTGGATTAAACTTGAACTTCATAGGTAAATTGGGCGTTGACGGGTGGCTGGATCCACGTCTATGCAAAGCAGGTTGGCTTTGCTCGTGTTGCATGGAAATATCCTGATCTTTTTGAGGGGGGTTAGAATCAGGACCAGTGTGGTAAGTTTGTTGCTGGAGTCGTCTTTGGGCTTGTATTTGGGCCAGTAGCTGTGAAGACGGCGAATTGTTGTATACAGTTCGTGATGATATCGACATTGTTTACGCGTTGGTATGGTAATTATAAGCGTCTTTCTTCGCAACAGGTGCTGTTTTCGCTAACAATGAGTGTAACCTATGCGAGTCGTCTAGTAGCTGTCTTAGGTCTTGCTGATGTTTGAACAATTAACTTTGATTCTTGCACTGTTGTTTAATAACAAAAGAATACAATCACGGCAGGTGGTGTTGATGTTGATAAAGTCGTAAAAAATAAATAACGGTATTTTCGAAGCAAACGCTGACAGCAAAATCCTATTCTTTAATCGAAAGTACTTTAAAAGTTTATGTGTATATGCGTTTCTGATTGGACTAAGATAAATATTGAAAGGCTAAGATGTTATGAATGTACAAAGGGGTATTATATATATCCATCTGATTCTTTTTTTTATTGTTTGAAAAGAAACTTTAAAAGTTGTTCCGGTTTTAATCAACGAGTTGGATATTACACAAATCCCTGTCAATCGACAACAACAACAACAATGAAATTTCGAAGAATTTCATGCTAAAACAAAACTAATCGAGACTAAAAGAGGAAGCTCTACTGATAAATCTGAACGGAATCAAGACGGCGGCTCGAAAGAGAACACCAAATTCCGAAAGTTGTTAGAATTAAGTTTTAATTCCAAGAAAATATGTTTTATCTACAACTTCGAAATCAATGAAGCAGTGTCGCAACTAGTCTTCGTCTCTCGTTAGAATTGTGACGCTTGCTGTCACATTCAGTTGATTAGGAACCGCGGTTCGTCACCGCATGTGGCTCGGACAAATTAGGAAACATACAGTTGTTGTCTCAAATGGAATATACACAAATCCGGTTGATAGTTTCTTTATTCTTTGTTTTTCGCAACCGCTTCAACACAAAGGAGGCAAATCGAATCCAACAACAGTACGCGTAGAGAAACCACTTCAGGTCACGTAACAGCTTCATTTGTATCTCCATAGTATGGATTGACTAGACCGGTTTTGGTCCTGTACTGGTGCTTCAAAGGTGTGAGCGGGTCCTACCACGTAGTCCTTATCCAGTCTTTTCCACCGTTTTGTGACACTTGTTTCAAATTATTTTTTAGCTGTTTTTGTAATCATCTCCAAGTACTGGAATGTGATTGGACGATAAGAGAAAATAAAAAAATTACTTGTTTATGCAGGGTTGCTTATCTTTATTTCAACAATATGCTAAGAGTGTCGCAAGACAATGTAAGTATATATTGTCTTGCGAATGAGAGAAGGAAATTTAACTACCGCCTTCCTGCAAATCCACCATTAATATATGGTCACGCTACTGATGCAACCATTAGAGTTGAGTACCTCAACAATACACTTTTGCAACCCATATAGTTTAGACTGTCCCCATCTCTTCAATTTGGCACTTTTCACTGAACCCTTCTTTACATCTATGCTTGGTAAATCTATGATATCCAAATCATTGTCAATGAACTCCGACTCATACCTGTTCAAAAAAACGGGTGTCAAATCTTTAAACCCTGGAGGTAGATCGGCAAAGTACATTGTTGAATCAATAGGGTCAAATTGACTGGACTCTATTGTCCAATTACATCTATTCCATTTCATAAAACTAAGGTCCTCAACGATACCACCATTGTGGAGTATTACTTTATTGACAACACTGTTTAATGTATTCTCCGACGCCAAAGCGGGGGTTTTCAAGTCGTACAAAATATCCAAACCAAGTTTGTAATAGTTGTGGAACTTGCAATTTCGAAAGTCCTTCTTCTTTGCCTCTTCTACACTGTCTCCACTGAGGTAGTTGTGTATGAGTAAACGTGAGTCATACTTACTGAATCTGTCATCGGGAGGGCCAATGATATCAATGACATCTTGCTGTGTTGATTTGCCAATTTTAATCAGTCTTTTGCCATTGACAACAATAACCCCATTGTCCAAGTCAACTTTAAAAGTAGAGCCTTGAACCATTTGGCTATTAGCTTTATACTCACTCCAAGTCTTTCCCTTAAAAATTGCAATCGAATCACACACTATATCCAGTGCATGGTCCCAGTTGATCAAAGTGTCCAACACTGACTCATTTGACTGTTCAACCAATTTAGTGTACAACTCTTCATTGTTGATCTTGTACTTAAACGCAATCCCAGGATACGAAAGGATATATGACTTGGTGTTTTTATTGAGCACGCCCGGATACGTCGGTCCTAGGATCTTGTTGTAAATCAATTGAAATGAAGGCCCAGATGAAACAAGTCTTGTTCCATTTTCAGCACTGGAGCTATTTGAATTCAGCGTGGTTAATGAGGACAGCGAGTTTGAATGCTCAAAACTACCACTGTCGTTTGACGATCGAACAACCAGCTCAAATTCGTTCAAACTTTGTCCTTTGTATAGTAGCCGCAAGGGCTTTTCAGTGTTACTCCCACCCAAGTGTAGAACCTCAATCAAGTTTAATGTTTGATCTTTTTTATTCTGAAAAGTTAATCTTAAGTCCAAATCAATAATCTGGACAAGGATGGGTGATTCGTAGTAGTTTTTTTCGGAGTAAATGACTTGATATTTATAGTCGTGTTTGTTAAGCTCAATGATCACTTCATACAAAGTGAAGCCTAGCTTGATATTGTTTCCGATACCAGCACCAGGAAATATGGTTGTTTCGTAAATCATGATCTGAGTGGGTGATACTAATGTTGTAGTTGTATACCTGTAAGTCAGTGTTTCTGTCGCTTATCGCTTTATTTACGTTTTGTGTTTCTTGAAATCGAACAAGGGGAAAAGCAAAACTAGAAAAAGAGTCACGTGAATAATTAAATGCTATTCCATTCATCTACTTTTTATAAAAGTATATCACCAAGTGATATTTTTGATCTAGTAGTTTCAACTTGTGTTACCAAGGAAGTTTCACTTATAGGCTTTGAATGGTAGACGTTTTTTATGGAGTCATTTCGATCCCTAATGGCGTACAATTCTCCATTCACTGGTTTTGACAATTCCAATAGTTTAGTAGAGCTGCTTACGTCCGAGCCACCATGATGACAAGACTGGCAAAGAACTTGAGTCGAGTCTTTCGCATTTGCTGGCCACCATATTGGCGACATGTCTGTTGAACAATGGAGACACATCTTTTTGTCCCCGTTGCTCTTGAGATTCTTATCGGCACTGCTCGATGTGCCAAAGTACAAGTTTCTATGCTCAACGTAGCTTAATGCTTTGGCGTGCGGCCCACTAGATTTCGGTTGGTTCAGCTTCACTATATCCTCGAGAAATAGCTGAATAATCGGCTTGCTCTCAGAATCCCTACCAGCAACCCTTCTTCCCAAGGTCCGAAAATTGAGAATGGTGTCTTTTGATTGATCATGTTTGGGACAGACCAAAATCGATCTTAATTTACCTACCTTTTCATCAACTTTGACGTTCTGAGACGATTTCACTCCATTGTCCAACTTGAATCCTAACTTGTAATTCGGTGTATCTTGTGCACACGTAGGATGGTAGTACGTTGGAGTCTCACAGAGGTCGCAACGTACCAACGCTCCATTGTATGACCGGCAAATACCACACTCCAATCTGCAATTATTCAAGTAAACTTTTGTTACATCGTCGAGCGATAAAAAACTATGTGCAACCGCACCTTTGCTTTTCTTAAAAACAGCATACTCGCTATTGAATATGGCGCATAACAAATGGCACCATCTTCCATCAGTAGTTGGCTTCAAGAAATCGGGTCTAACACGAGGTGATCCAAGGAGACACAATTCAAAATTAGTCTCGTGAGCCAAGCATAAAGAGCATGAATATATAGCACTGTGTATAGGTTTCATATCATTGGTGCAAGGTTCACATAACCATCCCTTTATTGGTTTCGACTTCTCCGGTAACGAGTAGCCGGCACAAGATGCATGAACGTTGACTCCACAATTGGCACAGATCAACGTCTCCAGGAGTGATGATCTTGCCGTGTCGTGTTCCCTGCATACACAACATTTTCTTTCTTGTGGTTTAAATGGCAACTCTATTGATGTCAAATGTGGTGTCTGGAGTGGTAAAAGTGTAGTGTAAACATCGGCTAATTGCACTTCTCGGTAATGGTTAATGAATGGCCCGAGTTTAGTCGCAGCCTCATCTGCGCTCACCTTCTTGGGTACTTTAATTGACCTTGGAATGGAATAATTTTGATTAAAGAGTATGTTTCTGGCTGATGCCCCCAAGCCCTTACTAATTAGTTCGTCGATACTTTGCAGTGGCTTGACATCCTGTTTTTGAATCTTTGGCTCTTTCTTTTCCAGCTTCGGGTGCTCTTCTTTAATTGCTTTTGGTGTTGAATTAGGTAATGAAGTGTTGGGCTTTCGTTTAGATTCGATCTTCTTCTCAGCCATTGGTTCCTGTTTGAGATCAATATCTAATGGCTTTATGTTCTTCACCTCTTGAGAAATACCCGAATTGGAGATATCTGCATAATGCAATATAGCATTGGCATCATTCAAGAGTTCATTATCAACACCTTTTCTCCATCCACTGGATTTAGAAACCTTCTTTAGAACCTCTTCGGGGCTCTCCCAAACCACAGCATATCTTCTCCACAACCTGGCACACCGAAAGCACAATGCCACAACATATCCTGCTTCATTAGGCTTCTTTGCATCATGGCCTGTTATCCGAAACCACTGTATCGACGACGTCGTCTCACAATGTTTGCAAACAAATTGCGATCTCTTGTCTTGAATCTTTCCATTTTCATAAGATGAGTCATCATCGGGGTTCGCCAAATCGTCGATTATGACATGTTCTGGCTTTTTGTCACTCTGCTCTAACTTAATAGGGTTAGGCTGCTTTTTTGTTCGACCTTCAAAATTTCCCCAAATTTGTCGACCATTCTTTGTCTTTTTCCAAAGGTAGTAAAACCGCACTACTTGATGCAAAGGCTGAGTCTTTACTTTCTTTTGCACATAGTACAATTCGCTACCAAACTCCTTTACCCCTGCTTCAAACCGCTTCACTTCCTCTCTATTAAATACAGGTTCTTTGAGCTTCTTCTTGTCTAGCTTCTGCACATCTGCAAATGCTTTATTGACATCTCCGTTGTGAATCATATACAGATAAGCCACAGCGTCACAAAAGTTGGGCGAGTTAGGCCAAAGTCCTAATAACTCCGCAACTGGTGCGCATTTTGCTACAAAAGCGTCGAGCTGTTTGAAATTATCAGCAATGTCTTTTTCCGACGACTTCCAAAGTAATGTACATGTAACACCAGATCCGTCGTCAACACCCCGTTCGATATACCCTTTAGGTCGGGGCTGTAGCCAACATGGATACTCCTTTGGGTCGAGATCCTGATATTCCTTGGGGAGCATCAATTTGCGTGGCTCATCCTGCTTATCTTTACTCTTGGACTTGTTATTCGGTTGCTGCTTCTTCCTTGGTGATTTTTCCACATCGTAATAGACTATTGGATGTCCATTGCATTCGGGAATGTAGACCGCTTGATGCTTAGTTCCTACTCTAGTAGATGCACGTGGATACGGTGATTTGTCATCCAAGTCCACAGCCTCTTCCAATTTTGCATTCATTCCAAGGTACCTCATGCACCATTCCTCCTTGATCCTTCTTTCCTCAAGGGTCATATTGGCATCATTATCCAAGAACTCTTTTGCCATGGTTTCGTACCGCGGAAGTACTGAATTTACATTATTGGTTTCAACGATTTGGTTTTTGCTCAAATCTTTCACTTCAGCCTCTAACGAACCCAATGCGCTCAACTCTTCTTCTAGAGATTCTTGATTTGATGACTTGTTGTCATGCAGGAGCATTAATATCTTCTTTTGGTGGTACTCAATCTCGTGCTTCTTGGTGCATACAGCACAGGACCACGAAAATCCACGACTTGGCTTCTTTTGTAATGGCGGATCCAAGCAAAACATATGGAAATATTTATCACACTCGACGCAATTAATCGAGTCTGCTCCATCGCACCATAGCCCACAAACGTCACAATTACACGTGTTGGCTTTGAATGAGTTTATTAATGATTTGGTTCGATGAGTTTCACAAAAGATGTATTGGAACCGCTTGTTCAATGCAATTAAAAAATTCCTTGACTTGCTATTTTCTACTTGTGCATACTGTAGAAGGTTCTTTGTCAGCAAAACATCATAAGATCGTATCATGTACCGGTCATACAATCGGTCAAAGTAGAAACAGTTTGGAGTTTGTACATATGACTCTATTGGAGATAGCCCGCCTGTTGGAGTCTGTGACTTTGATTGAGTTCTTCCCTTATTTGTAACTTGACCGCTATAATTGTCTTCTATATCTTGCTTTAGCTCAACATTGACAATACCACGAAAGCTTGGTAACGGACAAGTGTCAGAGTCCATCGTAGCATACAACAACCGTGAATCTGACGACGCCTTTGAAACATCTCTTGGTCTAAAAAACCATTGCACTAGAAACTGGTAACCTTTGGAAGGCACTATGCTTTCACCCTCGTCATTTGACATGGACCCGGTGTCATTATACTTGTGATGTCTGTTGTTGGTGAAACCTCTTATCCTCCCAATGTAGTAAGGCTCCCCCGGTGGTTCGCTAATCATGTAAATACATTGACCTTTTGATAGTGTGAACGGACGACTATTTTTTCCCCTTTTAGTAGTAGTCGTTGTTGCATTTTGATGAGGACAGTATAGTGTCTGCATTTTCAAGTCAATGTACGAGTCTGTTAGATCAAGTTTATTCGAAAAGTAGTCATTTTGTGATGGCGTTGGTTGCCAATTGTAAGGAATCTCAGAGACAGGGCTATCGCTGTGGCTTTGTGAAAAAGGACTCTCTTGAACCTGCTGTTGCTTCTTTGTAAGCGGATTCGTCTTCTTTCTCTTATTACTAGAAGTAGATTTTGGCGTTGAAGTTGCACTTGAATTGGTTGATAAGACTGAGGATGTTGACAGTTCGTAATCTAGCTGCAGTTCCAAGGAGTCGTTATATGATTTATTTATTGTTGCCTTTCTCTTGGGTCGGCTGGTCGTTTGGGACATGGTTATGGAAGTTGGCTATGATATGTCACAATATAGTAAAGAAGCCCACCTATATTATTTGTAGCGAAGGAATCGGGAATATAGCAGTACAGTTTTGGAAGAGTAGTGACTCTCGGCACTTCACAATGTATGCTGAATTGTTTGTCGTAGAATACAAAGTGCTTTCTGGTAGTGTGAAAAATCGCTCAGAAATTTTTTTGGGATATCTCGGCATAACTTGCAAATCGCTTCATTGGTGGAGCCTTCAAAATTTATCCAAGGCACTTCAGAGGAAAGAGAACAGAGGAATTGCGCCCGTTAGAAATTACTGTTACACCATTGTAGTAGTTAGCTACAACACAGGAAAAGTTAATTCCTTCCAAGTGAAAGCAGGTACGGCCCAGGATACAACTAAACTGCATGTTTACTACTCTGTCAGCATATTCAGATAAATTTACTAGCTCAATCGTTTTGCGGAACCACTACTAGTCTCTGCACCACCTTCCTCTAGCTTACCTATATCATGAAGCCTTCCATCCTTTAAACGAATGTCAAGAAAGAGAAAAAAAAAAAAGAGAACAAAAAAAAAAATTAATTTAGCGTTCAAGGGTCAAAACAAACCCCCATCACCAGCAGAGCCCATTACACTTCCATGATTCAGCTTGAGGAACGGGACATACCTGTAATACCAGGAGATAAACTTGACGATGAAGATGCTCAGGAACTACGTCTTATGGTTGCTGAGCTTTTGGGAAGACGGAGCACATCATTTCCCGGCTCACAACCAGTCTCATTTGAACGAAGGCATTTAGAAGAAACCTTAATGCAAAAAGACTACTTTGTATGTGAAAAATCAGATGGATTGAGGTGTCTTTTATTTATAGTGAATGACCCAGAAAAGGGAGAAGGTGTGTTTTTGATAACTCGTTCCAATGATTACTACTATATCCCCAATATCCATTTCCCACTTTCCGTCAAAGAAACACCAGAAAACAGGACTTATCATCATGGTACACTTTTAGATGGCGAATTGGTCTTGGAGAATAAGAATGTGAGTGAACCTGTACTTCGATACTGTATTTTCGACGCATTGGCAGTGAATGGGAAATGCATAATCGACCGACAATTGCCAAAACGGTTGGGGTATATAACAGAGAACGTCATGAAACCGTTTGATCACTTCAAAATCATGCACCCTGAGGTTATCAATTCACCTGAATTTCCTTTCAAAGTGGGGTTCAAGTCTATGTTGACGTCCTATCATGCAGATGACGTTTTGAGTAAGATGGACCAGTTGTTTCATTCGTCCGATGGCTTGATTTATACCTGTGCAGAAACTCCATATGTATTTGGCACGGATCTGACGTTACTAAAGTGGAAGCCTGCAGAGGAAAACACTGTTGATTTTCAGCTTGAGTTTGTGTTTAATCTGTTCCAAGACCCTGATATGGATGAAAGAGATCCATCGTCTACTTACACCGATTATGATTCGAAGCCTGAGTTGATAAAGTTGCGTGTATGGCAAGGTTCAAACGTGCATACAGATTTCACTCGGTTGGACTTATCCGATGAGGATTGGGAACGTTTAAAGGCTCTAGAGGAGCCGCTACAGGGCCGTATTGCGGAATGTCGTCAGTCACTAAAGAAAAAGGGTTACTGGGAAATGTTACGATTCAGAAATGACAAGAATACAGGCAATCACATTAGCGTTGTTGAGAAAATCTTGCTAAGTATCAAGGACGGGGTAAAGGAAAAAGAAGTTGTTGATAGTTGCAGGAAGATTGCGCTGGCGTGGAAACACAGAGAACAGGAACGTAGACGCAGACATTCAAATGGCGGGCCAGCACCATCCCATCACCATAATCAACAACAACAACATCAACACCACCAACAACAACACAACCACGATCACAATCACAATCACACAACACATGATGAACCCCCAGCAAAGAGAGCCAGGCTAGATTCCACGAAAGCGGAACTGCAGCCACTACAGTCTCAAGATCAACTAGAGGATATTCCAACCTACGAAGACAGCGACGACGAGTAAATTTGTAACAGATTTTGTATTATATCAATGAAATTAATATTTTTAAAGTAAACTTCAAGATTATTTCTCTTCTTCTTTTTCTTTTTCTTCTTCTTCTTCTTCTTCTTCACTTTTGACATTCCATTGACAGCTGATATCCCATCTAGACCCCTTTGCATTGATACTGACGTACTTTACAAACTTTAAAACAGATGGGTCTCGGACCATCAATGTTAATGTGTTCCACTTACATTGGCTTGTGTATAGCACACTATCCTCTTCAGAGTCCTTGCTCGATCGATAAATAGCTGGATCGTCTTCTTCTTCATCATCTTTTGTAGCTTGCGCCATACACAATTCGTATCCACCAAATTCACCTGATTCCCAGCTGTTTATCTTTGAATCGCTTGCAGCAGTTGGAGTTAGGTTCATTGTAGCCTCAAGTAATACATTTTCTTCGTTTACATTTCTGGCAATTTCAGAATCAGTTGTGGTTGCTAAAATAAAGTCTTGTCCCGGTCTAAACCTACGAGCCAAAATTTGTTCAGTGGTGGGTATCAAGCCAGTAATAACTCTTAGCCATTTCTTGAATGCGACAGATTTAAGCAATTCACAGATTTGAATTATTTTGGAGTCGGCTGACTTTAGTCCATTTGCTTTACTGAGAAGTGTAAAGTTTGGTTGTTCTTGAGGTCCAACTTCGTTGATAAATTTGATCTCCTCTTTGGTTAGCCCGTGATGAGATGTCCCATCGATGTACATGTATCGCTGTTTGTGCGGAGGTACCGCTATTTTCCACGGATGATGTACCTCCGAAGAGTTTTGGGGTGTTGTGATGTTGATTTCGACATCTCTGAGTAACTCTTTTAATGAAGACGCATAATCGTCGTTTAAAATGTCTTTTAATTCAACATACGATTCATCGAGGAAAAAGGCGCTCAATGTTTGAATGTAGGTAGTGTTGAGATAAACTGGATTGATGAAAGATTTCAAGTAATCGTAATCTTGTTGACTCAATTCGTCTTTGGATTCAATATTTTTCAACTCTAGAGCATTTATCTCATTTCTAATACTCTTTGGGAAATCAAATTCCTGCAACTCCTTACTTTGAAGTTGTTGTAATGTAGACATTGCTTCTGTCCTTGCTTGCTCACCTTCAACAAACCCATCCTCTCCGGGCTGTGGAATATGGAACCACCCTTGGATAGACAACCTGTGCTTGTCTTCGCGGACTTCTTCAACATCGTGGAAACTCAATCCTGGTTGCACTGTAAAGAACGCTATTTGATTAAACTGAGGAACTAGTTTGCACTCAAAATCAGTATGTGGAACATTGGGTACAACGGCAGGAAATAGTCTCAAGGCACCTCCATATTGTGGTTTCCACACTTTATCTGGGTCAGGCATATACAAAATAAAACTAACCCTTCGACTTCCAATAACATCATCGTGGGTCAACAAGTGGCAGCCTCTGGTGTATGTGTTGATTGACATATCAGTCTTGATCCCACTCAACTTACCGCACCCCGTAATTTTAGAAATCACGTCTCTAAACTCTTGCGAGTATATTGCTGCACGCAACTTGTACAAGGATGGTAATCTTGACAAATCGTTCCAATCTAGACCCGATAAGTTAGCAAGATCTCCCAGCTGATACACTTTATAAATGTCAGTTTCTTTCTTTGTGAATGCTATTTCAGACAACACCTCTTTTCTGACCTGGCGCAACAAAGTATCATCTATAAGACTTTTGATTGTTCCCCATTTATATGGCGAGCTCTCACTCACTTGGTGTTGAATTTCATTTTGAAACTCTGGCTGCCAAATTTGACCATTGAAGAAATGTTTAATATCTTCTTTGGTAAATTGAGCATTGAGTCGTTTGGGGGATGCGTCGTCAGGGGTAGCTTCTTGAGTTCTCTTTGATGGAGTCATTATTAGTGGTTTGCCAGGATAGGGTTGTGTGATGGTGATTGCAAAGATTCTAACGATGGTGAAAAAAGAATAAAAAATTTATCTATATAAATTAAAGATCATCTGATAAACTTTTGGAGCGGGCCTAGAAATACATCGGACTACTTTTCTCTGAAGCAACCTGCGCTACCGTCTCATGCAAAAAGTGGAAAACCACAAAAGAAAAAAATGTAAAAAAGAAATTTGATTAACTCACACAAATGCACGTGATTAAATTGACTCATTTTTAATTTCAGAATAAACCAATTTATATATAGATTTTTTTTTTCACTGTCAATTGAGTCAGAATGGATTCCCTTTGTATAATCAGTTATCCCTTTGAGTTAAGCTACATCTGGTCTCCTTGCCAACATTTTTAATAGAAAAGAATTTCATAAAACACTTCATATAAAGGCTCCAACTTTGTTTAACATGTCCAGATCACCGTCATCAAGATCATACAATTCAGTACTAGACTTCAAGTCAAATTCTCCTACTACTCCCACTGGCTCCTCAATCAGTAAGTTATTGCCTAAAGGTTGGGTGGTTCAAAAATTCGGTGGTACTTCGGTGGGTAAATTTGCCAGTGAAATAGTAGATAACATTGTTAAGGACTTTGTCAATCTGAATCAAGTTGCTGTGGTATGCTCGGCAAGATCATCAAAGACAAAGAGCGAAGGTACAACATCTAGGTTAATCAGACTGGCTGAATTGGCCGCTGATAATGAGGATTTTGGTGCTCTCCTAGATATTATAGAAAAAGACCACATTGAAAACTGTGGGAGCTTAGTTGAGCTGGAAGCAGTTAGATCACAATTGGTTGCAGACATTAAGGCCGAGGTAAAACACGGACGTGAGTTGCTTCATGCATGTCAAATTATTGGAGAGATTAGTCCCAGATCTTTGGATTCGGTGATGTCAATTGGAGAAAAATTATCGTGCATTTTCATGACTGCATTAATGAAGGACCATGGATTGAAAGCTGTATATATAGATTTGTCCGACTTGATCCCATTGAGTTATGATTTCACTGATGGGTTCAATGATGAATTCTATAAATTCATGGCAAGGGAAATTGGTTCCAGGATAAACCAAGCGACAGAGGGAGAGGAAGACGTCATTCCTGTGATTACTGGTTACTTTGGTATTGTACCAGGTGGATTACTTAATGGGGTCGGAAGAGGTTACACCGACTTGTGTGCGGCTTTGGCTGCAGTAGGACTTCAGGCGGAGGAGTTGCAAATATGGAAAGAAGTCGACGGAATATTCACTGCCGATCCAAGAAAAGTGCCCACCGCTAGACTATTAGATAGTGTAACTCCGGAAGAAGCCGCTGAATTAACCTACTATGGAAGTGAAGTCATACATCCATTTACCATGGAACAAGTTATAAAGGCCAAAATCCCCATTAGAATCAAAAATGTCATCAATCCTCGTGGTAACGGCACAATCATCTACCCTGACAATATTGCAAGACGCGGTGAAGAGACCCCACCTCATCCACCTGCTGCATATGAAACATTACCTGTTAGTTATATCACCACACACAAGAGAAGATCAGCAACGGCAATCACCGCCAAGCAAGATATTGTTGTAGTCAATGTTCATTCCAACAAAAAGACTTTGAGTCATGGGTTCCTTGCCCATCTTTTCACAACCTTGGACAAGTATAAATTGGTGGTTGATTTGATCTCAACTTCGGAAGTGCACGTGTCCATGGCCCTTTCAGTTCAAGCCGACCAAGAACACCAATTGAAACACGCATTGGCTGAATTGAGCAAGATGGGAACTGTTGACGTGACGAGAAAGATGACCATTGTCTCCCTTGTCGGCAAGCAGATGGTAAACTTCATTGGCATTGCTGGAAATATGTTTAAAGTATTGGCTGACGAGAAAATCAATATTGAAATGATTAGTCAGGGGGCTAATGAGATAAATATAAGTGCAGTCATTAATGAGAAGGATACTCTAAGGGCCTTGCAATCAATACATGCTAAATTATTGGAGGGGAATTACGTTTACGAAGGTTCAGAGAATGGTGCGTCTGCTGTTGATATAAGGTTAGAGGCATTAAAGTTTGCGTAAGCTAATATGTATATAGACAATCAAAGAGAAGTACATTCACAAAGACTTAAATCAATTCACCATTACATCTTTAAATATCAAAATCGCCTCCTTCTCTTTCATTCTTATCCTTTGCGCCTTCGTTCAACTTTTGTTGTTGTTCAATCAATCCCTCGTAGTCCCCAACCATTCCACCCAAGAGTTCACTGGCCAACTTGTGGTAAGCCAACTGGGCCTTGATGAGTTCCAAAAATTCTTGCAAGGGCTTGGCATTCTCAATCACATTCTGCATGATGTTGATTGCATCTTCAACTGTATTGGCAAAGTCATCCTCGGCATTTTCCATATCAACCCTCAATTTCGATTCTTTTGCCGGGTTTGTACAATTGGTCAAATTATATCTACTCAAATCATAATCAATCCTCTTCTCCTCAACCTTCTTTTGAATCTTGTTGGATTGGGATATCAATGAACGCAATGTCGTGGTCAATGGTTTGTTGAATTTCAGTTTGATCAATTGGTCTTGTCCCAATCTTGCGTTCGCAATCTTGTTCAAGTTTGAAGAGTACAAGTCCAAACCTTTAATCAAAGGATCGCTCGCATCTGAGTTGGAATCAGTCTCTTTAGTTAACACACTAGCATCGGTGGCTCTGCTTAATGCGTGGTACAACGTTTTAGGAGGTTTTGATTCGTCGCTTCCGGCATTAATCAAAGCTGCTTGCGCCTCGGCAGTGGTAGTTGCTTTACTCAAGTTACTAAACCTGGTGGTGACATTGTTACTGAACTCGGAGAATGATTCTTGTAAATTGGTGGGATAATCATACGATTCGTTTTCGTAGTTGGAGGTAACCTTCAACACATTCTTGTACAACAGTTCAATGTTGTTACACTTGTTAGCCAAGTCAATGTATTCTGAGGGCAATTGCGATATGTCATCTTGGTTGATTTTACCAATTCTTTCTTGTACCAATCTCGATGTTCTTTGGGCCAATGGTACTACCTCCTTGTTGAACTCGGTGCTGATTCGATCACCAAAAGATCTGATGTCTTTGGTCAAGTTTGAAAAATTGAATGACATTGGGGTAGATTGATGTCCTGTTTCAATATAAGTGAATTTAGACTAACAGGAGTGTATACCACTAGTACGTGTTCTTCCTCTGAGGGGTCTAGTTGATTAGGAAGGGAAAAACTGGTACTTTATTGTCCTTGACGTTTATTGCGTTTTGTTCTGCTGTTTTTTTACAGGGATTGTATGCTACCAATTCCATAGTACAGACTATACCTAACTGGCATTGCTTTACATCGTAATCGTGACGACACTGCTCTAAACCTACTTCTTTAAATAAACAACTACAATAATTTGGCTCTATAGATAAAAGCGTACGATTAGATAATCTAAACAATATCAAAACTTGTTTCCCTTGTCATGGAACTCCAAAACAGCATCAGTCAACCTCTTTCCACTCTCTATAATATCATCATCATTGTTGAGCGGAGCATAGCACAACCTAAAGAAATTGCTTCTTTCCAAGCTGAATTTTTGATCAACTGTCATGTTGTACCCAGGGACAACCAACACCCCATGACTGATAATTTTCCACAATAACTGCTTCATCGTTGGGATTACCTCATCGGCTGCAATTTTCCCTTGAGCTGGATCCAAAAACTTGACCTTAAAAGTAACAAACATTCCCGCCTTGGGATCTATAACGTCGACTAACCCCTTTTTGAAAGCGTCTGATTGATAAATTGAATGCAACAAAAGGTCCTTTCTATGGGAATAAGTTGCTCTCATTTTCAATATCCAATTCAACCATCCATCTAAACCTCCCCAATGCTCTCTAATCACGTTGTTCACTACTGTTTGTGCCAAGCCTGATGCACCCCTATTTGCAACTTCGGCATAGTTTTTGATAACGTCAATGACCTTGGCGTGGGCAATGACAAATCCGAGACGTAAACCAGGGGCAAATAATTTGGAAAAAGTTTCGACTCTAATGACACGGCCAGTAGTGTCTAGTTCCAAATATGAAGGGGTCAAATGGTTAAACAAATAGTCCTCGATAGTTAAATTGTTCTTCAATTCTGCAGGATCTACTTTGTTGTTGCTTGAAAATCGAGATGCGTCATACTTGGGTAAAGTCAAATAGCCATATGGGTCGTCCTCAATAATAACAAAGTTGTGCTCTTCTGCCAATTTGTAAATTTTGCGACGAAATTCAATCGTTTGAGTAAACCCAGTTGGATTCTGGCCCGTGGATATAGTGTACAATGCTTTTGGTTTTGGCAAATTAGGATACTCCTTCAGCCAATTGTCCAACAAGTTTTGCAAATAGTCTAAATCAAGACCATTGGAATCACTGGACAAGTCGATTTTAATTGGCACAGACACCCCACCAACGTTGTTTACAAATCTGAGAAATGGACTAAATGTGAATTCCTCAACAAGGACAACATCACCAGGATCCAAGATTGCATCACATGCCTTGTTCAACCCGTCACTAGCACCAGTAGATAAAATCAGGGTCCAGTCGTCGTACGCTGGTTTATGCGTTTTGGCAATAAACTCCTTGGTGAATTCCAACAAGGGGTCAAGACCGGGGACAGGGCCGTACTGTAAACCTCTTGATAAGTCGAGCAGATTGGGAGTTTTAGTGTGTCTGGCAATATGAATGCTGTTGGAATTTTCCTCCTTTGCATGTCCGTTAGCCTTTGGTTCCGAAGCTGAACCATTAAGATGGCCTCCTTTTGACTGGTGCTCGAAGGGGAAGTTGACCAAGTTCACATCAATGGAGTCAATTGGGAAAAAGCCATCATTTGGAGTACCGTACGATAACAACAAGGGTTTGGGGTGTGGTTTAAATCCAGCTGGTGGTTTATCTGATGGCACATTTGCGAAATGACTTGACGTCCTTGATTGAGCCCTCTTGGAAATGAATTGGGTCACGTCTGACATGATGTGATTGTGTTTTACTGATGATATTTGATGTTTTCTTAATCAACTTAGAAGTTGGCCCCTTTATATATATGAAAACCCCAATCTGAACAATGATGAAATTCTAGTGGCAGATTAGTAATTGTAGATTTTTTGGGGGATATGAGCCATACCTATTTTTGACCAGTTTTGTGCAACAATCCACACTTTATCTCGGTCGCGCTTTTTTTATTTTTTATCGGTGGTTTTTCCGCTCCAACTACTCAAAAACGGAAATAGTTCCACTACAGTGTCAAACAATCTCCAAACTTCACAAGTAAACCTCTCTCATACTGTTACAAAATCGTTTCATTAACTATCACATTTTAGATATCCATTTCTATATCGTCATCCTCTAAGTAGTTGATGCTCTTGCATGCACTGTACTCGTCAATCACTCTCACAACTGACTCCTTACACTCGCTAAACATGTCAACCACGCGGCCCATCTCCTCGGCAGAGTTGTCTTCGGTATACGTGTTCAAGTACGCCTTTCTTTTCACCAATAAATCATACTGTCTAAGTATCTTGTTAAACACATCGATTATGGAGGTGTTATTGGAAATCTGTATTCCTTCGAGATTGCTGCCACTCGCATATGGTGATTTCTTACCGTGTACTACTCCTACTGACCTCGAAGTCCAGGGAACAAAATTAGTACGTGCTTGAACTTTTAAAATTCCCTTTCGTATTTCCTTTCGATCTAGGTTAGATGTACTGATCAAATAGTTGATTAAACTGATATAGGCTATTTCAGATGCTGAGTTAGACGACGTTGGAGTGATGCACTTATTGGTTTTGTATCTGTCATCCGATAATTCCAAAAACATGTCGTACTCATTTATGTAGTTGTGATGTGACTGAGTGCTAAAGGGCGCTACGGAAGTTGTAAGAAATTTCAAGTCGGGAGTTGGAACCAAGCTCGAGACAATTGACTCAATTGAGCTGTACATATAGCCAGGGAACCGTAAGGGGTTACTCACTGACGCACTCACAAAGGCAATAAGTTTATTTGTGACTTGAAACGAACTTGGCAAGCCTATGTTACGCTCTTCCAATCCTCCTTGGTTAAAAACTGCATTCTCAATGTTATTCAATGCGTCATTGTGAAACACAAATGTCGCATTACTAAACTCGATCAATCGCTTCAATGTCAATAAACTATTGTAAGGCTGGACAACAACATCACTCGTCTTTTCATTCGATGGGAATATCGAGTTGGTGGTTATGATTTTCTTACTTGTATATCTATCCTGCAAAATTTCCAATATCTTTGACCCACATCCCAGTCCTGTACCACCAGCTACACTGTGAAACAATTGAAACTGGGACAAATTGTCGCATTTATCAACTTCCCTGTCCATTATATTCAATATGCTCTCAATGTGCTCCGACCCATATTTGTAGCCATTCGACCAGTTATTGGCCGCTCCATTACCCAGTTCGCTGACATGAATATTCCGTGGGTTGAGCATAGGCAATGTGTTTAATGCTTTGGTAACAACTGATGGCTCGAGATCAATGAGTATTGAACGGGGAGTGTATGTATTTGAGTCCGATAATGTGAAAAACAACTCAGGATGATCATCTCGATGTAGTCGTTTGGACTCTTGGGGCAGTGCCGATCCTTGCAGGGAAGGTTGTGGGGATGAATCAGTAGCATTTAGTGATTGGTCTTGAGGATAAGGTGTGGGAGTTCCATCTCGATTTATTCCGTGTTCCAGAGCCAATTGTTGCCAGTATTGTAGCCCAACTTGGTTCCCGCATTGACCTGCCTGTATTGTAATAGTCTCACTATAAATCTGTTAGTGTTTTGGTTCAATTACATATATTCCCTGTGAAGAGTGATACATACCCTGGCATGGCAAGTAATTGTAGTAGTATTTAGTCAAACAGCGCTATGGCTTCTGTCTACGCGTAAAGTTTTTGTTGTTCTTTTTTTTTTTCTTTTGTTTACACTTTGGTTGGAATTTGCAAGATTTTTTTTTTCTCTGCAATGTTCATTAACCGGAGTTAGAGCAAAAGAGTTATTCTACTGTTAGAACCAAACTCGGCAAAGTAAAAGTAAAATAACAAAATGTTGATATATTTTTGGTATTGTTTGAAATATTAAATAACGTATAAAATTTTAAAAAATGGTAATGTAAAATAAAAAAAAAGAGCCAGCACCAACGAGTGAAAACAACATCAATTATGTATCTTTATTATTGGACAGGGGGGTCAGCAAAAATCAACAAAATACAAAGATGGGGGGAGTGGTTGTAAATTCAATCTCCAATCTTTGATCCTCTTATTATGACCTTCTATTACTCTGACCTGCAGTAAAACGTTTGTCCTTCTTCATGTGACGACACCTAACCAATAATAACACCAAAAACATTTGTTGCCTTTGTTCGCGAATACAACACTTTTTTAAAAGGAAAATTCCACGAAAGAAAGAAGGAAAAGAAAGATTATTTTTTAAGCAGCTAGATTTGATTCACCAATTAAGCAATCTCCTTTAAGTTGATCTCTTCTTTTTACATTTGCTTGGGGAGCTGGTGGTAGTGACTGTGCTGAATGAAGTACCACTGAGAAGTGAACTAAGATCAGCAGAACCAGTAGTGATAGTTGGAGCAGCTCCACCAGTTGGGGTAGTGGCAATTGACGAGGTGGATGTAGTGTCTTTACAGTTACCAAAAGCAGCAGCCAAAGCATTAACAACAACGGATTTAAGGGTATCAATGTTCAAGAAAGCTTTGATAAGTGATGGGATCAAACCAGAGTCGACCAAAGCATCAATCAATTGACCAATAGTGATGGCACCAGATGAGAACAAACGAGAAATCAATTCACCACCAAAAGTGTAGAAGTCATCATCAACAACCAAAGCTTCAACAACTTGGTTAGCCAATCCAGAGTTCTTTAATGATTCCATCAATGAAGTAAGAATGTCTTGAGTGTCTCTAGCGTAAACTGGGGCAGTGTATTCAACTCCCATTGGGGCAATTTGTCTCTTGTCAACAGCAGAAGAAACGGCAGCAGCGTTAAGACCCAACAAGTTAGCAATAATGTTTGGCAAGTTTTCGAGCCATTGCCCAACCAATTTGAAGATTTGAGCGTAGAAGGCACAATCGTTGATAAGGTCTTGGATAACATCAACAGCCAATCCAGAGTCGTTCAATGATTTCAACAAGGTGTCCAAGTTAATCCAACCGTTCTTGATAGCAGAAACAACGACATTAATGGTGATGTTTGACAAAGTTGGGTCGGAGATAAGGTATTCAATGACACCTGGAGCCAAGTTTGTGTCCTTAACAATTGCCAAGATATCAGTGACGATTTGTGATTCTCTCTTGACAACATCAGCTTCAGTCAAAATGGATCTTTTGGTGTTGTAGTGTTCCAAGTTGTAAAGGGCATTGTTGGCAATGTCAAATTCTCTTGGAGTCAATTCCAATGGAGCTGAAGCAGCAGGCAAAGCAGAAACTGTGGAAACAGCAGCAGTGAAAAATAATGTAACTGAGGCAAAGTTAAACTTCATCGCGAATGGATCAGGTGAGTGTATGTATATATATAGGAAGATTTGACTAGTGACTCTTGTTGGTAAAAGGAAGAAAGAAAAAGGAAAAAGAAGGAGGAAGATAAATCAAAGTTTGAGTAGATGGAAATTCACCACAATTTATATTTCAAAAAATGAAGAAAGAGTCAATTGATCGTCTCCAGTAATCCCTTTGTTGGTTGAACCCTTTGTGATTGTCCTCCTCCTCCTCCTCCTCCTCATCCTCACCCTTTGTATTTCTCAATTAACCAACTTGAGTAAATATGTATCTAGTGGTAATTTGTAAAATTGTACAACATACCCAAGTTCTTTGACATATTTTGCTAGAGATTTAAGTTTTCCCAAAGTAGAAAATAATAGAAGATTACAATGAAGATCTATTTTAAGAAGTAGCCACAAAGTACCCATTCTCCTTTGGAAGTGTATTGTAGGAGCTTAAGGTTTTATTTCGCAGCATCTTCATAACCCAAACACAGTTGCAAAAACTAATAGTAGTGTGGTACGAAGTAAGAAAAAAAAAAAAATAAAATAAAATTATTTATTTAACTTTCATTACCCTTTTGGGAAATTTCTTTCATTTCTTAACTAAGTTAACTTACACAAAACATTAAATATGCAAAATGTAGAATCGTAATTTAATCGTTTGCAGACTACTATAGAGTCATACTCTACTAACTAGAAGTGCCCACTAGATCTTTGCATAAGTCGACACTGGTACCAAATATGATTCGATCTTACATGAAGTGCCTGCTGTCCTTGACGTTTGAGTAACCATAAGCAAAGCTATTCTCCCTAGTTACATATAAGTTTATGCTACGCTTTATTACACAATAGTGAACGTCAATGCAATGAATTTAAAAAAGGAGGAACAAAAGTTAAACCCTATTGTGTTTTTAATTTTTGGTAAATCATCAAAGAGTTTGTATACTGTTTTAGGAAAACATCGGCTGGTGGAAATTCCGGCTAGTTTTTGTTTGTCTATTTTTTCTATTTTCTTTTCCTTGGAACATTGTAAGGCGATTTGTGTATAATTAAAAAATGTGTACTCAATTAGGGAAAGACGACCCAAAAAACCAAAAAACAATTTACCCCAAGTGCACTACCACCGACTGTGGGGAAAACGCAATACAGAACACCTGCAAAATATCCTTTTTAGTTTATGAGTTTAACTCTATATTGAAAGGAGAGGTTATATGCATAAATAATGGAATCTCCAAACTTCGCTAAAGCTTTGTTTTCTAGAGGTCTAGTTTAGCGCATATGGAAAACAAGTCTCATATTTAGATGAAACATAATAGCTTCTCGTACAATCCATCGTACAGTAAGACGCAAGTCTAGAATTAAACCGGTAGTAACGATTCTATCAATGCTTTTAAATAGACCATTTCTCCCTTTGTCTCATGTTCACATCTCTTATAGTAATTTTATTAAACAGGGTATTTAAAGGTGCGCAAGATGCAAAAACACCATGATCACGTGCTCAATTTTTAGAATAGCTATTTCTACAAAGTTGCAAAATTTCCAGGCAGAGTGAATACTCGTAGAAGGGTTAACTTGTGCTATAGGTTCCTCTCGAGTGTTTAGTCTCCGTTGTACAATTAATTTATTGTATTGCAAGTTTCATCAAATTGGCTTGAAAATTGTCCAAAATAGTTCGTATTATTCAACATTCTACTTTAGTGTCTTCGTTGAAACTCTCCTATTATGATAATTTCTATAGACAAACAAAGAAAAACAATGGTGCAACTAGTTACTACTCAATTGCAAAACCTAACTTGTTGGCTTCAAACTAGTCGTTGTCATCGGCAACAAACCATCGTTTAGTAACCCAAGGGATAGTATGTATAAAGAGTCGTGCAAGACTCGAAATCTCGGTCGTAATAAATCCTCGGAAATAAAGCACTCGCACATCCGTCTTTGTGGACAATCCGGGGTCGGCTGATTCACATCACAGCGGTGCATATAGCATAGAGTGTTCTTTACAACTTTGTCAAATTAAGAAGGTTTAGAGAATGGTATTGATAAAATATTAAACAACTATAACGAACTAAGGAATAAAATTTTGCACCGCCATAAACAGTTGGACAGTAACACCAGATGAACCAATATCACCAACATTAGCTCTTTCTTTGCGAATTCTCACTTTCATGCAAAAGGAAAATCCCACAACTAAAAGGCGGCTAAAACGGGAGCAAAGTAATTATCAGCTAGAGAATGGTAATCCCTAAACTGATCTCTTTTTCTTTCTGCATTTCTTTGGTGGATTGGTGGTAGTTACGGTACTCAAAGTGGTACTAGGAATTGTGCTAATATTCGCCTTATCGGTTGTGGCTGTAGTAGTCAAACTGATACTTGGAACTGAGCTTATTTCAGCACTTTCAGTAGTTGTTGTAATGCCTGAGGTAGGGCTAAGGACTGAGGCACTGTCAATATCTTCAACGGCGGTTTCAGTGGTTAAAGTGGAAAGAATTGAAGCAAGGTCGGCACTTCCAGTAGTAATTGTAGGGGCTGGACCACCAGTTGGTTTAGTTACAATCGATGATGTTTTTGGTGAGTTTTTGCAAGTACCAAAAGCAGCACCCAATGCATTGATAACTATTTTTTGGATGGTTTCAACGTTCAAAAAGGCATTGAGAAGGGGTGGAAGCAAACCTGATTGGACTAAAGCCTCAAGCAATTGATCGAGCGTAATAGCTCCCTTTGAGAACAATGTCGAGACTAAGTCGGCACCAAAAGTGTAGAAGTCGTCATCAATAACCAAAGCTTCAACAACTTGGTTAGCCAATCCAGAGTTCTTTAATGATTCCATCAATGAAGTAAGAATCTCTTGAGTGTCTCTAGCGTAAATCGCAACATTGTCTCTTTTGTCAATAGCAGAAGAGACAGCCTCAGCATTAATACCCACAGAAGCACCAACAACACTTGGCAAACCCAGGATTTGCTGGCCCACCATTTTGAAAATCTGAGCGTAGAAGGCACAATCGTTGATAAGGTCTTGGATGACATCAATAGCTAACCCGGAGTCATTCAATGATTTCAACAATGTAGTCAAGTTAATCCAACCGTTTTGGATCGCAGTGACAATGACCGATTTAGCAACCTCCGATAATAATGGATCAGAAATGAAGTATTGTATGACACCTGGAGCCAAGTTTGTGTCCTTAACAATTGTCAAAATTTGGGTGACAATTTGTGACTCTCTTTTAGAGAGATCAGCTTCAGTCAAAATGGATCTTTTGGTGTTGTAGTGTTCCAAGTTGTAAAGGGCATTGTTGGCAATGTCAAATTCTCTTGGAGTCAATTCCAATGGAGCTGAAGCAGCAGGCAAAGCAGAAACTGTGGAAACAGCAGCAGTGAAAAATAATGTGACTGAGGCAAAGTTAAACTTCATGGTAAATAAAATTGGCAGTTGCAAGTTTGATTAACTGAACTTTGTTGGATGGTAAGAAGAAAAGAGCAAAGGATTGATAAAAGAGGTGGAATTTGGTCACAATTTATACCATGAAAAACGTCTAATCCTTAACCACACCTTTGCAATATTAATTGAGTAAGCTCTATGTCAATTCCCAAGCAAGGGTCTTTTATTAACCAACTTGAGTAATTATGCACACGTATCTTCAAACCTTGCGTTTACTCAAATTAGAAATTAATTGAATATTCCATGCACTTGATCTTCAAGACTAAGCTAACTTTATGCATGGTAGATATGTATGAGATATTGTTTTGTAATATTAGTAATGATTCCAATTTAGGTTGCAAAACCTTTTGAAAATGGGACATTTAAACCCTAAAATAAATACAAACGAAATGCAAACGTTAATTACTGAATATGGCCAATCCAGCACCACAACGATTCAAAGAGGAAGTAAAATGGTTGAAGTGACAAATGAAGTATTCAAGCATTAAATTTTTTTCGTTTTTATGCAGCGTTTGTTTTTACAGAAGAGGCAATTTCTGCAACAACTAAAACGAAAGGTGACGAGGCACATCGTTTTTTCATGCCCAAACAAGAAAGTTTCCTTCTGCAAATAGTTGAACTTAGCCAAAACTTGATGTCGGATGTCAAGTACAGAAGTGCTTATATACCATTTCGAGCAAGTCTCTCTTTTATGACCTTTGGTTTTGATGTATAATGTGACGACTACACATAAATAATCTAACCAATTTCTATTTTAGACAAGTATGTTTCAGTACAGAAACAACTGTAGTCTTTCCTCACTTCCTTTATAAGTAGCTTTGGTTCCTTTTAATCCAAATTAAAAGGGGTTGGGCAGTAGACGATGGGCGGTAGACGGTGGGCAGTTCCTCACAGGTTACCTTTTTAGGGAGTAGAGAAATATGCTTTCCCAAAACAGGAAGCTGTTCAGTATGAGTATCTAACATTCTACTAGACTGTTCCTATTCAAGGAGCGAGTTTCAAAAGGAGTATTCTTAAATCATATAATTTATTGATATTGTTACATCTTTCTGTATAACAAAATCGTAGAAAATCAAATTTAATAATAATAATAATAATAAAGTTTTTGACATATTTTCCTTCACTTGCATATTGACACTTTTACTGTCCTTTGTTCTTTATTTAGAAGGAAAAAAAAAAAACTATATGTATGTGGGCCATTTGTTTAATTGATTAATATGCTTTCTAAATACCATACATGATTCCAGTTTTGACATACGCCCTTGAATCATGGAAGATAGCACCCAGCAATTTGATTAACTCCTTTTTTGTGGAATCTCGTTTGCCAATCTAGAACGAGAAAATTTCGGAAATAGCAAAACTTTATATCCCGAAGTTCGTCAGTACAAACTCGAGGTACCTCAAACGTTACAAAAGGGGGACAGAATTAAGTCGACTATTTCTGAGGTTATCTTGGCCGTATTATTTCGCCATCTTATCACAACTCTCAAACAAATTGGCCCCCTTATCTACCGCCTACTTATTCGTAGTCGTCATCTTCTACCAAACGCTAAGACACAGACAACTTCAAGTTGTCTTTCTTATTACAACTACTTAATTAAAGGAAATACCCTTTCCATCCAGCCTATCTACCAGTAAGTACTTCACCAATTTGTTATTTGCCCCAAGATCTAAAATCTTTCGGTGAAATTTGCGTAAATACCCGGATATCACAAAAGTGAAATCTCAGAAGAACAAAGGAAAAAAAAAAAAGAACAAAATTCCCATTAGCAAAGGGTCAAAGACAACTCTTTGTTTACATCAATTAGAATTCACAACACTTTCAGTCGATAGGATTAGAATCGGATCTTTTTTACTTTTTGCATCAACAAGAATCTAGCATAACGTGCTAAACAGATAGCAACATCAGCTTCTCACTACCCAAACGGCTGTATAAGAAAAGCTATTTCTCGATGCCGAGTTTATACGGGGTTTTATCAATACTCGCGGTGGCTTACGCAATATTACTATACATTGTCAACAGGATTCCACATGTGTCAATCAAATACGTTGGGTTTCTTTCATTGAGAGGGGTGACGATAAAGATTAGAACAACGACAGTTTATGTTGGAAAAATTGCACTCCAAATAAACGCATTTGGACCAAGAGATGAATCGTTAAAATGGGTTTCAATTTTGATATGTGACGTCAACGTCACTTGCTTAAAGGATGAACAAAATCAAACGCAACCGGAAGCAACCAAAGATCATGCAAAACCACCACTACATGATAGATCGATCAAAAGTAGGCTTCAATTTTATGTGCCGAATGTTATCTTCAATTACTTTTTGCGGACAGAACTCCTTAATAAGATCAATTTCCATATCATTAGAGCATCCATTTACCACCAAAGCACACATGAACATTTTTGTGCGTCCTTGGAGCTATTGAGATTAGAGGCAAAACTTTCCAAATGCCACAACCTCAGAGTTACCGCTTCATTATTCAACGGGTTGATATTTGAAAATGAAAACAGGGAGAATAAACTTGATTTGTTCCGCAATGTCGAATTTTTCGTCAATTGTATGGTTATTACTGCCTGTGATGCCAACCACACAAATAGGATCAGAATCAATTTGGAGGAGTTTAGAACATCGTTGTCAATAGGAAGATTGAACATTCCGATGGAGTATATTCGGTCGAAACAGATGCAATCAAATCCCAAAGCAAATCCGCAACCAACACGAACGGAAGAACAGCCTGCAAAACAAGTTACAAATGTGATGAAATACAGGCCATTCCTAAAAGAATTGTTATCGCTATATTCCTTAACAGAAATACGGCTTGAGGACTTTACCCTATCTTACGAGACTGTCTCGATCAATGTGTCAAATTTTGTCTTTTCCCTCGAAAAAATTGTCAAGTCCGCGACTTCTTCAACGTTGAAACTACAAGTTTATGTCACATCGTTTAAGTTTTATCATTTGGATACAAAATGTGTAGAGTTGCCATCTGGTACCATCACTTATGAGGTTTGCCCCATGGAGATGCTTCGAGTTTCGCAAGTATTGCTTAATCACGACGAAAACTCAAAGGAGTGGATAAATTTTGATTTCGCCATAATGTTGACGAATCCGATCTTTGATGTCTATTACGACCAGGAAGATATTCTATTTGGTTTGCTTAGGGATAAAATGATGCGCAAACGTATGAATAAAATGAGAACTGCTGCAGGAGTACATCGCAAGGAGGAGGCGATGAAGAAGCTAAATATTGCTTCTAAATTGTTGCGAACCGTATCGGCAAAAATCGTGATTGTCGACACTGTGCTCAACATGCACTTACCACGAATTGGTCTGACAAGAGAAGACGTTTTCAATCGTCATTCTAACTCAAACACAGAGGTGTCTTTTTCTGTTAATGATCTAACTCATCGAATTTTCACAAGAACCCGAACAAAGAGATTGAAAGACGGCGACCAGGCGGTAAAGCGTACCATCAACTCCTTTCTTAAAATCAAAAACCTCAAAGGTCAAGCAGAAGGGAACTTGGCTCAATTTACCAAGGTCAACTTGCTCCTTGCGTATGATCTTGACCGCTTTAAACTTGCAGTGAGGTTGTCGAGTAAATCAATAACTTTTAGGTCAGTCAATGACGTCTTTTTTTATTTGGTTAGACAGTTTAGAAACCGTCAACGAATCTACTTCAATAAGAAATTCGATGAATGGAGGAAATCCATTGCACTGAATTCTTCACCCGATCAACCAAACAAGGCAGAACGGTTGTCATTTGGTGACTTGAATAACCCAATTGGCAAAAATGAAGAACCAGAGTTTATTAAAATTTTTGAGATGTTGCCGCCGTATGTCTCGTCTGTGAGACTTGATTTATCGTCGTTGGCCTTCGACATCAAGAGCAAGGAGGAATTACCAAGTCTAAAGATATTTGATTACAGAGTCGGAAAAGAAATTGATTTAAAGGATTATAGACGAGGGATATCCCTCAAGATGAACGATATTTCAGCGATCTATAAGCATACACAAGAGCATTTTCAACTATTGGTCGATTCAGTGCAAGCTGCTACTCTCAGCGAGTATGCACAAGAATACATGCTTGCTAAAAACAACACCACAACCATGCCAATGAGTGATTCCGAGTTTGAGGATGACGTTTCAACTATTAACTCTATGGATTCTGCTCCAACAGATCCAGATGCGCAAAATTTGGATGGGCTAGGTGATGCCGATGCTTATGGCGTCAAGAATGTTCTTACAGTAAAAAACATCAGTGTTGCTAATGATACGTCTAAATCTGACGACAGAGATCCTAATAAACTAATATTGACAATGCCGGAAATTGATGGGCACGTGGATACGTTTTTCCTCTGGTGCATTTTCTACGCAAAGACATTGATCCAAAGATTTGCGCCCACCGTCGAATCTAATTGCACAAAGGAGCAAATGAAGCAGATTACTGGCCCCAAGAAGAAAGTCAAGCTAGATGTTATGTTGGAATCAGTTGCAATTTCTATAAGACTACCGCACGATGTCGACATTCTAATTGAATTTGACCGTTCAAGACTTCAAAATGTGTTTGTTTTGAAAAATGCTGATGTGAAAAACATTCGAATGTATGTGACACATCCAAGCACAAAATTATGGGCAAGAATAGTTGTGATTAAAGAGCCCAGTTTCAGTATTGACGTGTCAAAAACATTACACGAGGCAGCTTTTGAATTGCAGACAAAGTCTATCTTATTCAACGTCCCTAACCGATTTGCCATTTATACAGTTATTGACAATTCGATTTCCTTTGCCAAGGCAATAAAGCAATTGCTGCATAACTTCAAGTACTTCAATTATGGAGTTGACAAGTTTGAGCGTGTTTACCCAGCAGGCAAGGACGCGTTGGCATTTCCCCATATTAGGGTCAAGACATCGGTATTAGGCCTTACACTCGAGAACGATCCATTTGAGAATGAGTTGGCAATGATATTTGAGTTGGGTTTAATTGAACAACGAGTTAGGTGGAGAAAGATGGAAGCATTTGAGGCAAAGAGTCAGGAAATTAGAGCCAATGCACAGCCCGACATTGAAGACCAAATCGAGTTGACAGATGTATCACGTCCAACGCTTGGTAGCAGTCGAAAGGCACTGTTTAGGAAAAGTAACAACTCCCTTAAACAAAAAGTACAGAGTCCATTACGGAATGAAGCGACATACCGCGATCAAGCTTCATCAAACGAGTCTACGACCAGTAATGCGACCCCAAGAAATAAGTTTAGAGACACTTTTACAAAGATAAGACGTAATCACCATGAGCGCAAGTCCCCTGAAGATACCCAATCTGATGCAAATGGCGAAGATGAGAATAAACCAAAATTGACCAAAGCTCAGGCCGAAGAGGAAATCAGTCAGGCAAGAGAGAGATTAAATCACAATTTTTCCTTATCATGGATGAGAAAATTTAGATCTTTTAAGGATGTTCGTAATAGGCTTTGGAAAGAAAGGAGGGAAGAGATTTGGGGCAAGGATGTACCAACTGAGGTAATGAAAAGCAAGTTTGACATTGTGGAGTACGCAGATGGGCCTACTTTGGCAAGTGCATTGTTTCTCGATGTCGACTTGACGCTTGATAAATTCAAAGGCGGAGACATTGATGAATTCTTGTACAATTATGCAAAGAAGCAACCGAAACAAGTGTATTCCATATTAGTCCCATTGTACCTTGAATTGACTGCCAGAAATTTCCACATGTTTTTGAAGGACTTCCCATTGCCGTTGGCTTCGTTTCCAACAAATAGTAACCCGCAGGTTCCAACCGTTCATATCAAAACAAACCTAGTTGTAAATGAGCACTTGTATCACAGAAAGGAAGAACTTCGTTATATATACGTTCCATTTTCGTTGGCAGTATTTGACAATGGAGTATCAGACAATTTTTACTCCGTCTATATTCCCAGAACATTGACCACCGTCAAAGTTGCTGCCGATTTCCAATGTGATTTAAATACCGATCGTGCTTGTATTGTGGGATGGTCTAAATCTTACCAACCAGCATTGAGCACCATGGGCCAAGCATTTGAAAACTTTTCAAAGCCAGCGATTGATGACAGTCCAATTGGAGTGTGGGATAAAATCCCACTTATCATGCACGGGAAGTACAAGTTCAACATTGCAAATGAACTCTGCTTGCATATGAAGAGTGGCAGATCACCTTATAAGTTAGTGGGACTAGACGCGGGATTTGTTTTTAATTGGAAAAACAATGTGGATCTTACCATTGATGGTACTATTGATCCTAGGAGGTTGGTTGTCATTACAAGTGATGACTTCATCTTTGCAGTTCCAAACTACTCGGTGAAGGAAAAGCATACTTGGAGTTTATACTATGATGGCCGTGGGGACTTTGCCCCTAGCAGTGATCCCGAAGGAAAGAAGTACCACAAAAGAGTTATTCGTCTTAGTACCAATGACCGGGTTGAGTGGTGTTTAGGAATGATGTTTGAGAGGAACAAGCACTTTTCCAACCGTCTTTCGGACCAAGAAGAGAGAACGTCAGAATTCTTACCTCATTATGAAGTTCAAATCACAAACCCAGCCAATGAGTATCATCCAGATTCATACGATGGCTATAGATCTGATTATGTGCACATGGCACTTTCTGTTATTTCCAAATCACATGATGGCCACGCATTCAATGCTGCGTTTTTGACACCCTTGGCTTTCCACCATTTCTTTTATTGGTGGGATACTGTTGCACACTATTCGCCTACTCCGGTGAGACTGGGGAAATTGTTTAGCAATGGAGAAAAGAAGCCAAAAATAAAGTTGAGCCCTCATTTGTTTACTGTAAAGTATCAAATGGTATTCAATCCAGTGACAATATCACATTTATACATTCATTCGAGTAATGAATTGCACGGAAAAAAGAATAGAGTCGCTTTTACAGGTTTAAAGGGTAAATTCGATGTTTGTGAAATAGATTTACACCAGAGGAAGGAGTTATTGACCTATGTGAATCCAAAGCTAAACAAACGTACACAGATTAAACACTTGAAGATGAACCAGGCCGAAATTAACGTCGAAAGAGTTGATTTAAGGGTTATGAATGCATTGTCCCCTGATCAGTCAGTAAGTGGGCGATTAATGTCGTACTTGACTGGGGATAGTGCTTCGGATAGTCTGAGCAATCATCATCATGGCCCTGTACATGCTTCGAGGTTTTCCAAGTGGATTGAAAGCGTGGAAGTACCCGATGGAGACTTATCGTGGGTAGACCCGGAGGACTTTATTGAATTGGAGATGAATGAGCCCTTGTCGCCGTACCCAAAGATAAGAGTATTGCCATTCTTTGCTACCCCAAAGCTTAGTTATTTCAGGGAATTTACTTTGCGTCAGGATGGGCCACATCCTTTTGGCAATGAGAAAATACACAATTGTATAATGGATACGGAAAAACCCAGTGGTGTACAATCACGAATCTTGTCGGAACGTATTGGGGCTCTCAAAAACGAGCTAGCAAAAAAGCAACAGGAGTATAGTCATATGAAATCACAGTTTCAACCGCAAGACGAGCAAAAGATACGGGATGCGGAGACAGATATTCAATTATTGCAGGATAAGATTGATGTCGTTAACGAAGCTCATGAAAATTTCACCAAGGAGGATTTGAAAATGACCAACACATTTGATGATCCTGAAACCCTCACAACATTGCTGAGACAGCAATCGGGGTTGTCTGCTTACTCAAGCCACAGGGATAAAGCAGACCTCCTTGAAGCGGCAAATTTTGTATCGATTGCTGAATACCATAATAGGTTTATCTTGCATAATTTGAACTTGAAATGGGATGATGACATCAGAGCTTATTTTGTGAATTATTTAGAGAGGATTGGCGATCGAAAAGATCATGTTTACTACATGACTCGGATGGCAGTAAATCTTGTTCAGAATGTCATAAGCGAAACTGAAAAGGTTGAAACAGAAGAGGACATAAATTTCACCGATAGAACTTTCACCAATTTTAGAGATGGAATTGAGGCTGTGGAAGGATTTGCAGAGGAGTTGGATGTGCTACAAAATCCCGAAGAAGAGGAGGCAGAGTACAAGTACTTGATCAAGTTGATCCACCCACAGATCCAGATGATTAGTAAGAAAGCACCCGACACCTGTGTACTCCTCACTTCAAGAGACTTGGATATCAAGATTGTCGACATCAACCAAAAAGATTTGGTGAATGTGTTGACAGATAGTTCAGAAATGACAGCCAAAGTTGAATCAAGAGTTGGGGTAATGTTTAGAGAAGAGCAGGTGTTTGTGGTGTCTAAAGATGATGCTGCACTTACAAGTCCCAAATCAAAGTTTGCAAAAGGCGGTTATATGACTTCAACTTCGAATTGGCCACCATGGTTTGATTGCGAAATATGCTATGAAGGTTCATGGGCTGACGAGTTTCTTGTTGCTGAGAGGAATACAGTGGCTCTTGTTTACAAGGCGCCCAATAATTTATTCCTCAATGCTAAAAACTTTGAGCGTCATAACGAAGTTGTTGTGTTTATTAACAAGTTTGTGGTGAATGCTACGTCATCTCAATATTCTAGCATCTATTACGTTGTCACTGAGTTGTTACTTTCGGGACAAAACAAAGATAGTCTTCAGTCTAAATTATCGAAAGTTGTTTCCCTTACTGACTCGTCGGATTTCAGGGGTTTGGATGTGAAGGTGATGAACTTGCAGGCTACAATCAGAGAATTCAATGACATTGTTTTATCATTTCATCAAAAAGGTGCCGCTTTGAATGAGTCAGAAAGGAAATACTTGCAAATTTTGGAATTGGAGATGGAGAAACTGAAGTTGGAGTTGATTTTGATTATGAAGATTTTGGGGACAAGAAACAAATCGAAAACAAAGGAAACTGCCAAGTATTGGCATATTTTAACAGACCAGGTTATTTGGCACTTCCTCACTGATGATAGACAGCCAATTATTGACTTTGCTTGTACTGGTATAGTGTTTTCACGTATTGAGTCGATTGACGGAGCTAATCATAATGATTTTGAAATTAGAATGTTGCAAGGGTTCAACCTTCAAGAAAATACTCAATTTCCAATTCTTGTATCACCAATGATTCCAAAAGGCGAGACAGTGTTTGATGAAGCAAGTGGTCCTGTGGTGAAAATGACGTGGGATTTGCTGGCATTAGTTGGCGGTATTCCTATCATCAAGCACGCAAAATTGGGCGTTATTCCATTGCAGTTTGAATTGGATTATCCGACGGCAAAGATGTTACAGTCATATTTATTCCCGAAGGAAGATGGTCCGGATGACGATGATAGCTACGAATCAGATGACTCAGGATCGTATTCGGAGTCTGAAGATGGAACTTATGAGGAATCGATGTCGGAAAGGTCTTCTATAATGACTAACGAAACGTCGAGCTCGAAAAGCCCGTGGAAAAAGCTTTTGTCAAGGGGTAGGCCATTGATTTCAAAGGGTATTAATGAGAAAATTAATGGTTCTCATTCAGATGGAACTTATAGCCTGGCAAGCTCCATCCAAGACTCATATGAATCACAGTTGCTTAGTTCTCATGGAAGCTCCTCTATGCAAAGCAGGGCAAATAAAAGGGCCACAAAGCTGCTTACAGCGAAAAGCAGAGGTGCTGGTTCCAATAACAATATTTTGGATGACGAAATTGAGACTTTGATTGCACGTTCTTTAAAGTATAAATCAATTATAGATATTGAGATTTCCAATTTTGAATTAATGGTTAGCTTTCTGGGTCCAAAAAGCTTGCACTTGTTGAATGTTAACCAGTTGGTTTTGTCAGTACCAACTTTAAAGTATCAGTATAAGATCTGGTCGGGAGAGGATTTCACAAATAGGCTAAAGAAGGACATTATAAAGGTTATATTGCAGCATACCGGTAAGATATTGGGTAACAAGCTTCTGTATAAGAAGAAGACAAGAACTACGAGACGTTTGAAACAGATATCGAATTACGCAGGATTTATGACGTTGGAAGATTTGCAGACCCAGAATGATAGTTTCAGCTCTGCAGCTGGAGGCGGTGTAGGAGGAGGTGGTGGTGACAAAATACATATTACGCCACAAGTTTCAAAAACCCGCCATGATCACCATCCTCGCAGTGCCCAACACATTGTTAAACACGGAACTGCCAATGATGAAACCTTCAAGTCGTACTTGGGTCGGGACAATGATTCAGACAGTTTTACTAATCCCAAGGATGATAAGGTGGACGGCGATGTAGATGCACCTTGAGTTGTAGTAAAAAGACAGAGGATATGTATTGAATGTACTATTTTATTAATTGTGATGAATATTTTGTCATTTTATTTAGTCCCGGTACATTTTACGTAATAGCCGGAATCTTCTATGGTTTTAATTTTGTGTGTTGTTTTCCGGTTCTCTCCCAAAGAACGGTTTAAGTAAAAAAACAAGAACGGGAACAAAACAAAGAGCCAAAAGTCAAAAAAAAAAGGGCTCTAAAATTAGAACAAATCAGATTTACAAGAACATTAGTAAAAAGAAGTTGAGCAATTGGTGAACCATCAAGACACACATACATACATACATACATATATATATATACCACAGATTGATAACGGAGACACTCAATTAGCAGAAGTCAATTACCAACAAGATCTGCACTCTAGTAACTCCATCATTGCTTTCCCATTTCTCATTTCTTGAATCTAAGTTAAGGACAGATCCACTGACGCCAAAAATATAATATGGCGTTTTTTGGAATTTTGAAAGATAAAGCTATTAACACTTTCAATGAAGTGGTTCTAGATAAGAAGATTGGAGGTGATGGTTTGACCAAAGAGCAAAAGTTTTGTCAAAGGTTCCACCTTCCAGACGAAGAGAGAATTGTTCAAGAGTCCAACGTCGTACTTCTCTTCAATTCAAGCTATTCGGAACCTAATGCCAAACATAAAGGACACCAAAGATACAACGACTTTGAGGACGATGAACATGAAATTCATTACCAAGGTAAACTATATCTCACTCAACACTTTTTAATCTTTAAAGATAGCCACGATTACCGCGACTGTTCTTTCACATTGCAACTTTCAACCATCAAGAAAGTGGAAAGAGAGTCTGCTTCGTTTGATTTCAATTTTGTTTTATCATTGACAACCGTTAGCAGATTGCATATCAAATTATACTTTGGTGGGGGTATTAGATCTGATAATGAAAGATTTGCTCAATGTCTCTCAATAACATTGAAAAAGAACCAACCAAACATCAAAAAGTTGAAGCCATTTATACAAACTTGCTACTCTGAATACCTTTTGTCGAAGAATAAAGTGTCAACTGAAGTTGTGGAACATGCACCTCCAGGTGGATTGGGGCTAATATTCAAGTTTCCTGGTAATGCTAAAGAGGCAAAGGACAAGACCAAGTTGAAGTTATGGTTCGATCTATTTAAGGAAAATGGGAGAAATATTTCTTTGGTTAGAACACCGATGTTTTATAAATTGATTAGGGTCGGTTTGCCCAATCGATTGAGGGGTGAAATCTGGGAATTATGTTGTGGATCAATGTATTTAAGATTAGACCACCAGGAAGAGTATGAGAAGTTGTTACTCGATAACAAAGATAAGCAGTCGTTTGCCATTGAAGAAATTGAAAAGGACTTGAACAGATCACTCCCAGAATATGCAGCTTACCAAAGCCCCGAAGGTATTGAAAGTTTGCGAAAAGTTTTGACCGCATTCTCTTGGAAAAACCCCGAGGTCGGCTATTGCCAAGCCATGAACATTGTTGTTGCAGCTTTGCTAATATATATGTCGCAAGAGCAAGCATTTTGGACTCTCAATGTTTTATGTGACAGAATTGTACCTGGTTACTATTCCAAGACAATGTATGGAACTTTGCTCGACCAAAGGGTATTTGAGTCTTTAGTTCAAACGACCATGCCAATACTTTGGGATCACATCTGCAAGAATGACATTCAACTATCGGTGGTTTCATTGCCTTGGTTTTTGTCATTGTATTTGTCTTCCATGCCATTGGTTTTCGCATTTAGAATTTTGGACATTTTTTTCATGCAAGGACCCAAGACGTTGTTTCAAGTAGCCTTGGCTATATTGAAGATCAATGGTGAGGAGTTGTTAAAAACAGAGGACGATGGAACATTTATCTCCATTATAAAAGAATACTTTCTAAGCTTGGATAGTTCGGCACACCCAAATTCTCCGCAGTTAAAATATAGAAATGTCACCAAGTTTCAAGATTTGCTTTTGGTGTCTTTTAAGGAATTTGCCACGATTGATGACGAAACAATTCAAGCGCACAGAAGCAAGCATAGAGATACAATTTACCAGAACATTTCTACTTTTGTAAAGCGTACAGAGATTAGACATTTGCCAAAGACACCAAATATTGCACAAAGTACACTTGATATCCTTTACGATCGGTTCTATTCACAGGTGGAAGTGTCAAATATCACCAAGGGCTCAGGATCAAGCTCAATTGATTTCAAATCTTTTGTAAAGTTTATGTCTGAAGTGAGCGATTGGGTCCAGTTTGATGAAAGCGAGGTTGACATGATTCCTCAGGATCATTTTTTGCGAAGATTATTCAGTAATTGGGACTCTGAGAAACAAAATGCGTTGTCATTTGCTGACTTGTTGGTCGGATTGAACTTGTTGGTAGAAGCAGATCTTATGACGGCCATGTCCAATTTCTTCAAGCTCTATGACGTGAAGCATAATAACAAGATTGACCGAGAAGGAATTTTAAGAATCTCTGAGGATCTATTGTACATAACAACTCCCTGGAAAGAGGGCCATTTGTTAGACGAAATCACTCGGACGGCGGTTGAGAATGAAGTTGCTGACGCAGTATTGAAGAAGCAAATGGAGTCTGAGAAGGGGGCTACAGGTGGTGATGAAAAGAGTCAAAACCAAGCAATTGACTTACCAGCTCACATTGATGTCAATAAGGAAAAGCTTGCAGCAGAACAATCCGAAAGGTACTTGCAAGCAGCAAGCACTTTTATCAATCGTGCGTTTGAGTACGCTCAACCCGAGGAAGAGGAATTGCTTATCAAGGATCTTGCCATAGATGAGAAACTCAAATATAATGCTGCATTGGACCCTAGTCATCCCGTGTACCTCAATTTGGCCACATTTAGAATGGTTATTTTGGCCGACGAGACGTACGAATTGCTCTTTAGCTCCACTTTTAAAGACTCGATTCACTTGGACCAACCATTGGATGCCAAGTTTGATCCAATGCGGAATATAAGAGATATGTTTGACGGCCTCTTGGCTGACGGGAAAAAAGTAGCTAATAAGGTCAGATTAAGAATGGACTCGAGGGCTTCACAACAGAGCCCTGGTGGATCAAGCTCATCATCTCTCAGATCTAATAAGACCAAGACGTCAGCAACTGTGGGCACTTCACGTGATGACGAAGAAGAAGAAAGGGATGACGATTTTGGCGTGATATCCATCGATGAGAAAGACAAAGACTTGCTTTTAGCTACTGAGGCTCAATCATTGGGTGATACTGTACAGAGAGGGCCAGAAATCAAAGAGCAGTTGCGGAAATTTCACGAGACCAGTAAGGAATCTAAAGAACATATTGGAGATGATGGTGCTCTGTCAAATAATGGCAAAGAGAACTTGATAGAGTTTGAAACTTGAATGATATACCACTTTTGGGTAGGTTTATTTATTAGTGTTATGTAAGTTTAGTCCAAGTAAGATACTAATTCTTGGATTGAAACAACTTTCTCAATTTACCTCCAAACTTCTTCTTCTTCTCCTTTGGTGCTTCAGCCTGCACCTCATTTGGAGGTTCCGCCCTCATTGTAGCAAACCCTGGTTGTTTTTGAGGCGATGACTGGGCAGCTGGCGTTGCCATTCTTGGAAGATTTTCATCCGAGTCATTAAACCTCGACTTAAATCCCCTGTTATCGGCTGTTCCATTCCTCAATGGTAGGTCATCATCAGAGTCGCCAAACCTTGAAGTGAACCCACCGCGGCCAGTTTGTCCATTACTTGCATTTTGATCAACAGCTAGCTTTTGGCTGTCAGTGTTTTGCACGGTTGAAGGATCAGCAAGGTCTCTCAACGTCGTTCTTGGTTGGGGCTTTGATTGCGAAACAGGGTTTTGACCTCTGCTTGGGCTTCTAGGAGGGACGTCATCTCCAGATTCCTTCGAAAATGATGATTTCTTCTTCAAGGGTTTAAAGTCAGAATATGGTCTTGCTTGGGCCTTTGCATAGAGATCAGCAGCCTTCACTTTGGCTGGAGAAACATAATTCTTTTGTAAAGCAGGATGAGGTGCAATTGGCTGCACATATGTACTGTTTCTCAAACTCCGGTTGCTCATAGTTGGGGGTTTTTGGGGTTGTACCGCCTGTTGTCCAGGACGTCCAGCCATCGATTGGGGCCTCATTGATGATCTAAACTGTGTTGGTTGTTGTTGTTGTTGTTGGAACTGCTGCTGTTGAGGTTGCTGCTTTCGTAAAGTTTGTTGACTTAATCTCTTTGTAGGCGGCTTCTGCAACTGGGGAGATGTCGAGAACTGAGGATATGCGCCACCATTACTAGCACCCAAGTAAGCCAAATCGTTACCAACAACTTGGTGATGCGGCTTTGCATTGGAAAATTGGGGTGGAGGTAATTGTGGGTTTGACAATTTCGAATTCAACCTCGTGTTCTCAGCTGTAGTTAAAGACAAATATGCTTGCCTTGCAGCATTGCTATTTTGTTGCGCTGGAGGAGGACCTTGTTTGTGGGGGAGGTGTGAGTAAGAGCTCGAAGACTTCATGGCAGACTTAATTGGCCTCTTTGTCGAGTCATTGGAATAAATAGACGATTTTGAGCTCAGCGCTGTCGCAACCGCAGGAGGCAATAAAGTGTCAGCACTTTCCACCTTGCTATTGATTGTAGCTGTGTTACGATCCTCGTCAGCATGCGATTCTAAAATTTGTGGCGCCGTCGTAACATTTTCTGCAGCGTTGTTGTCTAAGTGAGCTGCATCAGTTGAGCTAGATGGTTCCGAAACTTCGTTAACAACGTCCGTTGAGGTCATTCCGTATTGAGCAATTACCCTCATTTCCGAATCGGCATCCAATCTTTCTGACTCATCCGTTTCCCAAGATTTTGGATTGTTTTCAGCCTCGTCGTCATAGTCACTTACAACCTCGATATCACTACCCAAGTTGTCAAGCAGTGGCTTAGGTATCGACTCGTCACCAACATCTGAATTTTCAACAACAACAGCCACTCTAACATTACCTAGATCTTCATCTAAGCTGTCATCAGAGTCAACGGTATCACGATGAGGGTCGACGTAATCATCACTGGGTGATGAAGTTACACCAAGCTTGTGGTCAGGATCCACTACATCTGGTGAATTTTCAGCCAACACTTTATCATCAGCCTCTTCCTCAGTACTTGCAATTATCTCATTTGATCCAACTTGGTTTTCTATTTGAGTGTGGTCCTTTGAACTCTCGCCCAATACATCAGTCTTGTCATCACCTACTTCCTCCTTATCGAGCTTCTTTTTATCCAATTCATCGACCGCTTTAGTTTTCTCAATAATGGGAATGTAGTCATCATCACTGGTACTTGAGAACTCCTTCTTATTTCCTACTGTATTGATCTTTGTCGATAAGTCCTCAATTTCCCTCTGTTTTTTCTCAGTAGCAAGGTTCTGCTCCCTCAATCTCTGATATTCTAAACGCTTGAGTTCAAGTTCCTTTGCTAATTGCTTTTCATGCTCAATTTCCTTTTCTAGCGCTCTTAACTTGGCTTGCTGCGCTTGATTCGTGTCTAGCCTACCCAACGAATCTTCCAAATTGACATCTTCGCTCATGGATTGCATTTTCAGTGGAGTACTGACATTTCTCACCTGTTGAACCGGTCTATGTTGCAGTTTAGAATTTAACGAGCTGGCCCTTGAGGGCGGTTTCTTGTTGGCAGTATTTCTCAATGAATTAGACCTCGAGGAAATTGGATTCAATCGCATGGAATTACTTCTTGCTAGCTCCTTCTGGAAAGTGGACTCTGGCACTTCGATAACCTTGATTCCTGTGGGACTGGGTACGTATTTCTTAACCATACGGACTGGAGCAGATGCAGCGGCCGCTCTCGACTGAGATCCCAGATTTGCTGTGGGCAATCTAAGATCCTGCATATTTGCTTTGTTGTTCAAGTATACTTGAGTAGATTCCTCGGTTATTTCATCTAAATAGGAATCGTTAAAACTATCGTCAATATCATAAATTTCCGGATGTTGGGAATTGTAGTAAGCTGCAGCCTGGCTAGATGACGAGACACCTCTATTCGATCCTTGTGAAGAAAAAGACCCATTTGAGAAACGTCTCTGAGGAGCGGCGTGTGCTTGAGGAGACTGGAAGTTGGATCTCGACCCTCTTTTCAAAAGACTTTCATTTGAGCTAGTCAAAGATGAGACCCTTTGTTGTGGATTTGGTGGTCTATACTGGAAAGATTGTGAGCGAGGGATGTCCAGGCTACCATTTTGCTGTTTCATTGCATTTCCAATAGTTAAAGCTGCAGCCAATGCTCCAGAATTTGGTTTATTCTTATTGTTTGTGTTTTGACTCACGCCCGTGTAGGCTGTGCCATGGGAGCTTCTAGACGACCTATTTCTCGAAAACATTACAGGTGATCTTTCTCGCTTGACCCAATGTTGAATTGATGGTTATATATTTCAATTGAATAGAAAAACAGCTCTGTTGGTGGTGATTGCAGGGGGTTGCAGCGACAAAACTAAAATTTGGATTGCGATTCCGAAAAGATTTTGGTTTCGGAACTGAAATTGATTTTTGATTTTAGTTTTGCTTTTTGTGCCACGATACACGACGAACCAGCACACACAACATGAGCATTAACCGGTGGGGGGCGTAAGGAAAGAAGTTGCTTACGATGAGCCAAGGCATTGGCCAAAGGATGAAAGTTATCAGTTAGAGAATGATGTTTACTGAACCCGGATAATATTAATTTCATATGCTAATCATCCTATATACCCAGCACATATCTTCTCGTAGTCGGCGTTAATCTATTTAACCCTACAAGGTTTGAAACCCAATGACCAGCCTGTTGGCCGTTTCTGACAAGTAATGCCAATAGAGGGCGAACTGACATTAAGAATCCAGTCAAGAAAAATCCTTGCAAGAGCGGTAGCACTATTTGATCCTTGATGATGGCAAAGATGACCACTCGTGGAGTAATAGGTTGCAAGGGTTTTGGATCCTCTAAGTACTCTTCCTCTTCTTTATCTAGATTCTCATTAAGTAGTTGGAGTTCACCATCAGTCAATTTGGGTAAAGGGTTGTTGTTTTTCTTGTTGAATAGTGAATGTTTGTTATCGAGATCCTTGTTTCCAGCATAAGTGTTGAGCTGTCTCATGAATGACTGCTCAAACCTTAGATCAGGGATAGTATATGACATTGTGTGGTGTGATGGGAGTGTAGTGGGAGTGTAGTGGGAGTGTAGTGGGAGGGAATCTTTGCAGATAGTTCTTGATAAAATCATGGAAAGGTCGATCTTAAAAAAAAAACGAAAAAAAGAAAAAAATTAAAAATCAAAATATCACCATCACTGACGTCTATCTTCAAACATCATTAAACACATTTTAACACGCCCAACAGCATAATGGATAGAGATCACGGGCCGTCTATTACAATACGAGAACAGGAGAGAGACCGTGTTGATTTCGTGTTGGGAAATGTCGATTTGGCAATGGCAAACGCCGTCAGAAGAACTATGCTCGCGGAAGTGCCCACATTAGCTATAGACTTGGTGGAAATCGACGTCAACACGTCAGTACTTGCTGACGAATTTTTGTCACATAGGCTAGGACTCATCCCTCTTGTCAGTGAAAATATAGAAAGTTTAAAGTATTCGAGAGATTGTACTTGTGACAACTACTGCCCTAGATGTTCAGTAACGTTAGAATTGACAGCCAAATGTGACACGGACTCGACGATGAATGTTTATGCATCTGATCTTTTCAAGATTCCCAACGCACAAAGTCTAGGTGACCCTGTCCTAAGAGATGAACAAAATAAGGGCCCCATAATCTGCAAATTGAGAAAACATCAAGAATTACGTCTAACCTGTATCGCTAAAAAGGGGATCGCTAAGGAACATGCCAAGTGGTCGCCTTGTGCCGCCATAGGGTTCGAGTATGATCCATGGAACAAACTTAAGCATACCGATTACTGGTATGAAGTCGATGCAACTGAAGAGTGGCCCAAATCGAAAAATTGTGACTGGGAAGAACAACCCGACCCTGAGGAAAAGTTTGACTACAAAGCCAAACCAAATGATTTCTACTTTGATGTGGAAACCGTGGGAAACTTGCCACCAAATGAAGTTGTCCTCCAAAGTATTGGAACTTTGCAAACAAAACTAGCATCTATTGTTATGGAGTTGGACAAGGAAAGAGTGGAAGGGAATAACGCTGAGGAAGGGGGCTTTACCACATATGGCAGGACTGATTATGGCCATGGTGGAGATACACCAATGATTGGTGCAACGCCTTACGGTGGTGACAACACTTTTGGAAACTCCGGTGGCTACGGTGGCGGATCGTGGAATTGATGTATAAGTATGAGTTCGCATTTGTAAGATATTATTTACAGAAGATTTATAGTCTAACAATTTTGTTGATTCCACTCTATCAAGTCGTCAAACTTTACGAGTTTTCCTCCAAAGATATCGAGAGCACTACCAAAAGTGAGATCGACTTTCCCATCACTGAGATCCTTAACTAACTGAAGATCTTTAATAGACTTGGCTCCTCCTGCGTAAACAATCTTGCCTTCAAAGCTGGGAGGACACCAGCTGCCCAAGCTCGACACCAATTTCTCATCAATGCCTTTGCATAGCCCTTCAACATCAGCTGCATGTATTAATAGCTCATCGCAGTACACACTCACTTTCGAGAGAAATTCCTTGCTCAACTTGTTTCCTGTTATAGTTTGCCATTTATTCATGGCCACATACCAATCAACGTCACCAGATTCAGTGACCACGGTTCGGCAACTCAAATCCACAACTAAATTCTCCTTGCCTACCTTGTGGCTGATTTTGCTCAACTTGGCAAAATCTAGCTCCATTTTTCCAGTTTCTTCATTCTTGGAGAAAAGCCAACTGGTTATGATAACCTGCGATGCACCCCTATCGAGCCACTCTTGTGCGTTTTCCAAATTAATTCCACCACCGACTTGCAATCCCTTTGGCCACGTCCTGCATGCCAACACGGCTGCCTCATCATTGTCTGGATTCAGACCTAGCTTTATGACATGACATCCTGTAAGGTTATTTTCAGCGTACAATTGAGCGTAATATGAGGAAGGTTTCGTCAGTACGAAATTTTCCAATGTCTGGGAAGTTCCAGTATTGTTAGCATTATCATCCTGACTTAGGGTACCTCCTACTATTTGCTTCACATGACCCGAATGTATATCTATGCAGCCTCTGAACTTTGTCATTTTGAATGGAGGTGCCGGGCTCTGTCAGTTAAGATTCTATATCAACTTCTATTTTTTTTTTTTCAATTCTTTGCGAGAAGATCATCTTGCAATAGATTGTTTCATCATGAGCGAAGATGCAGAATATTTAAGGACCTTGGAGATACAGAGACGCAATTTTGAAGCCCAGTTTGGCTCTATTGGAGACCTTGGATTCGAAGACAAGTTGGATGAGGTGGATGCTGAAGATGATTTATCACTGGATACGGAAACGTCTGACAATGAGGATGTTGACTTTGACGGATTTAGCAGCGAGAGCGAAGACTCAACTTCAGACTCAGATAATGCCGAGGTCTCAGATATAGATGAACCACCTAAACCTAGAGTCGTAAAACTAAACACACCAACATCCGATATCCCACCCGTTGTTGCATCCAAAAACGAGCGGAAACTACTCAAGGCAGGGAGAGCAGCTACACTTTCCGAGCTAGAGGCTGTGAACAAGCGAGCATCCAAGCAGACACTTAAGCAAGCTAATAAAACGGCAAAGGAAGAATCTGAGAATCTTGAGAATGACTTGAAATTACAACGTTTGTTGAAAGAATCGCATATTTTGGCTAACAACGTAGACCCCCAATTCAGTGGTGCTGATCTAACGTTAAAGACAATAGACTTTGAAGACCCCACAGGGAAGTCGCGAAAGCGAGTGTTGTCATCGCGTATCAATGAATTAACGACCACTAATAAAACAAAGGAAAAGAGGTTGGAGTCCATGCCGATGAATATGAGAAAGGGTATGATTGCCAAAAGAGACGCGAGAGTTGCCAAGTATGAGAAGGAGGCAAAAGATGCAGGAATAGTGCTATCGAAATTGAAGAAGGGCCAAGTACGGGACTTGAATGCCGGTCGTGGTTCAACATCATCAAATGATCGTTTAGGTTCTGGTAAACAAAACAAGGTACAAAAGAGGGAAAGAGGATTGAAAATCAATGGTGTTGGAAGATCAACCAGAAACGGATTGGTTATATCTCAAAACGACATTGATCGCATAAATAATCAGGGCAAAAGACATGGTAAAAAAAGATAAATAGTTACATAGTTAAATTCTAATTCTATTTAAACCCCTATTATTTCCAAATTATCGTTGGCCTCGTTACCTTCAATAGTCAAACCATGTTCGTTTGCCAAATGTAAAACACAAATGAAACAGAAACTGGTGGATAGCTCCTTGACTTGCTCCAGTGTGTACCTTGTTTTAACTCTTCTAATCACTTCGTTGAATTTAATCCTTCTTGGTTGGTTCTCATTCTGCTCATCGCTGTCTGCTTCTTGAGATTCGCCCACACCGTCAATCATTGCTCTCCAAATATTATCCTTTAAAAGCTTGATGTCGACTCTTTTAGCAACACGCGAAAAATTAACAAACTCTGTTCTTCTCTTGCCAATGAGTCCCGCTGATTGTGAGTTAATCTGTGATTCAGTTCCTTGAGTCATTGGATATGAATCCTGTCCAGCTCCACCATGTTCTGGTACATCTTCTAGGGCATCGTTGAAATCTATGCCGTCATAGTCATTATCGAAATCGTCATACTCAGCCTGGTGGAATGAATTTGCCAATCTATCCCTATCATGAGGGTTTTCGTCCTCTTGTTCTTGAGTTTCTCTGGCTTGGTATTGCTCTGCAAAGAAATTCGAGTCTGTTAATTTACCTGGTTCACTTGTATCATAAGCAATTGGGTGCCTAGGGAAGTACATGATGGGCGTGTCTGGTTTCTGGATCAAGCTAACTAGTCTAGAAGATGTGAATTTAATATCATCCGGTAGAAGACTCTTTTCTTTCATCTCCTCAAATGTATCAGCATCATAAACTTCAAAGATGTTAATCGATTTCAAGTTGATGAAATTGGGGTCTTTATGCAGTTTGAATAGCAGATCCTCATCCACATTCTCCTCACTGAAAAAGTCAATGGTTGAAACATTTTTCTTCTTTTTGGGTACTGCAATCTCTGGTTTCTTCTCTTTTGCAGATTGATCAATGTTGTTTGCCTTTTTGAAAGCAGATACTTTCCAATGTTCTGGCCCCGCCCAACTTATTTTCATTTTTTCATCAAAGTAGTTCATCAAATCTTCATCTAGTAGCGCCGTGTTGGTTTTTGACTGCACATACGGATCTGGTTTTTCCTCAAATAGTTTTTGCATAACACTTTCGTTGACATGATTGAAGAGGTCATTGTCGTTTGCGTTTGAATTTAAATCTTCGTGGTCACCAAAGTCATCGAATCCGAAATCATTATCCATATCGTAATTATTTTGCTCAAACTCAACCTCCTGCGCATCATTGATTCTGGTGTTAAAATCATTGAGTATGCCCTTTGCTTTCGTTAGATCGTCCAAAGCTGATCTGAATTCATCAAGAGAGGGGCATATCGTTTTCTCCTCCATTGGGACCTTGTCTTCAAATAAAATACGTCCAAGATCAGTAATATCCACGTCTGCATCATCATTCAAATTTTCCTCACTAGTCTCCTCATCTTCTTGAGCATTTTGGGTAGACGTAGCGTCAAATACAACCCTACCCGATGGATCGATACTCAATGAATTCAACAATAAACTTTTGGCACCTCCTTCGTCAAACTCGGCAAGGGCTTTTTTGAATAGTGGATCGATTGCCAACTCTTGGTCCAATTTCTTTATCCTTATATTGTCAAAGTCTACAAGCGTTGACTCAACAACTTTATTCACCTTTCGTTTCTTCTTTCCTCCATCTTCATTCTCTTCTTCGTTATCTGATGCCACTCTTTCACCATTAGCTGCATCTCCATCGTCATCATCATCTGCTGAGGCATTGGTCCTTTGCTTGTCATTCTGCTTTGAAGCTAACCCACTCAATAGCTTTCCAGTCTCAGTAGCAGCAGAGTCAATTCTGTTTGAATAAATCTTTATACATCCATCTAAAGTTGCCGAAGCACGTTGGAAATTGATATGATCGCCATCTTTTATAACATTCAAATCATGAAAATAATCAATCAATGCAAATTGCCACGAGTTTTTAATATTGATTTTGTTGTCAGTTGACATCTTGATCCATTCTTCAAAATTTGTCAAAATCTGATGTTTATTTTCATTGAAACCGATCCCCACCTCCTCAAACGACTCATTGCTCAAATCATCTTGGGCAAGGCTACGGCTGACATGTCGTGTATGAGACACAACTCTGTTCAGTATCACCCTCCTTGCGCTGGTGTTTTGATTACCAGATATAACGCGGTTCGACTGGGGTGTCAGTCGAGAAGCAGTGTGATGAGATATATGACCCGATGATGAATTATGGTGACTATTGATCCTCCTATCTTCTTTTGACCGTTTCTTGGGTAGTACTTGAGCAGACATTGTGGGTGTGCGTGGGTAAATCAGTAGATTATAATGGATTTGACCTTGTTTACACTTTTTTACTTTCGCAAATTTCTGTTTTCAGAAAATCATTGTCACAAATGATTTTGTCGCGTGGTGGGTAAACACGACATTAACGGTGGCAACAGAAACTGATAACCAGACAACAATTAAGGGGAAATTGGTACAACAAATTTGATTTATGCTCCAAAGAACAAAGAGAGTCCTATTTCTAGCACTAGACCTGACTGGAGGAAGTTAAACAGTATTATTTGTAGGTTCTGTCAATATCCATTTTGTAAGACTGAATTTGGTAGCGTATAACTCCTTCTAGTACTTTCTACCATTTATCCAACTGTGACAATTCTTTTTTCTTTTTTTTGTATGACTTTGGTATATAGTAAGATAATGTGAAATAAATTTTTAAAAGCCGAAAGAACAGAAAAAGAAAAAAACAAAAAAAAAAAAAAAGACCCAACGGTTCACAAATTATCCAAGTGAGGTTTGTTATCTACACACTACATGAACAACTTAATACGAGTAATACCTTTAGCTCAAGGTCTAAGAAGAGCAAATCACCAAAGTGCGGCAAGATGCCTTTCGACGTATCTTGCCAACTCAGCATCCCATAGGTTACACCGAGCACGATTACAAACAGCACCAACGGCAAATCCAATTTTGAAACAATATCGATCCGTGTCCAACTCAACGATATCGTTGTTACAGTCACAAGAACAGATGGCAAACAGTGATTTAAATAATGCTAATGCTCAATATGAGTTTTACAAGTCACTTTTAGCTAATAATTACCCACACATTGTCGTTCAAAGATATGAAACACCGGGAATCGCAGCGTCACCCGAGTGTACTCAGTTGTATATAGAAGCATTGAACAAGACAGGAAAAAAGGCAAGAGCAGACCAAGTGGTAAATGCCTTGCATCAAAATAATTACCAAAGTTCGGGTAACGCTGCCCCTGTTAGTGGATTACCCCAAGGGTTTGGTTCGAGGTATGAGCCGGTGCATGTTGTTGTTAGCGAGTCCTTATTGACAATTTTATCCAAATGGCTCAAGTGGTTAATTCCAATAGCGTTGATCACTTACGGTGCAACAAACGCATTTAACTATTTGGTTGAGAATGGTACTATATTTAAAAACGCCGAGGTGAATGACAAATCAGTTGATGTTAGTCAAAGCACAGCTAGGTTTTCTGACGTGCAAGGCTGTGATGAAGCTAGGGCAGAATTGGAGGAAATTGTCGACTTTTTAAAAGACCCATCGAAATTCACTGGCTTGGGTGGGAAATTACCCAAGGGTGTTTTGTTGACTGGTCCTCCGGGAACTGGTAAAACCTTGTTAGCCAGAGCTACTGCTGGAGAGGCTGGAGTGCCATTCTTTTTCATGTCTGGTTCCGAATTTGACGAGTTGTATGTTGGTGTGGGTGCCAAGAGGATTCGAGAGTTATTTGGCCAGGCTAAGGAAAAATCGCCCGCGATTATATTCATTGATGAGTTGGATGCTATTGGAGGCAAAAGAAATCCAAAAGATCAAGCATATGCCAAGCAAACTTTGAATCAATTATTGGTTGAATTGGATGGTTTTAGTCAAACTGAGGGAATTATTATTATTGGTGCAACCAATTTCCCTGAATCGTTGGACAAAGCGTTGACTAGACCAGGAAGATTTGATAAGGAGGTTATTGTTGACTTGCCAGATGTTAGAGGCCGTGTTGATATCTTGAAACATCACATGCATAATGTTGAAACCGCTGATAACGTTGATCCATCAATCATTGCTAGAGGTACACCTGGACTTAGTGGTGCTGATCTCATGAATTTGGTGAATCAAGCCGCAGTTCATGCATCGCAATTGTCAGCCCCGGCCGTCGATATGTCACATTTCGAGTGGGCTAAAGATAAGATCTTGATGGGTGCAGCTAAAAAGAAGATGGTTATTACAGAAGAGTCTAGAATCAACACGGCATACCATGAAGCAGGACATGCCATCATGGCTATGTACTCAGCAGGTGCTACTCCCTTGTACAAAGCAACGATATTACCTAGAGGTAGGGCATTGGGTATTACATTCCAATTACCTGAGATGGATAAAGTTGACATGAGTAAAAAAGAGTGCTTTGCCAGGTTGGATGTTTGTATGGGTGGAAAGATTGCCGAAGAAATGATTAATGGTAAGGAAAATGTTACATCTGGCTGCTCATCCGATTTGAGTAATGCCACTGGCGTTGCAAGAGCTATGGTGTTGTCGTACGGTATGAGTGACAAGATTGGTCCCGTGAAATTGAGTGACGATTGGGAAAGTTGGTCGCCACAAATTAAGAATCTCGCCGATAATGAAGTACGCGAATATCTCGTTGAATCAGAAGCAAGAACTCGTCAATTGTTGAGAGATAAGAAATTAGAGTTGCAGCGATTGGCGGAAGGCTTATTAGAGTATGAAACATTAACCAAGGATGAAATGGACAAGATTGTTCGTGGTGAAGCCATCAACAAGGAGAAAACTGTAAGTAACACTGTGATCAAAACGCCATCTTCAAGTCCAGATAAGATTGGAGAAGGGTTAAGTTTAAAGCTGAAATGAATTGTATAGAGTTTAATAAAACGTTATGAAGTAAATTGAGAGTGAGCAGCTTTGTGTTCGGGAAAGCTTTGGCGGCGTAGCACGTGAAGATATGAATTTGAGCAAATTTTTTGTTACTTGTTGTTCATATTAGTCTTTTGTTAACCTGCAGGGTTTCGAACATAGTCATTAAGAATATGCTCATTGAACAAAACCAAAACCCAACGATGTACTTATATATAAATAGTTTGATAAATCCCCTTTTGCATCTTGAGTTCTTTACTTCTTCTTCTTCTTCTTCTTCTTCTTAAGTTTTTGTTGCTACATTTCCTATTGCTTACTTTCAGCACCACATCGATTCCAACGGCGAAAAGTTTGACCTCACTAATCTTCACCTAATGTGCCTGCATCTTCAAATAGACAGCATTGGTGTAAGGGCGCTCTTTAAATGAATAGAAGAGGAGAACACATGGGGTGTTCTTGTGACAGCCACAGTTTAGTTTTGAATTCCGGTCCCGCACTTTTCTTCAAATGCAAAACCTACAATGCATATGCATAATAGCAATGTAAAAATTTAGTCGATGGTACACGTCCTTCCTTATACTTCTCCCCTTTTCTTCTCTCTCTTTTTTTTAAACAACGGGATTTAAATACCTCCCACATTTTCTTTCCTTTTTTTTTGTTCTTTTTTAATTCATTTTCAACCATTATACACTTTGCTAGAATTCACCACATTAGCTTAATATCAATCAAAACAAAAAATGGTTAAAGCAGGTATGTTTTGTGAGTCAATTGAGGGAGAAGCGTAACGAAGATGCATTAATTGAGCTATAAAACACTCAATTGAGTATCCATCCCTACTCCTAAACTAGTTACTAACTTTGTTTCCCCAGTTGCTGTACTCAGAGGAGATTCAAACGTTAGCGGAGTCGTTAGATTCGAACAATCCGCTGAATCCGAACCAACCACCATCACTTGGGAAATTGCCGGTAATGATCCAAATGCATTGAGAGGATTCCACGTGCATGCCTTTGGTGACAACACCAATGGATGTACTTCAGCCGGACCTCATTTCAATCCATTCAGCAAGACCCACGGTGCCCCAGAAGATGATGAGAGACATGTTGGTGACTTGGGTAACATTTCTACTGACTCCCAAGGTGTTGCTAAGGGAACCAAACAAGATTTGTTGATCAAGTTGATTGGTGCCAACAGTATTTTGGGTAGAACTGTTGTTGTTCATGCTGGTACTGATGACTATGGTAAAGGTGGATTTGAAGATTCAAAGACCACTGGACACGCTGGTGCCAGACCAGCTTGTGGTGTCATCGGATTGTCCGAGTAGAAAGGCTTAATCCTTTTTTAAAAATATATGCGTATAACTTAGATGGAAAATTGTAGGAAGTATCTTTGTTTTACTTTGATCTCTGGTATCAGACCTGTGCTTAGAATTGCTTTACTTTAAAATGTACGTCGCGAAAATTTCCAATTGAACAGAATTAAAACACACAACAATATCCATGAAGGACGGATCGTTTAGTTACCTACACCTATCTAACCCCAACATAGCCACGTATATTGAAACATGGCACAACGAGCCAATGCCATTTGATGATATAGAGCCGCCACAAATTCACAATAACAAACAAAACGGTGGCGGCATAAAGAATGGAGAGGTGCCACTGTTGGATAATGAGGATGATGACCCACTTCAGGGTAACCAAGCTTTTGGTGTAGCTGGTAATAGTAGTGGCGGTGGCGGTGGCGCAGGTGGTAGTGGCGCAGGAGGCAGAGGTTTGAAAGGAAATGGAAGTGGTGCACACAATCAGTGGATGGATTTGCAATTACATGAAGTGTTTAAAGAAGATATCAAGAGATTTCAGGATACGACAATTTTACCCAATATAGAACAAAGGGAGTAAAGTGCCTAGTGGATAGATAACCATAAAAGGAGATTATTCCTACATAAAAAGTACAGCTTCAAAAACGCCGCCAGCGCAACTTCGGCATGAAATCTTAAATTCAATTGATCTCTTGATTACAAACTCGTTATCAATTCATGGAAATCATTAAGATCAGACAGGTAATGGACTTAATAAAATGTTCGGGGATCCATTTTAACACCTTCTTGCTAGCAAAACCGGTCAAGCACTTGAAAATCATTAGGTTTGTAAATACAAATCCCCTTATTGGCATTGGTGTTGTCTATTATTCCGCACAACGAGGGTCGTAACCAAAGTACAATGGTAAACTATATGGCCGATAAGAACTCATGTGTCGTGCTCCATGTCGTAGTGTAATGAGGGTTGAATCCAGAAAAATGACAATGATGGCTTGCTTCAAATTATAGTTTTGCAGAAAAAACACTGTGCCATTGTGGGATATCAAGTAAGCTAGGTCTTTAGTCTCTGCTTGTAATACAATTTCATGTAGAATGCACACCGGGTATAGGTTCAGTATTGTCGTTGAAGCTGAAATGCAACTGTCATCATCGTCAAATAGGGAGTGTTGTGGGAAATTAGCGAGGGTAATAATAAAAAGAAAAGAATCTCGAAAGACAGCGGAATATATGGCTATGTATCAATGTGGTGGCACGGAGGTGTTGGAGGTGTAGTATTGTCACATTCATATTGCTTTATGCCAGTGTAGTCAGTTTGTATACATAGTATAACTGCAAAAACTTGCGCCAAAAATCGGTAGCGAGAAATAGAAAACAATTGGGCCTGAGCACACCCTGTACAAGCAATAGGGTTAGTGGAAAACGTTACTTTCTTATAAGTATGAGCAACTAAAACCCGTCTCCCGATGCATTATTCAGTAAAAGTCGTAAGTAAGAGTAAATAAGTGCATATATTGCCGATTGAAGTCTCTTTCAATAAATAGAGTTCATCAATTTGTAACAATCAGTGTGAAACTATTTACAACGCAATAATAGTAAACTTCTTTCACAGGTCCCACCTATTAACCGTTACTCATCATCCTCATCATCATCCGAGTCTTCCTCCATGTTGATTTCAGGCATTTCGAAATCTGAACCATCAGCATTGTCTTCAACTGTTGAGGTTGTCGTAGTTGTAGCAGTAGTAGCAGCACGCAACTCTGTCGCTCCAGAAGACACTCTCGAATCTTCTTCTTCAATTGGTGCAGAAACGGTCTCTAAGGTTTCAGGTTTGAATGAGAAATCTTCTTGAACTGTTTCAACCTTTCTCTTTTTCCCGTCGAGGGTTTCTTCCGCAGTATCGTCAATCACTCTCTTGACACTAAAATCGGAAACATTACTAGGCTGCTTGGATCTAATCTCAGTTTCCTCTCTCAGTTGTTCCCTCTGTTCATCTAACAATTTCATTATTGCTGATTCTTTTGTATTCATTGGTGCATGATCCACTTCAGGATCCAGCACATTGTCCAAATCAAATGCTTGCTCGTCCTCTTCTTGTTCTTTGGCGGAAGAAACATGTTTAGGTAAAGGTGGTAAACGGGGGTTATTGAATACACTCAATAATTCATCTTCTGGTATAATTGAAGAGACAATGGGTAAGATATTGTGCTTGTCGTAGCCAGGGTTCAATACTGCACTTCGCAACAATGATCTAAATGAATCAGGTACAGTAGATTCGTAATTACCAGCAGCTGCTTCAATACACTCTTGAATCACAAATTTGACTACCTTGTAATGCTGAGTCGGTGGTAGTTCTGATCGTTTGATAATCTGGTCAAAAAATGTTCTCACCACATGCAACAAGTGCGATGAGCGGGATCGAGTGAATAAATGCTGATGAGATAAAATATCAGATAATGAAGCTGATGATACATTTTTCTTTTTCGATTTTTTCAGTTGCGATGTGGTAGTAGCAGCAGCAGCAGCAGTGGGTTGTTCCTTGTTTCTAACAAAATCATTGGCTTTTGGTCCAGATAAAACTAACGCAACATCAACAAACGAAACAAATAAAGAATTATCCGAAACCACACCAACTAACTGTATATACTCACTAATACAACTCAACAAGTCCATAAACAATGCTTCATTGTTCAAAACGTCTGAAGATGACACTTTGCCCGATTTCGATAACGGAACCATATACGCCAACGACGACCACAATGCCGGGAAATGAGGAATCAAGGCGCCTTTAAACACCAAAAGACGCTTCAATAGACCAAGTATGTTTCGATAATTCTTATACAATGTCGTTTTGATCAATCCTCTAATCTCGTTATCCCTAATATCACTTTTGAATGATAAGTATCTGGTATTTATCGAACAAATTGTTTCAGCAAGAAGAAATACTTTGCCCAAGGGCACCTTGACACTAGCTATACCTTCAGTTAGATAAGTTGCCAATAACTTAGTCAAGATTTCAACTCGGTTATTAATTTGCAATAACGTTTTCGGTTGATTCAAATCAATCTCCAAACTGGTAAACACTTTATTCTTCGATGATTGAGGCAATTTATGTAACAACCTCTTCAATTCAGAATCATCACTGAAATTCAAAAACTCATCATAGATCTCAACCACACCCTTGATTTCAGCAATGATGTCATCGACATCAGTTGCCCATTTTGTTTCCGGTTCATTCTTCTCCACTGTGGGTAAAATTGCCAATGCTTTACAAATTGATTTTTGTAAATGGGTTGGAAATTCACAAAACCCGCCATTTTGCATCAACGCATACAATTTCTCACCAAACTTGTTGGCAAAGGGTCTAAATGTCGTTGGGTGGTATTTGATGATTTGGTAAAGCGACTTGATGCATAAATCAGGTGCATATGGCAAATTCTTCAAGTAAAGCGATATGATGGAACTCAATTTAGGTGTCAATATCTCACGTGTCAATGCGGGCTTATCCCTAATGACTCTAATCAATTTGTTCAAGCTTTCGATACAAGTTTGCAAAATTATCACATCAATAGTGTGGTTAAATGATTCCAAAATCGTAAGCAACATGGTCATGAAATTGGCACCTTCGTTAGCCAAGATGATATAGTTGTCACTCAATACGTTGATGATACTGATTCCACACCACTTGTTGTAGATGTTTGGTGATCGGCATAGTTGCAATGTTCTTGAGATTAAATGAGTGAGATCCGATTTTGAAATTTGATCGAGTTGTTGTTTCTCGTTGTGGAGGATAGACAAGACTGGTATAATTGAGGATGGTGAGGTTTTGATTTCCTCAAGAACGATACTAATCGACATTTGGGGTTAAAGAAAAAAAGAAGTAGATGATGAAGAAGAAGATGATGATGTCTGATCCTCATCGCTTACAACAAAAGGTTTTCCAAAAACAAAAACTTATTTCAATAACACAAAAGACACAAAACCAAAAAAAAAATACAACAAAAGGTCTCAAAATCTAAGTTTTACTTCATCTCTTTTTTACTTTAACAAAATTTTAAAAGTACCAATCTCAAATCCATTCAATTTGATTCCAACGACACCTTTCTTCACTTCCAACTCTTCAACAGTCTCATTTTCTAACCCATTGGTCTTGATAACCTTGTCAACCTTGAAATGCTTTTCATCGATTACCAACTCACCTTTACTGGCACCACCCAATGACTCGTAAATTCGAACAACAATGGATTTTTCATTCTTTGACAACTCGTTATACTGACTCACATCAACATCATCCTCACCACGTTTGATGTGAGACAAGATCAACGAAGACTTGTCATCGGTATTTAATCTAATGGCATGCAAATAAGATGTATCCATTGCCTTTGGTATCAATTTATAGTTGAAGTTGTAACCAGCCTTGACTGTGTTGATACCCAAGGGTCCACTGTGTGGGTAAATGGCATACTCAAATTTGTGCTCACCCATATCGGCTTTATTGTCGGGGGCTTTTGCACTTCTAAGCAAGGACAATCTAATCAAATTACCGTGAATCGACCCACCGTACTTGCTATTATTCAAAATGGAGACACCATAATTGTACTCACTCAAATCCATAAATTTATGGTGACAAACTTCAAACTTGGCCACATCCCACGTGGTGTTGTAATGTGTTGGTCTTTTAGTGATTCCAAATTGAGTCTCATAGCTGGCATCCAATGACGTGTTGATGGTGGTTGGGAATTGAACCTTCAAGAACTTATACGTCTCGTGCCATTGAACAGTTGAGGAAAACTTGACATAATTGTTGATGCTATGTTCATCATTGGTACCAGCTAAGGAAATGACAGTTTCAATAGACGAGTTTGGCGAGATTTCATGAGTCACAACAATCGACGACTCCAAAGCATCATTAGACAAGATCTTGCTCTTGGCTGAATCCAACAACTTGAACTTTTCCAAAGAGTACAACTCGGTATCCCAAGCAGGAAAGTTGAGAGGCTCGTCGTCAAACAACAAGTACTGGTTACCTCCAATGGCCTTATTGCCTTGCTTAGTTTGAGCAGATGCTGTAGTGTCAATAATTTCTCTCTCGGCAACCGTATCGTAAAGCGAAGTGATTACACCAGTTGATGAAATCTTTGCAACCAACAAACCATTGGACAACACATACCCATCGTCATCAGATTTGACACTGGCGGGGTATTTAACCTTTTTGTTAATTTTGGTCTCTCCTCCAATATAATCAACAGAGACTTGAAGCTTGCCCTCCTTGGTTACGCGTCCATCCTTTTTAAATGCCTTGTACAAATCTGGTGACTCGTCTTCATCGACCTCCACAATTTCGTTATGTCTATCCCAAGGTAAAGTATTGACCAATGCATGCTTAGGTTTACCCGAAGCTTCAAATGCCTTAAAGATTAACTTGTCGGCTTTTTCCAATAAGCTAGTTAACATGGGAAACACTTCTTCATAATAAACCATACCGATACAACTACCGGGCAAAACATCATGGAATTGACACAAACAAAGGTCCTCCCACAAATCATTAATCTGCTTAGCAGGATAGTGGTAGTCCTTGTTTTTGAGACTAACCAATCCAGCAACCAACTCCAAGTCATGCAACTTGATTTCCCCTTGTCTCATAAGTCTCTTAACTTGAGCTTGAACGGTATAAGTACCACGATGGAATTCAAGGTAAATCTCACCTGTCCAAGTTGGCAATGACCGCCCATTATCGGATTTCTCCAATAAATGGTCGTAAAAGTCTTCAATCGAAACATCCAAAGCAACTGAAGGAAGCAAACCACTCTCGTTACTTAACCCTCTGCACCTCCTCAACTTTTCAATCATTTCTGGAGTGGGGCCTCCTCCACCATCACCGAAACCATAAAGTAACAAGCCAGTTGGTACGTCACGTAAGTTCTTGTGCTGATGTTGTGATCTCAGAACATCGCCAAAGTTTGCAGCAGCGGTATAGGTGTTGTCAGGAGGCATATGAACCAACACTTGTGACCCATTGATACCTTTCCAGTTAAAAGTAGTGAGGGGGAAGGTATTGATGTTGTTCCAAGATAACTTTTGCGTCAAGAAACGATCAATGCCAGACAATTGACAAATTTGCGGAATTTGCGAGCTGTAACCAAATGTATCAGGTAACCAGAAAATATTGGACCGGAAACCAAATTCAGCTTGGCTGAATCTTTGTCCTAAAATAAATTGTCTAAGTAAAGACTCACCATTGGGTAAGTTGGTATCATTTTCAACCCATGAACCACCAAGAGGGATAAATTGATTTCTTTTAAACTTTTCCTTAATATCATCAATAATTTCAGGATAAGATTGTTTCAACCATTTAAATTGCTGCATTTGAGATGCAACAAAGACGTATTCTGGGTACTTGTCGGCAATTTTCAATTGGGTTGTCCAAGAACGAACGATTTTCCTCTTGGTTTCAGCAAATGGCCATTCCCAGGCAGTATCAATATGACAATTACCCACACCAAACACATCAATACGTTTTGTCTTGTTGGGATAGTCATTAAACACTTCTTCAGAGTTGATCTTGTCACCAAGCAATTTAGTTGCCAATTTACGACAATCTTTAATCGAATCGACATTTTCAGGGTCAAATGCATTCATGATTTTTGTGCAAAGATCAGCTGCTTGATACTTTTGCCATCCTCCAGGGAATTCTCTTGCTGCATCTCCCAAAATCCAAAAATCCCAAAAGAGTCGTCTAGCTTCCAAATTGGGCACCACCAAGTGTGCCTTGTTCAAACGGAAGTATCTATTGGGGTCTGGTTCACCATCGGCACCATTACCAAACATTCCGTTACAAGCAACTTCAATGAAAAATAATTGTTTGCCAGGTTTTCTAAACTTGTCGGGAATTTCAAACAAGTTACGGTCGCCTCCGGTAAAAGCTTGTAAAGGACGGCCATTGGCGTCATAAATCAACGCTTCGGAGCTTGAGTCCCACTCAATTTCCAATCCTTCATATTTGAGCCAATCTTGAGGAATATCCAAATGAAACTTGACCCAAAAAGTCTTCCAACTTGGTCCAAAGTTGTAACCTAATCCAATATGTTCCCAAGACACTTCACCAAAGTCGATATCACGAAACAAAGGTCTCTGAGTACGCCCTTCTTTGTCGTCTGGTACTTTCCAAGTTTGCAAATTGCCAATCTCAGTTCTATGAATGTCATAGAATTTAGGTAAATTCAAGTTGGGGTATTGGCCACCCGTGTCAGTGAATTGACGTAATCTACCTTCATAAAGGTGATCAATTGGTTTAAAGTTGGGCTGGTGATTGAAATTTTCGTATCCCATTAGAATTGAATTTTTGATTTATAGTTAGCTTTAAATGGGAATGCAAAGAATTCTGGTAAAAGAACAGGTGGTTAAAGTTTGGAGACAGAAAATATTAAAAGGGAGGAAGGAGATAAAGGGGAAAAATAAAATAAAACGTGGAGGAGTGCAAAGGAATAATTACCTAATACAACGATGTAAGTATTACATAATTCATTCTATATTTGCTATTTTTATACATGTGTAGGAATCAAAACCTACACATGAAGTATTGGTTGTAGTTGTATTTGGAGCTAGAGTAAGTATACGTAGCTGGAAGGAGGTGAGTTTGAAGAAGCTACTCGAGAAATATAGATATTAAGAACTAAGTAAGCTATTTGTAAAAGTGGCTTTTTTGCTATAATAAAAAGTGGCGGCAACAGACTTAATTCATCCCACAACTTACAGACATACAAAACATTCAAACAGCTTATAAGCACAATTGAGATTTATTATTATATTCTATTAAGAAACTATGTAGAGAATATTCCTATTAATCTTCTTTATTGAGTGCGCACTTCCTTGTCTTCCTCAACGCTAGCAATTTGTGGATGTTCCTTATGTAAGGAATCAGCATGAATCTTGGGCAATTTCACAGAAAATCCTTTGATCAAGCTAAACTCATTGGTGATCTTACCACCCAAGTCCTTAATCTTGCTTTTGATGGATTCAGCCTGTGTATCAGTAGTGTCGTCTTTCAAAGTAACGATGTAACCTTTATCGTCGGACATTGTTGTAGTGGAATAGTAGTAGTAGTGGATCTAATAGCAATTGGTCTAAACTTCTAAAGTAAAGTCAAAGTAACCAATGTGATGATAAAAAGAAGAAGAAGAAGAAGAAGAAGAAGTTGTTTAACTGTGTGGATCTATTCGTTGAACTTTTTTCTCTCTCATTTTGTAGTTAGCCACAGCTTTTAATTTTTGCTTTTCTTTTCTTTTGCCCTTTGGCTTGGGTAATGTTTTGTGTTAATTAACAATTGTAATATTCCGTTATCAGTAAGTAAAATATTTGGTAAATAGTACACTACTTTCTATTCTCCAGCAAACAATTCCGTCTTTGAATTGACCACTGTAACTTCAAAACCGAAAGCAAACTTCCTACAAGTACACAATATCATTTCATCCTTAACCAAATGTTGGTGGTGTACCAGAAATACTATACTCCATTGGACAGATTCATTAACAACTTCAGACGTAAAGGGTTTTGGTTATACACCGGACTCATTACCTTGTCATTGGTGTATATGTTTTATGAGTTATCTCATCTACCAGATATACCCCCACCATCACCACCACCATCGAAGAGAAACGCTAGAACTGTGAAGAAGAAAGAGGTCAGAACAACTGATCCAAGTACGGGTGTTGCAAAAGTTGAAGAAGTGGTGATAATTGAATAGTCAGATGTATATTTCCTTAGTTGGGACAAAGCCGTGATTGGAACTTAGCTTTAAAGTGAGTGGGTTCTTCATAAGTCACACTTTTACATTGTGTGTAAATATAGTATGTGTGTTCAAAGTGCTTGTTTTGAGCAAATATTGTTTTGTCTCTAAGTACATTGTTGTTGTTGGTTTTGTTGTGCCTGCTTTAACCTGCAAGGTTACCAAGTAGGAGATCAAAAATATGCTCATTAACTGATATGAGATAGTATAAATAGTTTAACAAATCCCTCTCTTTCATCATTGACACTCATCTCCTATTATCTTTTGCATTTTAGAATTCACTACTTTTCTGGGTGGCCCTTGTTATTTTTTTTAAAAGGAAGCAATGGTTCTAATTTATCTCAACTACCTAAAGACAAAACGATAGAGGCTAGAGGTTAGTATCATATCAGTTGTTCATACAATAGGTAAATGCTGCTAACCAATATTCGAGCAAGGGTCATTTCCATCCAATCAATTGGAGGAGGTATTAGTAAAATAGTCTCGGGGGATTATCGGTACTTGCCACAGCTTATTGATGATCTCATGAGCCGCACGATCCCTCCTTTTTTTTCTGAAGAATGCAATTACGTCATTGAATGAATTGATTATAAATATACCACACACACCAACACACACCAACACAGCGTTAAATTGATTATTTTTCTTTTCTTTTCTTTCCTTTTCATTAAAGATATCACAAAATAGTTAAAAATGGTCAAAGCAGGTGTGTTATTGAGTCAATTGAGTATTCCTCCCCACTGCTAAACTAGTTACTAACTTTATTTCCCCAGTTGCTGTACTCAGAGGAGATTCAAACGTTAGCGGAGTCGTTAGATTCGAACAATCCGCTGAATCCGAACCAACCGCCATCACTTGGGAAATTGCTGGTAACGATCCAAATGCATTGAGAGGATTCCACGTGCATGCCTTTGGTGACAACACCAATGGATGTACTTCAGCCGGACCTCATTTCAATCCATTCAGCAAGACCCACGGTGCCCCAGAAGATGATGAGAGACATGTTGGTGACTTGGGTAACATTTCGACTGATGGTCAAGGTGTTGCCAGGGGAAATAAACTGGATTTATTACTTAAATTAACGGGTGCCAACAGTATTTTGGGTAGAACTGTTGTTGTTCATGCTGGTACTGATGACTATGGTAAAGGTGGATTTGAAGATTCAAAGACCACTGGACACGCTGGTGCCAGACCAGCTTGTGGTGTCATTGGATTGTCCGAGTAGAAAGGCTTATTTATTACGGGTTTGGTATATAGGGAATAAATGGGTATAATTTAGATGGAACTGTAGGTATTTAGCGTGTAATCTCACTGAAAGGAGTGCTAAGTTTTTGGAAGCTTTAAAGAGGCTTTAAGATGTGTCAATTTTTACCCAAAATAGAACAATTAGAGTAAAGGCTAAATGAATATACAAGATGAGACACTGCAAAAGGTAGCGATGACTTAAGGAACATCATGGGTGAGCAATGATTCAATACTAACAAACTGTTGATGTAATTTTCCAATATCAGATCTGAGTACAGCAAGTTCTTTTTCTTGATTAACAATTTGAGCAATATGCAATTTCAAATAATGTTGCTTCAACGACATGGGAAACAACAATGCATTTGAATCTCCAATAATTTGTTGAATTTTCTCCAGTTGAGTTTCCAGTTTAAGCATGGTTGATGTTGTTGTTATAATTTTGCGTTTTTCCAATTCGAGCGATTGATAAGTGGTGATGGCTTTGTATTTGGTGGCTTTTGTCTTGTAGATGGTTGCGAGTTGGTGGAGTTTGCTCGAGAGTTGGTTGCCGAGTTGCGTTAGTTGTTGTTCATGGTTGAGTATGGGAGTAGGTTTGGCAGAGTGGTTGTGCGTGGTAATAGTTGCAGTTGTTTGATTTTTGTTAGATGTTGGTGATGATTGTTCATGTTGTTGCGATGGTGGAATCGGCTTTGATGGGGGAGGAACTGACTTTCCTAAGGAGGTTGACGAGTTTGATATGAGGTCAGAACCGACTGATATTGGTTTCTGTTGGGGGTGTGATTGCGTTGAGCGTGTTGGACGAGTGCGTAATTTGGTTGTTGTCATTATGGTTGAAATATTTAGTTGGACTAAAGTGAATGTAATATGATCAGAGGGAAAGTTTGATTTCTTTTTTTTTTGATAAATTGATTGGTATTCGTTTTGTAAGAAAGTGTTATGGTATACCTTAATAGTTACTTTTAAAATTTTTGTGATTTGTGATTTGTGGTTTTCACAGATTGTAAAAATATTCGTTTATTTTTTTGTTATGGCTGCAAAAATGGTTCTTTGTTAGGCGAAACTGACAAACTTATTCAAAAAAAAAAAAAAGTCCGTCACTGTGGTTAGACAGAGTTGGAAAAGTTTATGAAATGAAGACACTATTGAATAAAGTGGAAGGCCATTTATAGCTGGTGGTGTAGCCTATTCCTATCAAAAGGTTAGATCTGAACAACATATAATTAAAGTTTTAACCTTTTTGATATGTTTACTCTTTGCGTTAGACATAGCATTGAATACATGAGGCATCATGTATTTTTCTTTTGTCTTAAGAAGTATGACTGATGAAGCTATATATGCTATTGAATAATTAAGCAAAGCAAATTCAAATACCGTTCCGCAGACAGAAAAGATTTTTTGAGTATTACTCTGAATAAGAACATTACAAGACGATTGTTTTGTTTGAACCTGCTAATTTTTTTTTCTTGACAAAAGCCCAACAACATTGTATTCAAGGAATATATTTCGAAAGTAGTACTTATATTTCTACAAGTTGTCTCTAGAGACGAGAATTTTGTAGTCAATGGAGAGGTCATTGAATCATAAACTTAAACACAGTAAATTCTTAGAAACCAATTGTTATTTTGTGTTCGTTTTCCTTTTGTTTTTGCGAGAACGTTTGTTTTGCGTTTGTGTAACTTCAAATGCGTGAAACACTTAGAAAGAATGAGTGGATGATGAGCGAAAGAATGTTCGTCAGCAGTGGCTACAGGCAAAACTAAAGAGATAGTAATAGACACTTCATGGAAAATGTACCAGCTTTTTATAACAATGGGTTTAATTATAGAAGTAGGAAAGGGAAAGGCAACTGACGATGATGGCGGCTGTGGTGGTTGTGTAAATCACCACTCCACATTTAACCCACCCATTAACACAGTATAAGCTAGAGGTATCATTTGGTAACCACTAAGCACAATGCTTTTTGAACTCTCAAATAGGTAGTTGTAGTTATATACTCATCGAGTACCCTTGTATTGTAATGTATTGTCTTCTCTTGTTTTGTTTTGAATTGTTGTCTTTTTGGGTATGTAGAAAATTTTAGACGATCAGAGGGAAGAAAATTTGAGAAGTTACAATTTTTTTCGCTATTTCTTGTCTCTCAAACACAAGTGGTTCGGTTGAAATATAAAACAAGTTACTATCTGCTCTATATCTATATAGAGGTAGATACATAGATAGATAGATTGACCATTAAACTTTAAAACAGTAATCTGCGTACGGTGTATGTATCTAAATGTATCGCACCAAAAGAGGCAATTATATATTTTTAATTCTTTTTTGGGTAGTTAGTTAGTGGTGGGACAAAATCAGAAAACAAACAAACAGAGAAACAAAAGATTCTAAAAAAATCTAAAACTAAACAAAAGGTCATTCCACTACTGTTCACATTTGAATAGATAAGAAGGCATTGGTATATACATACATATATCTCTACAACACCCAAGCCATCAGACAAAGAGGTTGAACCGATCGCCTTGATTAGCAATACACTTCATTCCAAAAGACTAGCTGTTCAACAGACTCACGCGTCCAACTCTCCTTCTTGCATATAGGCTTTGTATGATGTCATCAAATACAGCCACCACCAGCAACACCACCAGCATGTCGTCATTTAGCATACACAATAATAACAACAAACAAACAGATCAACTGATTAAAGCAGAATCACCAATACCACAACAGCAGCATCAACATCAACATCAACATCAAACGCAATCGAATATCAAACTGACACCACTACCACAACCACAACTACAACTACAACCACAGCCACTTGTCCAACAAACACAGTCCTTCACTAGCTTTCGTCGCTCATCGCCAGTACCAAAAGATTTGAAAATACTTTGCATAAACTTTAATCAAGATCATGGGTGTTTTGCCATTGGTCATGAGTTGGGATTTCTTGTCTACAATACTGATCCTATAGAACTACGGGTGAAGCGGAATTTTAACATTGGAGGTAGTAGCAGTACCCCATCAAGATACAACTTGAACACTGCCACAGCATCTAATCAAGTAACTAATTCCATAGTTAATACAACTACTCCAGGATCAGGATCGGGCATTGGCCACATCACCATGTTACATCGAACGAACTACTTGGCTATAGTTGGTGGAGGCATCCATCCTCGTTTCCCTAATAATAAATTAATCATCTGGGATGATTTAAAGAGGAAAAACAGCTTATCGTTAGAATTTGACCAGCCAGTTCTCAACATCCTTTTATCGCGGATCAAAATTGTTGTCATTCTAATTGATGAGATTATTGTATATTCATTTTCATCCCCACCTAAAAAGTTGATTAGTTTTGAAACTAGTCGCAATGAGTTTGGTGTTGCCGATATGTCAGTTACAACTCCCACTACGGCAGCAACAACTTCTACTTCATCTCCTACCCGAAAGGAGCGCGCATCATCAGATACAGCATATACACATGATGGTCAATTGGCTCCTCGCATGCCTCGAGGAAGTCATGGCTCGGTGTCAAGTGCAGGTTCAACAACCAGCAATGCATCACTCAACAGCATCTTGAATCATAATAACAAGAGTGTTTACAACAACAGTAACCACAACAACACCACCACCACCACCCACCAACCGAGCACCATTCTTGTATTCCCTGGTAAAGCAATTGGTCAAATCCAAATTGTCGATCTTGTTCAACAGCAACAAGGCTCATCAGTCAATATAATCAAGGCTCATAAGTCTACTATACGAAACTTGTGCATAAATAAAACCGGAACTATGGTAGCTAGTGCATCAGTATTTGGCACTTTAATTCGAGTCCACTCAACTAAATCAACAATTTTGCTTTATGAGTTCCGTCGAGGGATAGATAAAGCCGATATTACTTCGATGAAGTTTAGTCATAATGATTCTAAGCTTGCCGTGTTATCAGACAAGTACACTCTTCATATATTCAATCTACACCAAGACAACCACGAGCAACAACAACAAGAACAAGAGGACCAAAAACTCCCCATCCAGGAGAACAAACACCACGCATTGAATAAATTCATTAGTTTTTTGCCTAGCACATTAATCCCGCAATATTTCAAAAGCACCTGGAGTTACTGTAGTGTCAATACCAACAAGTACCACCAACAGGAACTGGAATTGGACACAGGTGAGTTGGGCTGGGTCGGTGATGATGGAGTGGTTATTGTTTGGCAAAAGAAGAAAATTTGGGAAAAGTATTCGATTTTACAAAAGAGTGACCATGGCGATGGTGAAAGTTCGCTGGGGGATAAGAAGGCCTCACTCGAGTATGAAATTGTAAGAACAAGTTGGAAATCATTGGATAGTGAATAGAAACGTATTTTTTTTGTCACTTTTGCATATATTTGTATATTTTATTAGTATTTACAAAATAAGAGGCGTCAATTGATAATTACATAAATTCTATTGCTACAAAGTAGTGCTTCCCTCGTACTTTTTTCCCTCGTTCACCCCTTCACCTTCCTTCACAACGTTTCACAAAGCAAGGGCAAATACGACACCTTTTCACCAACTTTACGAAAATTCTGCAACTTTAACCATTTAGTGCCGTGAAAATTGCGAATAAACCGCAACGCGTCAGCCTCCTTGTTGAAATTCATCTTGATTATATTAATATCCTGCATTACGTTGGAATATATCGATTCAATAGCGGGGTTGTCGTCGCTGTTTTCCTTTTTCTCCAATGCTAAATTGTAATTCCAAAGTGAGTCAACTACTAGTTTAGGTTTCAACCCAAATGGCCAATTGTGGACCAAGACCGATTTATTACGGTTTGGTGTATCTAGCAAGTGGGTCAAAATGGGATAATTTTCATCATAGGTGGGAGATAATGTCGTCGTCGTCGTCGCTGCTGCTGCTGCTGCTGATGATGATGATGATGAGCCTGCTGCGCTCTGGTGGTGGTGTTTTAATGCATTAAGTTGGGAAATGAGTGATTGATGGTTGGCAGTTTGTAGCTTTTGAGGAATTAAATTATCAATTATATCAATGGGTTCAAACTCCAATTTCAACTGGATGCCATTGATTAATTTATCCTGTGTTTCCAATTGGTATATCTTGGCATTTAAATGGTTGTGGAAAATCAACAAATACTCATTTTGGAAATTGAGCAAATGACCCAGTCGTTTCTTAACTACTTCGAAATTATCACGAGGTGTAACTGAATAAGTTGAGTTGCGATCTTGAGGTAGCAAATTTTGGAAATCGTGTTTGGTTAAAAACAGATTGATGCATTTAAAAGAGAGGATATTTGACTTGATGGGTATGACATCATGATTTACTTTCAATGCTTCCATTGCTGGTAGTTTTCTCTTTGTCGTTTGATAGTTGTGGAGTATGTCCATTGAGGAATCAATTGGGGAATTAGTTTCATTGGTGGAGGTGGTGTTTTCATTGTAGAGCTGTCGCGTGATTTGGGGGAGTGTGTGAGATGTTTGTACATTGGTGGCTGTTTCTTTATATAGAAGGTTCATTAGCTTCTTAGCAGTATTAGCGGAAGTCTTCAGCATGATCGTTGTGTTTCAGGAGAGGTGAAGGTTGGAGGATGATTTGAGATGCAAAGTTTCGTATTTGGAAATATTGCAGTATAAAATACACGCTACCATCTGTGATTTAAAAGCTTTTTATGTCAACGTATTTGGCAACTCGTTTAAGACTCAAAGACTTTCCTTCTCTCAATGAGGGGAGAACTACTTTATCCTAGCAAATATACTGTTCAAGTATCTCCAATAATCCCCTTCTTGCCTCTACCTGAAGTTTGTTTAATGTGTTAATGTGTTTAATGTAGTTTTATATACAGGACGAAGCCGACAAAAAAAACCAAAATTTAAAAAACCAGAAGAAAAATTAAATGCATCATCAATCATCAAGCACTAAGATATACTTTGGCTTGTACGTTCACAACATATAACTACCCCCTTGATCAACACGATTTGTTAAATTCATCTGTTACTCAACCATCCATCCAACCATTCAACTGCCCAGCTGGTCTTACTTTTAGAGTTTTTTTCTTTTCATTTGTTTTCCTGAAGCCACTGTGGTATAAGTGACAGTCTTTCACCGCCACTTCGTTATTCCTCCCCGCCCGCCCCTTGACTTGTATATATTTTTTCAACAACCTGCTTACTTTATATCACCATTTGTACATATCACAGGTGTTATCAGGATAAACCGATAAAAGAAAAGCTTTTAAAAAATCATCCTGAAGTAATAACTACTACTATTACTACAACTACCAATTATTACTATCAACCACACTTTTACGAGAAACCCACGTTCCAAATTTTTTTATTTTTTATTTTTTTTGTTTTGCTTGTTTGTTTGTCCCCTTTTGTAAATAGACCCAACAAAAAAGCACCACAAAAGAACGAAAACCATATATTATTAACCACAACTAAACTGAACTAAACCAAACTAAACCGAACCAAGCTAAACCATATCAAGCCATGCCTTCAGATACGATTTGGTCTAGTGCTAGTACATCGCCTATCCAGTCTACACCACTGTTGTCTACCCATTCATACAACAAGAACGCTTTTAAATCGGTATTGGACCAAGTTGACCCTGATGTTGCCCGTTTTTTATCAAACTCAAATCCATTAGACCCCTTGTCTAATGACAGAAGGTTCTCATTCAATGATGGTAGTGATATCGACGACGATTTTTTTGGATTAAAGAGAGGCGCATTGTCAGCAATTACAGCACCAGTAGGAGGAGCATCCCATAACCATAACCATAACCATAACCATCACCATCACCATCACCACAATAATTCAAACACATCCCCTGTTAACGGTAACCGAATTAACTTTGGTACGGCTTCAATTAGTGGTGGAATTGCAAGCAGGCATCCACCTCTGGAAAGTTTCTTACAGAAATTTTCCAATGTTGCTGACGCAACGAGAGAAATTGAGTTGGGAAAGTTGTCGTTGGACGGATCAAGAAGAACCAGTTTTAATAACAACGATAGGTATGGTTCAGGTTCGCTTAATGAAAACTTAAATATGCCGGTACCCCGTACGTCAAGGCACCAATCAATCAGTGAGAAGATTGACAATTATAACAATAATTCACCAATTCAAGGCAATGTGTCAATTAATGGCGACATAGCACCAGCAGAGTTGAATAATGCCACGGCAACATCGTCACATGTTCCACAAACTTTTTGGAATCCTGCTGCTGCTGCTTCTTTTACTCCTAATAATCCAAACTTTATGGAAAATGGTGTTCCAACTCCACCCCCAGCCCCATTTCAAAACTCATTTTATCGTCCTCAACAACAGCAACAACAACAAGATGGCAATGCCACTTCTCCTCCTCCACCAATGTTTCCCCCATTTATGATTCCTTCACCACCACCTCAAATGATGGATCCAATGTTCAGTATGATGTACGGAAACTTTCCCATGCCATTTCCTCCACCAATGCCACCACAGGTGAGTGATGAAAAGGAGAACGAGAAGGGTGATTCAACCGAGTCTAGTGAAGCAAAGAAGAGTCAAGGACCTATTGGAGTTGGCCTTATGAATAGACAATTCTCACCAGCAGCATTCATGCTCCCGTTCAATCCATATATGTACCAACAAGCACCACCCAATATGCCCGACGGATTGAGAATGGCGTCGCCTCCTCCTGGGCCACCACCACCACCACCAAACCATTCATCGTCCTCGTCTGCTCAACTGGCTCCACCACAGTCAAAGAATCATCATCAGCATCTTGCAACTGGAGGAGGAGCAACGCCTCCTACAGTACCACCATCGTCTTCATCAGGAACAACGTCGTCAAAGAAAAAGTCCCATAAGAAGCCATTTATTTACCGTTCACCATTGCTTGAAGAGGTTCGTGCGAATCAAAAAGAATATTCGCTCAAGGATATCTTTGGCCATGGTGTTGAATTCACCAAGGACCAGCATGGATCTCGATTCATACAAACGAAATTACCTCAAGCTAGCGATGAAGAAAAGGAGGTGATTTTTAAAGAAATTTGTGATATTTCGTTTGATTTGATGACTGATGTATTTGGTAATTATGTCATGCAAAAGTATTTTGAATTTGGTTCATCGGAACAAAAACAAATATTGTTGCAAAAAATGTTGGGACATATCTATGAACTTTCTTTACAGACATATGGATGCCGAGTGGTTCAACGGGCATTGGAGTCGTTGCAAGAACCTGACCAGTTAAAGATTATTTGTGAATTAAAAGAAAAAGTTCTCGTTTGTGCCACTGATCAGAATTCCAATCATGTGATTCAAAAGAGTATCGAACTTATTGACTTTGACAAAGTACGATTCATTATGGATGTATTGCAAACTCACTTTTATCACCTTTGCACTGATCAATATGGGTGCCGTGTTGTTCAACGATTGATTCATTTTGGCAACAACAATGATAAGCAAAACATTTACAATGAGATTAAAGACCATGTTAGTTTTCTCATCACTCACAAGTTTGGCAACTATGTCATACAAGCATGTTTGGAAAACTCGCTTCGTGCTAATGATATATTCACCACTGTTGCGGGAAAATTCACCCATTTTGCCACCAACAAGTATGCGCTGAATGTATGTGAAAGATTAGTTGATCTTGCCACTCAGTCGCAAATCCAGCAAATTTTGGAAGTGGTGATGCAGGGCAATGAATTGGAACGAATTACAGGTGATGAGTACGGGAACTATGTCGTGCAAAAGATTGTATCTGTACTTGATGGTAGTAGTGCCGAAAAGAAGCAATTGGTGGTTAAATTGCAACAATTGTTGGCTAGGAATAATAGTGGTAAAAAGAGTGTGGAGAAGATCTTGTCCTTGTGTATGGACAATAGTGACGTGTAAATAAGTGACGAGTAAAGAAGTGAAGTGTAAATAATAATAGTGTAAATAAAACTAGGTAAAGTATATAACTAAATTACAGAGTACATAATTTCAACATCTAACTTAATCGAAAACTCAGCAATGGCAGCAATTGATGAACAAGAATCTCCTCTTTGAACTTCATATGTTTTACATGTTCCAAAAAAATAAACAGCAAAAATGTGTTGCAAAAAAATAAGAAGAAATTAAGCACAGCAGAAAGACAAATTATGTATAACTCTCTAATGACCAACATCTTTGTTGATGTATTGAATACCACAGCTGAAACTGAATATTGTAACTAAATAAAAGAAGCAAGACAACATCATACAGCTGTGGCCTCAGCTTTGGTTACAAGAAAACGAAGATTTGGCAAATGAGAAGAGAGGACTGCCAGACAACAATTTTCTTCGTTACACACTCCAAAAATAAAAGTGCCAGAAACGCAGTTTTTACAAACACAACACACGAGAGTAACTACATAGAGACAGGGAAAGTAGATAGATAGAGTATATCGTAGTAATGAGAGTTTGCAAAGTTTGAGCATGTTGCATTAATGTTAGAAGATTGGTCGCTGAAAATAGACCAATAGTTAAAACTTATTTTCTATTTCTCCTTCTAAAGGTTGTAACATGTACTGCTAGAAAGAGGTTTTTCTATATATAATAACATATTTTGTTAACAGTAACAATAGTAGACACAACTGTCATTCCATTTATTGGATTTCCCATACACAACTTTGGATAGAGAATTTTGGAAAGCCATTAGCAGGTCTGGCCGTTGCGTTGCAAAATGGCTCTTAACTACGGGAATTTTGCAACTCATTTTTGAGACTGTATCCAACATACTTGAATATATGCTGAAAGTTGGTCACCCTTGTGAATGAAGTGAAAATAATAGAAAGTGGATAAGAGGATGAGTGAGTGGGTACAAATGTCATATTACTGAAGCGCGCATATAAGTCTATCAAAATTACAAAACAACATTAAAAAAAAAAAAAAGAGAAAACAGTCCTTGAGAAATAAGCAAAACACACCGGTTTATTTGAAAGATCGAAGTAATTCCCATTTGAATTTACTCCAATTCAGGTCCTCATCTCTCCCATTGCCACAACAGCATTGTCGGTATAATTGTCTCACATGCATTATTTCCGTTTTTAAATCCGTTTGTTTGATTTGTAGACAATCAAATAGTGAAATCCATTTCAATACTGTGATTTCATCGATTTGTATAATCTCGTCATGGGAAACTAGTCTCACATTGGTCGTGGCAGCGGTAGTAGAGTTGTTTTTTTCAAGATGGGAGGAAGCATAAATCTCCAATCCTTGACAATCTGAACTAATTGACGAAGTCTTTGGTATTGTGGTTGGCGAAACTGTCGTATCCAAGGTATGGTTGGACTTTGTATTCGATGTAGATGATGACTTGACACCCGGTTGCTCATTTTTCAAACTCAACAATGAAGTTGTGCTGCCGTCAGATGTTAACGATGAGCCCGTATCGGAATTCAAATAAGCCCCAATCGACCCTCCTGGGTGTTTTAGTCCAAATAGTTTCTTTCTTTTGATTAAATCCTGTTCAATAATTTCTGAAAGTGCCAATATTGCCGAGTCAGCCAATATCAACGACAAGGTAGTTGATACCGTTGGCGCTGGCAATCCATGAATGCTCTCCTCGTTGTGCGAGTTGGGTAATTCAGCAAGTAACAAACTCGATATCCGATTACTGGTGGATAAATTGGAAAACTTGTTACATGTGAGTAAAATAATGGGCAAATTCATTGATAAATGAGGTAGTAAATTGATCAACTCGGGAGTGTTGCCCGATGCCGTTAACATTATTAAACAATCTTTGGTAAAATCAACAACCCCCAAGTCACCATGCAATGCTTCCAGTGGATGCAAGCAGCTACTCTGTATACTGAGCGAGTTGAATGTGGCTACTAATTTTGATGCTAATTTATGTGATTTACCTATTCCTGTAATCACAATTTTGCCCCCTTTACAATGGGTTTGATATAGGGTGGTTATAGAGTTTAACAAATTATCGATTGAAAATGAGTCAGTTTCATATTGATGTTGTAAATGGGCCACTGCTTCGTTTTCTAATTTGATGGTGTTGAGTATTGACTGGTGACATATATTCACCATGGAAGTGCTTAGTTGTGCAGATGACTGTGAAGATGGTTCTGAATATACAGTGGTTGATGGAAACATTATTTTGAGGCGCGTATGCAGCTTTGAGTTCAGGCTGTGTGAGTTGGTGATGGACTTGTATTACAAACTTAGTTGTAGTGAATATTTATGTCTGTTGCAGTTGAGCTGGTATAACTTGGATGGATAAATTGCCAAATTAAACACCTTTAGATAATCGTATATGACCTTAGCCCAATCTCCCTTTCGTTCAAGACTTTTGGTATATGTGAAATTTTATTTTATTTTATTTGATTTTAAATGCAATTTCTTTTTTTTTTTCTTCTCGTATTGTAAATTATAACACAAAAGATATTAATCTATTCAAAGATTAGTAAGCTCTTATAAGGGGACATCTTTTATTAACATGAATTGCAGGCATTTATCGATGTCTATTGTTACGGTACACCAGTCCATTCACGCAGTACTCTGGTAGCAGAATGATACTTCCTCTTTTACGCTGTGTATTGTGTATTATCAAAAACTGAAAAAAAAAATAAAAAAAAAGAATCGGAATCGGGTTTCTTTCGCATTTTGAAAGAAAACGTGCACGTGAATAACTTTTAGGCACTGTTGATAGTGGTTAGGGTGTGGCTCATAATAAGGTCGTGTATATTTCTACAATTGTGTTTCACAATTTTATTGTGTTGGCTAATCTCCGTTTATACGGGATTGCATTATACATTATTGTAATTAAACTCCGTTTCAACGTGCAGTTTTTACTCGAAAAAGTGGAGATGGCTCTTACACGGGAGTAAGAATAACTCCGTGGCATGGATTTACTGCTATTACTGTTGGGGGATCTATTAGGTTAATCTCCTTTTAATTTTTCTAATCTAGGAAATACTGTGGCGTTCTCGTTTAATTGACAATATATCTATATTGTCGTAATCCTCTATTGTCTGTGTGAAATTTGGACCCAAATATGCCACATAAAATCACATCCTTCCTAAACAAGACAAAATAAACAGAAAAGGGGGTACTTCACTTCGGCAATAAGGTTCTTTGGGTCAACTAACTACAACGGCGCACAAACAAAATACAACCCAAGAGATCCAAAGTAAAGTCACCGTGACACTTTGATGGTGATGGGGTATGAGATCGATTCAAAGGTATGATCAGTTGTATGTCTTCCAGATACTAAATATTTTAAATTGCCTGATCACCATCCTTACAAACATTTTGCAACAAAGTGAGTCAAAAATAGAGAATTTTAACTGATTGACATCGATCGGTCAGTCAGAATATTATTCCATATATACTGTTTATCTTCTCTGAACTTGGAATTAGCTTACTACTCCTTCCACCACACTCTCGGACTTATATTAAACAGTTTATGTATCAAGATTACCAAGGATTTTCCGCGTTTTGCCAAACACTCAATTGTATCGGTTCATCTCTCCTGCATACAATCGAAAAGTTAAAAATCAACACAAATTCTGTTGCAAAAGCTGATCGAATCAAAACATTTGTTGATCTTCGACTCCAATGATCAATGATATAGATCTTCACTTGTTCAAAGATATATCACCACTACAGATCGTTATATTAATTGTCATTAAAATATACTCGATCAATAATGTTGCACCATCCGTTTTGATCAAAATTGCACGATTGATTGAACACAAGCATGTGGTTACAAGTGACAGCCAGAGTGTAATAATATTGTCAGACTTGGATAGTGTCCAAGAATACTTTAACGATGAAACGTGTTTTTTCCAGATTGAACAAATGTTGAAACTGATTAAATCGATAGAGGACTTGGATCGAGTGATCAAAGAGTTCAAAGAGTTGGTTGATCATGAAAAGCCAATTGCAAACGTAAAAAAATTTGCTTCTCAATCATTGCTTGGTGCTTTCATTATACAAGTGTGCACATTCTACGAGCAACTTGAATTTCATCAGACAATTTGCTTGTATCAACTGTTGGAGCAGTTTAGGGGAACATGCCATGATGTGACACAAGACATCCATATGGGTGAATTGGAAAGAGCCCTCGAAGCTCAGCTAGAGAAATTTAATATAAAACAGTCAAACAATCTGCATGTATCCACTTCAAAGCATTACTTGGATCAGCTAATCAATGAACAGGTAACTATATTGGAGACATTTGGTACACCGACACCACCTTATTTGAAGGAGATTATGCGACTAATGAGTTCATCGCGTGGATCAATCAACAACATGATTTTCAACCACGCACCCAACTATTATTACTTGCGCTACTTGGAGAATTTGGCTGACTTGGACTACAATGGAGCTGTCGATTCCCTACACCAGTACTTTGATTACATGGTTAGCAACAACTCGAAATATTTTTACCATTTTGCCCTCATATCCAAAGCTTCCTTGCATCAGTACTTTGGTGAGGACCAGAAGGCAATAGACAGCATCGAAGAGGCAGTTAATGTGGCGAGAGAGAACAAAGATAATGCGACCCTTACTTATATCTTGAGTTGGTTCTACAATTTCATGCATCACAAGCCACATCTATGGGCACAGCAATCGTTGTTCAATAAAAACAGCGGGGCCCATCTATTAGACTTCATCATCAAAAAAAGCACGTCAATGAACCAGCTGTTACTAGCCGTCAATCTCGGGTTTGAAACTTTGCAGATGATGAACAACCTGCTGCCCATTGCTACTTATACGGCGAATTTGGTTAAAACACTCTATGTAGCTGTTAATGATCTGAAGCCTACCCTTTCGCGAAGTGCTGATATTGCATCAACCGTTTGGGATAGACTAGGCATAACCTCATTGAGTGAAGTTTACGGTGACCTTGCGCTGCAGTATAGTGAAAACTCTTCCGAGCATACTACTTTGATGGCCAAAAGATTGTATCGGCAATTCCAGAAGGGTATCAACTGCGAGGAAGCATATTTACAAGTTCTGAGTTTACATCTTCATGACAGTTCATTAAGAAACGCGGTAAGAATTCAGACGTTGTTAATGCAAACAAAATTGTATTTGCAACAGAAACGACTTCGAAAAGCGAAAGAAGTGATGGATCTTTTAGTTGACTGCAAGATTAAAGATTTGTCGATTAGAAATGAACTCTGTTTGCTCGAGATCGAAATCGACGTTGAGTATGAAAATTACAAACTTGCATTAAGCAAGATCGATGCAATGCAGTATTGTGATGATCACATGTTGCTAAGGCTCAACTTGCTCAAGTGTCAAATATTGAATCGCTCTGATGTTGTCCCCTTGTCACTACTAGTCCAGGTGTTGTCTTTGAGCAAAAAATACGGCTATGCTTCCTTATTAATAGAAGCTAGCGTGTTACTACTCGCCATCGTGAGATTACGCGGATACGACGATGAAGTAAAGAGATTTGCCGATGATATCATGCCCATGGCTTTCACTTATGGCGACGAGAATCTTCTACAGTCGGCGCTTCAAATAGTTTCTGATTAAGAATAATGCCTCCATTTACTTATAAAATCGTTAATGTATGTTGTTTCTCTATACCATCTGTATTTACAGTTCACTCTCAATCGAAATCAATTCCTCTTTCTATGCTCTTCAACATCCATTCTTGCAAGAATAAGCAGCGCGCTTTTTAATTGTATGACATTTGCAACTTGTTTGAAGAACCAGATTGGAGCACTCAACACCGCGGTAACAGTACCAAGCCAGAAGAAGCCATAGTAGTGCAAGTACAATGCAACATAAAAGAATTCATTGACGGCACAAACAATAAACAAAACCTTTCGATTTGTGTAGTACAAGGAAAGCAACTTTGACTGCGATTGATCAACATTCTTGTGTGACGTGGAACCGGCCGACAACATACCATACATGTGAATATAATGGGAAGCCAAATCTAAGCTGACCAACAACTGCCAAATAAAGAAATACTTTGGATACAACACAGCCAAATACACAATCAAACTGGTGGTGGCACAGCGATCGGTAACCATATCCAAAACAGCTCCAAAACGAGTTCCTTGATTGAACCTCCTTGCCGCATACCCGTCAAATGCGTCCAAGAAGCCTGATATGCCATAAAATATCAAAGTGGCCACCGGGTGATTTGGCATGAGAAGGAATGAAATGACGGCTGTAACGATACGCAAGTACCCAATCAAATTAGGAATATATAGAAGAATTGTTTGCACTGTGATATCTTTGGAGACTCCAGATGAAGTAGTAACAGGCTTGGTAGTCATTGTGTGATGTGCTATTGTTGGCGGTGGTTGCAGCAATGTTTGGTGGTGATATTTCTTTTCAATGTCTAATATCTGCGGAAGTTGGCGGAAACGATAATAATGAAAAATAAATATGATATGGATAGGCTTGTGTTAATGCGCTTGTGTTAGTGCCGAAAAGGAAGCTAAGTCAAGTAGTGAACAACACACTTTATTATCTAATCTTTGTCTCTGAAAATAGGCTCAAAAGACATGAAGTGGAAAATTGTCTCAATCAAAGTTTTGAACAATTTTTCTCTCTCTCTCTCTCTCTCTCTCTCTCTCTCTCTTGATTGATTCGTTTCTTTTTTTGACAGATAAAATTTTTGTTCTTCTGCCCCGACAATCGAGCAAAATTTCACTGTAAATACACCCTCTTTACCCACTGGTTACATGTCTGAATTTGTCCACTACGAGGTTGTTCTCACTTTGAAAGATAATAGTACGGCAAGAGGAACTATATCTCATGTTGACAATGAACTGATTACCTTATCCAATGCCTTGACCTCAACAGAAAGGAAGATCCAGCCAGTGATCCAGTTTTTAAACAGTCAAGTAACCGATTTGAAAGTGTCACAGCTTCCACCGTATAGGCCAAAATCGGGCGAGCAGAAAAAAAACAAGAAACTGAAAAACGAAGACATTGTGGATGATGCAATTGTTTACTCATCAAAACCATCGCGTTCTAACACACCCAAACCCGAAAAGTTAAAGTCCAAGCCAAAAGCAAGAAATGAAGGGTCTGATCTAGAACCCGAATCCATAGAAAACGTCAAGAATGCAGAGTTTGACTTTGAGGCTAACTTGGCTATGTTTGACAAGAAAGCAGTTTTCGAGGATTTCAAAAAGAATGACCACACAAACATTAGTGACAGACTAGTGGGGCAAAACAAGATTGAAAAACCGGCTAAGCAAAAGAAGCAAAAGTATGAAAATGATGAGATGGTATTGAATGATGTCGCCAAAGACAATTGGGATCAGATTGGCAAATCTCTTGAAGACTCGAGAACAAACACACCAAAATCTGATGCTGCCAAAAATCAAGGTAAACCACAACCGAATCCCACTGACGCCAGAAATAGGAGCTATAAATTGGTCAATGCTGAAAACCTATCCTCCATCCAATCAGCTTCGCCTGTTCAACTTTTGGAAATTGAGCGTTTATCATCGGACAATTTTGGTATCACCCCGGCGATGATGGCTGAGATATGTGCTACAAATTTGAGTAAGCTTATTATTGACCGTTGCCTTGGTGGGTCTGTTAGATTGAGCAATAAGAAGAACCACAATTTACCTCCCTTGGTTCTTTTGTTGATTGGTAGTGGAAGATGTGGAAGCAGAGCGTTTGCTACGGGCCGTCATTTAAGTAACCATGGAGTAAGAGTCCTAGCATTTGTAATTTCGTCAGATGAATCTGACGCCGAATTGCATCATCAGTGGAAGATATTTGAGTCCGTTGGGGGTAAAGTAGTTACATCCAGTTTCGACCTCTTGATCGACATAATACGAAACCAGTTGAACACTCCGGTTGAGCTAATAGTGGATGCCCTTCAAGGATACGATGACCACTTGGAAGATATATTTTACGAACCACACGACAAGAAAACTTTATCGGATTTGATCAGTTGGTGTAACTCATCTGAGCAGTCCAAAGTTATGTCATTGGATATTCCATCAGGAATAGATGGTGGCTCGGGTATCCCTGACGACGAGTTGAAAGTTGATTGTTCTTGGTGTATTTCCATGGGTTTACCACTCAATGGTATTCTTTTGGCTTACAAAAACAACTACTTAAACGATGATATTGTACACTATTTAATTGATGTTGGCATTCCAAATAAGGTATTCCAATCCAAACCAAATTTAAGGAAATTTGACAACTTTTGGTACACTGCTGAGTCCTCGATTAAGCTAGATGTTGAAAGTCTGTAGTCTGTAATTAGCTATTTGTATTAAGGTGTAAAAGTTAGACCGAAAAATAAAAAAAAAAAATAGGCAAAACAAAAGAAAAAAATAAAATGTAATATTGGAATTAGAAATAGTAGGATCCATCGAAACACTACCCTATACACATTGGCTGAGCGTTTCAAAAATGGCCGAGAAGGACAGTGAAAATAGATATAGCAATTGGGGTGCTTCATCGGCCTTCAGTGCCAGGAGCAATGGGATGAACAAACCCACCAATGTATCCAAACCAGGAGCAGGAAATTTCTTTTCGTTTACAGAATCACACACTGAGTTGGGCAATGGGGAGTTGCCACGAAAAAAGGCATTTTCCCTCTTTGGTAACTCATCAGACCTGAAGAAACAGAATCCTTGGAGTCAAGGTTTGGATGGATTACCGTTTGCAGATACAGAATCATCACTTAACTCCGGGGATGAAACGCAGGAAAAGTTATCTGTTGGAAACTCCAACTTGACGCTGGGGCTCTTTGGTGATCACAGAAGTGATGCAAAGCTAGACGTCCAGCGTAAGCAAAAATTGTTTGGAGACGTTCCACCGTCAATTAATCTTACAATTGACAGGAATAACACTGGGATGGAAGGTTTGTCGAATGGCGGTAGCAACATTTCATCATTAGAATCAACTGCTTTACAACCAAATAAGAATGTCCCACCGCAGCCAAAATCGAGACTTGGGAAACTATTTAGCTACTTCAAGAAGGATAACAAGATCAAGGATAGAGTCCAACAGATCTACAAGACACCTCATGTTACGCCTAAAACATTATCCAACCCTTCATACAAGGCAATAGACACTAGACGAATTGGAAGTATGAGGAGACTTGTCCTTAAAACTAAGCCAATAAAGTACCACTTGATTGATGTCAACAAGATATTAAGTTCAAAGGGAGGGATAGTTGTTGCGGCAAACTTATCAGCGTCAAAGATACTAAGCCTAGGACTGTCTAATGATGTTGAATTGGATGAAGTAGAAGAAGAGGTAGAGTACAAGCCTTTTACTTCAAATGCTTCTGCGGAAGATGCTAAAGAAGAAGGAGTGACAGTCGATGACCCGACGGATGAACAGCAGCAAGAGAGTGAAACTGTGACTCAACACAATGGGTACTGGACGTATCCCCTGATAGATGAAATCTCAAAAATGGACTTTTTTAGTCTCGAGAATGTACACAATTTTATCATTGGGAGAGTAGGATATGGCCAAATTGCATACGATTACCCTGTTGACTTGACTAATATAGTGTCGAATGCAGAAAAAAATGGGAAGCTAATAGCTGAAGAACTCTTTGATAATATAGTTACATTGAAGCAATCAGCTGTGTTGGTTTACAAGGGTGGCGATGATAAACCCCCATTGGGAACTGAGTTAAATGTACCAGCGACAATTACTCTTGAAGGAGTCAGACCAAAGCCAACTGTATCTATGGAGAATCACATAAACTTTTTGAAGCGTCAGATCGGTATGGAGTTTGTCACCTACGATCCAATAACTTATATTTGGGTATTCAAAGTCAAACATTTCAGTGTCTGGGGTTTGATTGATGAGGATGATGAGAGCCAAAAGGACTTGGCTCTGCTCAAGAGGAAACAAGACTTGAATGAAGTACAAGCTTTGGCTGAATACTCGAAGGTGTATTCAGATGACAGTTTTGATCAGGAAGTGAAGAAGCAGAAGTTGAATGAATACTCAAAGGTTGTTCCTGGCGGTTGGGGTTCAAGTGTTCCACCTAACGATAGCTTATTGAAACTTAAGCGATCAGTCGTTACCGATGAAATTGCCGAGGTTTTGAATCGTTACAGAAACTTTGAAGACGATACTATGGCAGGTAAAGTTAGCGGCATCACTATAGATTCCGATACGGATGAAGTAGACGAAATTGAAGAAGTGAAGCTCAATCCCTATGAGCCGGTGATAACTGACGTGACTGTTTTCGACAATATAAGAAATAGATCTACCTTTCCAACGACGGATAACTGGTTACTACAATTGGAATTGGCAAATCAGTATAATTCTTCAATGGCGCCCATGGCTCCCGAGGACAAGTTTTCAAAAGAAAAGTTGACTATCAGTAAAGTTGATGAGATACTTTTTGCCGATTATGAAAAGAGGAGCAAGACTAGACTGGATCATGAGGGACTGAAAAGATCAATAGTATCGATAAAAGATGTATCCACGAATGATATTAGATTCTTATTTAGCAAGCTCATCACTGATTGCCAATTCAAGGAACTGAGCAATCTGATGCCACAGCTTGAAGCAGAAGGATTAAACTTTACCAAATTTGTTAATAAAGCAGATAAATCTGTACACAATTTACAAATTGAATTGGCATCAATCTTGTTTGACCAAGACAATGACTCAGACACCGGCAGGTTAGTGCGATTTGGAGAATGGCTCCAGAAATATAATCAGACACAAATTGCGAATCTTCTTGAGGAGAATGAGGCCGATAATTTATACTGTGTTTTCCTTTACTTATGTGTGAATATGAAGATCAACGCAATTGAGAGAGCATTGAAGTCAAAGAACGAGCATCTTTCGGTGATCCTCTCACTAGCTGATTTGAAGGATGACCTTGTTACGGGGTTGGCTACAACTCAGATTGAGAGGTGGCATGATGCAGGCAGTATAGAGTATATTCCAAAGCCCCTTGTCAAAATATACCAACTTCTAGCAAAGCAGATGGATCAAGCTGCCAAAAATTTATCATGGAGCATTGTAATGGGGATGAATGTGTATTATGGGAATACTGAGAGTATTGCAGACTTGATTGCCGAATTCAAGTCCGTCCTTCCTGAAGGAGATCCAGTTGCAGACTTGTTGCAATTGTTCTCACAAGGCGTCAACTTCACTGCTGTTGTGAATTCCAACTTGAGTAAACCTTTGAAATGGCTCTTCTGCCTCGTTTCTGCTGATTTTAACTTTGATGAAATATCCACAGACCTAGGAAACTCCTTAGAGAAAGCTGACTCGTGGAAAGAAGCGTTGATAGTATTTTCCTCCATCAAGGATGGAAATTTAAAAACTGAATTGATTCGCAATTTAATAATCAAGAAAACCCAACAAGTCCATTTTGATGTACATGATGAAAAGTACTTGACCACCGTTTTGAAAGTGCCAAGATCGTTGATTTACGAGGCGAAAGCATTGGAGAGAATGAATGCAGGTGACTATTGGGGTGAAGTGAATGCACTTATCGAAGTCGATTTCTGGAGCAAAGCTCATGATACTATAGTCGCTCAATTAGGTCCTAAATCGGTAATCACAAACTCCCCCGCTGAAATTGCCAAACTAATGAGTGTCATTGAAAAATTTCCACAACACGGATCCATCATACCATCATGGAAGAAAGGAGCAGGAATCTATCAAAATTACTTCAATTTAACCAAGAGAACTGATGATACTGAAGTTGTTATATTTTTGATGGAGTTTTTGCCATTGTCCAAACCCGAAACACCCAAACAGAAATTGGCAATCAATATAGTGGCCAAATTTGTTGGAGACTTGGCGTTGGAGGATGCAAGAGTATCTGACAATGAGAGACAAAAGATCTTGAAGATGCCTTTAGACAAGGTCAATAAGGCTTATTTTGAATTGAGATTATCTAGAACAAGTTAATATTAAATGTTTAGATTATTAGAAATGGTGGCGCTACCACACATATTTTATCTGATTACAAATATTCGTAAATTTCTTTTGAGACATAACAGACAACCACTTATCAATCAACTTTATCAAACATGGTACCAAGTCAACAAGCGCAAGATTCTATTAACAGCAAGTTGAAAGAGGCAGAGCCCGAACACTGTCCGGGTCCTGAATCCGAGTCCGCAGGTAAAGATGATGCATGTAAAGGATGTGCAAATCAAGAGATTTGCTCTTCGCAAATGCCAAAGGGTCCTGATCCGGACATACCTTTAATCAACAGCAGATTAGCAAACATTCAGCACAAGATACTTGTACTTTCCGGTAAAGGTGGTGTTGGTAAATCCACTTTCACGTCCATGCTTTCATGGGCTATTGCAGCAGATGAGGATTTAGAGGTGGGTGCTATGGATTTGGATATATGTGGCCCATCACTACCGCGAATGTTGGGAGCAGGTGAAAACGAAAGTATCCACCAATCAAACAGTGGTTGGAGTCCGGTATTTGTTGCCGACAATTTAGGACTCATGAGTATTTCTTTCATGCTCCCTGATAGCGACCTGGCAATAATATGGCGAGGTGCCAAAAAGAATGGTCTAATAAAGCAGTTTTTGAAGGACGTAGATTGGGGTGAGCATTTAGATTATTTATTGGTTGACACTCCGCCGGGAACTAGTGATGAGCATTTGTCGGTTACTTCGTTAATGAAGGAGGTTGGTATTGATGGGGCATTAATAGTAACGACCCCTCAAGAAGTAGCTTTATTGGATGTACGGAAAGAGATTGATTTTTGCCGAAAGGCCAATATTAAGATTTTGGGGTTGGTTGAGAATATGTCGGGATTTGTATGTCCAAACTGTCATGGAAAGAGTCAAATATTTAAAGCTACTACTGGTGGTGGTGAAAAGTTGTGCCAAGAATTAGGTATTAACTTTTTAGGATCAGTGCCTTTGGACCCTCGCATAGGTAAGGCCTGCGATGAAGGAGTGTCATTTTTTGACTTGTATCCTGATTCGCCTGCATCTACAGCCATTTTAGATGTTGTTGATGCTCTACGAGACAAGGTTGAGTTGAACATGGATGGTTTAAAGTTGGAATAAATTAGGACAGTGAAGTTTATGTTAGATAGAAGTGAATATAGAATTGTTGACTCAGTAGCAGAGATTTGCGAAATTGTAAAATTCGAAGTTGCTAAAGAAGCAGGTAAATTTACGCACAAAGTTTCACACACAAATCGCGTATCAAAACTCCACTTAGGTAACAACACTAATCCCCAGACTGAACATGCGCACACAATGTCCACTATAGAAGATATAATCAAGGTGGTCCCAGCGTTTAAAGAGTCGCGGTTAAACTCGTTGTACTCCAACTTTCAAAAAAACAAGCAGTTGAACCCAGAAGGATATCAAGCAAACATCCAGGCATGGAAGTCCTTATTCACCAAGATAATAACTTCTGACAGATTTGAGTCGGAAAGTGTTGTATCCATTCCAACTTATAATCCCAGCTTGAAAGAGTCTCTCAGCTTGCATCCATATAACGAGCCCCAAAATTTGAACAATATCTTGCAGGAATTTGTTAGTGACAGATTCCTAATACCGCGGTCATTGTACCTCGCAGCTAAAGAGAACTACTTCGTTACAATCAGTGGACAATTCAATATATCTCAGTACTTCTCGATGAATGCATGGCAGCAGTGGCGAATTTTAAAGAATTATTCAGTGGTGAAGCAGGGAAAATTGGTGGATGATTGGTTCATCTATTGGGATGAATTAGTGAGAGAAGGACAAAAGTCTGCCAAATTAATCGAAACAAAAATACGAGGGGATACGTACTCAAGTATTTTGTTTAATCGAGATTTGTTTTACGAGGAGTTGGCAAAGCACTGCACAATCACCAAAGTGGACTTCAACTTATTGTTGAAATACTGGTCGCGTGACGTTGGCTTACTACAAACAAAAGAGGTTAGTGGAATCACGTATATAAAGATATCTCAAGATGAAATTAGCGACGAGGATGAAGCTATTGTCAAGGTAAAGCAAACAATAAAGAATCTAGAAACCAGGATCAACGAAGTGGAAACAAAGTTGAACAGCATTGATTTCAAGTCGGTGTTGAACTTGCCCAAAGATGTTCAAAAGTCGAGCTTGCGACAGAAGATGGCTTTGAAAGCAAATTTGATGAAACTTTTGGATAGAAATATGAATCTTGAGTTGGAAATGACTACTTTGTTGCAGAAAATCAATGACTCCAAATTCAATTCATCATACTTTTCTGTATTGGATAGTAGTGCAAAAGTGTTGTCTAAACTTAACAGTCAACTCAAGGTTGACGATATTGATCGGGTAAAGGCAGATATAGACGAGGAAATTTCTAAAGAACAAGATATTAGTGATGCATTGGCTGGTGAAGCAAATGATACGGATTTAGAGGAAGAGTTGAGCAAGATGATTGAGGAGGAGAATGCTCGAAAGGAAAGCAAGCCTGCTGAAAAGGAATCAGTCGACGAGCTGAATATAACAAGTGATAAAGAGCAGGCACTTCTAAACAAATTAGAAAGCTTAAACATCAAGGATGCTGAAGACAACAAACATTCACAGCAGGATCCTCCAGTAAAGCTAGCCCAAATGGAATAGAATACAATATAATTGCTGACACTAGACTACCTTGTCTAGATGCCATCATTCCCGTTAAGTAGTCAACACAGAGTAACACGATAGAAATCCAGCAGCAAAATAATCAACCATGACTATAAAGTTTATTACACAGACCTATAGCTCACCCTAAAATTTGTAGAATTTGTTGGGTTAAATTATACAATTCCACTTTGGGGTCTTCATACTGATCATCCGAGTTAACCTGCCCATTCCTCTCTCCTTGACTCAATTGTTGTTGTGAGTTGCTCATTTGCTTAATACCGGTAAGAATAGCTTCATCCTCTTTAATAAAGCTGTTGAACTCTGGGCTGTTGGATTCCAACAACTGCAATATGGTCCACAAGGCGATATGTTCAAAAGTTGCACTCCCCAGCTCTAAAAACCTAATCAAGAATCCGTGTATACCTTCATTTGGTTGTTGCCAGTTGTTCAATATATATTGCTTGTGGTCGGGTGATACTCTTGAACACAAATTGGCCAATGCAGCAGCAGAGTTTCCACAAACCTCGCCATTTTCTGAAAATGTTAGTGGGATCAACACATCAATAATGTGTGCTTCGTACAATTTGGGCTTCAAATCATCGGCCAAAGCCAAGATTGCAAAACACGCACTGATTTCCAGTTGCACTGATAATGGTACTTTCAATACCAAGTCCTTGCATTTGTCTACGGCTCCAGCTGCCAATAACGCAGTCCTATTTTTTTCACTAGATGCAGCCAAGTTTCTCAATGTAGAGACTGCGTGGCATTGAATTTCTTCTGAATCAGTATAGTCCAACAAATCGACCAATGGCTTCAAAAATCCTGCTTCAATGATCAAAGCCTCATTCAAAGGATGGATGGAGATGTTTCTGATACACGCAACAGCCGCAAGAATTAAAGGCTGGTGATTGCACGTTAACAACTGCACCAAGTGTGGCAACCCTCCTGCTCTTACAATCTCAACCTGGTAGCCACTGTCGGAAGCCAAGTTTCTCAAGGCTAATGTAGCCTGGCATTGGACTCTAGGTGACGGACTATCCATCAAATTCACCAATTGGCTAACCAACTTTGGTTCGGTATTAGCCAACTTCCTCCTATTGGATTCGTCCACAGCAATGTTGGATAACGCTGTCGTGCAATAGTACTGCACGTCTGCATCGTCATTAGATAATAATGACACCAAAACGGGCACAGCACCAGCATTTACCAATTCTTGTCTATTCTCACCCAGGTGTGTCATATTCAAAAGAGCTCCCGTGGCATTTCTTTGTACCCTGATGTCTTTCAGCTTGGCCAATTTCGTCAAAGGTATCAAAGCCCCACTTTTAGCAATTTTTGATTTGTTGTCATCTTGAGTAGCTAAATTAGTTATACACCCCACAGCATTACACTGCACTTCAATGTTGGTTGACATCATTTGTCTTATCAATGGTTCTAATCCACCCATTTCAACAATAAGAATCTTGTTTTCAGTATTTACGGCCAAATTACCCAAAGCGCCACAAGCAGCTCTTTGAACTTCTGAGTCACTTGATTGGAGTAAAATCAATATAGGTTCTAGTACGTCTCTGTTGACTTCTCTCACATCCTTTTCGGTTATTTCAGCAAACGCTAAAGCCGCGCTTCTTTGCAAATCGATATTCTCCGAATAAACCAACGTACTAAGAGCTCTCAATGGTCCGTTACTGAAAAAATCGACATCTGACCTATTCTCCAAGTATTGTAACAAAGCGGATATTGCCTCCCTTTCGTTCTCGGCCAACAAAAGCTGGTTTTGACTACCGTCTCCACTTTGGCCGCTTAAACAACTGCAGCAGGCACCCATACTTGATTAACCTGATTTAACTTGACGATAAATGCAAACTGGTGTTATAGACGAAATAAGCTTGATTGCTGGTTAGTGTTGTGAATGCAGGCGTTTCACTTGTAAACAAAGATTAATGGGGCAAATTCAGTTTGCGTAATACGTAAGTGCTTTTAGTCAATGTATTTGGATATCAACGTAGACAAAGCCAGTGTTGATTTAGATGAATTGAAAAAGGTTTAAATTGCCGCTAATCTTGGAGGGGGGAGTGAGGGGAGGTGCTGTCGTCGTTATCGTAACTTTTAAATTTATTTTTTCTTTTCTCTTTCTCTCTCTCTCTAAAATGGAATGTGGTTTAATTTTAAATTGTCCGCCCGTCAAAAGAGTTGTTGTCTGCGACACTAAATATAGTCACCTGACTTACACGCGTATATCACGTGTACGCACTTAAAAATTCTTTTTTTAAAAAAGACGATCAAAACAAAAAATTACAAAGTATAGTTGTTTTGCAATTATCACTCGTTAAAGCATTGGTACGTGGCTCTTTTTGAGTCAGATATATTTATTTAATAGAGTGTCATAATGAAAAGCAGTACTTGGAGTGACAGAACGAGGGAGCTTCTGCATGTCATTGCCGACCCTTTTTTACAAGATCATAACAAAACTTGTTTAAATGAAGATGTTAAGCCAGACTATTTTTTGAATGAACCCGAGAACAAGATCGATGCGTATCTCAAAAGCACGATAATAAAGGCAATGGATTCGTCCATTTTTCTTCCGCTTGCAATTAGAGAACGTCAAAAGCGTAAACCAGAGGAGGATCTACAAAATGACATTAAAGCAAAACTCCGCCGCAGTGTCGCATCCTTGCGTGGTACTAAAAAGGAACCACTGGTGCCTTCCTTGAAAACTCAAGGAATGATAGACGAGGATGAAATGAAGGAATTTTTATCATCAGACTTGAACCAGTTGGAGATATTATCAATGCCAGAACATTATCCCTTAAAAGCACAGTCTGTGTGTTCATTGACCGAGCTTTACTATTTGACCCAAACGCTAGCTTCAAATAAGTTGCTTCCGGGCAGCCACAAAGCCTTAATGACGGAGAACTATGAGTTGGCATTATTGGAAGGAAAAGTAGCTGTTTTATATTCTCGAATTGAGGAATTAAAAAGACAAGGTAAATGGTCCTCAAGACAACCTAAAAGATATAATGATCCATTTATTTACAAGTCCGGCAGGTCAAATAAATCCAAGCTTATGTGGGACTATGTATTAGAAGAAGCTAAATGGATGGCAGAGGATTTTCGAGAGGGAAACAAGTTTAAGAAGTATTGTTGTGTAATAATCTCCCAAGCGGTAAAAGATTACTGGACCCTTGGAAAGGAAGCAACGTGCGTCAGGAGAAAGGCCATTCCACTTTTATCTGAAACTTCTGATAATACGGCTGATGAGGCGAGTATAGCAGATGTACCTTCAACAGCCACTACAAGTACATCTGTCGATCCGAAATTGCTTATTGAAGGTAAAGCTGAAGAATCAGAGGACGTTGTGCAAAAGACAGTATCTGACGTGTTTTCTACTTTATCTGCCAAAACGAATTCCACTGCATTTATCAATCTTGAGGAGTTGAACAAACATGCCAGATCAATCATAAAAACTATACCGAATCACGTGGGACTCGATTATGGTAACAAGAGCAAATCCAAGATCATAGAGCCGCATGAACCACCTTTAACTGCTGTTTCCAAACTATTCTTGCCTTTTGAGAATGACCAAGACTGGCATAAAGTTGTTTTGAGAAAGGGCAATGTCGAAAAATTAGACACTAACAGACTACACGAGTACCAAAAAGGAGTGTTTGGCCCTCAAGCACATCGTAAATTTCATTACCTCAAGCCACCAAAACCGCCATTGTTGGCAAATATCGAGCTTAGATCTCCCACAATTTGGCTGCCGGAAGATGATAAGAAGCTCATACATTATGTTGCAGAATTTTGTTTCAACTGGGACCTCATTGCTGAACATGTGCAGGCAGGCTCATTTGCACCCAGTTTAAGGAAGTATGAGTCGAATGTAGAGAGAAGAACTCCGTGGCAATGTTTTGAAAGGTACATTCAACTTAATCAAAAGTTTCAATTCTCAGATATGAAAGGAAGTTATGCGTTCCATGCTCAGCAATGGCTTGAACAAGCTCATAAAACTCAACTGACAACAAAGAGACGTGTTTCTCCTCTTGGTGTTGGATCTGATTCTATGCAGAGAGGGCATCGGAGATTGCGGTGGGCATCTATGTTTGATGCTATGCGCAAGGCCATGAAGAAAAGAGAAATTGCCTTAGCAAAGATTAATCACCGGAGGGGCACCACCGATGCGCAGCAAAATGTTCAACAAGGTGCAGTCGTTAATGGCGACAAGCGTCCTAATACTAGTAAGACCCCGACACCAGCAGAATTGTCTAAGTTGAAGTATGAAAGAGATAAGTCGATTCAGCAAAGTTCACGTACGCGTTTAATGGCAGCTGTAGCTCAACAACAGCAGCAGCAGCAGCAACAACAACAACAACAACAACAACTACCACAACCACAACCACAGCACTCTCAAATGCCCCAGCAACAGTTGCCTCCACAACAACAAATTGCACAACAAAAAATGCCGCATCAGCAACAGGTCCAACAACAAATGCAACAGCTGCAGCTGCAGCTGCAACCTACTCCTCAGCAACATCACGCTCACGCTATCCCATTGCAACAACCTCGAATCCCACCTCAGAGTCAACAATTAGATCAACGAGGTCAACCCAGCCATCAACAACTTCAGCAATTGCAACAGCAACAACAGCAGCAACAAATCCAACAATTGCAACAGCAGCAACAACTTCAACGGTTACAACAACAGCAACAACGTCAACAACTTCTGCTGCAGCCACTTCACACCCAACAATCATACACTCCCCATCTGCAACTGCAGCTGCAGCTGCCTATCCTACTGCAGCAACAGCCGTTACAACAACGCCCACAACAACAGCATCAACAACTCCATGTACAAAATCTGCAGCAACAAGTACAGAATCGCTTTCAGAATCAGCCTCAGTTTCTACAATCCAACTCACCCGAGTTTCAATCTACGGCCCCTACACCGCGTCCAGAACAGATTCTCCAAAGGGCTCAGCGTGCTGCATTAAATGGTTTATCATCACAAACACAGGCTACAGTGAGAGATGCTCAGTTTTCTCCTAACCAAATGAAGATTCCTACAACCAAAGATGGAAAACAGTTGACCACTGAACAGTTGCATCAACTTTTGCAAATGGAGAAACAAAGAAGGCTTTTGCAGCAACAACAGCAGCAGCAACAACAACAACAACAACAACAACAACAGCAACAGCAGCAATTACAAAATGTAGACTTTCAACAATCTCCCAACATGGGAATTGCACCGCAACCGCTGGGACCAATTTCGCCTCAAATCCATCAACAACAACTTCAAGCTAATTTGAACAACACGGCGTTACCCATGGGATCGCCAAATATGCAATACCTGCCAAACAAAGCCGAAGGTCCAAAGCCTGCTATTTATTACCAGAGACAAGTACAACAACCTATGCCACAAGGACAGAATGTCCTGCCTAGTCTTCAACAAAAGCCATTGCAACAGCAAGTGCGCCAACAACGGCCTCGAATCCAATTCCCACCTGCACAGATATCAGCAATCATCAACTCAATACAGACGCAAAACCCCACATATACAAAAGAGCAAGTGACAAAGTTGGCAGCTCAATATTTGAATAGCCTCCATCAGCAAGCTCAAAACAGAGCAAACAAAAATGCTCAAGCACAAGTGCAGCAAGGTGGAGTGCCTTTGCAACAGGGTCAACAGTTTAGAGATACCAGCACTGGAGGAAATAATAGTACAAGCGCTACTGCTAGTCCACAACTGAGCCATACCCGTCCACAGAGTCAAAGTTGATCAAAGATGCTACCAAAACAAATTGATTTCTGACTCCTGTCAGCCATTAGCTTAGTTGTAAAAGAGGAGGGAGATGGCGATACATAGTCAATTTTATAGCAAATCCACATATTAGTAGATTGAAGTTGAAAACAGCGCCACTGAATGCTCTCTGGTAATCAGCCAACACTCTGCCCACGTTATTTAAAATTGCGTTCAAAAAAAAAAAAATTATTTGCATCTACTTCCTTTTTCATCCTCATCCATCAACAATGTCATTAACAGAAACAAACCTCGATAACACTTTACCTCTTTTAGGAAGGGGAAAAGTACGTGATATATACCAGATTGACCCGTCAACGTTATTATTTGTCGCCACCGATCGTATATCTGCGTATGATGTCATCATGGAAAATGGTATTACCGAAAAGGGGAAACTCTTGACCAAACTTTCCGAATTTTGGTTTGATTACTTGCCAATTGAGAACCATTTGATCAAAAAGGATATCTTTGAGCAATATCCACAGTTGGAAAAGTATAGAGATCAATTACAAGACCGGGCTTTATTAGTGCGTAAGTTGAAGCTCATTCCATTGGAAGTTATTGTTAGAGGCTACATCACTGGCTCCGCTTGGAAAGAGTACAAGCAACTGAAAACCGTCCATGGGTTGCCTATAGAGGAGGAACTAGTTGAGTCGCAAGAGTTTAAAACGCCAATTTTCACCCCTTCGACTAAAGCTGAGCAAGGTGAACATGACGAAAACATTTCGCCAGCTCAAGCCGCTGAAATTGTCGGACAAGATTTGTGTGACAGATTAGAAAAGACAGCCATTGATTTGTATGTCAAGGCTAAAGAGTACGCAAAGACTAAAGGTATAATCATTGCTGACACAAAGTTTGAATTTGGGTTAGACGAAAATGATAATATTGTCTTAGTCGATGAGGTATTAACTCCTGACTCCTCCAGATTCTGGAACGCCAGTACTTATGAAGTCGGCAAGTCACAAGATTCTTATGATAAGCAATTTTTGAGAGATTGGTTAACCAGTAATGGATTGAACGGTAAAGATGGGGTTAGAATGCCTGATGAGATTGTTGAGAAGAGTAGAGAAAAATACCTTGAAGCGTATGAGCAGCTTACCGGTGATAAATGGAAATAGATATGGCGGGTGGACTATGCTATTAATTTATGCGATATCTACGTATCTCCATATTTTTTTGTCGTTCGTATTCATCAGTAACTCGGAATTTTGGAATTTCATTAGTTGTGTTTAAATTCTTCGTTCGTAGAATATTCATCTCCTCAAAGTCTCGTGGTCCTCTTGGTCTTGATTTCAATCTATCATTAACTTCTTTCTCAACCACTGTCCAAAATTCCTTTTGATATGCTAATCGTACTTCTTTTGCTTCTAAATCTAGCGCTTGCTTTTTGAGATTGAATTCTTCAATCATGGTATCCTCAATTTTATGCAATTGGTCCTCCTTGTCATTTATTTTGCTCTCGCGTTCACTCTGCTTCATTTCTCTGTCTTTGCATCTGTTTTCTCGTATTTGTATAAACTGATCTTTCTTTTTCAATTCTTCACTCTTGTTGATTAATTCGTATTTCAAAGTATTCAAAGTCTGATTGTACTCCTTCAACTCCATTTCTTTCCGCAAAAACTTTATGCTCAACGAGTTGATTAAATCGTAGCATGTGGGGCGGAGCTCAGGATCAACCGTTATGCATTCTCTAATAATGGATCTCAATTGAACGGAGTAGAAATCCGATATTGGTGGAAAAGTGCCGCGCTTAATTTTGGCTTGAAGTTGTAAATGTGTCTTTGCTTGGAATGGTGGTTGTTGGTTACATAATTCGTACAAGACGCAGCCCAAAGACCAGACATCACATACTGGCAGGTATGGCTCATCCATCAACACCTCAGGAGACATGTAGTAGGGTGTTCCAACGTACGTCTTGGCAAAGTCGTTTGAAGTTGTCAACATCTTTGCTAGTCCAAAATCTCCCACTTTGATCACTCCATGTTCAAGAAAGATATTGTCAGGTTTGATATCACGATGAATTATTACTGAATCTGAATTGATTTGAGGCAATTCATTGTCATTGTGTATGGAATTGTTGAACAAGTCTACTTTTGGCGCATCACAGCCATAGTGACATCGGTACAATGCCGACAAAGTCTGTACCAACACCTGCCATATAAACTCCTCCGGTACGTTTTCCTTATTATTCTTGAAATCTTTAATCAATTGAGATAGATCGCCACCCGAGCAGTACTCCATGTATATGTGTATCGTTTTCGAATCTAGTAAATGATCATGCTTGTAGTATTTGACAATGTTTTTATGATTTAGTTCTTTGAGAATACGTAGTTCAGATATGATTTGGTTCCTTTCTTGAGCATTCATTGATTTATATTCAATCTCTTTACGAACAAGAATTGAGTTGTCTAGCTTGCTGCGGACCTTGCGTACTGTCCCGTACGATCCTTTGCCGATTATTTCGAGCGGTTCATAGTTGGTACTCATTGTGGGGTCACGATGCAGTGCAATGAGTCTTTAGGAAGGGGAATCTGTAAAAGAGGTCGTTTTTTTTTTGTATTCTCTGTTAAGGTTAAATTGAAATTTGTTAAAAGAATTGCAAAAAAATTTCTTAATTTGGTGAAATTAAAAACAAATACACAAAACAAAGAAACAATATAAAACGAAACGGCAGCGCAAAACATAAATGCGCTTCAAAATGAAGAAAGTAACAACTATTTCTTTAGGGCTTTCGTAGGTAATACTATACATGTTCATGCCCATTTGCCTAATAAGCTCATGAGTATCAAACCCCCCATCAAGGCACTCATGGCCAACGAAGTATGGATCACTCCAGCATGGCGCAAGTTTCCAAATAGCCAATCGTGAGCCCACATTTCAATCAAACCAGTCCACAATAATACGCCTGCCGAGAAGGAATCCAACGTTCCTAATGCAATAATGGTGGATGGATCATTACCATTAAATTTGTGTAGAGTGCCTATACCAATGGCCATTCCCAATGGGGTTATGATGGCAAAAACAGCTGCCATGAGGATTTTCGACCATACGGAATCATTCAATCCCATAATCCGTGAGCCTAATGCCAATCCTTCAAAAAATTGATGGAATACAATGACAATGAATAGAGTGATAAAGTAGGAATCGGCTGCAACTACTAGGGTGATACCAATCAAAATTGAATGGAAAACGATACCTGCTTCTAAAATGGCAACAGAAAGCTTGTCGTGCATTGCTTTGTATGATCCATGGAGCGATACAGTGTCCTCCTCATCAGATACAGTTTTAGTGGCGATATTTGTCGCTGCATCATCTTCAGATGAGTTTTCCTTTATGTTTGAAAGTTTACTCAATCTGTGTGACAAAAACCGGTAAGCAACATATTCCACAGCAAACGCAATAAAAATACCCGCCATTGTTATTGAAGCCCCGGTTCCTTCGTATGCCAAATGAATACACTCATTGGACCACATTAAAAATGCGTGAGTCATTAAATGGACCAATGCAGTGGAAATAATGACGCCGGTACCAAATTGTTTTATTATGGTAATGATCATGTTTTCTGTCGATATTTTGAAAAACGAACGCAAAACCAATGGACCAAAAGATCCAATTGAACTTGTAACTAATATAACAAACAAGAGTCCAGTCCTTAGTGGAATGTCATAATCTCTATCGACTCTTTCACAAGTATCTCCATCGGCCCCATGCACACTATTTCCATTAGCATCGACACAATGTTCAACTCCAGCATGGAAATGACACGAAATTCCTGATGTAGAACTGGACTCTGATGTGGTGGCGGTTACTTCCGACGACTCATCAAGTTTGACAAATTGTAACTCTTCCTCATCATTTTTACAGTGTACTTCAGTACCATGTAAGTGGCATCCAGTGTAGTTTGACTGAGGGTTCTTTTGGTTGGGTTTAATGTAGCCCTCATTGCCTTCCCAATCAATACAGTATTGTGTGTCATCGTGCATATGGCAGCCGGTAATCGTAGTGTTTGAAGTGCTGTGTTCATGCTCATCTTCATGCTCATCTTCATGCTCATGGTCGTGCTCTTCGTCAGCCCTTGCATATATAACTTTAAACTTTTCACTCAATGGAGCTTCTAATGTGAGACCATTTGTCTTATAGCTACCGGAAGCGGAGCCAGCCGCAACTTTTATCGCAAAAAGTGCAACAATAGAAACACTTGTCAAAATTGTAAATCTCATTTTGCAAACTACTACTTAATAATCCTTGCAATTGAGAAACCTCCAAACGACAGACCAGTCTGAAGCCACTTGTTATATAGCATCTTGATAACCACTATCATCACTGCTCATAATGCATAGTTCCCTTTGAAAGCAGTGCCAAGCAAGCATTGCCGTATTATAAATCTTCCTTCTAATTAGTCTTTACACAACTAGAAACATACTCGAACTTATTAAATGAGGTGGCGAAAGTATAACTCTTGTACGGCATTCATGCAACAAAGCTTGCACAAACGAACAAGACAAGACTTTTTTATCTTAGTTTATTTTTTCTTGGATTTCTCTGCCAAACCTATGGCAGACATAGGGGACACTTCGGGCTAGCTAGTTGGTCCTTTAATGATACCCTTTGGAAAGTAAAATGTACATTGATTAAACACCCCCTTCCATCCTCTGTTTGTGATGTTATCTGCAAATTCACACAATAGGAAACTCTTTAACTACTACAAAAAAGCGTATCTCTAAACTTTAGGAGGAGGTTTTAAGATTAAAGTTGTTGAAAAATAGACTTTTATTTATATTTTCTTGGTATTGTAACCACCAAGGTGAAAAAAATGTAAAAAAAAAAAATAACCCCTAAAATGACGCAAAAGTATATGGAAAGAGAAGCTAAATGCAGTTGCAAAAGCCTTTCGATGCTCCTGTGTCCGGCACTTTAGCTGATTTACCAAGGAGATGTAATAACAACCACTGGGACCACAATGAGAACTTGTTTATATAAAACAAAAAAGTCATGCACAAGAATAGTATTGTTTTCATCAATTTTTACTCAAAAATCATGCAAATAGACGAAACACGCACTAAAAGTTTATCGTATATATTAGAGATTCAAATGTTGAACTTTAGGCTCTTTATGCAACCCAATAGACCAAGGATTTATATCATTAAGGCAATGGATGTTTGAGTAATGATTGCGAATTGTATGCTACCAGTTGAGGTTTAAATCGACGCGAAAGATTCAAAAAACAAAAACACAAAAACACACGAATGACGCGTTGGCAAAAGAAAAACCAAAAACAACAAACCAAAATCCAATTTACTTCAACTGACCCTTTCTTCATAACACCCTTCTTTTCCAGTTAGTTTGTTAATACATTGACGCTACAGGAATATGTCATCAAATATAGATGTCAAGTTTGCTGGTACAGGCAACGAGAAGCAATTCATTAAACAACTACACGAAAAAGATGCATCCACCATTAGATTCATTGATAACAATAACAAGGACTACTTTACATGCTTAGAGACTGATGCTGAGTTAATAGCTGATGAAATATACAAGACAAGGTCGGTTATCAAAACGTCTGATAAAACCAAATATGTTACTATATCTCCTCAAGTGTTTCAAAATGTGTTAAAGTTTTGTTTATTGGAGAAGCAGTTTAGAGTCGAGATTTACCACAACAGAACTTATCAGTTGCTAGTTAGTGGCACTGCTGGTAATCTTGAAAGTATCAGCAAAGAGTATGGTATAAACTTTGAATTTCAGGACTGTTCCAACTCATCTATTGCCGCAATCAAATTACAAGGCAATACTGTTGGTGTGTGTATTATTGAGGATGGCCAGATACATCTATGCGAGTTTGAAGACAATGAATTGTATTCAAATTTAGAAGGATTATTGTTGCAATTTGGTATAAAGGAGGTTGTGTTGCCCAATTTGTCGGAGAAGAAGCTCTTGCAAGTGATCAATAAAATTGGTAACATTGTGGTTAGTACAATATCGGCTTTCAATACCAAAAATATTGAACAGGATTTGGTAAAGTTATTAGAAGAAGATAATATCCAAAAGGTGTTTTCTTCAAAAGGTATGAAATTGACTGAATATTCACTTTCTTTGTCTTGCTGTAATGCACTTGTTGCTTATTTGGAGTTGCTTGAAAATGATTCGAAAAATTTCACCATTGATAAATATGATTTATCAGAATATATGAAGTTGGACTCGTCTACAATTAAGGCATTGAATGTATTTCCTGAATTCAAGTCAACATCGATTAATTCCATATTTGAACTTCTCAACAAGTGCAAAACCTCGGGTGGTTCAAGGTTGTTGTCTCAATGGTTGAAACAACCATTAACAAATGTTGATGCAATTGAAGAACGTCAGTCTTTGGTGCAATTGTTAATGGACGATGCAAGTTTGAGAGTGGCTGTGCAAAATGTATTAACCCAAGTGCCTGATATTAAAAGATTGTTGAAGAAAATGTCAATTGCAGTAGGCAAGACTGGCAATGAGAATAAGAAGTTGGAGGATTTGGTAAGATTGTATCAGTTGGTGCTTGTGTTGCCAGATTTGATCGAAGTTTTAAAAGACCAAGGTGAATTGGCTACCAAATACTGGTTAGATCCGATCGCAAAACACTATCAAGCATTACTCAAATTTCAAGAACTTGTCGAAACAACCGTTGACCTTAAGGGTTTAAATGACCTACATACCAATTTCGATATCAGACCCGAATTTGATGCTTCGTTGGTGTCGATAAATGAAAGAAAACAGTCGGCGCTAGAGCAAATTAAGCACTTGCATTTGCAAGTGGCTGATGATTTGAATATGGATCTGGAAAAGAAATTGAAACTAGACCAACATCAACAACACGGGTATTGTTTAAGATTAACCCGGAATGATTCGGTTGTGTTGCGTAATAATAGAAACTACAATGAATTGCAAACGGTCAAAGCTGGAGTTTATTTCACTACTCCTCAGTTGAGAAAGTTGTCTCAAGTTTATGCCAATTCGTGCGACGAGTACAATGTCAAACAACGTGAATTGATTAGAGAGGTACTTTCGATTTCATTGACTTACCAGGGAGTATTTTCTGCATTGAGTTTAGATCTTGCTCATTTGGATGTGATTACAAGCTTTGCCAATGTGGCTTTACAAGCACCGACAACATTTACCAAACCGTCATTGATTCCTATGAACTCAAAAGAGAGAAAAATAAAGCTTCAAGATTCAAGGCATCCTTTGCTTGAAGTACAGGATGATGTTGACTTTATTCCGAATGATGTTCTGATGGGTAGTAAATTTTTCAATATAATAACGGGACCGAATATGGGTGGTAAGTCAACTTATTTAAAGCAGATTGCCACTACTGGGTTAATGGCACAAGTTGGATCATTTATTCCAGCAGAGTCGGGAGCTGAAGTACCAGTGTTTGATGCAATTTTATCACGGGTTGGTGCAGGAGATTCGCAATTGAAAGGGTTGTCTACATTTATGATTGAAATGTTGGAGACTTCATCGATATTGGCTACAGCTACATCAAACTCATTGCTAATAATTGATGAGTTGGGAAGAGGAACTTCAACCTACGATGGGTTTGGACTTGCATGGTCGATTCTGGAGCACCTTATACAAACCAAGAAGTGTTTTGCCTTATTTGCCACCCATTTCCACGAATTGAATAAACTTGCTGAAAAATACCCCGACTCAGTGGAAAATTTACATGTTGTTGCTTATGTTGAGAATAAAGATGATATTACTTTGATGTATAAAATAGAACCTGGTATTTCATCAAAATCATTTGGTATAAATGTGGCTGAAATGGTAAAATTCCCCAGTAAAATTATCAACATGGCCAAGAGGAAAGCTGATGAGTTACAGAATGATGATGAAAATTTGAAAAAGGGCCGTATTGATGGCAAGCAATTGAAAGTTGGAGTTGAAGAGTTGAAGTCGGTGTTGAAGAAGTGGAGGCAAGAGAATCAACACGATGTATCAAAGGCAAGTGAAAGCTTGAAGGAGTTGTTGAAAACCACATCCAATCAGTACATTACGGAATTGATACAAACTTTATAAAGCTCGTGAGTAGATAAATATCCTTCTTTCTTTCTGTCTAGATCTATTCTGTCTAATAAAGTCTATGGTGATTTAATTTAGTAATGGAACTCTTCAATGTTGCTTAACTTTCAAGTCTTGTTGCTTTACTCGTTCATCTTTAGCAGCCAATGATTTTATCGACTTGTATCTTTGCAATCCTTCAGGATCGATACATTTAACCACTGGCCAACCCCAAACCCAACTAAGGATGTAGTATTTTTCAGTACCAGTTAAAAAGCACCGCAAATATTCTTCGTAAATTAAGCAGTAATAAACACCACTGCCGGTGAAAATATGCCACCATCCATGGCCCTCCAATACAAACCCATATGGCATTCCCCATTCCCTTCTGGTAGATCTCACTTGATCACATAAATGTATATCCAAATTCCACAATAGGTAACCAAAGACGAATAATCCGATACCTAAGAATGCCATTGTATTCATTTGGCGTTTAACTTTAGGATCATGAACATATTTTGAGCATAAACTAGTTGACTTCACAATTCCAAGAGCATTCATAGCACCATAAGCGGTTTGATGAATAGTTGGATTCCGAATCTTCAAATAAGTAATTGTCAAAGTAGCAGCTGAAACGAAGATCATCAACCCAACAAAAAAAGATTGTCTTTTGGTCTTAAATTCACTAAATATAGACCAAAGTGGAATACAGGTTGTGTAAATCATTGGCAATTCGTCCAATAATTGGAAATGATATCTCAAAGTCATGTGAAATAACCACGACCCTAAGCCAACAAGAAAAAACCCAGCACTAGTTAAGATAAATCTCTTTTCGAAATGGTTATGAAATGCTTGATACGATGCAAATAGAGCTAAACACATGAAAAATGCATTGGTCGTGGTGTTTATGGCTTCGGCAATATATGTTGACACAACATAATTTTCTTCACACCAATCAATTGTAGAAGTGGGAATGCCCCAGTATCCATCCTTTTGCTCTGGTGGATATGGCCAAGCAAACGGTAACATTGTAGTTTATAGATGAGGTGTTGGGGAGTGTGAACTTTGACAAGAGTGGCTAATTCTTTGAATGTGTGACGCTATGTGAATTCTGATGTGTGGCTGTTGTCTTGTCGACTGTTTGATGGGTGAATAAGTAGAGTGATTTGATATATCGACCGCTAAAGCTAAGACGGATAAAAATTGGGTGATGTTTGATAGAAAGTGTCGAGACTAAAAAAAAAAATGGCATTTCTGTCTGTATCTGTGTGTGTCTGTGTTGCTCCCGAAAAAAGAAATCTTTGATTCGGATGTAAAGGGAAGTGTCCATCGGAAATTAAATTATCTCTCACAAAAAAACATCTGTTGCTATTATTAGATATACATTACACTCATTGCCTTCATCAAGACAAATCTCATCACTGTGATATCAATGTCATTTTATTATAATACAGGATACACACACTGAAGCGGTATATAGATACGCTTCTCTTATGGTATCAACTTTGAGGTGTCATTCTCGCTTCCTTCTCTTTCATTACCCCCCGCATTACATAAAATGCCCCACGTTTTGTGTCGCAAAATTTCTTCTATTTTATTTTTCTGACACTGAGTTGCTTGCACAGGATACCCCTTCTTTTCTTCAGGATTGGCAAACGTATCTAACTTCAATGGGAAGCGATATAATCCCTCGGAAGTTTAGAGTGTATGTGACACAGGAAATAGTTTCAAAAGGATAAAAAGTGGAACATTTATTGAGGCAATAATATATTTGAAGGAGGTATCTCATACTATGACGTACATGGTAGCTCTGGTGTCACTTTAGCCACCATTCTCAAACCATCTTATCCAACATTCTTCATTAATAGGTCCCGTGGTGGTGTAAGCATCACCCATACACATTTTCTCTTGATCGTTTTTGTTCTTTCCAGCATTACTCTTGCCTAATTGTAATGGTTCTAAATCATTCTTGATCTCACACCAATCTTCATCAAGTGTAGAATGAAAATGCCAGTACAAGTTGGCTACAACAAGCTTCATTTCAAGCCACGCTAAATTCATTCCAAGGCACATCCGTATTCCCTTTCCAAAATGCAACATATACTTGTTTTGAGTTCTAATTCTCTGATGAAACTCTCCTTCTGTTTCCTCGTCATACTTTAACCACCTATCGGGTATAAAGTAATCATGTTTGGGAAACACGACTGGGTCCCTGTGTAAAGCATATGGTAGACATGAGATTATTGTGCCTTGAGGGAGACTGACACCATCAACACTGTATGGACGATCTACGACTCTGGGTTCCGCACCTGGGATTGACGAATGGACTCTTGAATTTTCCAATAATAAAGCGTCTAAAACCTCAAGGTTTTCTATTTTCTCCAAATCTTCAATAACAGCATCATGACTACCAGGCTTGCCGAATCCTTCAAACAACTCGTTTTGTAGTCTCTTCACCAACAGCTTATTACCTGGTCGAGATAATTCATAAACCAAATAGCATAATTGAATTGCTGTGGTTTCATGACCAGCAAACAAATTGTCTGATAAAAACGAGTACGCTCTAGGTCCATCAAGGCCATTCCTCTTCAAGGTTTCCAACGTGGTCAAATTCTTTCCATTGTTGCCCAAATTTTTTTCAGCAAAAGCGTACAAGGACATTTGAAATTGGGATATATCATCGGCACATTTTTTAATCGTTTTTGTTGCGGCAAAGTCCCATAACCCTGGCATTAACGTAGTCCAGAACAACATGCTTGATACTTGGCGATGCTTCAAAATTATTTCACGGTCAGAATGACAACTTAACAAATCCAGTCCATTTGTATTTCCCAATTCGAATCTTGAAATCACATCCATTGCAAGAGCCCCAAATAGTGAAAAGACTTCAATTCCTAAGTTTTCCAATCTTTGCGACTTGTTGAACCATTTTTCAAAATGGCCTTTTGCGTGGAGATTTAATTTGGGACTAACACTAGCAAAGTCGGGTGTTTGGCCTGTAATTGAACTTTTGTTTACCCACTCCAATAACTTTCTTGTACACTCGATTAATATTTCTCTTGTTTTATTTTCAGGGGACTTTATGGTCCCATTGTTGTATAGTTTCATGACGATTTTTTTGTAGTTTAAATGTTGCTTGTTGTTCAAGCTTGAAAAGATGTTGTTGTGGCCATGATTTGTGAAATTAGCGTAGAAGGTTGATTTGGGAAAGTTTCTAGTATAAATTTCTTTTACGTACTCTGGCCCGTACACGCTAATTTCATTTGGAGATAACACAACAATGGGACCATATTTCTGGTGTAACTTGTACACCGTTTCGATCCAAGAGCCTTTTCGTTGTTCGTTTAAGGCTGGAATGTATGAAACGCGATTAACATAAGGACCTGGAAGGTTCCAAAATGGTGACTTCACAGGTGAGTAAAGGAAGGTGTGGATGCAAAATGATGCAAAAAGTACCCCCACAGACCAAAAAGGATGCATTACCATAAACCGATACACAAGTTCAACTGTGTATTCTAACATTTTTTGTTTAGAGAGCATGAGATGTGATGATTGTTTCTGGGGATTTTTTAAGCTTAGGAAAACATCCGCTTTGACCAGGTTTTAAAGTTAGGGATCGCGAATTCCGCATGAATGAGATCTTATCTGCATTCTTTACCCTTACAGGAAAAAAAATTCCGCGCGAATAGTATATTCCACAAAAGAGGAAACAACACAATTACATAGTCACAGTCAGTAACAACATCTAGTCTGCGCTTGGTGAGCACTTTCTTGAAACTGCTTGCAGATGCTTAACTCCAACGTATCTATTTCTTTTCAAAACATTTATTAAACAAATTGATTCTAAAGCCAAAAACTTGCTCGATTATTTACTATAGTAGTGGTATGAAAGAACAAGATGCCACTTTAGTGGAGTCTAAAACATTTTGCCTTGTTGATTCATATGAAATGTGACACATTTTTACCCAACTATAATATTCAACTCTCAAAAAGCTCTTTCCCTCGACTTGAAAAGTTTTAGTTTCAAGCAAACAATTTTGGTTGCAAATAAAAAAAATCACGTGATGTGATGCAATTTACGCTACCATTGATTAAATTTCAAATTAAACCTCGATTGCTGATAAATAATCTATATAAGCAATAAACATAAATAATATCCCAATGCTCAGGCTGCTGTGAATTGAGTAAACTCTTTGGCGATATGGATACCACATTCAGTCTTGACCTTATTTTTCCAGCGTCCGCTTCTCTCATCTTCACCATCAGCAACTGGAACTGTGGAGTGCCAGTCTCCAATAGACTTGTAGCCTAAATCCAAAAGCTCGTTATACGGTACCGTATTCTCATCGATGTAAGCCTTTACCGCTTTAAAATCCCAGTCCCAAAGTGGGTTTACTTTGAGAATATTATTGGCCTCGTCTAATTCAAGCACTGCCAACGATGACCTTGCTCCACCTTGCGATTTTCTTCTTCCAGTTAGAACCACATTCACATTTAGTTCTTTATACGCACGCTGTATGGGTTCAACTTTAACTAAATAGTCATAGTATTTATCATTGGTTTCCCATAATTGATCTCCGTATTTTGCAACAAACTCCTGCTCATTCGATACACCCAGTGGTTGATATACATTGATTTTTGAGTCCTTGTAACGGTCTTGGACTCGGTTCAACAAGTCATGTGTCTGTGGAAAGTGATAAAGGGTATCAACAAAAATCAAGTCGATTTTACAATCAGGTATCTTTGAAATCATGTCGGTAATTGCCAAACCAGTTAGGCCAAAAGCTGTTGTTTGGTACACATTTGGAAATGTGAGGTAGACCCATTTAATTAGTTCTTGTGGCGACAACTGTTGTAACCTCTCATTTAGGAAGTTGATATGTTCGCTTGTTAGCTTGATGGAGCTATTTTCCACAGTCATAGTTGAAGATAGATCTCAATGAAAGTTATACAAAGAAAGAATTAAAGTTTAATGGGGTTTGAAAAAAAAAAAAAAAAAAGAAAAATTGAGGTTCATACCAAAAGAGAGTGTTATTGTGTCTCGTATTACTAATGTTTTCTTTGCAACACGACATTGGGTTAAACGCGACACGTCTCTTTGATAAATTTTCTTCCTTTACAAATTTTGACAACCAGATCACATACAAGTATACTCAAAGGATGCATCAATGTCTACCCATGAACTGCAAAGCCCAGAGTCTTTGAAACAAGTATTAGCAACCACTCCACTACTTCATCTCATTCCAAAACAAAACTTGAGTCCCTTGATTAATCTACCTCTGCTTGTACCTAGATCAGATGAAACTGTTTTAAATAAGCATATAATTGATAGCATAGAATCCTTTGATACCGAGCATTCGAGACGATTTGAACGAGAATGCCAAGAGGAGTTGTTAGCTTTTAGTGACCCCGAATTGGACTCAATTAAATTTAAGGTGCTTGCATCACATCATCAAGATAATGCCCCTCCACGAGAATATTCCCACTTTGAAACGCAGATACTAAATAATGAATCTATTGACGATAGTAAACTCGCTGCTAAATCAGGCGATGAACTTGTGAAAACCGGTAGGCTATCCATCCGAAAAAGAGCACCCACTGACGATGCAACTTATGTCCCCAAGCACAATCAAAAATACTTTCGAAAATTCGACAAGGAATACATGCGGCTGAATCCGACGCAAGAGGAGATTAGTCCCAATGTTTCCGAAAATGACATGACTCCAATAGTGAGCATCCCACAAAACCCAGCAGAAAACTTGAACAAGTTTAATTTTGGCAAATTCAGCCAATTCATACGCAATGAGCAAAGACAATTCACGTGGGAAGATATGGCTGTCATGTGTGAGACATTGAATAAAATTGACACTTTTCAGGACCAAGATGCAAAAGATTTGGTCAAAGTGCTTGAAATTTGTTTTAAAACTTTGTCTGAAGCTTTGAGCAAGTTGCAGAATAAAACTATCCTGGAATTTGATGACATCAAATCCATTCTACCAGATTTGTTGTGCGGAACATTTGCATCCAAAGCTTCAATCATTATAATCAAGTACAAAATTTCGAAAGGTGTCAAGATGGCATTTAGCAAGTACACTCTTGTCATGACTCAAACCCTTGAATATGTGTTTGAAAATTTCCTACTTCCGCTGGAAAAGTTGATTTCTGGGGATGCCGATGACTTCACCCAGAACTCGTTCCACAAGCTAATCACTGAAACGAGTACTAGGTTAAAGCAATTAGCATCGTTGAGCAGCTCATCCTCGTTTGAAGAACAAACCTTGACCAAATTAGAGATGCTTTGTGTCGATATCATTTTCAACAGCAAGATAAACGAGGCTGAAACTTTGCAATCACTCCTACCTATTGATGCACTTCAGACCTCTGCTGGATTTTGTTTAATTGCGATTTATCAGAACTCAATTGATCAAAGAACGTTCTTGCTTCACGAAGTACTCACTGGATTTCCCTTGATCAATACCAAGAAAGGAACCACAAAAAAGTTCAAGACTAAGCGTGGGATTGATATTCACCTATTCACCATGATTTTGAACAACTTTTCTTACTACTTTGTCGAGAGCGAAGGTTACTCGTCAGATTTTATGGATCACGTTTCTCGAGAATTGATTAAAAAAGTTCAGGGAAATCCAGCAGAGTTGCGGCCCAAACTTACAGCATTCATCAACGACTTGGTGCAACTACTATATCTACCAGAATGGCCAGCAGCAGATTTATTTTTGGCCTCTATATCATCGTGCTTGATTCAAGTTTTGAACTCGCCCGAAGAACAAATTTCAGGAGAGACGCAACTTTTGGACATTTTGCAGGATTTGGCAGAGAGGGTTCTTGGTTATTCCCTTGACGATGTCCCAATGGGGGAAAAGGAGATGATGGTTGTCTTGGGAAATTGTCGGGAATTCGAAATATGTGATGCGTTGCAATTCTTGCAGACAAAAATACATATCCGTACAGGTTTCACGCTTGAAGCGGAGCCAACCAAGAATTCTGATACCATAAGCCCGGGATACAAGTGGCTAGTCTTAACGCATCTAGTTAATTTTTTCACCTCGAAATATTTCACTTTTCTTGAAGAGCAAGTTGGCAGCTCGAGAGCAAAAACTAGAGCTAAAGCCATCAAAGGGTTGCTTATCTTCGTCACAAAATCGCCCCAATTGCTCTTATCTGCGCATCTACAAAAGCAACTATCTTCACGATTACAAGACCCAGCAGCGCTGGTTAGGGATTCTATGCACGAATTCCTCAATACTCATATTTCAAAAAATCCCGATGAAGCGCAAAAGTTGATTCACCCCATGTACCTAGCCTTGAATGATCCCAGTATTTCAGTTAGGAAAAGGAGCATTCAATCTTGTTTGGCCGTTTTCCCATTGGTCAGCGAAGTGGTTAAATTACGAATCAGTGAGAGAGTACTTGAAAAAATCCACGACGAGGAAGATAGTGTGCGTAATGAGGCGGTTTCAGGTTTGAAAAGTCTTTTCCTTTTCCAGCCACCGAAGCCAAACTTGATCAATCCTGGGGCCTTGGATGTCATCCGAATTGCAAAAAGCAAAGGCCTGAAGTTGTTGCTGGCTTTTTTCAACGAGTATGTATTTACTGATTCTAAGTCTGTTGGTTTTGTCGACACATTGGTCTTAACTTGCATTGAACTTGTCGGCAGTGCAGTGGATGCCGAGGGAGGTATGCTTCTATTATCAATACTCTGCCAGCTAAAACCCAGTCTAATAACCCAAGATACGTTGGTGGAGATGAAAAGTTTCTTCATCGATGAGGCAAACATCAACACTAGTGCTTATACTTATGCTCTCCAAATTTTGCAAACGACAACCTCCCATCTAATTGCTATCCGTCCGGAATTATCGATCGAGATTCAAACATTTTTGCTATCGAAAATCATCAACTTTCACCAAAGAGACATGTTGACCGCTACGTCATCGTTGTGGAACTTGAGCAGATTAAGTTCAACTGAAGGGAAAATTGCAAATGCCATTTCTGGAACCTTGAAATGGGTGAGAAAACTGTACAATGATAGAGCTTACAGGCAACTCCCAAAATTAGTGCAATTATTGGGATGCTTTGCAAGGATCGTAAACCTTGAACAATTCCACAACGTATTCGTCAAAGAGGGATTTATGAATGAGCAAGACGGTGTGATGAGCATGCTTTTCAAGCACATTTTAACCTTTACAAAGCCCGAGTACCCGCCGACTCTTCGGAAATATGCACTTTCCAATTTAGTTTTGGCAAGCTCTTGCCATCCAAAGTTTATTGCCCATAGTGCGGTGACCAGCCGTGTATTGAATGCCATAAAAACAGAGCCCGCGGATGTCAAGTGCGCCATTATCCAAAACCTTAACATTTACCTTGACGATCATGGATCTGCAGAAAGCAAACTGTCTATTTGCCTGGACAACCTTAAGTCAATACAAGGTATTGCCAATATGCAGCAAAACGCATGTAAATTTTTGGTCGATCACTATTTTGATGAAATCATTAAATTGTGCGCAACAAATGACATTCAATTGGTGCTAGAGTCATTTTTGTTTATGCGGATGTCGTTGGAAATGGGATTTGCAAACCCTATTGGGGGTATATCTACGGTTGTTGCTTTGCAAGGGTCACCAACTTTGACTCTTCAAAAAGCTGCACATGATTTACACAAGTACTTGTTTGAGAAATACAAGCCTGTAGTGGATTCGCAGTATACTGAAGGTATTAAACTTGCATTTTCAACGGGCCAGATTGCCAAAAACATGTTTGTGTTGTTATACGACGTTGCGGTTGAATCAAGAATGTCGAGAAATAAGTTTATCAAGGCATTATCAAGGTTTTTTGTGATTAAGCTGAAAAGAAGTCACTTGGCTGAGGATCTAAAATTTATCATTTTTGTTATTGAGAGGATGTCGCTAATCAAGTATAAAACAATAGAGGAAGTATACATCATTTTGGACCAGCTTCAGCAGGTTTTGCAAAATATTGCCCCTGACTATATCCACGATCTTCGCGAATCCCAAATTGGCGATGAAAATACTAGCCATTTGGCCCATTTGATTTACTTGTTTCTTGATTTCTACAACTACCTTTCAAGAAAGTACAACATCAGCAGTGAAAACATAGAAGGATTCGGGTCTCGTTGTTTAGAAATTGATTTTACACAAACTCCAACGATTGTGAGTTCGCCGACTCTTCACGTGGGTTGGGTATTTGCCAATATGCTAAATATTGATTCGTTAAAGTTTGTTGTGAAGGAAATTCGAAAGTCTATATTTGTACAAGGTGAATAGATAAAGCTCATGGGCTAGCTTTTGTTTCCCATCTGTCGCCTCCATCCCAATGGCAATTGAAACCCAGTTTTGGGTGGTTCAATCTCATGTAGACCCACTCCAAATAACTCGTTTGAAGTCCCACGTAGGTTGATCTCTGTCGAGGAGTCAAGATTGTCAAGCTTAACATTGGACTTAATAGCCACTGGATTTGTGGTGTGTGCCTGCGTTTTGAGGTGATGATTTTCGTGTGAATTATTGGTGGTTCCTGTTGGGTGGGCCTTGAAAGAGCTCGTTCGGGTTTGATCGAGCGCATGTGCATTTGCCACAGCTACGCTTCCACCATTATGAAACTGCCGAGCGTCATTAATGAACCTGTCTCTTTTCTTTTTCCACAAGGCTTGTTTTTCCAACAACTTTTCTATCTCATTAATGGTTAAATCTTTCTTTCTTTCCATCTCTTCATAATCCATGGCATTGTTGATTTTTGTAATCAAGGGGAGATGTCGGATCCAATCATACTGGTTGAGGAGTTGCAAACTGGTATTTAAATTGTCAACTTCAACCAAGTTTTTAATCTTTTCCTCATTCAACATTTGAGTTTCTTCCTTTTTCATTTTACGATGAAAAATACCATACTTGGGGTCGGGTAGTGGATCCACTTTCGTTCTTCTTCTCGGGAGTTTCCTAGCAATTTGCTTGACATCCGTCACTCTCAATGTTGGTGTCTCCTCATCTCCCTTAAAGTAATGGTACAACTGGTCCTTGCCTGAATTGTCAATAAAAATGGGTTTATCTTGGTACAAGTAGGCATTTATGTTATCAAAGTTGAACAAGTTTTTGTTCAGCGCCACATTACTAGAATCTTCTGATCGGAGCTTTCGTGACTGTTCCTTCTCTGACATGGGCGTGTGGGTATAAGGGGGGAAGGTTATAGCGGGTATTCTTTTTTTGTTGTAAAGACACGCTACCGTGTGTTTTTATTTTACAAATCACTTTCTAATGCATTTATTCTATTTTCTCTACCTAAATTTGAAAAACTTGTCAGCATAGCTTGGGTTGAAATCTGCCCGTCTGCTAATATACTGCCTCACATTGTATGGTTTCATTCGCGATAATTGACCCTCTGTCACCAATGAGTTGACCAATTCGCTCAGAACCGTGAACAAGTTTCCTATTTCCTTCAAAATTTGGAACTTTTCAGATAACTCTGGGATACCCCATTCATCGATGATCGTTTGATATCGAATTGCGTCTTTTGTCAACACAACACCGCCGATGGAATTAACCGAGAACTTCTTGTAATGCTCGAGTAATAGCTTCAAAAACTCATTTCCAATCGTGAGCAAGGTATTTAACAAGTTATCGCCAGTCAATGCAACACTGATGTTGGCGTACATCTCATTCAAAAACTCACTGATTAATTCACACGCTTCTGTATCATCCTCAATCGAATCGCATAGAAAGTCTTTCTTCTTTTGCTTGCTAAGAAAGCCACGGATTTGCGTCAACGAGTAATCAACAACAGAGTTAAGTAGTTCGTTGATATTGGTCTCTTGTGCCTTTACAAACTCGTTTATCAATAGCCTTGCTTTACCTTTAGCAATGGGGTCATTTGTGACGCAGGGAAAGATGATTTTCTTGGCACATGCGGTCAAGCAAAACAATATCTCCTTTTTGAACTGTATTGAATTGAGAGTCCAAAAGAAGTTGAGACTTTGCAATTGAAGCTCTTCGCGAACAATTAATTTTTCAAAGTTGACAATCAATAATGCCAAAACGTCCAATGAGTGTTCGGCGGCTTCATTTGGTGCTAACTCCAATGCTCTTCCAATTGACTCCGCGGCTGCTTTCAAAAGTGTCTCGACACTATCAATTGCTCGAAGGTCATCTTCCTCAAGCTCTAATTTAGATACTCCTTTGTCACTTCTTGCCTTTTCGTTAACCTTTGCTTTAACATACTGAGTAAACTGCGCCAACTTCTTTCTTTCGGCTGAAAATCTAGTGTAGTCATATGTTCTTGACTGCTGACCATACCTCAACGTGTCGGATCTTGCCACTGTGAAATCATCGCTTGTTTGTTCATTGAATGTATCAGGGTCAAGTGTGTTCAAGATAGTATTTACCACCTCTTTTAAGTTTCTCTTTTCCCTTGCGAGGTATACATTATCAGAGATGTACTCCTCAAACAAGCGGTCATTGGATTGCTCCAAAATTTGCAGAACCTTTTGGTCAGTATCAAACTCCTCTGTAACCATGTAGTCCTTGATCTGATTAGTAAACTCTCCAATCATTCCATACAACGCTTGCAAAATTCTCACGTGGGCCAATAAACTTTGCTGCAACGACAATTGCAACAAGGTGGTGATTTTCCTCTTGATGGCGGTTTCATAGATTCTTTCAATAAACAACACAATAACTGTCTCTGGATTGTTGAATATCCTTTTGCTCAACCTGGCTTTCGACTTTATGTTGAACTTGATGCTTTCTAAAAAGTCATTTAGATGCGGCGTCAAATCATAATTTGTAGCGTTTGGATCAGACCACTGAACCCACTCCTTTTCGTCTAAGACTGCTTCATCATTACTTGTGTCAACTGAGAGTTCATTTTTATCGACAAATCTATTCATCAATGTGACGCCTTGGTTGTACTCATACAAGATTTGAGAAACATTGTTCATCATCTTGATATCAAAGTTTCCTCCTGATAGCTCATCTCCATCGGATGCTATTTCAAACTTTTTCAACAACTGCTCTTCCATTTGCTCTCCATAAGACTCCACCATTTGTAAGCACTTCAATGTGCTGGGGATTGATTCATCGCTGATTCTTCTTGAGAGATGTATCAACTTTTTGACGTACCTTGCACACTCTATATTGTCTTCTAACTTGGAACTCGAACGCAAATTCTCCAAAGGAGCGTATTCCCCCTTTGTGTAGAATCCGTGATAGGCTCTGATGAGGAAAATAGTTTCCCTTGATTTATCTCGTGACGTGGATATTTTATTCAACGTAGCTCCTAAGGGGCTGAGTTTTCTGGAAACATCTGATATTTTGCTGTCCAATTGGTTGAACTTGTCGGTGGTTGTATCAATCAGATTGCTCAATTCAAGCACGTTCTTTGAATGTTTCAACTCGTACGCGTCAACTTGCTTCTCTCCTCTTATCCTTTGATCATTTGCATCTGAGCTCAAACGATTCAACTCTCTGATTGTGCTCTCAAACGACCTGATGTATGGTTTGGGGTCAAGGTACGCCTTCTTGTTTACCTCCGCACCTTTAAGAATATGGTCTTTACTTATCTCCTCCACGAAATCATTCACCGATAGCCCATTGAGGAAGTTGTCGGCATTGAGGAGTTTTTTGATTTCGGGGTTTAGGTCGTAGATTGAAAACGAACCAGCACTCATTTGACAGTTTGTGGGTGTAGGCAGTAACTGTCAAATACAATATTTTTGTTCAAAACCAATGCCGATTTTGTCGTCGTTCATATTTTGCGACACTTTGCAACGACACAGAGGGGCAAATGGCAAATGGCAAATGGCAAATGCATTGAAGTGAGATATTTACATTTAATCATTTAGTTGAGTCAACCACTCTGTATTAAGCTATAAATTACAATATAAATATAAATGTATACATATATCTATAACAACACTTAGTTGGCTCTCAAGGTCAAGTGACATTTACCACAGTATTGTCTGTCCTTCATGTTGGCCATGAAGATACCGGCACCACAGGTTGGAGATGGACATTCTCTTCTCAATCTTTCAACATTTCCATCGTTGTCGACCTTGTAGTAGGTCAAGACAGCCAACTTGTGCTTTCTGTGCTTGTGCTTGATCTTCTTTGGGGTGGTGTAGACCTTCTTCTTTCTCTTCTTACCACCACCTCTCAATCTCAAGACCAAGTGCAAGGTAGATTCCTTTTGGATGTTGTAGTCGGATAAAGTTCTTCCGTCTTCCAATTGTTTACCAGCAAAGATCAATCTTTGTTGGTCTGGTGGGATTCCTTCCTTGTCTTGAATCTTGGACTTAACATTGTCAATAGTGTCGGATGATTCCACCTCCAAAGTGATGGTTTTACCCGTAAGGGTTTTGACGAAAATTTGCATTTTGGCTTGTCGGCAAAAGGGTGCTTCTTTCTTACCAAAAAAGGTGTGGAAATGGAAGAAATGAGATGTGGAATACTGTTGAAAAATTTAACATTTTTAGTACCCTGTATGCGTGTGCGTGATGACAAAAAAAAAAAGAAGAAAACGAGAAGGAAGAAAAGAAAAAAGAATGACATGTGATCACGTGTATATAATTAGGGCTATGGTGGTTGTTTTTGTGTAGCGTCGCTATATCCTCTTTTCCGGTTGCAAAAGTGAGTCTCTCCACCCTCCCCTGCGTTATCTAGTTATAAGTATTAGAAGTTGACGTATTTCATTTCTCTGTTTCCTAATCACCATAATACTTCTTCTTAGATAAATTGCGTTGAAACTCAGAGTCGTTTCATTTGTACGACAAAGCAGGTTTAAAGTCTAAAGTTTAAAGCAGGCGACTGATAATTCGTCAATGTTGACTTCATACGTAGTTGGCACTTTTAGCTCCCGCTTTTTCTTTTCTGGCAACCAGGTTACATTTGTTTACTGGAATGAATGGATATGGGTCGTTGTTTGAGTTTGGATTTATTTTAACCTCTCCTAAGAAATCGAGATTTCATGATCATTCTCTACCACTAACTTAGTTTCGATAATCTTGGCTCCTCTTTTATAAGAATTCCATCGGTGGTATCAATTAGGCTACTTACTCCCTCAGTTTTAAAAACTGCATCTATTAATCAGATTTATGATACGTTACCAGCTTGTACTAAGCCGTGTAAAGATACTTGTCCCACCCCCATATCTGTACTTTGAGACATTCTTCTTCGTCACTGGTAACTTCAATCAGCTCAAGTGCTGATGTTTGGAGGGGGGGTGTCATACTGGATCTTTCGAGCTACTTTCTGACAAAATCTTGTGTAGGTTTGTCTTACCAAATATGGGAACAAGATATAGCTCTATTCACACTTATTTTTCCGGTGTGGATCGACTACTAGGTTATTTGGTTGATGGTATATTGCTATGGTTTAATTTGACCCAGTCTATGGGTGCCAATTCACCTCAAGCTTTCCATTAGCCTATTTAGTGTTTGAATATTCTCGGCTATCAATTTTCTATGTTCCGGATCTTGTATCACATTAATGAGCTTGATTAGATTTTCATTAATGCTTTGAGTCACAGATGATATTAAAGCTAATTCGTAGAGGATCTGTTGTTGTTCCTCGTTCATATTGCATACAGCTTTGGTTTAACATTTCGCGAATCGAAAAATTGAAACAATTTTATAGATTGGCATCGCTACCGGAATCCATAAGTAACTTGCTTCATGAAAGCAGGTTATTACATCCTATACGGAGCTTGCTGGAGGCTTCCAATAGCCGCAATGCATGGTTTCAGGTAAAGCTCCTTAATAGATTCACTCTCTACAACGATATTCCCAAATAATTCATTCGATAATCTATGTACACGATGTAACAAACTCCTATCTAATCAACCAAATAAAAAAAAATAAACATGAATTGAATGTATAATAATGCTCAAGAAATGAATTGTTTAATGACAATATATGCAAATGCAACGAACAACAAATGAGGCGCTGTTCGTTCTAATATCAGCTCTTTAAAAATACCCCTGTTTGATCCCATTTCTCAGTCAAACGGTTCAACACAGTTTCAAAAGCCAATCTACCAGTTTTAGCATTCTGGCCAAATCTCTCAACACTCCAATGTTCCAACTTGTCACACAACTTCGATACCCCAGCAAAGGCAGTAATCTCAGCACTTTGGTTAAATGTAGTCTTGTGTGATGGTAAGTTTAAGTCGGGTTTGTAGATGACAGTTTCTTTCACCAATAACAAATGATTCATGGTTAAATTCATCGACTTCATCACCAAAGTCTTGTTGTTCAAATCAATTTCTGATACTTCACGTACGTAGCTCAAAGATGCACCTCCAACCAAAAAAGAAAGCCATCTCGGTATTGACTGTTTACATCCAATCAATCTTTCGGTGCGTAGGACGTGGTCATTGACTAGTCTTCTGTTTAAAATGTCCACCGAAACCACATGAGTTGAAAGCTCGTTTGGGTACTTTTGCCAATTGGCGGCGGTTACTTGATCCCAGGGGTAATTGAATAAATAGTCGGATTGGAATAACTTCATGCTTTAGCTATTCTGAGTTGTGGTGTAATATCAATGGTGTTGTCTAAATAAAGTAATTTGTGGATAGCTTTTGGTACTTACTGATAATTGTCTGGAATGGAATGGAATGGAAATTTTTAATTTCCCTTTTCTTTCTTTTTTATATCTTTTTTTCTTTCTTTTCTTTTCTTTTTTTTTTTCTTTTTTATCTTTTTAAATTTCTTTTTTATTTTTAATCAAAGTGGCCGTTCTTCTCGCTCCTGGATGGTTGTGGTTTATAACCGATGATCATGCGAATATCCACCGACTACAATGTGTACCAGTTAATGGCCGGTCATTGTGAATACCGAGTGGAAACCCCCATCCTATCCCGTCAGTTAAACTACAGAGTCTCCAATGAGTCTTCGTTTTTGCGAATCTACGGCTCACCAGGATCTTAAAAACGTCACAAGACATTTGTTTCAACATGGGAATAATCAAACGCTCGGAACTTTACGGAAGCACAAAAGTAATTTATGACACAGTTTTTCTACTAACGACACTAAGCATTTACGACTTGTTCTTTTGCAACTAAAGAATGTGCGCAGGCATCTACACGCGTAATCGAAAGATCTTCTCCATTTTATTCTTTCTTCCTTCAAATACTCTATACACAATCTATCGCCTTTTTTAAATCCTCCAATGCCTTCAAAGCTTCTCCGCTTGTTAACGATTCCTTTGCAAGCTTTACACCTTCCACCCAGTTATCACATATGCCTGACACATACGCAAGAGCCGCAGTATTTAGTAAAATGTAGTCAACGTACGCATTATTGTCCCCCTCGCGGACTTTGTATTCATCGTCATCCTGCTTCAATATGTGGTTTAATATTTCAGCGTTTTCGTCTGGAGTTCCAGATCTCACAGCTTCTAGTGGGTGCTCACGAAGACCAAAGTCCTTGGGTGATATGCGGTCGCGTTTAATCACCCCGTCTTTTTCAACCAACCAGATCTTTGTGTATCCAGTTGGTGCAATTTCATCCAACACGCATTCTCCATAGACAACCATCGTGCGTTTATGTATATGGCTCTTTTTAGCTAGTATGGATGCAGCTTGTGCATAGCTTTCTCCCAATTTTTCACTGTATACACCCAAAATTCGCGACTGAATGGGAATGGGATTAATCAAAGGGCCTAGTATATTGAATATAGTAGGAACACCAAGCTGTGCTCTCACGTTTGCCACGAGCCCCATACCTGGATGGAATGATGGTGCAAATAAGAAGCAGAACTTTGATTTTTTCACAATATCAGGCAAAGTCACCACATTTATCTTGGCTAAATCAACACCCAACGACTTCAACAAGTCTCCAGATCCTGAGGTGGATGTACTGGCTTTTCCTCCATGTTTGCATACTGGTAGCCCCAATCCTGCAGCAACGATAGCCGACGATGTCGACACGTTGAATGTGTTCTGGCCATCTCCTCCAGTACCAACAATGTCTATATACCCTGCATCATCGATTAAGTGGTCTTCAATTGTCTCTGCGAACCCTAAAACTGCATTGACTGCTGCGGCAATGTATTCTGACTCGTGGTCCAATTCTCGTTGCCTCAATGAAGTCAAAAATGCTGCAACTTGTATTTCAGATGCACGATCGGTAAATATGAGCTTTATCACAGATGCCAAATCATCTGGGGTGAAATTGGGAGGGTTCTGAACTAGTGACTTGAGGTAAGGTGTGAGAACCTTATCCTTTGACGGGCTATGTACGACCATTGCTGTTGAGAAAGAGGTAGTTTTGGTGAAAAATTATGATTCATAAATGATTCATCCGTTCGTTCTTTTTTTTTTCTATTTTTTTTATAGAGCTGCACGACTTAAAGTTAGATTTTGCTTGCGCAACCAAGTGAGATTTAAAATACACAAGCTATTTTACGAGATTTGCACCTCCTTATCTGCGTCCAAGTACGAGTCACAAATAGCCCAGCAGGTGAGATCATCCATTGAATCGGGACTTTCAAATTCAATTTGTAAACTTTGCTCAAGGCTTTTAATCTGCGTTTTCTTAATAGCGTACAATCGATTCAACAGCAACAGTCCAACAATCACCCACCAATTTTCCTCTTTTGTAAACGGCAATTTACACATAACATCCAAAGACTCCATTTCTTCGTCTCGTTCAAGCAAAACATTTATTGACCCTTCACTCAAAACCTCAAACGATAGCTTCACATTGGGGTACAGATTGACAAATGCGGCCACTTCATTTAAATCATCATCTTCCAATTGAAGAACCTCGTCTCTCTCCTCGTCCTCTAAGCTCATAATATCATAGACTGTCTCCACGTTATGCGCTTTGCAACGTCTGAGAATTGAATCGCTAAAGTTAGGAATCTGTTTCAAGTGGTTCTCAAAAGACCAGACTTGTTGTGTCACCATCTGCCACAAATCCATTGCCAACATTGCAGTTAAATGACCCTCTCCTGACAAGACATCAATGCTTGCATTCAACACGCGCAGGAAGATTTTCAACACCTTCTCTTGATCATACCTTAGCTCAGAAGGCAAATTTGCCCTTGATATAAACGCTTGAACTAGAAGAAAAGATTTGTAAAATGGCGTCATCCTGGAATTTTCTTTCAAAGGCATTTTTCTTGCAATGGAAGATAACAACTCGTCGCCTTTTCGTACAGGCACTGTTTCAAATTCAGCAGCATTGGTAACAGCAAGTAGAATATCCTTGAGCTTACTTTTGCCATTCAATGTGCTCAATGTATTTACTGTCTCAAAAGACAAATCATAGTGCGACGTAATCAATGCTTTATTTGATGGAGTTATTGACTCCTCCTCCTCCTGCTGCTCCTCCCCCTCGTCTTCCTCAGCAAACTCGGCCTTGATCAATTCGTCCATGATATCTTCGATCAAGTTTGACAAGTATTCGGAAACAGCAATCGAGGAAAGATTCTTCAACCCATAATAGCTGGGATTACTCAACAACCTTTTGTAAAAGAACGTGTGCGTTAGAATATCAATACAGTCCTGCCTCAGTCTCAATAACCCGTGGGCAATACCATCGATAAAAAATTCATAGATTGTCGAATCTAACAGACTCTCCAAAGGAATACCAGAATTGATGAAAGTTGAGTAAAACTCAGATGCCTCATCACTGGTCTGGACATACACATATCCTGATGGGCTCTGGCAATGACCAACCATATTGTACAAGTCAACTACACTGTAATCAATATCACGATGTTCATAGCCATCGTAAAACTGAGTTCCTTTGATGAAAACAACGTCGGCACATGGTGCAAGGTGAACTGCCTCCCTGGTAGTAACAATCAATGACACACTCCCAACCTTGAACAAGTTCGATACAATCGCCTTGTCCATGTTAGAAAATTCATTTAGAAAAAGGGCAACACCGTTTTCAAGGGCTTGCTTTAATAGCTTGTTGTCGATTTTATCGACGTACTTGTCTAAATCCTCCAATTTGGTTCTATTGGGATGGTTTTGTGCAATCTTTACTGCCTCATTACGTGAGCCGGTAAATAAAATAGTCCGGCCAGCATCAATGCTCCATTCATGTGTCTCGCTGAAATGTATTTCCTCGATGTTGTTATCACGAATTGACGCAGGATAATTAATTATATTACCTTTTGAAACATTCAACCACAGCGCCACATCACGGGAATCTAATAGTGGATACGAGATACCAACAAGTCGAATATCAATGTCGTCTCCGTGGGATTGCAAAATGCGTATCTTTGTAATCAAAAATTCGTAAACAGTATTGGCCTCAATTTCGTGTAAATCATCAAGCACAATCAACTGAACAGTCTTGATTGCCTTCAGACTTTTCCAACGCTTACAAAGGGGGTAAAACAGGCCAGGGGTAGATAGAATTATCTCATGACCATTGAAAGCTTTGACATCCCTTTTTAATTCACCCGACAATTTGCACACGCGTAGGTCCTCTACTTTTGACCAATTTTTAAACTTTGCATCAACTATATCCTCATTTGGATTGATGTAGACAATCCTCTTATTTGATTTTTGCAAGTGTTGAGCTACTACTAATTCTGGGCATATAGTCTTTTGCTGACCTGCACTGATTCCGATCAAGATATTTTCATCATAATCGCATATTGCGTCATATAATTCACTTGTAATGCTTTCTTCTTTCAAGTTGAACTCTTTAAACTCGCCCAAGGAAACAGTTTGTTCTCCACGCTCGACAAAATGAGACCTATCCTTTGGTGTAATTAAGTCTGTAATTATCGGTATTTTCGACGTGCAGTTTACCCATTTGGTACTCATAAATGAAAGCAACAAGTTGGGTGGTTGCGGCAGTTTCATTTTAAACTGAAACTCAAGAATATGCGGCTGGTCGATATCCTCCTTGCGAACATGAAAATGTTGATATTTAATAAGCACATTACCATCACAGTCTTCCAAAAACAAATCAAACGACTCCTGTCTGCCGTGAATAGTGAGCCAGTTCCATTTTGGTATTGCTTCTACCTTCAATCTCACATATTCATCGGTAACAGTTTGGACTGTATAGTTGAGTTCAATACGAGGGAACGAGTGAACATAATTCCAAGCTAGTTGGGCGTTTCCTCGCAAATTCAACACCTCGGCCAACTCCTCGGTTGTCAAGTGGAAATATTGAAGCCATGGTAAATGCGACGATTCTGATGCTTTAATAATGGATTTGGGAACAAGTGTTCCAAACTGTCTCAACGGAGAGTCACTTGCCCAAAGGCGGTTGACCACCATTTTTGACAAATCAAGTATTGCCTTGGCAAGTGATGACCATTTCTTAAGCAATGCTATTTCGTACAAGGCATGCAACAATCTAGATGCAGATTGCTTAATGTAGATCATGTCGGAAATGAGGGCGTACCCTTCAAGACTAAGCCGTGATATATACGTTTGCAACAAAATATTAATCTTGGCTAGCGCCTCGGTAGGAAGTTCCTTAATAGGAATAGGACACTTTTCCATGAGCTTATTGATTTCCAACCTCTCCTCTCTTCTAACTGGTACAAATTGAAATTCATCTGAATGGGCAAATACTCTAATTATATCGCTTTCAGTGTGCCATGGCTTCAACAACTGGTTGTACCGGGCGACAGTCTCATAACTGATGTAATGGTAAGAGGCAACCTTTCCAAGCTCTGTGGATACAACTTTTTCGCCATCGTAGACCAATAGTTTGTTTTCATTAAGGACTGAAAAGGCTGCATTCATCAATTCGAGCCTCCTTACATAAAGCGTAGGATCCTCGTCCGTTATTAGTGCATCGGCTCCATACAACTTGGGCGACTGCAACATTCGCACGTACAAGTAGGTATAACCGAGCCAGTCAATACCATCACTCAATGATGAGATGGTACCTGCAACAACTTCTGCATTTATATTATCAATTAGCTTGGTCATTAATTGCGACTCGATGGGATATTGTTGGTTCAAAATGGCGAGGTAATACTGTATTCTGTCTTGAGACGTGATAATTATACCTTCACCATTTTTGTCATACCTCGGACGACCTGCTCTTCCCAACATCTGGAAAACATCTTGGGGCGATAATTGGGTCCAATTTCCGGCTTCTGGGGAGTAAACTTCAGTTCCTTTGATGATAACCGTATGTGCTGGCAAATTCACACCCCAGGCCAAGGTAGCAGTGGAAACTAGCGTCTTTAAATGGCCCTGGGCAAAAAGGTCTTCCACTAACGTTCTGTCGTCCCTACTCAAGCCCGCATGGTGTACACCAATTCCTGATACCAAAAGCCTTTGTAACTTTGTATTGGTCACCCTTTCACTCTCCTGCTGCAAGATTTCTCGAGTGCTAACTTCAGTAGCAATTTCAACATCCAGGTTGGACAAAGATTCCACCAAATACTCTGCAGTAGACGCCGTTTCATTCCTCAGGTGAACAAATATGATCAACTGTTGATTGCGCTTTAGCACGTTACACGTCTGGTCAAAGCATGCTTCATTCATTGCAAGCTTTTTCTTTAATGCCTTTTGCTCCTTGATTCCGACAAATTTCTGCTCCAAAGGGCACGGCCTATAGCTTGAATCAAAGTAAAATACACCCTTTTCACTAGCACGTATGAATTTTGCAACGTCAAGATAATTGGGCAATGTTGCTGACAATCCGACAATTCTAACATCGTCACCTGTGCGTACGACTCTTGAAACTATTCCTTCTAATACTGGTCCTCTCAAATCGTGCAACAAATGTATTTCATCAATGATCAACAATTTGACAAACTGAAGATATTCGTGATCCTTTCTTGTTATTATGTCCCATTTTTCAGGTGTGGTAACGATGACGTTGGTTTCTAAAATTTGCTGCTGCGATAATGAAGAATCTCCGGTTAATTCATTAACCACTAGCCCGTATGCGGAAGTTAGCCTTCTTTGAAACTCCCTCATTTGCTCTTGCACCAATGCTTTTAGTGGGGCAATGTATACAATCTTGAATTCGTTTCCTTGTATGCGGTTATTAGACCGGTAATTCTCTATGGTGCGTAACATGGTCAACATTGCCACGTTGGTTTTACCAGCACCAGTTGGGGCACAAATCAATAAGTTTTCGTCAGATTCAAATGCCATTGGGTATATTTTAGATTGTATTCGATTAAATGTTGACGTTTCGTTGCTAGGGAATGCTTCCTGTGCCCACGATGGCAATGTTTTCACTGGTAGTAGTTCAGCCTCGTCCAACGGTGCAGCACTAGGAGGGACAGTAATGACATCATATTGTGCCATTTTCTCCTGGTAAGTTCCCTTTGGGAGAGTCACTTTTAGCCCGTCATCGCTTTTCTCTTCGTAAAGTACTCGTTTTCGTAGCTGCTTAATTGTATGTTCGGTATCAGTCTTTCCCAATAGCTCCAAAATGAGTCTATCTAGGTTGTACTTTTGCATTTCTTCAATTATTCGAGCCTTGTCGTCAGTTTGGAGCCTGCTCGAGTACACGATTCGCCATCGGTTCTGTAATATCTTTTGCATTTCCGGTTTAGGAAAGCGCTTTGCAATATCTTTATTTGTCATATTCCTATCACGCAACGCTTCGTATACGGCTTCGGCATTGGGAGTATCTTTGAAGGCATCCCAATCGTATACACTATCGACAATGCTGGGTTCCTCTTCCTCCTCCTCCTCTTCTTCCTCCTCTTCTGACACCTCATCGGGCTCATCTCCATCGGACTCTTCGACTTCGATTGCAATTGCCTGTGCGTCATCTTTTTCCGACCCACGATGCTTCAGTAGCGCGACTTGGTAACTCTTTGCCAAGTTTATCAACTCCCCCAACTCTTCATCCTCAATGGTGCTACTTAAAAGCTCGTTCGTTTCTTTTCTTTTGATTGTCACGCTTACGTCTGAGCCCAATAAATCAAGCAAAATTTCCACGGCCGAGTTTATTATTTCGGGACTTGCATCAAGTAGGTGGTTTCGTATCCTGTTGAGAAATGTATCGTAGGCTTCATCGTAGTTTTCCATGTTGCCCAATCTGTCAATCGTGGTAACATCATTCATTTTGCAGGTCAATATTCTTTTCTACTTTTTTTTTTTTTTGTTTTTATTTTGTCGCACACTTTCATTTATTTGTCCTACTTAGTATACCTTATTCAAAAAGTCATTCTTCTTGAAATCCCATGAATCGTCAGAGATTCTTCCTCTCAACACTGGAATTTCTGAACCTTTAACATAAACGTCTTCAAACAAGATGTCCATTTTGGCTTCTGGTGGGGCGTCGGCCTCGGCAGCAGCAACTTGCTCATCCACATATTTTCTAGCAGCCTTGTCGTATGACTTGACTTCATCCTCAGTAGCAATGTTTTTGTCCAACAAGACGGCCTTTAATCCGGCAATTGGGTCATTACGAGATCTCATGTGTTGAACTTCTTCTCTGGTTCTGTAAGTGGTACCAGGGTCTGACATTGAATGACCACCGTATCTATAAGTTTCATATTCCAAAACTAATGGTCCGTTACCTTGAGATGCCCAGTCCTTGGCAAATTTAGCACCTTGGTAAGAAGCCAACACGTCCATACCGTTGATTTTCAAACCAGGAATGTATTGACCTCTCTTGTAGTATTCAGTCATGGCAGAACTTCTGGCGGCAGCAGTACCCATACCGTATTTATTGTTTTCACAAACAAAAATCACGGGCAAGTTCCACAACTTGGCCATGTTGAATGCTTCAAACACTTGGCCTTGGTTAGAAGCACCATCACCATAGAGATCGAAACAGACGGATTTTTCTCCTTTGTATTTCTGTGCAAAAGCCAAACCAGCACCCAATGGAACTTGAGCACCGACGATACCGTTACCACCGTAAAATCCTTTGGTGAACATGTGCATGGAACCACCCTTACCGTAAGAGATACCTGATCTTCTTCCCATCAATTCAGCCAAGATGGATTTAACTGAAGCACCTCTAATATGAGCAAAACCGTGACATCTATAAGATGTGATGACTGTATCCTGGTGGTTAATTGCATTTTCAATACCAACAGCAACAGCTTCTTGACCAACAGACAAGTGGCAGAAACCTCTAATCTTTTTTGCCTTGTACAAAGCATCTGCTGCCATCTCCATTCTTCTGATAACAATCATATCCTTGTACATCTGCAACAAGGTCTCTTTTTCAGTTTCAAATTCCAATGATGGGCTCTCCAAATCGTACACTTCAAAGGAGGATTCTGGTAAGGTGATTGATACTAAGTCACTTCCATCACCAACAGGTTCAGCAGTAGACTCGGCTGGAGGCTCAGCAGTAGCCAATGACCGTTTTAAAGTGTAATTGCTTGTCAATGGTTTAGGATTGCTAGCCAACACTCTTGAGCAAGTTGACTTTCCCATTAATCTCAAAGTTGAGGCAGATGCATTGATTAGACGACTCATGGCGATGTGTTAGCTAAGTCAATTGAGGTTTGTAGTTGGAATAGATAAAAAGGGTGATGAGTTAGCCAATTGAGAGATCTCCTTTGCGCTGTTTAATCTGTCTGTCTGTTTTTTTTTTTTTTTGTTTTTTTTTGGGTTTTCCTTTTTCTGTTGTTTTTTATTTTTCGGTTGTGTGTGCTTTGGTTAAACAATTTCTACTCCGACTGCTTCCTTCAATTTTTGTGTTGGGATGGTTGACAGTGTTCCGCATTTTTCGGGGATTAACCTCCGAATTGAACACAAGAGATGAGAGGTTAACTTAGTGCAATATAATTTGACACGAACCTCACTATTGTCTTATCGTTTGGTGCAAAGAGCTTTGGTTGCGTAGTACATCCTATGATTATGAAGCCAATGTTTGTGACACCTATATGTCTTGGCCACATTTATTTAGCTCATCCCCTCTTTTTACGAAATATATTTTCGCCACGCGTTGTGCGGCTTTCTCCAGATTGAAAAACCTGAAACATGGATAGTAGTCCAAATGACCCCTTCTTCATTCGTAAAATTAAAGATGTCGCTGCCACATTCCTGGAAACTTCTCATTTACTTCCATTTACTTTACCTTGAGGGACCATGCTTGAAATGTCACCCGAAAGCTTGAACGCCAAAAGGATGATGACAGGAACTGCGTCACTGATACAGTTAATCACTTCAGCCCCGTCTGGATCGCCGCGGCAATTACCGTCAAGAAAAAGATGGAGAGAGATTTTGCGGCCTAGCAAGAGCTCTAGCTCCAAGCAGGTTGTTCAGTCCAAATACAATGCTAACCACAGCAGTAGCTATGCTTCTCCCGTGTCCAACTCGGATGAAACAATGGAAAGTACAACCCCCTTTCCTCCCATGTCGATACAAGAATCTTTGCTAACACCACCACACATATGTACTCCTAGCTTTGGAAGTAAAACTTCATCCAGCTTACTTGAAAAAGTTTACAGTACACCAAATACAACTCCAAAAAGCATCAATTTCGTTGAGACCCCGAGCAACAAGAGTAGCAATTCGATGGGAGGCTTTTCATACCCCCACAAAATGCATTCTGAAAGGTTAGATCTGTCGTTTGCCACCATCTTGCACAACAATGTTCCGCGTTTGAATAAAAGAAAAAATAGTCAAGCGTCATCAACGAAAACAACCAATTCATCGAAGAACCTGCTAGAAAACACATGCTTCATTTGTTCAGAATTGTTGCTGAATATTTTGCAAAGCGAGCGGGTTTTAAAATTAAATTGTGGAGACCTGGTTCATTCTGAATGCTTTAGAACAGCGTTTGGGAAAGAACTATCTAGTCATAGAAGCAACAACGAAGGGCTGAATACGGAATTACCGAAGCCATGTTATGGCTCTATTTGTAAAGGTGAACGCGTGATTACTATCGATAATCGAAATTTGAACTCATTAATGAAAAGGGCATATACGGCACTTACTCCAAAACGGCCAGCTCCTACACAACCAAGGGCCAAGGAAAATGGTGTTGCTTCTGAATCAAAATCACCAAAGTCACAAAGCATCAACTTCAAGGCGCTAAGGTCTACATTAAATCCACATTTGCAACATTTTGAGCCGTCAAGGAGAAGTTCTGCTAGGAATAGAAATACCATGGTGTCAAGCATACGATCTCCATCACCTGTGAATACAATTTCAACGACCATGACAGACTCGTACAATGTAAACGGTTTTGACAATGGACAAAGCACTGAAATTGTTGTGAATCAGCTAATGCAATACCTATTGGGTAATTGTGCTACCTTGAATCTAGCCAAGTTGTTTCATTTAGGTATTTTACGAGTAGCTGATCAGTTGCTAGTTAAAGTCGATGATGACGCTTTATTTAGGGAAAAATATTGTTATCTATTTGAGAACTCCGTTATGCTTTGGGACAAAATTAACGACGCGGTCTTTGTACCAGTAAATAATGCTAAAATTACATGTAAAGGCTCCATAGTGTTGATAGTTCCGACAGGAGGAAACGTGCTACAGCTTTCGCTCCAGTCTCATTTAAGCTCGGTTATTGAAAAGTGGGCGATTGTCTTGATGGATTTTTCAGTGGAAGTGCCCGGTTGTAAGGTTACCAATACGATAGATTTGGTGTCAAAAGCGCCTGAAATGCTGAACAAGAGTGTATTTGGAGGGTTTTTGGGAAACAAAATAAGTCCAATCATTGATCTGCCGCGAACAAGCTATAAAACTGACCCTAACTTTCCGCTTGGCAACTTTAATTCTCATAGCATGATATCAACTGATTCTCTAGTCGAGAAAGAATTAAGTTTAGAGAAAACAAAGAGTGCAATGTCAATCGATGATGATGATGATTGCGATTCAGACGCAGATTCGGACGAGGAGCTTATTCAAAGAGCGTTGAAAAAGGTCAATACAGAACGAATCAACTTACGAGAGTTGCATAGCTTGATATCTGAAGTAGATCAAATGCTTTAATAAAATCGACACGCTTATGTCATTGAATGTAGAATTTTTCTTTTTGCAACCACGCGGAAATTAGCCAAACTGGGGGCGCAAAGGATTCCCCCGACCGCTTTTGGAAAAAAAGCAATTTAAGAAAAACAAAAAAAGTCGGCGACAGTTTAAACCCCGAAGCAAGCACGATTTCTTTCAATTGTTACACCTTTTTTTGCAATTATAGATTGATAAATCGACTTCATGGCTTGTAAAATCCTATTCAGGTTATCAAACCTCGGCGAGCCTGTGAATAACGAGAATGTCAATAATGGTGTATTAAGTTTACCAGCGAATGATTATCCCAAGTCTTACAAACCAGGCGACCCTATTTTCGATTTGCAGTTCCAAATGAATGCAGCAAGTAAAGTGGCCAGAAAGGGGGTTTTCCATACCAATGCACCACCGTCATATAAAGACGAATTTGATAGATACAAGTACTTTGATTATTCCATTGAAAGTTCATTTCACCAAGACATTTCATTTAACATCCCCTTGTATAAGCCAGGTGCTTACAACTACTACATCTCCTATGAAGATGAAAATGGTGAGGAAAGAGAGACTGACAAGTTTTATTACAACGTTCCTCCCCACCTTGCAATTAAAGGAAACTTTGTTCCGTTCAACGCAATTAATGTGGAGTCGGTGATTTCCAAGTGGATTGGCCTGTACGATCGCTGGCCAAAGTTTTTCGAAAATGTGAAAGCAAAAGGATACAACATGGTTCATTTCACTCCATTGCAAGAAAGAGGGGAGTCGGACTCTCCATACTCTATTTACGATCAGTTTAAATGGGATCCAAATATATTTCCCATTCAAGGGAAAGCTGTTGAACAGATTCACAAAGTGTTGAATGACAATGGGTTGCTAAGCTTGACTGATGTGGTTTGGAACCACACTGCAAACAATTCCGAGTGGCTCAAAGATGCTCCTGACTCTGGATACAATGAATACACAGCACCGCATTTGATTTCCGCTATAGAATTGGATGGGGCATTGTTAGAGTTTAGTAAAAATTTGGAAGATTTCAATTTGCCCACAATCATTGAAAATGATTCTGATTTGAGCAAGGTGGTGGAAGGTTTGAAGAACCATGTTTTGGACAGTTTAAAGCTTTGGGAGTACTATGTTTTCAACCGAGAACAAACGTTGTCTGACTTGGAAGAAACATTCAACAAACAAAAGTCGTCCATTAACAGCATCAAGATACCTGACCACGTTGACAAGAATAACATTGAGCAGTTGTCAGGGTTTGTGTTAGAGACTGCAAATACGCACCCTAAACCTATCTTGGGCCACAGGTATGAGAATAAATTAGATTCGAAAAAGTTTTTAGCCGTTTTGTTTGCATTGTTTGACGAAAATGTGGACACTGATACTATAGTCAACAAAGCTGGAGAGGTTGTTGACCAAATCAATGCTCCTTTATACAGAGAGTACGATGATGATTTGAACACGATTCAACAACAAATAGCCGATAGGATTAGGTTCTTGAGATTAGCTGATAATGGACCTAAATGGGGTAAAATAACGACAAAGCTTCCCTTAACGGAGCCTTACTTTACCAGACTCACCGACAAGGATGGCAAGAAGCAAGCATTGGCTAACAACGGATGGATATGGGGCGGGAACCCCTTGGTGGATTTTGCATCTGACCAATCCAAAGCCTACTTAAGGAGAGAGGTGATTGTGTGGGGAGATTGCGTCAAGTTGAGATACGGATCAAAGTATGAGGACTCCCCACAATTGTGGGACAGAATGATCAAGTACACCCGAGAAATGGCTAAAGTGTTTACAGGTTTCAGAATAGACAATTGTCACAGTACTCCATTGCACGTTGGGGAAAGATTGTTGGATGAAGCAAGAAAGGTTAACCCAAACTTGTATGTCATTGCCGAGTTATTTTCCGGTTCCGAACAGATGGATAAAATATTTGTGGAACGTTTGGCAATAAATTCTTTAATCAGGGAAGCCATGCAGGCTTGGAGTGTTGGCGAATTGTCTTCGTTGGTACACAAGCATGGAGGAAGGCCTATTGGTTCATTAACCTGGCTACCATTGAGTGATTTTTCGTACCCAGCGGAAAGAGAACCAGACTTGCGCAAGACAAAGGAGGGTTACACCGAGTTGGAGATTCCGCAAGTATTGACCAGCACAGCACCCCATGCTATATTTATGGACTGTACGCATGATAATGAAACGCCAGCCCAAAAGAGAACTGTTGAAGATACCTTACCTAATGCAGCTCTTGTGGCTTTTTGCTCGTCAGCCATTGGTTCTGTCTATGGCTATGACGAATGTTATCCCCATTTGCTTAATGTCGTGAGTGACAAGAGGTTGTACGATTTGGATGATACAAATGGAATTGTTGAGGTGAAGACAAAGTTGAATGATATTCGTAAACAGCTAGCCGAGGAAAGTGAAGATATTGCCCGCGATCATGAGATGTACATTCATCACGAGGGACAGTACATTACCATTCAACGCTACAACGCCAGAACAGGAAAAGGGTGGTTCCTAATTGCTAGAAGCAAGTTCTATCCAAACGAAACAGAACAAATCTTGTCTCCTTCCATCCTTGGAGGAACAAAGGTTAAACATGAATTTAGTTACACATTGAAGCAAACGGGCGAGTATCAAAAAGACGATAAGATTTTGAAAGGAATACCAGTTGAAGTGGTTGATATTGAAGCCCCCCATGTCGATTTCAATAACGGTGACAGTGTCATACAAGTCAATAACAGTTTTATCCCTGGCTCTATATCAGTATTCTCTACTGAAATTCCTGGGGTTGATATCAAACTTGATGAGTATGTCAGAGAAGGTGCGCTTGAAGCGTCTGTTGGTTTGGACTTGTACGATTTGAATGCTTTGCTTTACAGGAGTGCTCCAGAAGAATTGGATGCAAGTGGAGGCAAAGAAGGCGTTTATAATATTCCCCTGTATGGAGATTTGGTTTACGCTGGTCTCGAAGGTTGGCAAACTGCGTTAAAGCATGTCATTTGGTCAAATAATCTAGGTCACCAGATTTGCAACCATTTGCGTGATGGAGCGTGGGCGTTGGACTATGTCGTGCAGAGGTTGGACAAGTATGTTGCCAAGTCGGAAAATTTGGGTCAGTTCCAAGCGTGGTTGAAAGATCGTTTTAACGCTGTTAGGAAGGCGCCATACTACTTGAGACCACACTACTTTTGTTTAATTGTGGGAATTGCGTATGAGGCTGCTCGATTTAGAGCCTTGAGGCAGTTTAGCAAACAAATTCAGCAAGCCACGAATTTTGTTCAAAGTTTGGCTTTGACAAGTGTGCAAATGACCGGGTTTATGAACAATACGTCGCTTGTACCAGACAAATCAGTTGCATGCTTGGCTGCAGGGTTGCCTCATTTCAGCAACGACTATATGCGGTGCTGGGGAAGAGATGTGTTTATCTCGTTTAGAGGTCTTTTGATTGTGCCTGAAAGGTATGATGATGCAAAGGAGCATATTCTTGGATTTGCCAAAACTTTAAAGCACGGATTGATTCCAAACCTCTTGGATGCGGGACGAAACCCTCGATACAATGCTAGGGATGCTGCTTGGTTCTTTTTGCAAGCTATTCAAGAATATGTGCGTCACGTACCAGAAGGAATAAAAATATTGGACGAGCAAGTCGCTAGACGTTTTCCCTTGGACGATAAGTATATTACTGTTGACGATCCTCTTGCATTCAGCTACAAGACATCTATTAGGGATGTAATTTTTGAAATATTACAGCGTCATGCCAAGGGAATCAAGTATAGAGAAGCAAATGCAGGACCAAATCTTGATTCGCAAATGAAGGATGAGGGTTTCAACGTGCAGGTGGGAATTGATTGGGAGTCTGGTTTTGTACATGGAGGTTCACAATTAAACTGTGGTACTTGGATGGACAAAATGGGTGAAAGTGAGCGAGCCCATAACAAGGGAGTACCAGGTACACCAAGAGATGGAGCTGCTGTCGAGTTACAAGGTTTACTCAAAAGCGCATTAAGATGGGTGGTTGAGTTGAACAAAAAGGGACAGTTTGATTACACTGGAGTTGAAAAGGAGAATGGAGACAAGATTACCTTCAAGGATTGGGAAAAGTTATTGCAGGATAACTTTGAAAAGCGATTCTACGTGCCAGAGAAGGCAAGTGATGATAAAGATTATGATGTTGATTCTTCTTTGGTTAATAGACGCGGTATTTACAAAGACTTGTACCGAACAGGAAAGCCGTATGAGGACTACCAGTTGCGTCCCAACTTCCCAATTGCAATGTGTGTGGCGCCAGAACTATTCACGCCGGAGCTAGCTTTGACTGCCATCAATAATGCCGATAGAATCATTAGGGGACCAGTTGGTATGAGAACGTTGGATCCACTGGACTACAATTATCGTCCATATTATAACAACTCAGTTGACAATGACGACTTTGCCACATCTAAAGGCCGCAACTACCACCAGGGCCCTGAATGGGTATGGAACTATGGATACTTTTTGAGAGCATTTTTGTATTTCCACTTTGCTACCAACAACGAAGGAAGCAAGGCTCGTACTCCATCGATAGAGTTGTTTACCTTGCTCAATGATAGAATTCAGTATCATATACAGTGGATCAAGGAGAGCCCATGGGCCGGATTGACCGAATTGACTAATAAGGATGGTGATTTGTGTAATGATTCAAGTCCAACTCAGGCATGGAGTAGCTCGTGTTTGTTGGACTTGTACTATGATATTTGGAGAGTAGAAAAGTATCAGTAGAGTATAGATAATAAATGTTGTTAGTTAAGGATATCTCTGCCTGTTAATTTGTTCAATAGGTTCTAAACACAATTTCTAAATATGTAATTAGCAATTGTATACACAATTAATTTGCTCCAGATATCGCACCCATACAAATTTTACATTTCCGGTTCAAGTTTTGGAAGTAAAGGGGAGTTGGGTGAAGTTGAGTTTACTTAAGAAGATAATGTTACTATAAACCGCTTACTAGGTTTTTGCTTTATGAGGGCAGTGTACTTGAGTGTGATTTGGTATCTGTTATGTTTTCATTGAAGGTTCTCATTTGTTGTTGGTTATCGCAACTTTACGCGTTTGTTCGTAAAGAGAAAAAGTATATGACGACGAAACAGGAAGTCGTTTTTTTCCACTCTCAAGACAAATTAGGAAATACATTTTTCCGCTTTTCGTTAAGAGATAGAATAAGACAACAGATAGCAGAGATGAGTAAGTTTTGATCAGTGGGGGTATAGTAATAACTGCCGCAGATAGAAGTGACGGCATTAGACAGTGATATTGGTTAATGCTGAGATAATGTATTCAATAGTCATTAAGATTTCTAAATTGTTTGCGAAAATATTGAGACAAAGTATAGAAAATTACAGAGATAGAAAAATAAACAGAACAGCAGAGAAACAGATTTGAAAGGTGTAATAGTATAGACAGAGGANAGTGTCAATTCTAATGTCGTTTAATTTTTTCTCAGATTTTGGGACAATATGATTTCTGTTTTAGCTTCGGTCTTAGGAGCGGTATTCAAATCGGAATTAAGAAAAGGTGTAAATCCGGTGGTAGCAAGTGACGGATATAACATCGGAATTAGTAGTATTTATTTGAAGACT